TACACTCTGCTTGCTCTAAGAATGCATCCATTTTTTGCTAAGAATTGATAAATTTTCTTAATTATATCCTCTAATTTAATCATATCAGTTTTTATAATTAAATTAAGATTAGTAATTGCGGAAGTTCATTTATTTTGAATTCATCAAATTTTTAGTTTTTAATTTACAATCCCTTACAACAAACAAATTATAATTAGATTTAATAACATAATATTATAAAAAATTAAATAATAATAAATTGTTTTGAAGCATTCTTTTATCAAATAAATATCATTTAACTTAAAGAATATTTATTTCTTTATTTTACTAAAATATTATAATTAAAAAAAATATAAATGTTTTCTAAATAGCTCTGGTCAAATGATTTATCTAATTAAAAGAATTGATCATTTTTTATGTTAAATGATTTAAAGCATAAATTAATGGGGATAATAATAAATTTGAATGAAAAAATGTTAAATACAATAATTTAATATATGGTATGATTATTCTTAACACATCATTTTCTTAAGGCTTAGAAAATCTTTAATTTTTCCAAAGGACCATGTTATTTCAATTTGTGGACATGTGTACCATAGTATTATAATTCATCCTAAATAATTAATTAATGATAATACATTAGCTTTATATTTAAGATAGTCAGATCTGAAATAGTTAGTGAATCCCCATTTAGCTGAAACAACAATCTTTTATCTTCCTGGAAACTTATTCTTTCCTCTTCTTAATGCTTCCATAGCATGATTAATTGATGCATCTTTGCATCTCAAGGAATAGAGAATGCTACCAATTTTAACTCTGGCACATAAACCATTAGGTTTACCAAAGGCACCTCTCATACCAGTTTAAAGTCTATCTGCACCAGCACATGAAAGCATTTTATTGATTCTGAGTACGTGCCATGGATGAACTCTGCATCTAAGATGAAATGCGTCTTTTCCGACTTTCTTAATCATATATTTATTTATGGCAACTCTACATGCTTCTAAGGCTTCTGATGAAATTTATTCCTTTTCATCTGATACAATATGAATAGTGGCCTAATTTATATTAATTATTTATTACTGGGAATTCATCAACATTAGCCTTCTTTCTTCCTACATCATAGATCTTAATTTTAGCATCTGGAACACCTCTATTATATCTTGACTTTGGAAATGGTTTTCCATTACTAACTCTATAGCATCTTGCTGGTCTTCTACCCATTTTATTTTTAAAATAAAAAAGATTAAAAATTTATTTGAAATCAATTAACTACTCACTCAAATTTATTTCCTTAAATCTCTAAATGTCGAATTTGAAAATAAAATTAATTTTTTATCAATATTCTAAATTATCTTTATCATTTGTATTAACAAATAATTTTCTTTTAAGAATTGTAAATTATTGATTAAAGTTCATTCTTAAAATTAGCTAAAACTTATAATAGAGGATTATTTAAGTTTAACTCAAAGATATTAATACTATTTTACTATATTTTAAATACATCATTTTAATGGTTTCAATTTAATTTTATAATTTTAAATATATAAAAGTATAATAATAATTAGAATTTAGAAATAGAAAGTGTTATAATAAATAATAGAATAGATTAACATGAAAGATTCTAATCATCATTTAATTGTGTAATCAATTAATTATTCTAATTACAAATGAGCCACATTGAACTCTTTTAAGTTAGGCTGTTCAGATGCATCAACTAAATATTCAAGTAAATATTTGAGTTCCAGATCATCTATATTATCATTCCATTCTAAAATAGGAATCCCATTTTCTATTTATAGTCCAAAAGAATGGACTAAATTATCAACTATTAAAGTTTTATTTAAATCTAGATCTGCAACAATTCTTAAATCTTTTATAAAAAACCCATTTTTAGTTTCCATACAGTTTGTTCTGTTTAGAATACCACTAATAAATTATTTTTAAGGATCAAGATAGTTTATAATAGCTGATGCATATGATTATGAAGAAGCAGTATAAATGTAGATTGTATAAAATTATGATAGTTCTTACAGAAAATATTAAGTATAAGGTCTAACATTTATACCAATCTAAAACTAGATATTATAATTACTTCATTTTAACTGCCATCATCGTTAATTTAATTTATTTTAATTTATGAGTTTTCTTTTTAAATACATGAATGAACAAGTGTCTCATCAAGATCTAAAAATATAGTATTCAATTTTGAAGGATTTATTTTTTAGAGAGAAATCTTTTTCTTTTCTATAAATTAATCCGAAGGACCTTTTAAGCATCTTTTTGAATATATTAAACCTCTTTGTGTTATTCTTAAATGCTTATTAAATATCTCCTCTTCTATTGTTGGATTGAATATAAGATGCCTAAAAGGGTGATCTATTAATTTATCTGATTTAGATTCTCCTATTTTTTTAAAATTTCTCATGGAAATAGGTTTGGATTTGATTTTATTTAGTTTGGGGCTTACTTTTATTTTTTCTTCAATTTTTTTCATTTATTCTTCCATAATTTTTGCCTAGTCATTAATTACATGGGAATATTAAATTTAATATTATTAGAACTCTTTCTCTATTAATTCGGGTTCTTCATCTCTATCTCCTTCATTCACTGTAATTATTTTTTAGGTACTGAATCTTGATAGTTTTGGAGCTACAAGTATAATATACATGTTTACTTCTAGCTTTTGTAACAGATACCCTTTTATGTGAACTTTTATATGTTTCTTCAACTTCTGGTGAAAAAGTTGTGGGAGTCATTCCTTATAAAGGTTTAGGCTTTGGTTTTGGAGTAACATCAGATGATAATGCAGTCTCTCTATCATCTTCACTTTAAAAAGATAATTTAGATCCTGGTGATGATCGAAAGTATGATAATTTAGAACCTGATCGGAAGTTTAGCAGCTGGTCCATTTAAATTATTGATTATTAATTGAATAATTTATAAACAATGCAAAAACAGATTTAAAATTAAGGCAAACTAAATAAACTCAATGTTGCATCATGAAATTAATGATGCAAATTATTTAAATCTCAAATATTTTTTTATTAAATTAAATTTATCAATATATTACAATATTTATATATATAATAATAAGAATCCAAATTATTCTATACTATTTTCTAAAACAGTGAAAAAGGGTTGTTTCCTAAAATTTTATGAATTTGAACAAGCTACAATATTCCTTTTAATAAGTGAATATTTACTGATTTGCTAAATATTTATATTAAAAAACTTTTTTAAATATTAATAATAATTAATTGAGTACATCATTTTATAATATATAATTTTTCACCTAAGAATAAGTCTTCTTTCTTTTTTATTATTATTATTATTTCTATTCCTTCAAAGTAATAAATTATAATTATAAATAAAATTATCTTTATTTATATTAAAGCTTTTCTCTTTTTCACAAAAATTATATTAAATTAAATTTTTTTCTTTTTTTTTTTAATTTCTATTTACTGAAGATTGAGAAGCATCTTTGATAGATTCAATTATAGAATACAATTAATAACACAAAAAAAACTAACACCTTTTCTTCTTTTGAATTTTTCCACAATCTTAGAGCAATAAAGAAGTTTAAATATAAAATTAAAAAATAATACTTATCATATTTAGCTAACTCTAGATTTATTATGAAAAATAGAAATAGAATTTTTTTTTTAACATAATGCATAATTATCATAATCCATCAATATAAAGAATTTTAGACACAATTTTTCAATTTTAATTAGTATAGTTCGTATACTTAATTTAAAAAAGGAAAGTGAATAATTAAATTGATATTAGCCCATTAATCGCTAAATATTAAATATAGTCACAGTAGCATTTTATAAAGTCTTGGAATTTGCTCTAAAAATAATAAATTAATTTTTTAAAATAAGATTTTTTGGTAGGTCCTATTATTATTATTATTAGTTATTTTGATTGTTTAATTGAAAATAATAATGTTTATAAAGAACTTTACGCTGTTAAAACATTGAACTTAATCAGTTAAACTTGTTTTTTAAATAAATAACTTTAAAAGACTTTCTTACTAAATAAAAATATATTTAGATGTAAGAATCTTTAAATTTGGTAATAATAATAATTATTGATTGATAAAGGGCTGAAAGATTGTGAAAGAGCTTATTTTACTTATTTTGAATTAATAATAAAGAAATTATTAATTTCATTAATTTATTTTCATATATTAAATTTATCACAATTACATAATTGATGCTCCATCTCCTTTTAAATTTTAATATATTTAATATCGTAAATAATTTATTTTAGATTACGAAATTTCAAAAAATTTTTAGCCAATCATCTATTCGATTGTTAAATTTTGATTTTTTATAAATTAGCTGATATAATATATTGTGTATATTCCATCATCATAAGTATTCTTTTGTTGGCTAATATTGATGTTATCCTTATCTTTAACTTCAAATTAATATTTAATTAATAGTTTTTGGATTTAAATTTTGAGCGGCTCTCTTGTATCCTCTAAAGAATCGATTAAATATAATTTCTCATTTTCATACACAACTGATAAGAAGTGGCTTCTATCTAAATTAAGATAAAACACGATTCTGATATTTTTTATCTTATTTTAACCACTCATATGATCATCATATTTTTGGTTTTTTTATTAATAGTTAGACTCTAAGTGTTTTTTAAAAGCATTTTAAAATATTCTAAAATATTAATTTATTATTATACTTATCATTTATATCATTATCATAAGTAATCATGCTTCCAAAAATATCTTGACATTAATTACAATTAAAAAATAATGTTTAAGTAGAATGTATATTTTGATTGATTAAATTTGAATAATTTACTAAAGATGTTAATTATTTAAGTAAAATATCAACAATTTTTGACTTAATCCATCCTCCTGGTAGAAGAGAAGCTAACTAAAAATTATTTACTTCAAATTCATTAAAATTTAGTAATTTGCGACCTGGGTTTTAATTAACATTATATACTTAATCTGCCTATTATGAAATTTCTTTTTATTTTATGCCATTCTTATAATATTCAACCCAATTTCCAATTTTAGAAAATTCTTTTTCTCTTTTTGAGTAATTAATCAATTTATAATCAACAAACAAACCTTATTTGAAATTTGATTCATACATTCCTCTAAAATATGTTAGCGTTTACTAAGAATCTAATTCATATCCTTCTCCATGTTTTTATCCATTCTTAAAAAATCCATAAAAAATTAAACAACCAAATGTATAAACTCTATTTTTTCCATCAAAAAGACCATTCTTAAATCCACCTTTATAAATTGTTTCTTAAATATTGATTGTTTTCATAACACCTTCTGTATCTTTATCATAATCATAAGTTTATGGTTCGAAATAATCATTTACAGGACCTTAATAAGAAATAAAACCAGTGTAATATTTTAATTCTTAATTTAAGTTATTGAAATTATTAAATGATTAGATTTAGAAATTGTAATCTAACCATAATGGACAAAGATCAGGTTAATTTATTGGAAACCAAATTTTTCCTTGAATTCTAATTAATAATTAAAGATAAATACAAATTGCCATTTGGCTAAAGAAATAGTTATTGATTGAAATAATTAGGCTTTCTGATACTAACAATTTTAACCAATTTGATAAATTATATTTATTCTTTTCTCAGATTACTTTAAAACAACCTCTCCTGTTGCAATTTTTATTCTAATATTTTTTTTTCATTTTCTTTTTATTTCTTTATCTCTTTTAATTTAAAGATTTATATAAAATTGAATTAAGTATTAATTCTTGGAAAATCGCATAAAAAATCCGTATCTGAATTTGGATGCATTAATTAGTAATTTTCAGGTAAATTTTTCAGCTATCTCCATATATCTAGAATTTATTTGAAATTTTGTGTAAAATGAACTCCAACAGTAACAAAATCTTTAGAATAGTAAGCCTGTTTTAATATTTCTTATTTTTCATCTGCAATAAAAACCTTCAAGTCTTCATTTACATATTAAATGGCAGTTGAATTCATTAAGGTATAAATTTTCCTTTTATCTTGTTTTTTTTAAACCAAAATTAATAGAAATAAAAAAACATGTCTAATAATATGTTATTTTTCTGTAAATGCCTTATTTTAATTATCGAGCTCATTTTTGTTTTAGCATTTTCTAAATAACCATATAATATCATTTAATTAGTCATCTTCTATTTACATAATAGAATTATTAGATTTCGTAAGTTATTCCTTCTAAGTTTTATGAATATAAGTTCCTTTATTTGATTCAAAAGCCCAATCAACATATTGTTAAAAAGTAAATGGCTCTTTTATTTTCATGTGTAAATTGAACTAAAAAAAGCAAAAAAAGAAATATAATTATATTTATATTTACTATCAAATTTTTAATCTTATAAAGTCTATGTTTAAAAAATATTTTTATAAGCATGAGGAAAACTTATTTAAATTATAAAATAATATTTTCATGTTGAGGATTGGAACATGAAGATGATTAAGCCAAATTGATATATATTTTTTTTATACTAATAAATTTTCTCTTTAGTTTATTATAATTCATCTTATTAATGATGCTTTCAGAAATAAGTGCAGGAAAGCAACTTCCAATATCTGTGTTTTTGTATATAGAATCCATAGTGATTGGATGCAATAGTATCTTAATTCCTTATAAGATATTATGTTAGATCATTATGTTGGCTAATGGAGAACTTATGCTCAGAAGTAATTATTATCAAATTTGAGGTTTTTTGAAAGGTAATAAATTCAACTTTACATCAACAATCTTTGAATCATATTATTCTTTTTCTCAATATAAACTAATTTAAAAGCTTTCTGACTTTAATATTTTTAATCTGGTATTAGAAAAATTATCTTGAAATTTATAACCTTTTCAAACNAAATCGCATAAAAAATCCGTATCTGAATTTGGATGCATTAATTAGTAATTTTCAGGTAAATTTTTCAGCTATCTCCATATATCTAGAATTTATTTGAAATTTTGTGTAAAATGAACTCCAACAGTAACAAAATCTTTAGAATAGTAAGCCTGTTTTAATATTTCTTATTTTTCATCTGCAATAAAAACCTTCAAGTCTTCATTTACATATTAAATGGCAGTTGAATTCATTAAGGTATAAATTTTCCTTTTATCTTGTTTTTTTTAAACCAAAATTAATAGAAATAAAAAAACATGTCTAATAATATGTTATTTTTCTGTAAATGCCTTATTTTAATTATCGAGCTCATTTTTGTTTTAGCATTTTCTAAATAACCATATAATATCATTTAATTAGTCATCTTCTATTTACATAATAGAATTATTAGATTTCGTAAGTTATTCCTTCTAAGTTTTATGAATATAAGTTCCTTTATTTGATTCAAAAGCCCAATCAACATATTGTTAAAAAGTAAATGGCTCTTTTATTTTCATGTGTAAATTGAACTAAAAAAAGCAAAAAAAGAAATATAATTATATTTATATTTACTATCAAATTTTTAATCTTATAAAGTCTATGTTTAAAAAATATTTTTATAAGCATGAGGAAAACTTATTTAAATTATAAAATAATATTTTCATGTTGAGGATTGGAACATGAAGATGATTAAGCCAAATTGATATATATTTTTTTTATACTAATAAATTTTCTCTTTAGTTTATTATAATTCATCTTATTAATGATGCTTTCAGAAATAAGTGCAGGAAAGCAACTTCCAATATCTGTGTTTTTGTATATAGAATCCATAGTGATTGGATGCAATAGTATCTTAATTCCTTATAAGATATTATGTTAGATCATTATGTTGGCTAATGGAGAACTTATGCTCAGAAGTAATTATTATCAAATTTGAGGTTTTTTGAAAGGTAATAAATTCAACTTTACATCAACAATCTTTGAATCATATTATTCTTTTTCTCAATATAAACTAATTTAAAAGCTTTCTGACTTTAATATTTTTAATCTGGTATTAGAAAAATTATCTTGAAATTTATAACCTTTTCAAACTATAGCAATTTCAATTTTATGAAAAATCTTGTTGTACTTAGATTAGCATAATTGATTGTAAAGTAAGTTTAGATAAAGTAAAAATATTATTCCATCTCTAAAAATATTTAGGAATTGAAGTCTTAAACTATATATATTGCAACAAAAATATTAAGAAATTTAGATGAATAATTGCGAATTTTCTTTTTGTTATTTGAAATGCTTACATTTGTTTTTAGAATATGAGAAATAAGTAAACCAAATATTTAAAAGTGGGCAAAAGTGTTAAATAGGGTAGTATGAGTTTTAATTTTAAATAATAAAAATTTTGGCTTTTACATTAAAATAGTAGTATAGAAATTTAGACTTACTTAATGATTGGATGAATGGAAAATATTAGGATGAATATTCTTAGATCAATAAATGAAAAAATAATTAAAAAATTAATGATCCAAAAAATCTTTGATAAAATAAAGAACGCTTTAATCAACAATTTTATAGATAATTGAATCTTTTTGTAATTTATTCATGTTGCAAATTCAATATACTTTTCCTCATATCAAAATTGTTTATTCCAAAAACAAAAACTAATAACTATCCATTGCCAAAAGGCTTTTTGTTAGAATTGATTTAATTTAATTATTTTTATATAGATTATATACTGAAATACATATGATTCTTATTTCAATATAATTATCATTAACAACTGGGTTTAATTTAAAATTTATATTTTATTTTTTAAAATGAAATGGGTTAAGAGGATACCATGGTTTTCTATTAATTTTTTCCACTAAAAATGTGTATATCTCATTTGATTTTATAATTATGATAAAATTTATAATAGCTCTTAATTATCATTTAATAATTTTAATAAAATAATGATAAGATAAGGATAAATATTGAATCAATTTTTTCTTATGATATAATATTTAGTTAAGATATATTAGATCAGAATTAGTAGCGAAGATTTAATGTAATTTATACTTAATAATTTGAATGAATAACTATTAAATTTAGAGAATATTTGAGTTATAATCTGATAGTTTGTTAATAATAAATTTGATGTACATAAAAACCTGAGAAAATTCAAAGGTTAATATTTCAATAGTATATTAATATCTAAATAATTTAAAGAGTAATGTCAATAATAGATAGAATATGAAGCTATAAAAGAATATAAAATAATTTAAATAGAGAAAATGATTGAAATGAAATGTTTAAAGAACTTTTGATGTAAAATAAATGATTAGAAGTGATAGTAAAGTTTTGTAATAATGGTTATTTATCCATTTATTATTTTTAATGTACTTTTAATAAATTATTAATCACTTCTTCTTTCTTTCAACTCCAAGTGTTTATCCTCCTCTACCAGTAGTTTTGGTGTGTTATCCTCTAACTCTTAATCCCCAGTGATGTCTTAAACCACGATTACACCTTAAATTAATTAATTAATAAAAATACTTGATTTTCTTCATTCTTTCTAAATCTTCTCTTAATTTGGTTTCTAATTCATTTGTTGTAACTTAATAATTTTTGCCATCCTTGAAATCTCTTTATCTATTTAAAAACCATCTTGGAATGTTATAAGCTTCTGGAGATTTGATGACTTCTGTGATTTTATGAGCTTCATCATCAGTCAATTCACCAGCTCTCTTTGAAAGATCAAGACGGAGTACCTATAATACATATTTATCAACATTAAATACCTTGCAAATTTAGATTGCGAATCTTCTTCCGATACCTTTGATACTTCTAATACCATATGCAAGTCTTTATTTTCCATCAACATTTGTATTCAATATACGAATAATGTGTCTGAATGAATCAGCCTTTTCCAACACCAAAGACATTTATTTGTATAAAAGATTTAATTTAATTTAAAATTTTTATAGCTACTCGATTCATCAAATATTATATCAAACATTCACTCTATCTCTCTCCTTATCTATCACCTCTTAATTAATTACTTTACACTCCTTTTCAATATCTTATTTATGTTTCTCTCTTTCCTTCTTATTATTACTATACCAAAACACATTATTTCTACACTTAATTTTCATTTTCATTCATCAAATATAATCTAATTAATCCTTTTTCAATTCAGAAATTTATAAGAACTCTTACTTTATCAATTCATTAATTATAATATGTTACAATTTTTTAAAGTGATAATTATTAAAATGCATTTTTAAATATGATATTCACTTTCCTCCAAACTTTACTTTCTATAATAGATAATCACATAAAGCTATTGGCATTCTATTTTTTACTTCTTCTAATGAAACCCATCTCTCAATTCCTTCTTCATGTATATATATCCAAAATTCTATTCTTCCATCATTCTTTCTTAAAGATTTTACATAACCCTTTTCAGATTTTCTCTCCAAATGCGGACTCAAACTTACTTTTGGTTTCTCAACTTCTATTCTCTACTTTATTTGCTCTTCTACTATTTTTGTTCTTTTTTAATTCATCTTTTCATCTGACTTCATATTTTTTTTTTAATGTTCTTACAATTCCCATTAACTTACTATTTCAAGCATTTCTGGAGTAAGTTCAACCATTGGTTCATAAGTAATCGAACCTGTATTCCACTTTATTTTATATTCAATTCGTTCATCTACTTTTTTTTTTAAAACTAAAACAGGATGTTTAGTATGCATATATTAATTAATAACAGATATATTGATTATATATATAAATTATATATAACAGACAAAAATAATCACTAATGCACTAAGATTTGAACTACACTATTGAAATTATGGAGATTGAGAAATTAAAATTGTATGAACAAATTGATTATTTATAATAACATATCTAACAATTGACTAATGAATATAGTGATAAGATATTAGAAAAAGATGAAGAATTAGTTACAGCATTTATTAAAATGCAATAAACAGAAAAACTCAATAATGAATTACTTTTTAAATTACAATCAACTAAAAAAAGTGAGGAATAACTTAATAATGCAAATTATAATTTTATCACTTTACAAAAGAAATTAGATCATTAAATTTAAGAAAATTAAAAACTAGAATAAAGAGTTAAATTATTAACAGAATAGAGTATGCAATTTCAATAAAAATGGTAAAGAGTTTCTTTGTAATTAAAATAATTTACTACTCAAAAAGTAAGTGCTAGAACAATAGAATAATAATTAAGTCTCAAACAAGAAGAATGTTAGTAACTTAAAGAAAAACTAGTGCAATATCAATTAGAATTAACGATAATGAAATAAAGTGATTAAGAGTATAAATAATCTGTTCATTAAAAAATGCAAGCACTCTATTAAGAATTAAAAGATTCATAATAGAAATTATAATAAAATTAATATCTCTCTTAATAACAAAAATAAGATTGTTAGTAATGCGAGTATTTAAGAAATGAAACTGAATAATTGAAATAAATTATAAACCAAGATCATATTTCATAAGAATAAAATAGAATTAATATATAAATTGTACTATATTTTATTTTATCCATAGAATTAATAATAATAATAGTAATTGAAAGAGTACTAAAACAGACTAATGGAGTTAGAATTTGAAAATTAAAACTTAAAATAATAAATTCAATTACCAGAATATATCAATAATATCAAAAGTAAAGAATGCTTAAATATTAAATCTATTATGAATCATCCTTTGTACATTAAAATGATGAAATTAGTTGAGCAATTGAATAATCCGACTCAACAAGAATTATTTAGAAAGTCCTTACATGAATTAGGATTGGAAATTTAATAACGAGAAAATAAAGAATAATAACTATAAGAATGTAGAACTATGTATGATAGATTATTAATTAAATACTATGCATTACAAAAGAGTATCAATAAAATTGAAGAAAATACTAATCTCAATTATTATGCAACTCAGTAAATTACGTCATCAAAACAATAAACTTAATAAAAGAAGACTAATTAATTAGATTCTTTTTTATAAGAATAAGAAACTACTAAATAAATGAAATAATCAATATTCTCAAACACACCAAAGTAGAGAGTAAATAACAAACTAAATTTAAGTTTAGATAGTTGTTAATTTAAAAAATGATTTTTTTATTTATAAATAATATATATAGTTTTTTTTTCCAATATATTTAACGAATAATAATTAAATTTTAAATGCAATATTGTTAAATACACAATCCTCAATTTTACTAGACTGAATAGTAATAATTATCATAATAGTAACTTTTACCTCAGCACATTTATCTGATAAATAAATATAAAAACAAGAAAAAAGCTTACAAAGGTAATATAATATTTGATCGTAGAGTCTTTGAATGATTTAAGAAATCAAATGAAAATAATTTTAGATAAATAATTAAATCAAGAATAAGAATTAACTTAATTGAAAACCTAATATCATTTAGAAAAAGAGTAATGGTAATAAGAAAAGAAGATTTTAAATTCTTTATGTCCATAGAAGGATTTAAACTACAATGGATTGTAATAAGAAAAGAAATCTTATAAAGAAAAGAAAAAAGAACTTAAGAATTAATTGTAAAAATAATAATAGCAATGTTAATTTTAAGAAGAGAAATTTCAAGAAATTTTATTAGAGAATTCAAAATTAAGAGCAATACTAAATGGGAGAGATTAAGAATGTTTAGTCTTATAGTAAGAAGTTGAATACTATTAGAAAAGATTAATTTAATTATAAAGATAGTGATACTAAAATATTTAATTATGTATGATATCATTTTTTTTGTTTATTTTTAAAAAATCTTTGTAATTTTTCTTCAATCTCCTTGTCTAACATTAAATTATTTTTAATTTAAGTAATTTCTATCATTTATGGTTATGCTTATTATTATTGATCATCTTCAATTTCAGTTTCTAATCTTATATCATCAATTTATTAAACATTATCAGTAAATATAATCATATCATCCTACTATTCTCTTCTAATCCATGGAGCTTCAGGTTTGTTTTCAACAGACAAAGGCTAAAAATAAGAATTAAATGAAGTACTCCAATATCTTAAATTAATTGTTTGTCAAATACAATTGATAATGAAGGAGGAGATAATTTAGGTAAGCTAAAAGACAATCTGATTTTTAATCCATCAATAAAGAAAATTGGCACTTAAAAACAAATGATATTTTCTTTAGGTTCATCATATAAACAAATAACTCTCTAATAATCTATAGGATGTTAATCTTTAATTAAGATTTATTCAATATGCATTAAAAGAATTTATAAACCTTCCTATTTTGCTTCATTTATGTTTTCTATTAATTATTTACATTTTTCTTTAGCTTTTTTAAATTACTTTAAAATTACTAAACAAATTAATTCATTAAATTTGATCTCTAATATTTCTAATAAATCTGCATCTTCTTCATCTTCAGTAAGTTCAAAAAATTCTTCATCATTAAATAAATCTGTTTAGCTTCCTTTTTATTTTAATCGTTTTTCAGTTATTGAAAGTTCCTTTTAACTCTTTGCCATTTAAAAATCTTTTAATGCTTCTTCATATTTTTCTAAATGAAATAAAAATACTCCTCTAAATATATAAACATGGAATTATTAAAATAATCTTCCTTTTCCTCTACTTAATTATGATAGACTATTAATAGCCTTATTTAAATTATTTATAAATTCACGCTACTCACTTTCACTTTCTTCATTAAAATAGATTTATTAATCATCTTTAAATACCAATCTCAATGCTTATAGAATATCTTTATCAAATTCAGCAGTTTTCTCTTTCGTTAATTTATATATTCTATTAACATCTTCTTAACATAAACGTAAATCACTTAAAATCATATAACATTCTGATCTTAATTATAATAATTTTGGATTATTTTTAAAATCTTTATTATTAGAATATGCTTTAATTGCATCTTCTATTGCAGCATTTGCAAATAAAAAATTGCCTGCCCAAACATGCATTCTTGGATCATCTTATAAAATGTGAATACATTATTGTAAATCTTGAAAAGCAGAATTTGAATCTCCACTTAAAAAATGACATTTAGCTCTATTTAAAAAAGCATCAGCAAAAGTTTCATCTAATGTTAAACAGATACTAAAATCATTTAGAGAATGTTAGTATTATTTTAGTATACCATAAACCATTCCTCTAAAATAAAAATATTTAGCAATATTATCTTCTGATTTTTATATAGCAGATTCTATGTCAGCTAAAGCCTCATTAATTTATCCTAAAAAGCATTTTACAATAGATCTAATATAATATAAATTTGCATTTTAATCATTTAAATTTTAAGCCTTATCTAACAATTCTAATCCCTTTATAATATCTTTATATTAATCATTCTTTTTTTTAAATGCTTAATTTATTAATGTTACTCCTTAATAGAAAGTAGGTTCCATTTTTTTTTAGAAAATCTTTTACGCTCTTTAAAAGAATTCCATACCAATATTAAATTAGCCAGCTTAGATTTTCAAAATTCCTTCACATAAAAATTTATTATAATGAACACTAGATTCTGCAGGTTGAATATCTAATAATAATTTATAATCTTCTAAAGCTTATTAATGTTTAGATAAACAAAAAAGACCATAAGCTCTATAAGCATAAAATAATGGTTTTAAAAAATCATTTAATTAATGATTATTTTAAATCTCTTAAAAATTATTTAAACTTTCTTGAAATTTTCTTTTCATTAAATGTATTACAGCCTTAATTAATTTCAAATAAAAATACCTCAGTAAATAATCGAAATTTCTCTAAATAGCTTTACTCTGTGTCTAAAAGTGCAGCCCTATTTAATGTATGATATGCAGCATAAAAATCTCTTTATTCAATCTTTATTTTTGCTATCTCATATAGAGATTTAGTTACAGCCTTTTTAGAATTATTATGTTTGATAGCTTACTCAAAACATAATAAAGCTTCAGTGGAATTCTCTAGAATTTATAATTTAATTACTTATTTTTAATCTACTAAGTCCTTTGAAATAATAAGCTTCAGAATTTATTGGATCAGTTTCTAATAACTTATTTATATCTTTTGCACATTCATCATATTATTAACTTTCATAAAGAGTAATTGCTTTTTTAAGTAAAGCAGCACTACCTACAGCTTATTCACAATTTATAGCTTTTTAATAACATTATATAGCATCCTTATATTAATTTTGAATCCTTAAACAATCAGCTTTTCCCAAATATCCTAATCCTTTTTGAGGACTCAATTAGATTGCCATATTAAAATCAAATTCTGCTTTTTCAATTTGATTTAGCTTTGTAAATAATTTACCTCTATAAATAAAAGCATCATAATATCTTGGAAATAATTGTATGACTTTATTTAAAATAGAAATAGCTGAATCTAATTCATTAATTTTTTTATGAGATATGGCAAGTAATAAATAAATATTCTTTCTATGTGTGGCATCTTATTAAATTACATATTAAAATTCTGTTATTGCTTTTTAATAGAGTTATTTTCCAAGATAACCAATACCTAAAAAATAATGGCCTTCCAATAATCTAATATCAGATTCTATGCATTTTTTTAATTATCTAAAATAGTAATTTAATTAAAATACTCAATAGCTTCTTCAATTTACTTTTCTCTTAATAATGATTTTCCTTTTTCTAAGAATTTAATAGCTTTAGGATTATAATCATCTAAAGGTTTGGTTACATCACTCTAAAATCCACTATGATCTTAAAAACCTTTGATAAGATTATTCTCAAAACTCATGTCAACTGTCTACTATCCCTCCATACTGCTATTTATTTTTGATTACTTCTTTTGCATAGTTTAAGAGAGCTTTTATTTTTTAGGAAGGTACCAACTCTATATTTAATTATTGATTGAATTTTATCTAGTTTACTTCTTTCTATTATGATAATAAACATCTACATGTCTTTGCAAATATTATCATTTCGCTTAGAATTATTAAACAAAATATTGAAGAGTTAATTTTGAGCTTTCTTCTCTTGACTATAATTAGAATTCTATCTCTTTTTATTATGTTATTCCAAGCTTTCTCCACTTGAAATATTAAATGAACTTTATCTAGGTGGATAAGGTTGCGATTATTTTTTATAATGTGGAGTCGGATTTTCAGACACAAAGTGTTCAATATGTGATTTTGTAGGTGAAAATGATTATTTTGGAAAGAACGATCCTGGTTGGTTCTTTACCGATTGTGGAGGCTTGTTTGACCTATATTACATAAATTTTGAATTTTTATTATATTTCCATAAGTATATTATTAATTTATTAACTGATAATGATATTAAGTGGATCATTAAGAACTACAACTCCAGAATAAAAGTCATAAATACGTACAAAAAAACACTTCGAATTCAAACATGATTTAAATGATTAATTATTATCACTTAAATATTTGAACAATTAGAACATCATTCAATGTATAAAAACAAAAAAACATATTCAACCAACTATTAATGATCAAAATACTAATATCAGTAAATTGAGGAGATCATTGTCACCTTTATAAAATAGTTAATTAGATAGAAATTTAGTACCTAAAGTTGATGCTGCTCCAAAAACTCCATAAAAATCAAGACTCTTTGCTAATATATTTAATAACTCTTGTTCCTTTGAAAACATTTGTTTAACATAATGTCATAATTGTAAATCTAATAACAAAGAAAATATACGTATTTAAACAACTCCAATCAAAATGACACAATCTATTTTTAAAATTGAACCTCAAACCTGTCTAACTAGTAAAGGAAACTATTTTAAAAAATGAAAAATTTATATGTGTACTAAAAAGATATAAACCTATATAACATAAGAAATTAACATGAATTTAACATTCAATTAAATTTTATTCCTTAATTTTTTGCTATTTTATTGAAATACTCTTAATTACAGGATTACTGACGTTCGACAGATTTATTATTTTAAGCAATAGATAATCTATTAAGACTAGGTTGATTTCTTTTGAATTTAAATAATTTTTTAAAATCTGCATTTTTTTGTAAGATTGCAGTCATCCTGAAACTTTTTGAAACTCTATTAAGTAAACTTAGTAAAATAGTCAATGTATCTTCTTCACTTAATAATTCAGGATTAAATGTTTAATTTTTTAAAGATTAAGAATCTGATTAAAATGTTTCATTCTTAGGGGAAAATAAAGTGAATGTGGTTCTAGTTTTATTAATTTCAGATTCAAGATTTTAGATTTTGGATTTTAATTCAGTAATAGATTGTGATTCTTTTGAATGGCATAATAGATTGAATTTTTTTTTGTACTCATTTTCATGTGATAAATTTTCAATAATCTATTATTATTGAATATTGATTGTATGTAACTATTAAATAGTTTAAGCATTCATTGATAATTAGAGATTTTTTTCTTAAATTTCATTAGTTAAAAGATTAGTTTATTTATTTAAGAGAGCAATTTGACTAATTTATGATTAAATTTCCTTTCTTTAATGATCAACTTGTAATTATAGTTAAGAAATTTAATGAAGTAGATTCTTTAATTAAGAATTCTTATTAATCTTGTCTTATTTAAAGATTTCTTGAGGATCAAATGAATTGAAAGCATTCAATAATATATTTCCTTTTGGTTAGATAGCCGTTTATTCTTAAGGTTGGGTCTTTTTCAAGATTTTCATAACTTACTACTTAGTAAAGGAATTCTCGTTTTTTGGTTATCTTGCAGATTATTATGATAGAGAAGATACTGTAAGATCTGGAACTGGGATACAATCTATAGCTTTGATCAGATCTCGATTCGACTATTGAGAGTATAAGCGATTATTACTGTTATATATTCATCCATTGTTAAATTATTTTAAATTTAATATGCTTAACGAAAAAGTCATAGGAGAATATGTTTATTTAGTATCTGAAGAATAGAAAGTTGGAATTGGTTAATTCAGTCATGTTTATAGAGGATATCATGAAAAGACTAAAAAACCAGTGGCAATTAAATAGATTGACAAAAAAAAGATTAAAGGCATTTTTGAATAGATGCTAAGAAATGAAATTAATATCCTTAAGCTCTTGAATCATTAATACATACTAAAAATGTATGCATACTATGAAACAGCAAACAATTATTATATAATAACAGAATTTTGTGAAACAGGTAAACTACTTATGAATAAATGATAGATATACTATAAATATTAAAATAAAAAGGATCACTATCTGAAAACATGGTAATTAATTATGTATTATAAATTGGCGAAGCATTAAAATACTTAAATTCAAAAAGTAATCTTTCATTTTTATATTTAAGAAATCGTTCATAGAGACATTAAACCATCAAATATTCTTATATATGAAGGAGAAGTAAGATTAGCAGATTTTGGCTTTGCGGTTCATTAAGATAAAGCTGGAATATAAGACAGATAATTTTAGATTGGATCTCCATTATATATGTCTCCAGAAACATTATTAAAAAATGAATACAATCATAAAACAGATTTATGGTCTTTGGGAGTATTATTTTTTGAAATGATTTTTGGTATATATTTCAATTTTAAAATCAAGGTGTTGTTCCATTTTTCTCTATTGAGATGGATGATTTAATTAGAAAATTATAACAATATCAAAAGGATTATAAATTAATGTTTAAATATCCAATATCAGAAGCCTGTACTGATGCTATTAGGAATCTATTAGCTTATGATCCAATTCATAGATGTGATATTAAACAATTAGAAATAATACTCAAAAATAATTCAAAAAATAGAATACTTGAAGATGCTAGTATTCATTCATAATAAAGAGCAATTACTCCTGAATAAAAAAGAAGAGCTACTCCTGATTAAAGTTCTTAAAATAGAAGCAAAGTTAATGTTGTCAAAAAAGAATTAATCAAAGTTAGTGGTTCTGCTTAAAGTTTAGATAAAAAAGCTACATATTTTATAAAAAGTAAATATAATAAAGAAGATGATTAATAAAATTCAAAAAGAGATGAAAATATAGGAACTGATAGAAAAGATAATGGAGCTTATGAAAATTCAATAATTAAGATTCATGATGAAAATCCATAAAAAAATGAAATTGAACAATTAAAAATGAATAATGAAGAATTCTTAGCCTTCATAAATTAAAAATTAGAAATGCTAAAAAGAGAAGATCAAAATCAAAATAAATAAATTAATGAATGTCAATTATTGTTAGTATGAATTTTTTTACATTTTAGTATCAATATTATGGGAAAGATCAGGATATACTCTAAGCTTTGAAAAATAAGGAACTAAATAGTTGAATTTTTTATAAGTTTGATCATCACAAGATGAATTCTATATTTAAACAACCAAATAATTTATTTTTAATCTATTTCATATTAATTAGATTCTAAATTTATTTTTTATTATAATATAAAGTAAATTGAATAATAATTAAGAGACCGTTTAATTATCAGATACATTTATAATATAATTTTATATAAACTTTAAAAATTCTATATTTTATAAATATATTAACCTTGTTTAAAATATATTTAATGTATTCATTCTACTAATGATAACTCAAAAAGAATTTATGAAAGCAAAGGTGTTACAGTTTCATCAGATGCTGCTACCAAAAATAATTCCCTTAGATAAAGATTAAAATATTTACTTTTCAAAAATTAGTAAATACTATTTGGCTGCAGGAGCTTATGAAATATTATTGAGAGTAATAGCTGCTAATTTGACATGCTTTTCATTTATTTTATCTTAATTATTTCTTGGTTCTTATTGTTTTAGAGAATTGTTCTTAATTTATCCAATACTTAAAATGGCTACTAATCTTTATAATATTTTAGGATGTTTAGCAATTGATAATCTGGTTGCCATTTTTAAATCACTTAGATAACAGAAAAATTCTAAAACAATTTCTCTTAATTCTTAATTTTAATAGATTAATAATCTTGCTAATTAATCAATATATTCTCCAATAGTTCCTTCAATAAGGGCTTCATTATCTGAAATAGAAATCAAATTTCTTAAAGTTTCTGTAACTAGACCAATATCCTCATATGATTCCCCATTAAGAATTTCTATTAACTTTTGCATAAAAGGATCCATATATGCTGATTATTTTAAATGTATATGTTTAGATAATACTGAAAAAATCTCTAATACAGATTTTGATAATTCTTGATCAGCTCCAGATAAAAGAATTTAGTAAAAAAATGAAAGTAATTTATCTTATTTCATAAAACAAGTTTCATTTGATCTAATCATAGCTAAATTTCTCAAAGCCACAAATAAAGTTCTTAGTTTTTCCAAATGTTTACATTCTGCTTTTTTCTCATAATTTCCTTAGATTAAGTCTTTATATTTTTTTTGATATATTAATTCACTTGGTTTAACAATTTCAGCTGTTTGATCATTCATAATTACTGATATATGAGAATTATAATTCTCTAATACATTTTGATTTTTAATCAAATCAGTTTAAACTTACATAGATTTTCTTTATTATTATCCTAAATTTTCCAATTATTATTATCCTATTGTTTAAAGACAAGTTTTAAAAGAATAAGATTTATTAAGGTAACTAATTTATTTAATAGTATCTTCTACATACGTAGTAATAGTGTCAAGTAATTGTGGATATTAATCCAAGAGAAAACTTTGCTGTAAATAATAAATATAAATATTATTACTGAGTAATTGCATGAATACATTAATAAATTATTAATGGCAAAAGTAAGTTCATCATCAATTCTACTTTCAAAAGCAAGCATAATTCTTTTAACTTCACTTGCTTATGCTTAGATTTTTGATTTCTTTATAAAAAATAAAGTTTCTGCTTTATCTGCTTTTGAATAATTTTAATTTAAAAGTGTAAGAAGAGGTTATCCAATATATTCTTATTAATGTTGTCTATCTTCTGCTTCTACTCTTTAAAATATATATATAATATCTTTACGCATAACTAGCTTATTGATTTTCTTCTTCGAAACCAATTTTAGTTTTTTTTCTATTCGAACTCATCTCTTCATCATATATATAACCATCTTCTTTTCCAAAAAAATATTTTTATTCATATGCTAATAGTAATTTTTAATAATGATTTCTTAGAGTGAATGAAGCTGATGTACATGTAGCTGGAAATGAGAATTGATCTACTATTTCCTATATAAATTTATATTTAATTTTACTTTCCACAATTTATTGGCTGATACAACTTTTAATCCTCCTCTTTTTGTTACAGCTTTATACAGTTTAAAAACCTCTAATTCTCTACCTCCAATTTGAGGTATTTTTATAGTTACACCCCTTTATTCCCAAAATTTTTGTAATTATTAGATGAATGCTTTCTCCTCTTCTCTTTCGTCCATTTATTATTATAATTTATTAAAATAATATATATATATATATATATAATAAAATATATTATTGTAAACTTCTCTTAAGCTACATTAATCTTTTTTATGACTGATCATATTTGCAAAATAGAATGTTATGAAATCATCAACATTAAGAAATGTAAACTATAATACTATATAAATATATATTAAATTTAACTGATAAATAAATAAACAACATCTAACTACTTAAATATGAAAAAAGTACAATAACCTAGTCAAGTCTCTCTAATTAATAGACAAATGTCTGTTCAAATGGATATAGGAAATTTCTCAATGTAATCTCCAGATAAAGATGTATATTGTCCTAAAACATTGTCATAAGCAAAAATATAAACTCATGGTTCCTCTCCATATATTCAATCTCCATTATTTGAAGGTAGATAATTAATTACAATTTAACCATCTCCTCCATAAAAATTAGAAAATACATATTAATATAAACTTAACACAAAAACCTTAAGTCAAAATTATGAAGTTCTCAAACCTTATAATCAATAAGATTTTATAAAATCATCAAATGATTCTAAGCCAAATTATGAAACTTATAAATATGAATATCATAAAACATATGCAGGAAATTTTTAAAGTGAATTTAATAAAGATCCTACAATAGATGCAAAAAGTAACACTTTAAAGAAAGATGGAACTATTTTACAAATTAAAGAAAATTATACTTTAAATACTAATTCTACAATAAATGATCATCAAATCACTGGAGCTCATGGCAAACTATCATCTCAAAATTATGGAATATTATAATAAAAACCTAAATTACCTACAGAAATATCTAGAATTTCTGGATTATTAAGAGATTTTATGTCTGGAGTATAAAGATTTATTAGCGATAGAAAAATGCCTGATAATATTAATGATAAAATGATTGAAATACTCTCTTCTTTTAGAAAACTTGAAGATTTGTTTAATGTTGAAAATTCTGATAATGATTCAAAATCATAAACTATGGCAGAAGATTATGATAGGTTAAAGACAATACTTGAATAGTTATAAACAAAAATGTCTGCTTTAGTCTAAGAAAATTAAAAAGTATTTAAATATATAAATGTTGTTAGTTAAATAAAAGTTTATTTGAATAAGAATAAAAAGTTTTAGAGGAAAAAAAGATAAGACAATAAGCTGAAGATAAAGCTAATTAAGTTGATAAGGAATTCAATAGAGTATTTGAATGTTTATAAATAAATTAAAAAGAAAATGAAGATATGAAGAGGAAATTATAATAAATGGATAATTTAAAGAGTATAAAAATTAATTAAAATAAAATTATCAATGAAGATTTTTAAGATTATAAATAAAAGAACTAAACATTACAAAAAGATTATGATTTATTAGAAAGTAAATATAAATAATTGTTGTCTGAAAAAGCTAATTAAAAAGAAATATTAAAATCCCCCTTAATGATGAAGTCTATACATTCAAGTACTTCTAAATTATCAGAATAATTAGAACTTAAATTATTATAATTATAGATTGAAAATGATAATTTAAAAGCAGAAATGGCTCATAATTAAGTTGACTCAAAAGCTATTGATAGCAAAAATGAAATGATTTAGAGATTAGATGAAAAAATTAAATAGATTTTGAAAGAAAAAGCAAGTTCTGAAGAATAATCAGTTTAAATTTGCCATAATTTAGAAATATTAAATGATTAATTAAAGAATGATTTATCAATAAAGGAAACTGAAATTTCTAATATAATTAAACAAAGAAATGAAATGGAAAGAGAATTAAAAGGATAGATCAATAATTATACTCAATAATAAAAAGGATTTGAGGAAAAATTACAAAAATCAAAATAAGATTATTAAAAACTATTAGATGAATATAAATAAATGGATTTAAAGAAAAATAAAATGTAAGAAGAATTTAAATTAAATGAAAAGAAGATTGAATAATTAAATTAAGAGATTTAATTTTAAAAGTAGGAATTTAAAAAAGCTATTGATAAAAATTAAAGTTTATTAATAAAAAACGATTAAATGAATCAATAATTGTTATAATAAAATGTAGTTTAATAATAATTAAATCATTAAATAGAAGGATTAAAGTAAACTGAAAATGCTTTAAGGATAGAATGTGATCGATTAAATAAAGTAAATCAAGCTACTTAATAAGAAATGAAGTATTAAGTTACAGAATTAAATGAAATGATTTAATTATAAGGAAGAAGAACTTAAGAAAAAGAAAGATAAATAAATGAATTAATTGAAGAATTAAGTGAAATGAAGGATTAATATGAAATACAAAAAAAAGTTTGTTAAGAAAATATTAATGATTTAGAAAGAAGATTAAAAAACACAAAACTACAAAATGAAGAACTATTATAAATTAAAGAATAAGAAATTCTAGATTTGAAATAAACGATGGAATAGTAATTAAAAATACTAGATAAAAGAAATGCATTATCATCGTATGATTTTGAATAGAGAGAATAATAATTTTAAATTGAAATTTAAAGTAAAAATGATTAAATAGAGACTTTAAAGTTAGAAGTAGAAAAAATGAGAAGCTAAAGTTTTAACACATAAGAAGAACTCTTAAGAATTGGAATATTATAAAATCAAAATTAAGCTATCATTAGTAATTTGAGGAACGAATTGAATTAATCAAAATAAGAATAATAGAACTTACATGAAATGTTGAAAAAAAGGAAGGAAGAAACAGAATAATTACATTTAAATTTAGAAGAAATAAGAAAAGAATAGTAAAACAGAAAAATTAATGAAGATAGTAGAAGTAATTAATTATTTTAAAATTATTAGGATCTATATTAAGATAGTAAGACCTTTAAATTACACTTGAAAATCTTTAAAGAGATAATTTAAGTCTTTAATAGAAAGTCAATGCTTTATCTAATGAAAATAACAGGAAATAAAGAGAATTGAATGATAAAAATGATGAATTCTTAAATCTTAAGAGAAAATATGATGAAACTATTTAAAATTTGGACAGATTAGAAAAAAGATGGGGTGAAAAGATAGATTAACATAGGAGAATTTGAAGTATATAGTTACTTATTGCATATCAAATTTCTAATTTCTCAAATAGTTCTGGTTTTATTTCAGGATTAAGGAAAGGACTAATATTGCAAATATGATTAAATAATAATTAATTGTTATTTTCATTTATTTGTATTATTGTTTTGATTCCAAATTATTCAGAATGTTTCTTAATAATTATTATATCATCAAAACTATTTATCTTATGACTAAATTACTATATTAGTTCTATAATGTATTATTTTATTTTCTAGTTTCTCTCATATATATTCTTAGTTAATATTTGGCTTTTCTTGGATAGATTCTTTAGGCATTGTAGCATCAGAAAAAGAAACGTCAAAACTCACGAAATTAGCTGTTAAATTGAAGAAAGAAAATTAATTATTAAAATAATAAAACAATCAAGACTGAATTATATATCAATTATAAGAATCGCTTAATAAATCTAATAATGAGATTTAAACTCTTAAAAATTAATTACACAATTCAAATGCTCCTTGCTTTAATAATAGTGTTTATCGTGTCTAAAAGCACTAGATCTTACTTAAAACCACACAATCAATACTAATAATATAGCTCAGAACAGTCTTAAATTTAAAGAGCCTATACCTGGGAATGTAATTTAAGTTTCGCTGAATGATTTTGTATTATTAAGTTTATACTGAGTGAATATATAATTTAAAATTCTTAATGATATATCGAGATGATTTTATNTAGAAGTAATTAATTATTTTAAAATTATTAGGATCTATATTAAGATAGTAAGACCTTTAAATTACACTTGAAAATCTTTAAAGAGATAATTTAAGTCTTTAATAGAAAGTCAATGCTTTATCTAATGAAAATAACAGGAAATAAAGAGAATTGAATGATAAAAATGATGAATTCTTAAATCTTAAGAGAAAATATGATGAAACTATTTAAAATTTGGACAGATTAGAAAAAAGATGGGGTGAAAAGATAGATTAACATAGGAGAATTTGAAGTATATAGTTACTTATTGCATATCAAATTTCTAATTTCTCAAATAGTTCTGGTTTTATTTCAGGATTAAGGAAAGGACTAATATTGCAAATATGATTAAATAATAATTAATTGTTATTTTCATTTATTTGTATTATTGTTTTGATTCCAAATTATTCAGAATGTTTCTTAATAATTATTATATCATCAAAACTATTTATCTTATGACTAAATTACTATATTAGTTCTATAATGTATTATTTTATTTTCTAGTTTCTCTCATATATATTCTTAGTTAATATTTGGCTTTTCTTGGATAGATTCTTTAGGCATTGTAGCATCAGAAAAAGAAACGTCAAAACTCACGAAATTAGCTGTTAAATTGAAGAAAGAAAATTAATTATTAAAATAATAAAACAATCAAGACTGAATTATATATCAATTATAAGAATCGCTTAATAAATCTAATAATGAGATTTAAACTCTTAAAAATTAATTACACAATTCAAATGCTCCTTGCTTTAATAATAGTGTTTATCGTGTCTAAAAGCACTAGATCTTACTTAAAACCACACAATCAATACTAATAATATAGCTCAGAACAGTCTTAAATTTAAAGAGCCTATACCTGGGAATGTAATTTAAGTTTCGCTGAATGATTTTGTATTATTAAGTTTATACTGAGTGAATATATAATTTAAAATTCTTAATGATATATCGAGATGATTTTATAGACTGTTCAAACCTGATTTATTTTTTTTGGAGAAACAAAAGAATATTTTTTTCTCTTTTAATTATAAAAGAAATTTAGAATGTTATGAAATTATATCAGCAAACTAACATAAAAATACTAAATAAGTTAATAAATTTTAGCCGTGATTTCATTTTGGCTAACAAATTATAATACCAAAAAAAAAATATTTTTTTGCTTTGACTCTATCTTAATTTATCTTCAATATATTAGAATCTGAAATCTATTTAGATAATTGAGTATTTCCATTTCTTGATTTTTGTAAAAGTCTTAGGAATCCTTAATAGAAAGTATAAAATTCACTTCTAGTTTTTTGTATTTAAATAATTTTGAAGACATTATTAAAAAATTAATGCTCTAAGTTTAAATCAAATTATAAGAACTTACATTGGAATAGGATGATGATTAATTATTTAAAGATTTAAATTAAGTTAATTCATAAAATTTTGATGATGGTGTTGATTAATCAGATGATACTGATGATGACTTTTTAGATTGTTTTAGATGTAATTAATTATGATTAATTGATAGATTCTGTTATCATATCTCCAATATAATAATAATAGAAACAATATTCTTTGTAGCCACAATTTAATTTAGATTACTTAATAAATCCTTTATGTATAAAGCATGATGCAAGAACAACTTTAATGTTGAAGAATATACCTTTGGAGTATAGTTTAAAAGATTTGATTATTGAAGTTGATGCTTTTGTAAAAGGAAAGTATAACTATTTATATATGCCATATGATTAGATTGTAAAGTTTATTATTCTAATTAAGAAAAACTGTAATATCGGCTATGCCTTCATAAACATAATAACGAAAGATGCCATTGAATATTTCTATAAAAAATTTGATTCAAAGAGATGGAATCTTAATCCAAATAAAATATGCACTCTTCGTTATGCAAAGAATTAATTAAATTATTATTGATAAACTATTTAATATTAATTTTTTATATAGACATTTAGATATCCTAATAATGAAGTTTATAATATTAGTGGATATTTATATAAAATAGACATAGATTTTAGGAAGTTAATGTATTTGTTAATAATAAAATAAATAATAGTTATTATTTAAAATTTAAATTAACAGCTTAAATGGAAAAAGAGTAAACATTTGTTTTAATAAAACCTGATGGAGTTTAGAGAAGAATAATAGGTAGAATAATGCAGAGATTTGAGGATAAAGGATTTTCAATGGTTGCTATGAAAATGTTAATACCAAATTAAGAATTATTATAGAAACATTATGAAGAATTAATGTTCAAGCCTTTTTTTCCTTGTTTGATTTGTTATATGTTATCAGGACCAGTTATTGCAATGATTTGGTAAGGAAAAGATGGTAATATATAATTAAATTAATGAGTTGTGAGATAAATTCGTTCTATGCTTGGAGAAGGTAGAAATCCTTTAGAATAGAAACCAGGTACAGTAAGAGGGGATTATGCACTTGAATTATAAAGAAATTTAATACATGGTAGTGATTCTTGTGAATCAGCTTAAAAAGAAATTAATTTGTGGTTTAATTTGAAAGAAATAGTTGATTGGAAACCATCTGATTTAAATTGGGTATGCGAATGATTATTATAAAACACTTTAATTTTTAATATTATCATAAATGCAAAAATCTTAACTTATTAGGGTATTAAGTGATTCTAATAAATCTCCAAATCCTTTTTCTATGTCGAGATAATTAAGTTAAGAAACACCAACTAATTAAGGAAATAATTAGAGTTTGACTACAGACAGAGAAATCGCACGTTTAACTAGATTAGTTGGTTCATTAAAAAAAGAAAATGAATCATTGTTAATATAAATTAAGTAATTTGAATAAATGGATTACAAAAATAAAATCTAAACTCTAGAATAAAAAAATAAATAGTTAGAATCATAAATTGAAACATTTTAAAAATTACCATTTGATTAGATCTAAACTTTAATAGATGATAATGAAAGATTAACTAATATTGTTGAAAATCAATCAAATAAAATTAAATCACTTTTAACATAAATTGATGATTTAAAAGATTCATCTTTTTAGAATGAAGGAAAGAATGAAATCATTATTTCTATGATTTAAGTAAGATATAATTTATTTAACTATAGGAACTTTAAAATTAAAAACTCTATGTTTAAGATGAATTTCAGAGGTATTAAATTTTAAATAAAGAGAAACAAACTCTTTATTAAGAATTATAAATGGCCAAACTATAAATTAAAGAACTTAATCAAACTATAGAAAAAATAAAGATGATTAATTTAGAGAGTAGTGATCCTAGTGATTTACTTCATTAAGATTATCTTAAAAGTCATGAAGCAGTATTAGCTTTCTTTAAAAATTAATACTGACTTATTTTAATTTATCAAAATAAAAAAATCATATTATAAAATTATTTTATTTAATAGCTATATTTTATTATTCAATGTAAAATAAAGTTTCTAGATTTACGAATATCAAAAATGAAATGGAAAAATAATAGCATTTGGATAAAATTAATTAGAAATCTAAAAAATAATAAGTGGTTTTTAATAATCCTTTTTTTAAATAATAAGATGATCAAGAAGAAGAAGAAAATTTAATTGAAAACAAGATTCAATAGCTTCAAGATATTTAAGTTCTTATTCCTAAAGAAATAAATTTATAAATATAACATAAAGTCAAAAGTCACATAATAGATCATAAATTAAAAAACAATTATGATTATGTAAGATTAAAATATATTATACGTATTTGGAGAGAATAATCAGTTAAGTTAAAAATATCTGAAGAATAGGCAAAATAATAAATGTTTAAAGCAGCTAAAGAAAACTTAATTGATGATATGATTAAGAATTAAAAATATGAAAAATTGAAATAATAATAAGAATAAGAAAAAATAAATGAAGCTCAAGAAGATGAAAAATCTTAAATTTTAGAATTAGAGGAAAGAGTAAAACAAAAAAAATAAACTGGTTCAACAAAACCTGAGTAATAAATGGCCACTTAGACTTAAGTAGATTCTTTTGAATAGAAAAATGATTTATTCAAAATGCCTGATTAAGACTTATTATAATATATTCCATATTGTACTGATATATATTTAGGTAAAGATTGAATCATTTATTTACTAAAATACAATATTTAATAAATTTTTTAAAAACTTAATTTGTAATTTTATTTTTATGTTGTAAACTAATTACAATAAACTTAATGATTAGGAGAAATTGTTCAAACTTCTTTCAAAGGTTAATAGAGAATTTTATGAAAATGAAATAATACTTTAAATTTTATTATCATATTAATATTTTTAATATTTTTATGATATCCTTATTCAACATTTACCTTTAGATCGCATAATATTGGTATTCATTATTAATAAATAGATGATGAATTAATTAAAGTTAGAAAATTTCAAGGAAAATTCACTTATATTTTAAGAGAAGGATCCTTCAAACTCTAAAATTTATCTTATTCTTTCTGGTTCTGTCTACTTATTAAGAAATAAACCCTTACAACAATTTTGTTTTAATTCAACAAAGTAATAATAACTCTAATTAAAGTTCAAACTATTATAATAAATATGGTTATATAGTACGAGAATTGAAATGTGGAGATGGTTTTGGAGATAAAAGTTTCTTAACTAATTAACCAAGATCGTTATCTGCAATAGCAATAGAAAAACTGAATTTATTAATATTTGATAATACGTTTTTAAAAGGATTTGAATCTGCAATCAATTCAGCTTAAACAAAAGTTAAAACATTGATCTTTAACTTTTTCCCATCAGTAATTATATATGAAAGTTTAGATTAAATTGAATTATTCAAATGCCAGACTTGAATCTATCTTTTATAGCTTTTAGGTAAAATTAATATTAACATTTTTTATAGACCATATTTTTAAATCGTGATGAATTTCTTTTTGAAGAAGGTAAAAAAGGAAATGAAATCTATATAATGAAAAAAGGAAATTGCATTATTCTTAAAAAATTTCAAAATGAAAATATTTCTATCGCAATTTAAGATAATCATTGCTTATTAGGAGAAGAAATATTTTTTAATGATAAATATGATTATACAATCAAAATTTAATCAATTTAGGCTAGCTTTTTAAAAATAAAGGTTTAAGATTTTGTAACTTTTTTTCCTGAAGAATGTAAAAAAATTTTAAAATAGAATTATGATACTCATAAAAATGATAGATTTTGTTTATATTAATTAGCAGTTGAAAGATATCAAAAACAAATAGAGCTTTAAAGATAAAAATTGGAGTAAGTACTTTAATTATGATATTTTAGATCCAAATAATCATAAAAATTACAAAAATAATTAAATTTATAAAGTTATTCATAAAGTGAGACAGAATTATATATGAGATTTGATAAAGATGTTTCAAATTTTAGAAATTTCATATCTGTTAGAACTAGTTCTCTATATTTTAATTCAACAAGAGGTTTTTAGGCTTAAAAATTTAATAATTATTCTCCTTCATTTATAATAGATTAATAATAAAAGTTATTAAAAGAGCCAATGAATCCAATTAATAGTCCATTAGATTTTGGGAAAGGAGAAGCTGAAGAGATGAGAAAAAGAACTTAAGTTTAGTTATGTGTTATGAGTATGGAGAAAATTAATTATTTGAATTAATTTAAATCATGTAAGATCCAATAATTAAGAAATAAATTCTTTAAAACTTTTAAAAAATAATAAAGAAAATCAATTTCATAAATGTCAATAAGTAGAGCATTGACTCCAAAAAATAGATTAAGTTGTTTCTCTCCAGAAGGATCAATGATTAGTTTATGTAATATTTGATTTTAAATATAAATTTATATAACAATTAAACTTTAAATCAGAGTTATTTAGCCTTATGTTTATTAAGATATGCTTTAATCTTTCCACGAAAAAATATATATCCTAAAAATCCAAAAGTTGAGATTACAGTCCATATATTTGATCTGTATATTCCAAGCATCTTATGACTGTAATTATCATTATCAAATTCAATTTAATCTTTTACTTTTTTCATAGTAGCACATAATTAATAAACTCTTTATTTAGCTTACGATTTAGCAAGCATTAAGAATTCCTAATTAAATATTTATATTAATTACTAGCAATGAATATTCTTATATTCCTTTAGCTGCAAGTGTATAAAAAACTTTATCACAGGCAGAACAATATATTTTTTATGTTATTTTTCTGTAGGTTTCATTTTAAATATTTTCCATTAAATTACTACTAAAATAGAAGTCAAATAAAGCTTTTTTATCATCATAAACAGTTTCAATTTTTTTGATTGATTCAATAATATTTTCAAAGGTTTAATTATATAAAGTACCTTAATATACTCTATTTAAAAATAATAAAGCTAAACAAGTAAAATCTACAATCATATTCCATTCTAAAATAGGATCTTAAAAGAAAGAATGTAAAACTGGAATTAAATCAAAGTCTAGAAATACAGAGGATAAATTCATGTAAAGGTATATAAAATAAAGAAAAACAAAAGCTATTTGTGCTTCATTATAATCCATCCAATCATTATCAATTAATAGTGTTAATCTTCTCATATTATCCCAAGATTCTAGACTTAAATTACAACTAAAATCTAATTTAAAATCAGAATTATAAGGTAAATCATCAGGTATTTCATCTTTTGCACTATCATTTTCATCTTCAATTTAATCTTATGCTTTATTTGGAATAATCATAGTTTAAAGAACATTCAATATATATCTTTTTCCTTTAATATCATTACATTTGATTAAATCAATAAGTAAAATGATCATATTTAGATACATACCTAAAAAACATGCAAAGAAGACAAATTCAATTTCTAAAATATCAACTGCTTATAATAGAAGATAAAGTGGGAAACTTCCTTTAGCAATTAATACTAAGAAATAAATGAAAAGAATTGATGCTGGATCTTTTTCTTATTTAACTTTTATGTAATCATAATGAGGCCATAAAAAATTATCAATAGCATGTCTATAACCACGAAAACCTAAAGCTTTTAATTCTTTTAAGATTTTCAATTTTGTTGATGGTTATTCAAACTATTTTCTTTCAAATGGAACATCATGTTGAGTTTATAATGATTTCCTAGCTTTTTCTATAAGTTCACTAATTGAATGATCACTCAACGTTATAATATCATCTATTGTACAGATACCTGGATCAGATTCAAGTGCTATATAATAGAGTGTACTATCTATATTTTCAGTTTCCATTGCATCTCGAATCTATTTAAATAAATTATCCTGTTTCTATTCTTCTTATTTCTCACTAGAAAGATTTTAATGTAATAATTTTTAATACAATCTTCCAAGACCTAACTTACTCATATTAGCCTCAGACATTAGAAAATCTAAATGCAATTCTTTTCTATCAATTGAAATTGTTAAAACATATGAAGACATTAAAATTTAAGATTGTAAAAATATTAAACAAGATATTGCCCAATCCTCATAATTAATTGTCTACTTATATCTTAATACTACTAGTATATACATCATTAAAATTGATATTGTCATAGCAAGATCACATATAAAAAATATTATGGCCTTTAAACCCTAAAACAAATTCATTTTAATATATACTTGAACTAGCCTAAAGAATCTTATGCTTTTTGCTATTTATTATACATATAAATAAAACAATTTTAAAGTAAAATATGGCAATGCAATCGTTGCGTTGAATAAATAAAGGATTATAAAACATCGATATGGTCTCCATTCTATGCTTTTTACATCTAAGTTTTCAAATAGGATCTCTTTTTTCTCTTATCTTGTTTTAGCTGCATTATCTGGATTACTCATTAATTAGGTACTTATTCAAAATATTAATTTTATTTTTCTATTCAATAATTACTGTTAGATATCGCAATACACGAAAATAGTTTATAAATCTTTCATTTTTGATACAAGAATACAACCCACAAAAATACTAAGAATATTGATATCAATTATATTTTATTGTAGAGAATTATCATTAATTTAATAATTTAATTTCCTAATCTAAAAATAATAAGAGAATCAATTTCCTTTCTTATTTTAGAAATCTCTTTAATTACATTTATGGAAATTATTATTAAATATACTAATTTCGATTAAAAAAAACTAATAATTCTATATTATATGAATAAGGTAATTTCCTTTGTCATTAAAAGGTTCTTTTTATTTAACTTCATCTCTTTCAATTTTCATTTACCATAATTCTATAAATATTGAAATAACACTTTATCGAAATTTTGACCTTGTATTATTGCATAATTTATAAATAAAAAAATTTAACGGATGATTTCTTTTATGGTAATGTCAAATATTTTATCTGAACAAATGAAGCAATAATATAAAAGTAAATCTGTGTTTTGGAGATAAGAAAAAGAAAAATTACTTTAATAATTATAACCAAACTTAAATAACACTTAATCACAATAAAGATCAAGAAAAAGTTAAAGAAAGAATAAATATCGATATTTGGTAGATTCTCTGTATCATTAAGTTACTCCAGAAAATAACAAATCTATTTACAATTAATTCTAAAATAGTTCCTAATTATAATAACAATAAAAATAATAGAGTTCTTCTAAAAAAAATATTACTAATGAACTAAGTTTTTCTACTATTAAAAATAAATATTAAAAATAATTAGAAACAACTAATAATAAACAAATTATTTTTGATCCATTTGCTGAATAAATCATTGAATCTTTCTAAGAATTATAAAAAAAAAGATCTGTCAAAATAAAAGAAATAGAAGACTGTTCATTTAATAATCAATAAATTATAAACAGTGGACGTAAATTAAATGTTATTAATAAAATAAATCAAATTAGAGAATTTTTAGATTAATAATTAGGTGGAAACTAAGATGATACAAATATAGATATTGAAAAAGATAATTAAAATTGTTTATATTCAGAGAGAATTCTTAGAAATAAATCAGTTGATTCTAAATTATGTTTATAATAACGTAATAGCATACCAAGAAATTCTGTATTATAAATAGATGAATAAATTAATAAGTCAAGATCATCAAAAAGTTATACTACATTAGATGTTGGTATATAAGTTTCATTAATTAATAATAGTGAAATCTAATAAAAATTAGAAATTTAAAACTAAAATATTATCTAAAATCAATAAATTGGAAAAAAATTATAATATTAAGAAAACTAATAAAATGCTACATAGAATTAATAATTCTAAATATATCAAGAATAATCATCATAATATTCACCTTTATCGGAATAGTTATATTCTTAGCAGCTTAAATAATCAGAAAGAAGAAGTAGAAAAAGTGAATTTTAACAAAAGAGGAAATCATTCATAAATATTGAAGAAAAGTAAAATACTGTAACTTAAGTGATTGATTTAAAAAACGATTAAGATAATATTTAAACAAATCCCTAAATTAACCTTAATGAAGATCAAATATTCTCACCAGAAAGATTATCTAATAAATTTAACATTAATTGTTAAGAGAGAGTTTCAGTTAAATAAAATAATGATCTTGATTAATTTGATAAATCAAATCTTTAAAGTCTTAATATTTAAAAGATTAGTTTAAATAATAAGGAAAATTTTGAAGAAAATTATTTAATTGTCAAGGGTGAAACAAAAAAAGAGTAAGAAGATTCTAATTCAAAAGACAAAGAAATAAAAAAGTAAAGAAATTTAATACAGATTCCAAAAAAAATAAATAATCTGAATTTATTAAAAGTAGATTCTGGTGGAGATTTTTTGGGTCAGATAACTTCTGTTGATTCAAATAGATGTAATTAAAATATTTTTAAAATTTTTGAAGAAGAAACATCATTAAATTTTAAAAATATTTTAGAAAAAAAATAATAATAAGATTGTAATTTAGTTAGTAATCAATCCTTGCTTTCAATTACTGATCCTACAATAGTTTAATAAACAAATCGAATATAATGTACAGAATAAATAGAAGTTCCATAATCAGAATAAAGATTTATTGATAATGCTACTGTGATTACTGATGGTAACTTATAATATTCAGAAGACACTCCAAAATTAAGAATTATAACTTAAATGAGTAATAATCATTAAGATGAAGCTAAATATTAAGGAAATTCATAGATAATTGAAGATAATTAATCTTAAAATGTAAAGTAAGAATCACTTTCATAATAACAAATATAATCAAATATCTAAAACTGTATGAATTCTTATTCTTTTGAATAATGGTTGTAATAGACTGAAAATTAAAAGTAAAGTCTTAATTTTAATAGTCATTCTCAACTCTTTTAAAAATAAAAATGTGATCATAGTACTTAAATTAATAAAAATGATTCAGATTCAGATGAAGAAATCTAATTTATTAAAAAGAAATAATAATAATTTCAATTAAACTAAGGTGTAATTCAACTTTTTAGAAATATTTAATAAATTATAAAAATTAGAAAAATTAAATCATTTTATGAAATCCGTGAATATTCATTCACAGATATATAAAAATAGTAATAATAATAATAATAATAATCATAATCATTAACATATCAATAATAGTTGTATCAGTCTCCTATTATATCTTAATATTCATCTCAGATATCTTATAATACTTGTTCAACCTAATTAAAATAAAATTAAAATGTAAGCCAACCAATTTAACCTGCTTTATACTAATTAGATTTAGATTTATTAAATTAGACATCGAGAGAATAAGCAGCATGCGAAAAAATTTAAAATTTACTTTAGATAATCAAAGAGGAAACTGGATCTGATACTTTAAGATTAATTCAAAATAAGTAGGTATTGAATCCTAAAAAAAAGTATATAGAGAAGATCTAATAGACAAAAAATCAATCTTGTTAATCTGATAAATAAATGAAAAATTCAACTTCATCATAAAAATATTTTGTATCTTAACTTAATGTTGAACAATTAAATAATAGAATTAAAGTAAATTTAATTTAAGATATGGAATTAGAATCTCCAAAATAAAAACACACTGAACATGCAGAATTAAAAGATAATAGTAATGTTTTAATTTATTTTTAGGTCCTATTGCAGAACCGATGGAATTTTAGGAAGTATAAACAAATGAAAAATAAAAAAGAGAAATAAAAGAAATTAATTAATCAAATAATAATACTAATGGTCTTAATAATCAATGTAATGAATTAAAAAACTTTTTTGTTTTATCTAATCATATTGCCAGTTAGAAAGCTAAAATAGCAAGAAAATTTCAATAGATTCATTATAAATCAGTAGGTTAATCAATAGCTAAAAAAGAAAATTTATAAATTTGATTACTAATTTACATTTTATACTTATATTTTTACTTATATCCAATTTTAAAAAAGTCTATCGAAAATCTAATAAAATTTCCTAAATAATGAAGAAAACTCAGATTTTAATATGAATTCAAATTTAGAGGATGACGAATAAATATGATCTTATATCAAGTGGAAACAAATCTAATATTCTAATATAAATATTGATATATATTTATTTCAAAAGAGATAAAATTAGATTCAGATGTTGATTTTCAGAAATAAGATAATAATCAAAGTTAAAAATAAAAAATATAGAAATAATAAAAATAAGGCGAGATAGTTTGATAGATAGTATATGAAGGAAATTTAAATGAAATTCTAAATGAAATGGCATAACTTGTATTTCATAAAATGAAAATCAATTTAATTGAATAAATTATTAAATTTTTTATTATGCTAAATTTTATTAAACATCAATAAACAACTTATATTAAAGTGCCTACAAAACTTATGTTTGAGATTGTTAAAAATGTAGATGAATATTATCAATTTTTACCAGGATGTTCTTCAAGTAAAACTTTTAATCATAAATCTAATAATTTTGAAGGAGAATTAGAGGTAGATTATAAATTATTTAAATCCTCATATATCTCTAAAGTCACTATTTAATAACATCCTTAATTTTATTAAATAACTTCTATTTCTGAAAATAATACAGTATTTAAGATGCTAAAAAGTGTTTGGGAATTAAAAGGAGATGAAAAATAATGCCAAGCAAATTATAGCATAGAGTTTTTATTTAAGAATCCTTTATTTTAACATGCTTCATCTTTATTTTTAAAAGAAATAGTAAAATCTACAAGCAATGCTTTTGAGATTAGAGCATATAAAAAATTTTAAGAATTTTAAAATAATTAATTCCAAAAAGAAAACTTAGAAGTGAAAATAATGGTTGACTAAGAAAAAAGCAAAAACTATGATCAATTAAATAGATTGTTAAATAAAAAGCTAATAAATGAACAACAATTGGATATGGTTTTGAAGAATAAAGAAATATTGACTTTGATTAAATAAATGCAAAATCTATATTAAGATCAAAATTAAGCAGATTAGAAATGTGTGGAGTTTATAAAAGAGTACTTGCTATTATAATAGTTTAAAATTTGATCCAAAAATTATGGTAAATTGATATTTTATATCATTTGTATCTTTTTGGAGTATCATATATTCTGCTTTGAACAAAATTGCTTTATGTTGCAAACTCATACTCTAAAGCTCTATCTCTAGCTCTTCTTTCCAATTCTGCTTCTAATTCCAATCTTTCTAATCTCTCTTTGCTTCTTTATCTTTCATATTCTAATTCTCTTTCAACTCTCTCTAATTATCTACTTCTTTCAAGAACTTTTCTTTCATTCTCCAACTATTCAATTCTTAATTAAGATTTTCTTAACTATTCAACTCTTTCTCTACTTTATCTCAATTCCTCTAAAGCTCTTTATTATTCTCTACTTTATCTTAAAGCTTCTATTTATTCTAATCTTTCTCTGCTCTTCCTTAATTCTTCTAATCTCTCTTAGCTTCTTCTTAACTCAATCTCTTCTTTCTATTTCTTTAATTATTCTAATCTCTCCTAACTTGTTCTCAATTCTTCAATTTTTCTTCTTTATTTTTATAAATCTTCTATTCTACTTCTTGATTATCTCAATTCTTCAATCTTCTCTTAATTCTTTCTCTCTTATTCTAATTATTCTAATCTTTCTCTACTTCTTCTTAAATCTTCTAATCTTTCTCTACTTTTCTTTAACTCATCAATTTATGCTTATCTTTCTCTACTTTTTTTTAATTCTTCCAATTCTTCCAATCTTTATCTACTTCTTTTTAATTCTTCTAATTAATTTAATCTTTCACGACTTTTTTTTAAATCTTCTAATCTTTCTCTACTTTTTCTAAGATCTTCTAATCTTTCTCTACTTCTTCTTAATTCATCTAATTACTCAATCTTTTCTCTACTTCTTTTCAAATCCTACATATATTCTAATCTTTCACGACTTCTTCTAAGTTCTTCTACTCTCTCTCTACTTTTCTTTAAATCTTCTAAGACTTCTCTCTCTCTTTCTATTTAAATAATTCTCTCTCTACTTCTTCTTAATTCATTAGCTATTTATCTTTCTTATTAAAAGAAATCAGGAACAAATGTTAAAGCTTCTAATAATTCTGAATAAGTTATTCTTCCATCTTCATCTGAATCAACAACCCTAAAAAAGGCAGTTAATTCATCATATGATAATTTAGCACCATTTTATCTTAAAAAATCTTATAAACTAAAATCATTATAAATTAAATACGTATCAATTGTAATATATCCTAAATATACTTGATCAATACATCTAAATGCATCTAAAGATGTAAAATCTGCACTAGCTGTTAATATCTCTTAAGCAGCAGTTATTGAACTTAATATTTTAACTTAAAATAATACTTATAGTTTTATATTTCTTATTAGAATACTCTAGAAAGTCCCCACTCTACTTCTGTTGGCAAAAGCATATTAACTTCAATGTAATAACTGTCTCTTAGGGATGCTATTTATCTTAATCTAGAATCTTCTTTAGGTAAAATGGCTTTAACGAAGCTAATCATAATTCTATATATTATACTCAGGATAAGTGATTCTTCCATCTCTATTTAGATCAAGTCTTCTAAATAGATAATCAGATTAAGCTTTGCTTGGATAAATTTTATTATCTCCCAAGAATTCTTCAATGTCTGACACTGTTAATTCACCTGTTCTCAATTAGTCTAATCTTCTAAAAGCAGTATATGGTTCAAACATCTTTTATTCTGCTAACACTTAACGCACCATTTCTGTTTTCTTTTCTCCTTCTGCAATTGTGATTATTAAGTTAGCTAGTCTTCCTTATGTTCTTGCTGAAAGGTACATGATTAAATAAAATTTATTTCCTAATAAATAAAAATTAAATCTCAAGAAAAACCAGTTTATGATAATCATTTAATTACTCACTAAAAGATAAATTCAGAATCTTATTAATTTTAACTGTTTAATTTATAGATATGTTAATGCTCAAAAAACTCTTTGTCTTTTANTTCTTCCAATCTTTATCTACTTCTTTTTAATTCTTCTAATTAATTTAATCTTTCACGACTTTTTTTTAAATCTTCTAATCTTTCTCTACTTTTTCTAAGATCTTCTAATCTTTCTCTACTTCTTCTTAATTCATCTAATTACTCAATCTTTTCTCTACTTCTTTTCAAATCCTACATATATTCTAATCTTTCACGACTTCTTCTAAGTTCTTCTACTCTCTCTCTACTTTTCTTTAAATCTTCTAAGACTTCTCTCTCTCTTTCTATTTAAATAATTCTCTCTCTACTTCTTCTTAATTCATTAGCTATTTATCTTTCTTATTAAAAGAAATCAGGAACAAATGTTAAAGCTTCTAATAATTCTGAATAAGTTATTCTTCCATCTTCATCTGAATCAACAACCCTAAAAAAGGCAGTTAATTCATCATATGATAATTTAGCACCATTTTATCTTAAAAAATCTTATAAACTAAAATCATTATAAATTAAATACGTATCAATTGTAATATATCCTAAATATACTTGATCAATACATCTAAATGCATCTAAAGATGTAAAATCTGCACTAGCTGTTAATATCTCTTAAGCAGCAGTTATTGAACTTAATATTTTAACTTAAAATAATACTTATAGTTTTATATTTCTTATTAGAATACTCTAGAAAGTCCCCACTCTACTTCTGTTGGCAAAAGCATATTAACTTCAATGTAATAACTGTCTCTTAGGGATGCTATTTATCTTAATCTAGAATCTTCTTTAGGTAAAATGGCTTTAACGAAGCTAATCATAATTCTATATATTATACTCAGGATAAGTGATTCTTCCATCTCTATTTAGATCAAGTCTTCTAAATAGATAATCAGATTAAGCTTTGCTTGGATAAATTTTATTATCTCCCAAGAATTCTTCAATGTCTGACACTGTTAATTCACCTGTTCTCAATTAGTCTAATCTTCTAAAAGCAGTATATGGTTCAAACATCTTTTATTCTGCTAACACTTAACGCACCATTTCTGTTTTCTTTTCTCCTTCTGCAATTGTGATTATTAAGTTAGCTAGTCTTCCTTATGTTCTTGCTGAAAGGTACATGATTAAATAAAATTTATTTCCTAATAAATAAAAATTAAATCTCAAGAAAAACCAGTTTATGATAATCATTTAATTACTCACTAAAAGATAAATTCAGAATCTTATTAATTTTAACTGTTTAATTTATAGATATGTTAATGCTCAAAAAACTCTTTGTCTTTTATTTACTTCCTAAAAGTTATCTTTTTATATCAATAGAAATATGACGATTCATAATCTTATATTTTTTAAATTTCTAATATTAACTTAAATGTCCAATATTTAATGGGTTAGTTTTTATATTTTAAATATTAAGTTATTTACAAAAAATTCCCCTTTTATTACTTTTAATTAAATAAATTAATTACTAATGTATTCTCTTTTAATCAAAATTAAAAAAAAGTCCTTATCTCTAAACTAAAATAAGATTTAATTATCAAGCTTTTTGAGTTTAATAAACTGTATAATTATCTTGATTAATTTTTTCTCAAAAATTTTTTCAATTGAGAATCAGATTGCTTATTCTCTTTGCAACTGAACTTAGAAGTGTATTTTGATAAAATAAATTGTCATTTTTTCATTCACAATTTTAATTTATATTAAAAACAAATAAGGATAGAACACCACCAATTAATATAATAGCTATTTTAACTATTTACCTTGACTATTCAATCTATTTCAAAATATTGTAATTTTATGATATATTTGAGAGTATTTATACATTAAAATTTTTAATAAAATTTAAATAATAGTAAATTAAGGATTTTGATCAGATACTTTAATCAAATAAATTAATTTATGATTCTAAAAAACTTAATTCTTTTTTTTATAAATTTTTTGTCAACATTTATTGCCTCAAAAAATTATAAATAGATAATTATTTAATTAACTTCATAGGCATTTTAAAACCGAACAAAAGGTTAGCTATATTGTATTTTTATCTTAACTGAATATTTTGTAAAACGTATTTTAGATCTAAAATTCTAAGAGATTTCTTTTGTATTAGCTTAACTAATGTTAATTATAGAGCTTAAAATTAAAATGATTTTTATTAACATAAATGAGATTTCAAAAATAGTATTTTAGAGCTTTAAAATTATAGAAAACAATAAAAATTACTTTCATTTTAAGTTAATAGATATTTATATAAGAAAATATTTTTGATTACTCTATTATAAAGTTTAAGAAGAAACAGTAATTGAAAGTTAATAGAAGAGAAATGTAAAATGGAAAACTCTAAGATAATGAAGAAGTACTTTGTTAAGATATAAAAAATGTATTTTTAGTTCAATAATAAATCTAATAAAAAGTATTTGAATTATATTGTTTATTAATAATTTATTAAATAAAGAAAATTAATGTCATCCAAAAGTCATGACCGTCAAAAAATTTAGAACATTGAGTAGCAGGTGGGCTTAACAAAAGAGTAGTATGAAAAAAAATATTTATTTCATCGTTTAAAAGAAAGATTCTTACATAGTTAGGATTTATCACTAGAAACAATAACCCCAGAAGGACATGAAAATATTTACATTCCAATGGACATTCAATCTCCAACTTAAGCTGATGGTTTAAGTTATGAGGATGAATAAGCCCTTAGAATGCACGGTGCTTAAATTTGTTTCCAAGCCTGCAATCACTTAAAATTACCATTAACAACAGCCATTACAAGTTTAGTAATATTTCATAGATTTTTTGCGAAGTAATAAAAATAATGTCGAAATATTTAGGAATTCTTTTGTGGATTTTGATTACCGCGAAATTTCAATGGCTTCATTGTATTTGGCAGGTAAAGTTGAAGAAACATTACTGAAAACATGGTATATAGCAGGTGCATTTAGCTCTGTGTTTCAAAAGTAAAAATAAGCTCCATTGTAAAATATATATATATAACTAGGGATATAATAATAAAATAAGAAAAACTAATACTTAAAGAACTTGGATTTGAATTATTTAGAGTTTCAGATCATCCGCATAAGTTCATAGAATCATTTTATCATTTTATTAAGGTCGATAAGCAGGTAGCTCAAAAAGCTTGGTATTACTTGAACGATTCATACATGACTGATTTATGCGTACATTTTCCACCTTAAGTTATTGCAGCAGGAGCATTGTATTTAGCATTGAGGGTCTGTAATCATCCAATGCCAACTAAACCATGGTGGATTCTATTAGAAGCTACTTTAGTATAAATAGAGTAAGTAGCTGCTACCATTTATAATATATATGAATTTGAAAAAATGGATTTTAGATAAGCAAGAAGAATATTAGCTAAAGCTAATAGAGTAGCTTATGTTATTTAACATAGTGAAATATATGGAATCCCTGAAAAAATAGAAAGACCTTTAGAAACTAAAAAATCTAATACTTAATAACCAACTCAATTAACATCCTAATAACCATAATTAAATTAATAAGAATCTACTCAAAATAATAAAGAAAAATAAGATTCATCTCCTAATAATAAAGAAAAAAAAAGTATTAAAAAAAAAAGTAAATCAAAAGAAAAAAAAAGTAAAGATAAAAAAAATAAATCAGAAAAAAAGAAAAATAAAGATAAAGATAAAGAAAAGAAAAAAGACGATAAAAAAAAGAAAAAGAAGTAAATATATTATTACTAATTTATTAGAAGCAGGTCAAGAAGTAAATCTAATGATAAAAAATTATCGAAAAAATAAAAGAAAAAGGAAAAAGAAAAAGAAAAAGAAAGAGAAAAAGAAAGAGAAAGAGAAAGAGAAAGAGAAAAAGAGAAAGAGAATGAAAAAGAAAAAGAAAAAGAAAAAAAAGAAAATATGAAAGAAAAGGATAATTAAAAAAATGGTTAGGAGATATCATTAGAAGATCAAAATTCAAAAATAGAATAAGATCAATATTTAGATAGAGGTATGATTAAATCCAATATGGAGATTGAGAATGAAAATGAACAAATTAAAAACAACAAAAATAACTAGTAATAAAATATAAAAGGTAACGAATAAATAAGAGATGACAATATCCACCAAAATTCACAGTCATATCAAGAGTCTTAGTTTTAGGAATAAAAAACTAATCAAGATGATTAGTAACAAAATATTGTACCTATAGATGACTAATCGAAAGTGTAATTGCCTTTATAGAGTAAATAGGATTTTATTGCTCAAATGAAAGCATTACTAAAAACTTAATAACTACAGAAAATAGATGATGTAGAAAAAAAAGATAAAGAAATTGAAAATAATTAAATAGAAAAATAATCTCCAAATGAATAGGATTCGGAAGAGGATCAACAACTTAATGCAATTAAATTAAAAAGTAAGAATTTATTATTAATTATATAGTTTTAGCTAAAAAAAGGAATGAATAATGAGCTCTGTTATATTAATTCAAAGAATTCGCTTAAGGTTATTATTTTTCTGTAATTTTTTATCAATATCTTTCTTTACAACCTCTAAAGAACTATCATCAAGTTCTTTAATTAAAGATAACACAGCGCATAGAATATTTTCATTTCTTTCTATATTTTTATTATTATTGAAAATATTTTGTTGATTCTAAATGATCTCAGGAGTTACAGGCCTTTATTATTCTTGTTGATTAAAAATAAAAGGTTGTTTTTTTGGAGATTCTTTTAAACTAGATTTTGGTCTATTTAAAATATTGCTATTTTAAGTTTGCTCTTCAAAATCATCTTCTAATATATTCACAGATTAAGAATTTTATCTATCTTCATTTGTTATTGTTGTATTGTCAAGTTTAACTAGATTTGGTAAATATTTAACTACAATTTCTCTATAATTGGGATGATCTGCACAAGGATTGTCTATGGTAATTTTTTGAAATGAATACCTTATAACCATAAAACTCTTAAATTGGGTAAATGAACTAAATATCTCAATTCTTTTATATCACTAATACAATTTTTTCTGAGATAAAGTTCTTACAATTTTTGACAACACCCGATATCTTTAAGAGTTGAAATTTTGTTCACAGATAATGAAAGCACTTCTAGGTTTGGTAATTGTCTTAATGCTTTTAAATCATCTATATCGTTTCCCCATAAATTTAGATTTTTAATTTAGAAAAGCTGATCATTTTTTGTTTTTTGAACTATAAGCTCAGCTGTTAACGGTTTACCCATTTGAAATTAATATATTATATTAATTCTAATTAAAAGTGACAAAATAAATATCCTAGTTTAGGGATTATATTTATCAAATAAATATTAGTTCAGGTAAATCAACACCTTTTGTTTCTACAGGGCAAGTGGGACATTTAAATTTAGATTTATTAGCTATCATTTTATGAGCTGATAATTTAGAAATGACATGACCGCATTTTAATAAAACTGGAGGATTGTCAGAATTAGTTACTTCTCTTGAAACAGGACATACAAAGAAGGAATGATATTTAAATTCTTTACCTATTTCAATATCAATAGGGATATCATTTGTCAATACTTCTGAAGATCTATCTATTTTTATTTATAAATTATTATTACTTCTTGTTATTTAATTATATTTTATTAATTTAGGCATAGTTAAGCAACCAGCTGAAAATACAGTTCTAATTTCAGATTTAGTTAGTATATCTAATAAAAATTAAATAAATACTTTATGATTTAGCAGCTACTTCTAAAAATAGATTTAGTATTCTAGGCCAGTTTTTTTCATCATCATATAGATAATGATATTTTGTATTTTCTACATTTGGCCATAGAAATATCGAACATGTCATTAAACGAATTTCATATAAATGAGCTTAACCTTATTCTTAAAATGAAGAATTATCTCTCATAAAATATATAGCTGCACTAATACCTTCAGTTTATACTAATTATATCACCTATTAAATTTAAGTATTCTATACTTTTTGTTTCAACAATTCAAAGAGTAGACAATTCATTATTTTTTTTTCTCTAGTTTCTGCCCATTAAATAGCTGAATCTAATTTTCTTTCTTTTAAATCTTTCACTATACTCTAAGCTTCTGTAAAAAATTAATGAAAACTAGATTCAGCTGAACCTGATTCCTTTAATAAAGTCTCATAAGCTTCAAATTCTCCATCTCTCAATAAATGAGTTTTTATTAACTAAATGTATAATTTTTATTTCTCACTTCTGTTAGGACATTCTTATCTAATTCTACATGTTCTTAACCATATTATAAATTCTTTTTATATAATTTATCCATGTTTTTTCCTAATTTTGATATATAAGCATAGCATTCATTATTAGTTTATTTTATTTTTGTCAATGGTTTTTAATTCTTTACTTAATCTAATATTATACTTGTAATTTATCTTTTAATTAAGAGTAATCATTAATTGATTTAGCCTCCTCTATTTCTGTGATGATTTGTTCTAACTATCCATTAATCACCTTATTTGAAATTTTTGTTTTCTTTCTAATCCTCTCCAAATCTTTCAATAAAGAATTACCTTCTTATTGAGTTGTATTCATAAAATAATAAAAATTAAATAATTATTATTATCAATATTAATAAACAAGTCTTTTTTATTTCTTTAAAAAAAATCCTTCTTTTCTATATTTTTATCTTATTATTTCTCTACAAGTCCTTTGTAATAAATCAAATTAATCACTCTTTTATATCTAATATAAAGAATTCTTCAAATATTGAAGGAAAATCAGATATATCAAATAAAAATTTCAAATATTTTTAGTGCTTTCTCATATAATATTATGGTTCCATCTATAATATTTATATTTGAGTTCATCTTGACTATGATAATAATTATTATTTGAGAAAAGAAAAAACTTGCATTCTAATTATCTTAAACTTATTATTATTACTACTCTTAATATTTCTAAATTATATCTGAATAATAATTATTCCTTTGAGTTTATCTTTGTTGTATATTCTATAAAGTTAAAGGCCTAAATATTCTATAATTTATATTTCTTTAAAGACTTCAATTCTTTGTTTTTCTTTTTAAAATTCTTAAACTTCTCTCCAAACTTTTCATCCATAAAGAATTTATAAATTTTTTTTGATTATCCTCAATATAATATAATATTCTAATCTATCTTAATATGGTTCTTTGATAAAGACTAATAAATATAATTTGAATAAAATTATTGAAGTTGATCTAATAATAAAGTATTTTCAAATTATATTTAATTATGCTCAATTTAAGATTAAGGTTTATTTGTTTTTACTTATCAAACTTTTCAAAACATAAAATGACAGTAAATTATTGAGAATAAATTATTTAAAATATAAATATAAAAGTGCATATTAGAATATAATTTCTGCTTTTCATATATTTATTATCAAATATAACTAATAATTTGATTAGAAAAAAGTTTTATTAAACTAATTTGTATCTCGCACATGTAAAAATAAAAATATATTTAATTTATTGAATTTAGGAAGAGATGATTTTTAAAGTGTATTAAATAATTGTGTTTAGTTATAATTTTGTCAGGAGCTATATAAAATAAGATCTTAATTAGAAATCCATGAATAATAATACTTATCAACTTTATATGTTAAAATACAATTAGAAGTGTCTATTTATTCATTAGAGTAAATATAATTGATATATTAACATAAATTTTTCCTTAATAAAAATGAGATCTAGTTTAGCTCTGCGTTTAAGAAATTCCATAGATAACACTTAAATATAATATGATAATAAATACTCAGTTCATGTGAATACTTAACATCATGTATTAAGTCCTAGAAAATCAATTGATAAAACTACAGTTCATTAGATTTATAAAGTAACTTAACCATAACAAATAAAACATAAAACAATAAAACTAAGTAGAGATGTTTGTGGGTATAACGTTAAATACAATAATTCAGTTGATGTAAGTTTAGAAGAATTGAAAAAAATAAAAACATTAGAAAAAAGTTTATATTGCATTTAAGAGAATCGAAAAATGGCGGATAATAAAATGATTACTGAAAAAGTTCTAAAAGAGGTTCTGTAAATATAATAACTATTCTTCTTAGAATCCTTTTTCTATAAGCAATAACATAGATAAATAACAGAAAAGATACTCTCTTCCAGTTTTGAATAAGAAACAATCACCTTAACATAATAGTCCTGATAAGATGAAAGTTCCTATGTTACCATCAATTTCTGAAAATACATATCAAAAATAATAAAATAACTTTAGCATAGAGAAATGTTTAGAAGACTTAAACAAAATAAAAAGTGGGGGTTAAAAGGAACATGCATAATCAACAGAGAGAGTTCTAGATTTGTTATTATTAAATACTTGTGATTTAAAGAAAATATTTAGAAATTAAAACTAAAAGAACAAAAGGAAAATAATTGTTTAAAGTAAAGTGCCATAGGATTTTTTCAATATCTTAAAAAACTTCTGATTATAATTTAAGCATAAATCAATAAAATGATCAATTATAACTTATGCTCCAAATTTCTAATCTCTCTATAATAAATTTGTTATTTTTTGACAATATTTCATTATCAAATGTTTCACAATGGCAACTATATCCATTTGATAAATCAGAATTAATAAATAAGCCATATTTATCTCCACAACCAATAGCTAATCCATCTGTATCACATAATGTTATATAATTATTGATTTGAGTCCACTTATATATTTTTATATCAGAACTATTTTTAAATGTGAATAGAAAAGATTCTCCATTTCCATAAAATTTTCCATAACTATTTTTAATACCATCAGATAAATAAGCACCAAATAAATATTAATCTAAATCTTTTATTAAAATAATTGATGGTAAATTATTTTCTGTTTTTCTCATTAAAGTTAAAATTGATGAACCATGTTATATAGATGAATAAATAATTTACCATTTCTATCCTTTATATAGAAAAGGTAAATTAGAAGAAATACTAATGAATTTATCTCTTGTTGCAATTTCTGATTTAGATTTAAGTTAAGTTAATTAAGAATCACGACATACAACCTCTAATTATTATTTAACTAATATTACATTTTGGTTACTCAATATTTTCAATTTGACCATCCGATTCAAAATGATATGGTATAATAGTTTTTTAATCATAACTTTTTTAACTAAAAACATTATTTAAATTTTCTCTTCCTTAACTATTGTAATAATCCTATAAATTTTAATTAAGCTAATTTAAAAAATCATCAATTCGATTTTCTTCAATCAATTTCAAAACAACAATCTTTTATTTTTTTGTTTATGTTATTATTGTAATAACATTATTTTTATTTAAAGGTATTTTTTTTTTAAAAAACTAAGATAATTCTTGTTATTCAACTAAAACAATATGTTTCAATAGAATTTAAAGATATAAATTATCAATATGTCGAATTTAGGCTTTTTGAATTATTTCATCATTTTATCTACATTATTTTTCAGGTTCAAAAGCTACAAAGGATGGTGTTATCACAAATTAACCTTATACTGCTCCAACTTAGGTAATATAAAGAGCTGAATAAGAAGATTTATTAAAAGTTTTTATATCTTGTTCTAGAGAATTACTTTATCCTTACTTTTAGGGTATCTTTAAAATCATACCTGGATATATAGAATTTTCAGATATATTATTAAATCTTAAGATTTAGATTGAACTAATCATTTTGAATTATGAGATACCTTATTTCAAATTTTAATTCTAAACCATATATAGAATCATTCATTTCAACTTTATAATAAATAAAGTTCTCTTGATGATGTTGATAATTATCTAAATATTCTTTTGATAAATTTGTAAGATTCACATTTGACTCTTCTTCATTAATTTCAAATACAAATTCAGGGTAATCTTTTCCAGCATATTCTATATTAATGATGTCATATTCAGCAGAATCAGAATTTAACTAATTTTTAGCAGCTATTTAATAAAAGTCCATAATATTTTATTTTATATATCATTTTTGGGCTAATTCTTATTTCAATTAAATTGAAAATTCATCTGTTAAATCTTCATCATTCCAATCCTCTCTCCATTATTTAATATCAATTTTCAAATCATGATTCACTTCCAAATCTATCATTTATTATCAAGAGTTATTTACCTTCCTATTCAAATTCTTCAAAATCATCATCATCTTCATCAAATATTTTTTAAATCTATTGTGGCTATTAAGCAGGTACTTTCTCTTCTTCTATTTTGTTAGACATTTTAAAAAAAATTAATTTAATTATTATACTAATCACAGAAAAAAAATAATATTAAATAAATTCTAAAAGAGATTAAACAAAAAATCACAAAATATTTCATTATCCACTTTTTTACTTATTATCCTCTCAATTATTAAAATCTACTTTTGTTTCTAAATTATTTTATTTATCAGTTTTATAAGTAAAAGAGAGTTAAGTTTTTAATTTATCTGAAGGATATTTAATGAGGAAGAAATAATTTTTAAAATCCTAAAGAATATGTTAATTAAGAGTTCATAATTTAAAATAAATAAATGAATATTAAGGAAAATAATAGAAAAACTGTAAATGGAAATAAGTGATTTAAAACTTAAGAAGAAAAATAAATAGTTACTAGAAGATGCAAATAACTTATTTAATAACACCTAAAAATACTTGTTTTTCAAAAAGCATTAAAATAAACAAATTTAATAAAAATCATCAAATAAAGGTTTTTCTTAATCAAAAGCAGTTTTTGGTTGACACTAATTTATTTAATAAACTGCTATAATTTTTTTCTATTTATTATTATCAAAAAAATGAATATAATGAATATAAATGAATAAAACTAGTTTAAAATCTTTGAATAAGTAGATGTATTATAATATCCTTGTATAAATTTCATATATCAATCAAAATCTTTATAGCCTGGATCTCCTTTTTTATATTCATTTGAAAAATTAATTTGATTATTTTATTTGCATGCCTAGCTAGCTTCAGTAATCTATTTCAATAACTAAAAATAAATTGAAATAATTATTACTTGTTCTTCTGTTAAATCTTCTTCTTATTGAATTTTAGTTTATTATTATTCAAGTGATTTTTTATGTTAATTATATGATCTTTCAATTAAATTCCAAAGCATTATAAACAACATACTACCAAACATTAAAGCAATTTCAGGACCAATAGATTTTCTTAATAAATCTTCAATGTTTGCTCTAACAATAAAAATGATAAATACTAAATAATCTATTTGTAATCATCAAGACCGTGAATTAATCCTTCAGAAACCTCATAAGCAGTCTCTCCAATCATTTTAAAAAATTAACTGATCATTGCATCACTAAATTTTTCAACACTATTTGTATAATCTTTTTCAATAATTAAAAAAAATTATTTAATATGTTTTACAAGAGCTTCAGATGCTGTAATTCTCGGTTCAAATCCTTCTATCACTAAATGTTAATGAGTTCCTTTAGGAACAACTGTAGATAAAAATGAGTTTGCCAATTTTTCAATCAATTCAATTTTTCCTTCAAATTTTCCTATTTAATTATGTAAATTTTGTTTAATATTTCCTTGTAAACCATCTAAAAATGAATAATTGCCAGAAACTTATGCTGCCATTAAATCACCTACTTTTACTTATGAGAATATTTATAAAATTTCTATTTCACCTTCTTCCATTTAATTTGCATAATTTTACATCATAAGTTCATGAAGTGTCATTGTAAATATATTGGCTCCTCCTTATTAACCTCCTAATCCAAAATTTCCAAGTAAACCTTACATCATTGATTAAGCTTATTATGGTAAGTTTTAATTATTTTATGGCTGTTATTATTATTATTATTATTAAGTATTTATTTATGTTTATTATTATTACTGAGGCTAAAATTATTACTATGATTGGAATGAATTTTATTATTATTCTAAATTTATTATATCACTTAAATATATAAAAAATTATACTTGACTAAATTATTAAGTGCATTTAAAGTGTTGTTATTCTCTTGTTAATTTCCTGCTTAATTAGAATCTGATTCACTTCCTGCATCAATCTCTAAAACTTAAGCATCAATTATTATTTGATCTCCCTATTATTCTACTTAAATCTATTATTAATTATTTTATGATAAGTTTGAATTTTAAGAGAATTAATTTAAAAGTTATCCTAAAGAACTTAATAAATTTGATTAGGTTTATTATTACTAATTTTATTATTATTACTATTACTATTACTATTACTATTACTATTACTATTACTATTACTATTATTACTATTATTATTATTATTATTATTATTATTATTATTATTATTATTATTATTATTGTTATTATTATTAGTTTCTGTGTTGATGTTAGATATTAATAACTCCATGATGATGATTATTATGTTATAATAATTAAGTGGGCACCTATAATTAAAATTATCCTGGAGTATTTCCAAGTACTAAATATTTTAGCAAAGCAGAAGATAAATCATTAGTCATTCTATTAATTGAATAAATAATAGTAGCTGAATCTCTACTTAATTATTATGTTTCTCTTCTCTCATTTTCGGAAGTCAAAAAAGGTTCTCTCATCAAAAGATCTGATACTCTTTATAAAATTGGTAAAGATCTTTAAAAAAGATAACATAATTAATGAAGAAAATGTCCTAAAACAGTAACATTATTTCTATGTTCAGTCATTTGTGGTAACTAAAATGCTAATCCAAGTAATGAAGATTAATAAAAATTGCCCAATAATCTACTCAATTATTAAATCTATTCTTATGGAAGATGTACTCCAACAGCAGATTGATCATTTGGCAATAATGTTACTTATTATAATTAAGGTTAATTTTATTATTATTATGGCACTTATTGTTATTATCTAGGTTCAGATTAATTTGATTAACTTTATTAATTCTACTATTATTGCTATTGTTGTTATTATTATTAATTTTATTAAGTTGTTTGAGCTTATTGTTATTAACTCTATTATTATTAAGATGACCTTGTTATAGGTGGACCAAACATCTAAAGAATATTAGCTAATTCTGGTGGCATAAAAGGTTAACCATCTAAAATAGATTTAAATAATTATTTACCTCCTGTTCCTATATGAATTTATGTGGTTGTTTGAATGCCTGGCATAAATTAAAATCTTTATTATTACTATTGATTTTAATTTTATTATGGTTATTATTGGGATTATTGGGGATTAGTAATTGCCATCAAATGGATTGTTTGATCATCCTCCTTAACTAATTATTTTATTATTTTATATACTTATTTCATTTAATTTCTGATTATCTAGAAGAGCCTTTCCTAAAAAGATCAATCTTTATCTATCTATAGGAACTTAAGATTTTGTAAAGATTTCTTTTTTTAAGTCTGCAATTGTAATCTAAATATATTTTAATTTTTGATACATCTTGAGGGACTTCAAGCTCAAATACTTATTGAGATATTGTTTTCACTTTTAACTTTCTCTTCTAATTAATATCCATATTTCTTTATAATAATTTTTAATAAATATTAATAGGTATTTTCTTAAAAAATTTAAAGTATATATCAATAATAAATTAATATTTAAAATTTAAAGATATATTAATTTAATCTTCAAAATTACTCAACATTAGAATCTATTTTTAAGAATTTCAGATCTTGGTTATTTTTTTTCAAAAGAAGTGTCTGCTCTAGCAGTATTAGAAAGTAAATCCTTAAATTAATGCTGATTAATAGATTAAGCTACATATCGTTAATAATATTTTGGATTATTAATTTCTTTTAATGGCAATATTAGAGAAGCCATTTGTTTGCTAACAGGAGATATGCTCATTTTATGATGATGTTCAATTCTATTACTTTAACTTTATAATTCTATCTGAAAAGTTTTAATAAGTATTTTCCTATATGTAGTTCCAATCATACATTCTTATGGATCAATAAAATCATTAATTGACTTTTTCAATTCATTTATATTTAATTAAAAATATGCTAAGTTTGGTAGTTTATCTTTTGCCATTTATTACGTATAGAACCAACATAAACTATTTTAAGAAGGCTAAACTTAATTCAATTTTTATAACAAATCACTACTTATGTACTAACTCATTTTTTCAGGAATACCATTTAAAGCAATCTTTGAATTTATTGGAAGTAAATCACAAAGTTTCATAAAATCTTAACAATTTTCTTCATTTTGAAGTACAACGCATAAAAATATACAAGAAATTTGACGAAGAAATATATTTTTTTTTTCATTCATATTCTTCAATATTTTCTATAAGTCCTCTTAATTGAATGATTAAAAAATTTAACGCTTTATAGAAGGGTTATTATTCATGTATTCAATCAATCTAAGCATAGATTCAATTAGAGAATCCATATCTTATTCAGAATGTTTCTTTAAATTTAGCATACAGAAATTAAATTTATTTATAAAGTTTATTCTTTTTAGAGCTATTTATTTATTTATTTTATTTAAACAAATTAAAGAGTAATATTATAATGTTAATAACATTAATTTGATTTCAATCTATACTAAAGTTTAAATTTCTTGAATTTATTTTAGGAAGTCTTTTAGATGCAGAGTTACATCTTTAAGCTTAATATGAATGATTATATTATCTTTAACCAAGAATGTCTACTCCTAGAATACTTTAGACCTTTTTGACTTTTTATTGTAAAGACATTATATCTTATTATGGTCTTATATCCAATATTTAAGCTAAGTTAATATTTATATATATACTCTTTCCAACTACTAATAATGGATAACGATTTGATTCTTATAATTTTGAATCACTAAACATTTCTTCTCCAATTTTATCTCCTTTGCTTGGTTTTTCTATAGTAGCAAATGGACTTTTATCATAATTTTTATGATAATCTCCTTAAATTCTTTCTACAGATGACATCTAACTTTTCAAATCTTTTGGATCCTATTTATCAGTTATTAATTTCTCAACTCTTTCAGGACTTTTATTTGGAGATACATTTATTTTTTTTGTAGATTTTGATTATTCTTCAATTAGAATTACTTAAGAACAAGATTATGAATTTCTAGTAGATTCTTAAATAGCTTAAATTTATTCATTTTCTGGTAATTAGATTTATTTATGAATTTAAGCATATATCTATGATATATATCTAAATAAATTGTCAATAACTAACAACTAATCTTTTGTATTTTATTTCTAATTCATTTAAGGTACTCCCTCTTTTTTTTGATATAATCTTTAATGAACCTATTAACTTTTTAAAATATTATTTAATTTTTCTTTTGTCTGGTTATTAATTTCTGCTTAATTATTTATTTCCTATTCTAAAGAAATTGTCTTATCTTGAATAATGTTAAACCTTCTTTCAAACTCACTTGTAAGTTTTTCCATCATATTTTAATCTTCTTATTTACATTGAGAAAATAATTTTTATTCTGAACTATTTAAACAGAATTATATATAATTGTTCATGGAATCTATCTTTGTTTGAATTTAAGATAAAATATTTCCTTGATTCTATTATATTTTATTAAATTCAACTTAAATATATTGTTCTAATTAATCAAATTATTACCTTAGTTATGTACTCTAAGTTAGCATTCTAAAACAATAACCAAAAATTATTACCCTTTAGTTTATATAGTAATTGTTTCCTTAAAAATTTAATTTTTTTATGAAATGTCACTAATCTATTAATTAAATTCTTTTTCAAATTCTATTGTTGAATTTTTAGTAAGTGTTATGGCACTTGATAATTCTTCAACCACTCTTTCTGATTTCCTTAAATAAGTTGAAAAATTCTATATTTGATAATATTACTATTAAATCTTTTCATCTGTCCACTTTTACATCTCATCCAATTTTTATTTTATAAGTTCATCAATTAACTTTATCGATTTTTCAATTAATGTTTATTGAAGTAGTTAATTATTGATTAGGTTATTTTATATTGTATTAACAATAAATTTATCGTTGGCCTTTAATTCAAATTTTTTATCCAATTAATCTACTAATTAATCTAAGTATTAAAATTTATTCAACATCTCTTATCTTTTTTTTATATCTTCTTCCTGTTATAATTGTTTTTACTCCTCAATTCCTTTTATTTTATTAAGAAGATTAGTTTCGTGCTCTTAAAAAATTTGTTCAACTCTTTAATTCAATTTCTCTTAAATCATATTTATGCTCTAACTATAGAATCATTATTATACAGAAGTATTCTAATTTTACTAATTCATGATAAAATTTAACTTATCATTTAATGATGCTATATCATCTTTTGATTAAAGTACATATAAATTTGTATTGGTTGACAACTGTTTTAAATCTGTTTAAAGATTATTTATTCTAATTTCTTATGAAGTATTTTATATACTATTCATATATAAAAATTATTAATGAATTATATTCTAATTTAGTTATATAATAAATGTATAAAAAATGTTTTATTTTGGAATAAGTTATATTGTAATATACTAATATAATGGTGTTAAATTTTTCTTTCTGAGTATATTAATATTATATTGATATCATAAAATTCTCATTAAATGGAATTTGTGTTTATATATATTAATATTTTACAAAATTAATTTTTATATGATTGATTAGTTATATTTCTAAAAATGAAAGTTTTTAGAATGGTTATATTTCTACAAATGAAAGTTTTTAGAATGGTCTATATATTTAGGTAAATTAATAAAAATGAATTAATACAGGGAAAATATAATTAATCTATCATTAATTCCTATTTAGACTCTTTATCTTAATTTAGTTTTTATCATAAGTTACATTAGAAAATGAGTCCTATTGTCCTAATTAGATTGAAATATTAGAAACTTATTTCACGAACTTATTTCTTCTATTCGTTATAGTATGTTCTCTACTGATATTTTTTTATTAAGTATTGTTGTTTTTATTATTATATTCATCATTTTTAAAATTAGATACATTAATAGTTTCAATAGCATAAGTTTTTTTTATCCAAGGTCTTTATTGATTGCTATCAATTTCTTCTGATTATTATGCCACATAGGATATTGATTAATCATTTTAAATATAATTTTCTTATTCATTTATATCAGTTTCCTCTTTTTCAATTTATTCATCAAATATTAATATTTTAACGATAGGAGTTGGTTTGAATAAATTTGGAGGCCCATTTTATTTACAATGGTTGTTAAATGGTAATTTTAGTTCATCTTTTGATTTTTAAGAATCAGTGAAACAAAGAGAGGATCCCATTTTTAGGAAAACTTTATTAAATTAATAAATAAAACATACAATATACAAATTTACAAATATATATGATGATTAAGAACATTAAGTATTAGAAAAGAATTATAATAGTTAAATCTTAAATACAATATTTTTTAAATAATTATATAGCTAGAGTAGATAAATTTAAATATAAAATGTAGTAAAGATGTTAAAGTACAATTGAATAGAGAAAGAACCTAGAATAATTAGATTAAAAGAATATAAAGAAAAGCTACTAGAAGAGGTTTGAAAAGTAAGTTGAATAAAGAGTTAAAAAAAAAGAATAAAAATTTTAAAGTTTAAGTTTATCAAACATAAAATAGTTATTGTTTTTCGATAAAAATGGCTCCAACATTATTATGAAATCGATTATCAATTCCATCTAATCCTTATCCCCAATCATATCCAGTAGCATAAGCCAAAAAATAACCATCTGGTGAGATTTAACTTGCAATAACAGGAGCATCATATTATAAAGTAGCTATTTTGTTTTTTTTTTTTAAATCCCATAAAATTATACTGCAATCAGAAGAACTTGTACTGAGCCAATCTTAAGATCTACTATTAAATTAAAGAGAATTAACAACATAATATGTATTAATTTTCTCTGATTTATATGATGTCTTTGAATCTTCTTCTCTTTTGTGACATTTAAATACAATTCTATTTATTGCTTCTAATTTATCTGTTATTTCCATTACTGCACCTCTTCCATCTATTGAACAATAACCCATTTATTTTGTATTGTGGGATATTGATAAAGAGCTAATCTATGATCGATTTCCTAATTTAGAATCTTCAACTTCAAAAATATTTCTTGAAACATTGCTATTTAAATTGCCTCTTATTTTATCCCATGAAAACCATTTAATTTTACAATCTACATCAGCATATGCAAACATTCTTTCATTTTAATCTTACTCTCCTACTGTTGGTATACTAGTTAAATTTAATTCATAAACTGGTTATGGTTTCGTTCCCATTGTATTTTATTTAAGTGACCATAATTTTAACTTTTTATCAAATCCCAAAGAAACTAAAACTTACAATTCATCATTCCAAAATACTTATCTGGCTGGACAATCGTCATGATAACCCAAAATTATATTTTAACCTGTTTTTATATCATATACTCTAACTGTATTATCTGCCAAAGCTGCAAATATCATTGTCATATCTCTTTTCCAACTAATTGAAAGTACTCTAGATTTAAGATTATTAATTTACGGTTCTTAACAATCAATTACACTTTTGAAATCAAGAGCTACTTATGTTTATATTCCATTCTAAGTAAGAATTTAATAAAAGCGTATATATCCATCCCAAGCTCCAGTTGCAAATATATCATTATTTCCAAATCTAATTTCTGAAACAGAATCCATTAAATTATCATTTGTTATTCTTGGAGTCTAATAATAATTAAATATTACTACTTATATTGGTGTCATCATTTTTGTTATATATGATACTAAAATTATAGTAAAAAATATTAATTATAATTCAAATAAAAAAGAATTTTTATGTGGTAAAAAAATTAGTCTAGAAATCACAATTTTTATTCATCATCAACTTCATAAATTGCTTATTATTATTGATTAAATTTAGAACAAATAAACTTTTTTTTTGTTTCTGTTTGTTAAATAACTCTTGGACTATTACTAAAATTCATTCTTCCAGAATCAGGAGATTGAGTATCAGGAGTAAGTTGTTCAAATTCTTAAGTAGAAAACTTTTTTAAAACACTTTTTTTAGGTAATTCTGTAGGAGATTTTTCTGCTAAAGCCAGATTTTTAATTTTAGCCTATTGAACAAATCTAGGACTATTAATGGCTGGAAATTAGATAATTGTTTTCTCATCTTCAATTTCATCTTCATCATTTTTAGTTGAAACTTACTTTGTTTCTGGTAATTATAAACGATCAGACTTTTCTAATTTAAATGTTTGAGTTTGCCAAGGCTTAGAATTATTACTTAATGGTTTTTTTGATGATTAAAATTTGAGTTTTCTATCTTAAAATGAATCATTAAAAAATGGATGTTCTAATGCCTATGATGCACTAATTCTAGTTTTAGGATCAATTTAAAGCATTTAACTTATTAAGTCTATAGCTGATTAAGGTGTTTAAAATATATTTAGAGTATCTAAATTGATCATACATTTTTTATTCAATTTTAAGATCTCATGATAATCACTTCCTGGAAATAAATCCTTAGAAGTTATTCTAATTTAATAATTATAATATTTTACAATTTATAAAAAATGCAACCTATACTAAAAATATCGCAAATTTTGTCATATTTTAATGAAAGATCTTTCATATTTGCAATTTCTGGTGCAACATATCCAGGAGTACCACATTTAGGAAATGGATAATTATTAATAGTTGTATATGTTGCTAATCCAAAATCAACAATTCTTAATCCTCCTATTAACTCTTAAGAATTTTTAAACATAATATTTTCTGGCTTTAAATCTCTATGCATTATATTCTAAGAATGCATATATTCAACTGCTGTTAATAATACCTTAAATTTATAGTTGGATAATTACCTTCATTATAGATTTTATCTCATCCCAACCTAATTATAAGATTCCCTTCGTGATTATATCATGAAGAGAACTTCCTTTCAAATATTCCAGTATTAAATAAAATGTATTCTCTCCTTCATAAACTTCTTCTAATTTAACAATGTTTTCATGGCTTAAAACTGCCATTAAATTAATTTCATTAAATAAAGCTTCCTAATCTCATCTAATATATATACAAATCCTCCATCTTCTTTTAAATATCTTTTCTCTACATTTTTAGAAGCGAATTCTTTATTTGTATATTTATTACACACTAAATAGACCTATTACTTAAAATTGTTTTTTACTTTTGAAGAACCTCCTCTTCCCAACTATTTGACTGGTGTATAGAAATCACTTACATTTCGATACATAACTTTATTTTTCAATAAAATATTCAATTGCCTTAGTCCTTCAGATTCACCATTAAAATATTTCACCTCTCCTTTGTATTCCAATCCTATTGATAAATAATTTTATTTCTCTAATTGCCAATACACTTTTGTCTCAAGATTAACCTTAAAAACATATTTCGGTTATTAAGAACTTACTTCCTTAAAAAACTAAATTTATCTTCTTACTTATGTTAAAATTAAATTATCTTCTAATAAGAATAAATAGTATGTGATGTCTTTAAGAAAATGCTTTCTTAAACAAACCATTTTAAATATAGATTTTTCATAATCTAATTAAGGAAGTTGGTTCATTATTACTGCAAAATTATATTAATTTAAACACAAATTAAATAAAAAATAATTTAAATTAGCTTCTTTAATATTAATTAATTAAATAAATTTGAATGAATATGAAATCACTCATTTTTAGATTTCCTATGACATATGATTAATCAAAAGCTTTATTAGAATAATCTAAATGTGATGAAGAATTCTTCAGAACTATTATAGGATTAAGTATATAACTAAAACAATTTGTTAATGAAGATGATATCTAATCTTTAACTAATTTTTTTAATCAAAATGTAGGTATGATTCCCTTTTTAAGAATATTTATTGATGAATCATTTGAGCAGGCTGTATTATATAGATATGAAGAGATTATAAGATATTTCATAAATAATAGCTATTAAGTTACAGACAAAAAAATTCTAATAACTTTATTATAAACCTCTAGATTCTTAAAACATGATCCTCCTATTGAAGTTTTAGAATTATTACTAAAAGAAGGCAATGTGAAACCTGATGAAGGTACTGATGATAAATTTAGAACCCCTCTTCATTTAGCCTGTAAATATGGAATTAAAGATTTCATAAAGTATTTGATTCAAAATATTTATATTAGAATACTAATTGAAAATGGAGCAGATATAAATGCAATAGATAAAAAAAAATTTACACCTTTGATGTATTTATAAAAAAAAATGTAAAAAGAGGAAGGACTAGATGTAATCGAAAAATATATGTATTAAAAAGGAGCAGAAACTTATGTTACATCTATATTTTGATATCAATTTTAATCAATTTCATATTAAAAATACCTTTTCTTTATTTTTCTCAACTTAAGTATTTATTAAGTCTTTAATTTTTTATTTTCAATATTAAAAGTATTCTTTAATTTTCATATCATCTTTTATCAGTTTTCAAATATCATTATCTTCATTCTTTCATCTCATTTATAAAATATGACTTCAGAAATTATTTTTAATAAATATTATATGAATTAAGAAGAATAAGAAATTTAAGAAAATAAGATTGAAGATAATAGAAATAATTAAGAATTTCAGCAATTCTGTGATCATGTATAATAAATTTAAGAAAATCTTAATGAATACATTATAAAATAATAAGGAAATTAAGAGGAAGAAAATCAAAGACTTCTTTTATAGCTTTAAGAAAACTTTGAATTAATAAAGTTGAAAATATCTGCTTTGAGAAGATCTGAAGGGATAGAAAACTAAGAAGAATTAAAAAAAATGATTGATGAGGTGACAAAAATAGTTTAGTAAACAAATGAACCATTATAATTAATTTGTATATATCAAATTTAATATGTAGAGGATGAAGGGAATGACTTTGATGGATTAGAATTAGAATTTACATAACCAAGAAGAATTAAGGGTGTGAAAAATGCTCAAGAAAGAAAATAAGAAAGAAAAAGAGCTAGAATATAAAAATCAAAATAGGCTTTTTAAATTTTTAAGAAATACATAATTGTTTCATTAATAGCGTTTTAAAGGTTTATAAAAGATCCTGAAAACATAGCCAAATTATTTGTTATAGCAGTAAGTTGTTTTTTTGTGAGTTCTTTTTTATAAATTCCTGATATGAGTAAAAGACATAGCCTATATATATTGGAATGGTTAGCCTATAATAGATGTGCTAGAGTAGTATTAATTAGTGGATCATTTTGTTTTGTATCATTAACTTGGTATATTATTTTATTGATTTGGATGGGATTTATGGGATTAAATGAAACAAAAGGAAAACTAAATACCCTTATTCATGAATGTAATCCAATATTACAATTAACATTATTATTTATGACAGATAATGACTTGATAAATAATAAATTAGATCTGGCAATTTGGTTTTGTTACTTATTTCAATACTCTACCTATAGAGTTTATTACATTCATTCAGTAAATATTATTAAAAAGATATTATCAACATTGACTTCTCAAAATTTTAATAGAGTGTATCAGTTTCAATAAATTTATATTTTTTCTATAATAATATTAGTGATGAATTTCCTGATCACATTTTTTGGTATTCTAATGCTCCATAAAGTTGGTCTTTATGCTTTGAGCTTATTATTCTATGGAGGAGTTTAAACTTTGATAGAATATTCCAAATTAATTTTGGTCTGTAAGAAATTGCAATAAAAATATACCTATTTCATTAACAATAATATAGAGCAATTAACTGAACCTTAATTTTATGAGGAAATAATTCCAGATATCATATATTAAATTGTGAAAATAATTTATTGTTCCTAATTAATTGTTAATTACTTTAGAACTATTAATTTTCATATTTTCTTGCATCTTTGGTTGTTTTAAATATTTTCAGATTTTTAAAGTAATATAAATTATAAAATTTTAGGTTCTTTACAATCACTTAAAATGAATATAGATTAATTAATAAAATATAAAAGAATCCAGTAACATCTTGATTCATTATTTCCAAGAGCTATGGATGTTCAAGAAGATGAAATATGCATTATATGCCATGAAGAATTAATTCTAGCTAGAACTTTACCATGTCAACATAAATTTCATTTAAAATGTTTGTTTGGATGGTTAAAAGCCCAATAATAATGCCCCATTTGCCGAGCTGAAGTTCCTATTGAGTTGGAATAACCACAACAAATATTTAGTAGAATATTTAGTTTCATAACTTAATTTAGTATTTCAAACTTCACATTATTTTTCTATATTAATAGTGGTAGACAGTAAGACTTTTAATTAACAGAGTTAGAAGAATAGGCCTTATTAGGATAATAACTATTACAATAATAATAATTACTATAATAATAATAGTAAAGAGAGCAAGAATAAATATAATAAGAAAGATAACATCTGTAATAATAATAATAATAATTTTAATAATAATAGCAATAATATTTATAGTAATAGCAAATTTTATTATAATAATAATAACAGTAGCAATAACAATAACAATCGATAAAAGAATAGAAATAATTATTTGAGTAAAATGAATTTTCTGAAACAAAAATAACATAAATTTAGGATAATAATGTAGATATGTAAGTTACATTAGAGGAAGTTTAGAATGGAGTGAAAAAATAATAAGAAAAGGAAGATTAATTAGGTTAATAATTATAATAAGAATATAAAAATAAAGAGAAAGAAGAAGATAAAAATAAAAATAAAAATTAATTATAATAATAAGAATAAAATGAAGTTTTAGAAATAAAAAATTAAGAAGTAGAATAAATAAAATAATAAGATTATAATAATGATAAATAATAATTATAAGAAATAGAACATTTTGATTTTACTGAATGATAAATAAAATATATAAAATATATAATTTGATAATCATGATTATTTATCCATGTCATAACCTTCATGATGACTACTTTCATTGAATCCTTTTATATCAGTTTGCAAATCATTTTTCTGAATTCTATATCTTGAATATAAGTAAGCCAACAAAATTGATAAAATAATAAAGAGCACTATAAATCCCATAATGATAGAGGCCAAAGTTTCAGTATCGTAAATGATACCATCACCATTTGTAATTTTGACATTAAATTAATCTACATATTAACATAGAATTAATTAAGGAGGGACTCCTACTAAATTATTTTTTTATGGACAATGTGTGGCATTGATAGTTAATTTATAATTTAAAGTTCTTCCTACACTTCTGTTAGTTCTAGGGATACATCTTACATAAGGATTTTCAATGATATATGGCATATAAACTAAAGATTAGGAAGTAATGCCCACTAGGAATGAATTTGTAATATTATAATCGAAATTTTTATTGCTATTTTTAATTGTTTTTGTATCAACACTATAGAAATCCATAGTTATTAGACTAGGTATAAATACATATTCTTCATAAAAGGAATTCTATCTTTCTTGTTATAAATTATCTTCTTAAGTGAAAACAAAATTTGGTTCAAACTTTTCATAAATACCTGTTCTTATTATTCTATGTTCATCCTTTCCTCTTAAGATTGTAAACTCAGGTATAATATCTATCTCTGAATATTTTCCGGTTAGATAATGAGTCTTAACTCTAAACCAATCATTTTCAAAGAGACCTATTTCAACTAAAGTATTAATAACTCCTCTTTCTTATAATATTAATATATAACTATTATTAAATTCAGCCATTGTTGTTCCATGAAGTACAGTAATAGTTCCTAATTCCCTATCTAATTAAGCATCAAACCCAGAAATATCAGATGTAACCTTAAATCTAACGATTCCATGTAATTCATCCAATATATACATAAATTTCTAATCTTCAGTTCCTCCAAAAACAACATCAACAATCTTAGATTTTTTTGTTTTATTATAGAAATGTGTTGAATTCATGTTCCCAATATAAATTAAATCTCCATCATCTTAATATTAATAGATATCTAATCCTACAATACCCATCGGAACAAATATATGCCAACCAAATACTTTTACTTAACCTTTATAATTATTCTCATTTTCTAATTCTGCATTTGAGATATTCCTTAAAACATAAGAACTTAAATTATCAAAATTCACTTTCCCACCTAAAATATGATTTCTATAGAATAAATAAATATATTATGTTTTATCTGTGTATATTATTTATGGAGGTTCAATTATTCTTTACTCTTTACGAAGATGTTCAAAAGAATAGTTTGCTTCTAACTGTATTTTATTTCCTACAATACTTAATTCATTTTTATTAACACTATATAGTAATAATTAATTATTGCTTGTCACAATAGCAAAAACCTTTCTAAAATGTACCATATTCAACAAAATTGGTATATTTAGTAATTATTCAGGATCGTTAGTTTGTAAATCTGGTAATTCAAGTATTTACTTTTTATATATTGAATAATCTCCAAATTATATTGATCCCTACTTAACATAACAAATGCTTCCTTTTTGTTCTGTTTCCAATTTTGCATCTACTACGTACTTTGCTTCTGGATAATCTCTTATGTTTAATTACTCTTATAAAACTATGTCTACTTATTCTTTTTCTGATATTTTATTGTATAAAACATGAGTTGTAAGATTAGTTAGATGTTTTGCGAAAACTGTTTATAGCAAAATAAATATCATTAATTTTATTATTTCAAATTTTATGAGTACACTCTTTGTTAAATGTGTGCAATGTAATTAAAGACCTGCTACTATTAAATGTTAATAATGTAAATTAGGATAAATTGTTAGATTGTGTTATAATTGTGATCAAAAGGTCCATAATAAATAAGCACCAATTGATCAATAACATAATACAGAAATGATTCCTTATTAAGGTGTGTATAAAATCTCATTAAATATAGAAATGTATTCTAAAGCTCCCCAAACATCAAGCGCTATGAATTTAAACAAAAATGATTAGCAATTTTAATCCAAAAAATTATAGTCTAATCAATAATAATAATTGTTAAAAGTTCCTATTACAATTAAATAAGAACCTAGTTAAATTGCATAAAGATCGATTTAAAATGTTGCTAAAGTAACTTAACAACAACCATAAAAAGAAATTAATATTTCTATCCAAAGATAAAATAATAAAGCATAGATTAATTTATAAGATGATTAATATTAAAAAAATTCTTAGCCTGTTTAATAATAAAATTAAAATTAACCTTTACTCAATTAACTAAAAGAAGAAAAAGAATAGAATTAATAATTATAAAAAGAATTAAAATAAACATAAGATTATTTAAACTAAATTAATAAAGAAGCAGAAAAAAATATGTACATTGATTTAATGATTTTATAGAAAACAATCTCAATAAGATATAGAAAAAAAGCTGAATGAATTGAAAAAGGAAAGCGATGAAGAAAAGAAAAAGACATAAAATCTTACAGCTGATGTAAAAAAGCTTAAAGATTAAATAAAAAATGCAGAAACATAAATGTAAAATAAATTAGATTAACAAAAAAAATAATTTGAAAAATAAATTTAGGAATTAGAATAAGTAATTTTGGAGAAATAATAATAAATTGATGAAATTAGTTAAGAATTCTAAAATTATAATTTAGAAGAAATCTAAGCAAAAATGGAAGAAATGGCTGATGAAATCAATATGAAAGATTAATTAATAGAGTAATATTAAACTTAATTATAAAATGGAGTAGGAAATCAAAAAGAAGATCAAAATGAAGATAAATAAGATATTTTATAAGAAAAAGAATAGAAAGATTAAGAAATTAAGAAATTAGAAGAACTAATTGAAAATTTCAAATAATTATACCAGCATATGTTAGATGAGAAATAAGTTATTATGGATGAGAATGAGAAGTTAGGGAATGAAAATAATTAATTTAGAGAAATATTTAGTGTAATTGATTATTGAAATTAGTAAAATTTACATTTATTTGGAATTGACCCTAATTAACTTGAAGAAGAAGGAGAAGGTGAAGGAGAAGATAGAGAAGGTGAGGAATATTAATAAGAAGAAGGTATGAATTAAAATATATTAGGTGAGATAATTGAGGAAGATGAAACTTATGATACATCTTGATATTTATAAAGATCATTTTGTAATATATTATTAAATCAACATTATATTATTGGAAATATAAAATTAATATTAAATGAGAAATTGTTCTGGAAAGTAAATTTAATTATTATTTAATGTCTAAACTTTATTTATTATTTTTAAAATGAAATTAAAATAAGGAATTGTTTTCATAGATTGTTAATTGAAATCAAAAGTATATAAAGTAGAAGGCTATGCGATTTCTAAATTTATTAAAAATAATGGCTATAAATTAATCTATTTTAACCAACTTGAAAAAGCTGAACAATTTTAAAAATAAGTCCAATAATTATCTCAATTAAATTAAGTTGATACTTTATATAAAAATATGTTGGATGATATCACTTTTATATCAGTGAAAGGGTATCAAATGTCTATAATTGAATAGCGAAAAATCTGGATCAATTAGAGTTATTGATGTTAGAAAATAAAAGAATAATATTCAATAAGAAAAGACCAAAAATGTAGAAAATACAAAAATATTAAATAGCTAGCATGATTATGGATAGTAAAATAACATAGAATACAAAGTTAAATAATAAGATTGTAATGGAATTTTAGATGAGATTGAATAAAAAACGAAGGAAACATAAATTATTAGATAGAGATTAATTCATTTAGAAAAATTAGATTAATAATATGAAAATCTATTATTTCATTATCCTAAAAATATAGAAAGTGTACCAATATTAACAGAAAGTCTTTATAGTCTTTATTTTGATGGTGCAAGTAAATCTAATCCTGGTCCTGCTGGTGCTGGAGTAGCATTATTTGATAATTTAAATTAAATTAAAGAAATCTCTTAACCTTTAGGAAAGTAAACAAATAATTCAGCTGAATTTTTTGCATTATTTATAGGAGTTAGATATGCTTTAAATTTAGGAATCAATCATTTGGTATGTTTTGGAGATAGCAAAGTATTGAAATCCTTTATATTAGCTTATAATCGACGGCATGAATAATAAAATAACTTTTTAATAACCCCATTTGGGATATTTTTAATAAGCTATCAGCAAATATACATAATTATTTAAGAAAGTGAGATTTATTCACATCTTGAGAAACTAAAATAAAATTGCTGATAATTTAGCTTCAAAAGCGGCTCAAAAGTAGAAAAATATTGATTAGTGAGTTTTTAATAATAATTTATGATGAAAAAAATATAAATTAATCAATATTAATGTTAAAATATTTAAGAGTACGTATTCCAGACTATGCTGATCGACAGTTACATAGTATCATTATTATCTTATATTTATAGGTTCTATTGATATATTGGATTTATATTCTGTTATTATTCGAGATCATTAAATTGAAGATTAACTCAAACATATTTTAGTTAAAGACACTTATGAGTAAAAATAATCATATAAATTTAGATTTGAAACCATTTTTAAATCAAACATAACTAATATGGAAATATACACACAATTAATTCAATAAAATGTTGATGCTTTTATTGATATACAATCTTTTAGATTTTTACTGAAAGGAGATATTAAAAGTGGAAGAACTCATTGTTTAATAGGTACTCCATAAGATCCAGGCTTATTATTAATATTTACTGGACATATTTTTTATCGATTAGAAGAATTAAAAAAGCTTGAAAAGAATGATACTTTTGAAAATAGATTTAACTATAAAATGTTTGTATAATTTATATGAAAATTAAGCTAAAATGTTACATAAGAGAAAATAATCATTATTATGATTTACTAACGAATTGTAAAGAACCTTTGATTGATTTTGAAAGCGTCATTACATTTGATTCACAACTAGCATTTTTAAAATTACTTAGAATCATTCTCAAAAACAATGATTAAAGAGTATATACTACTTTTATTAAGTGTTTAGAAATTTGCAACAGCTAAAGAATATCATAACTATTAATAAAATTAAGGTTCTTTTAGATTAGGTTAAGTTACCTTTGATTTTATACTTGAAAAAACTTCAACAACTTGGTATGGAGTCTAAGAAATTAAAAGTGCCCATTTTAAATTTGAAATTATAGATCTTTAAACTCCAATTAATTTATATGATTAAGATAGAGTAATATACTTTATAAATCCTGCCTTAAAATATCAAAATAGTACTAAAATGATCCTTAGGGATTCTAAGTTTGCTAAAGTTTTTAAATAGGCTGATAAAATAGATATTTAAATAATTAAGAATAAATTCAATTTTAGTAATAATTCAAATGACTTTAGTTTTAAGATCAATAAAAATTATTAAAAATAGAGATATATTATTTCAGTTATAATTTTTATTCAAATAGTTTAGGAAAGAAATTGAAAAGCTAAATATGATGTTAGATTTAAAGATAGATATAATTGAATAAGTCTAATCATAATTAAAATTAGATATTTAGGCAATAGGAAAAGTCATTACGTCAGTTGATATTAGAGTACATATTTATATTAAATTTGAGGAATTTCTATTGTCTAAGTTTTTACTTTATTAGGTAAGTGAATCTTTTGATATTTGTTTGCCATTCTAAAAAAAAATTGAAGGAATTTTAGTAAAAATTAAAAAAATTAAAAAATAAAAGTTCTTATTATCTGCTGATTATAATGATACTAGTTTAGAAACAAGAGTATTTAAGGATATAAAAAGAAATCTTTAAGATATTCTTAATTTCATAAAAGATTAAGTTTACACTGAATAGCATAGAGCTTTAAATTATTAAACAATAAAAAATTATATTTAGGAAGATTTTATTTAATAATTACCAGAAGTTTAAATAGAAGATATAATCTAAACTGAACTAACATAGTAAAGTACAAATTCTTAGTTGCCTTAACTTGAAAAAAAACATCATAGATCAAAATAGAATTCTCTATTCATTGAAAAATTTAAGAATAGTGAAAATGTGTTTAGTATTGATCAAATTTTAAATATAATCAAACAAACAGCAAGATCTCATTAAGGTATATCAACTGTTAGAAATCATATACCGCCTTTAAAAACAGACAAATGTAGTTTACAATAATCAACTAAATAATAATTAAAATTAATAAAAATTGATACAACCCCGAGAGGTGTAACTTTATAAAGTCCAATATTTATAAATTTAGATAATGATAAAACTTCTTAGATGATTTAGAAATAAAAAGAATTCAAATGCCCTGAAGATTATAAAAAATTAAATTGTATCATGAACAATAATTCAAAGATTTTGAATACAATGAGTTAATTAAATAATGATTAACTATAAAACAGTGTTGTGTCTTCTGAAGAAATAATTAAAGGGTTTCAAAATAAAGTAAAACTGAATAAATGTAAAATAAATATTTATTTATTAGAATAATCTTTGTATAAAATGCCTAATCTTTCTATTAATTATTTAAATTGTTTAGAAAGAATGGTTAATTTAGAAATAAAAAGTAAACAATGAAAATTTATAAATTTTTTATATCCCATATTTCAAAATAATACCGCCAAAAAAAATATATTTAGAAATATAAGTAATTTGCTAAAAGTATTATCAATCTAAATATATATATAAAATTTTTTACTGGGCAATATAAACAAGATGATCCACTCCAAGTACAAAAATTAATACTACAGGAAGATTAAGTTGTATATGTAGAACAAGCAATGTATTCACATTAACCATTTTACCATGAACATTAATAAGATGCCATTCTGCTACAATCAATTTGCTAATAATGATGATAGAAAATACAGATTCTAAATCAGAACATTTTAAATTGCTAAAACTCTCGCATTATTTCTTCTTTTAAATACAGTAAGGTATTGAATTACAATCATTATTATCCAAAGACAATCTATTGCATGTTTAAAATTTAAGGCAACTCTAGGTTTAGGAATTCCAAAAACATTATATTCCTGAAGGAGTTATTCCATTACATTTATCTTAGGTTTGAAAACTGCAATCTTCATATGGAAGACAATATCCATCATTTGCGACACATCCAAATATTTAATTGCAAATTTATTTATCTGTATAATAATTACACGATTATCCATCATGACATTTTTCCAAATACCAAGCACATTATGGAGCTATACATTTCGATTATGTTTGAATTTATGTACAATTAAGTTGATAACAATTTTTACCATTCCAATTGCATTACTTAAATTAATTGCAGTATAAAGGTTGTGTAAAATTTGAACATTAACACTGTTCTGAACCTGAAATTATTTCTATTATAAACAATAATGTAATTAGATTATTCATTTTTTCAAATTTATTTATTAAAGTATAGTAATCATTAATAATATTATGTGTTATTATTTCCAAACCATGAAGTGTTTGCTGTATGGTTTTTAGAATTATCTCTATATGATTTTGGAGTCACACTTTTAACTATCATCCTAGATATTGGACTCATACGGAATTTCTGAGATTATCTTTCTTGAATTTCTTCTTCTACTCTATTTTATTATTTCATTTTTAAATAATTTTCATATTATTACTACCTTTCCATAAACTAACACCCTGAAAATTTTTGATTTACTATGTCTTGAGAATGTTTTAAAATCTTAGGGCTGAAACTTTTTTGTTAAAATTCTTATTCCTAATTTATTTACTCTTTTTCCATTCTTTATTGAAAAACTTTCATTTCAGTTTTATTAGCCCTGAATAAAAAGATATATATACCAATTTTATTATGATTTGTACCATTATTCAAATTACTTTTTATTCATTGGAGCCTTTTTTGGATTTTCTTCAACCTTTACAATTTCATTCTACTCTTTTATACAATTATATTCAGTTTTAAATCTTTAAGTATATTTATTAATTAAATTTGTTTCTTATTATTTAGGCTTTAAATTTTATGTTATATTTTTTTATTTTAAAATTTAGGTTGTTTGAGTTGCTTTATTTAAATCTGGATCCAATATTTATTGTAATTGAATTGTAAATTTTGTATTTGTAGATATTTTACATGAGACTGTTAGTTATGTTTAAGACTCACGACTAACTTTTTTTATGAATATTTTTTTATTATTTTACAGCATAGAATTTTAAATAGAAGATTTAGGCATTTTATTTGTATTAAAATTGGAATTTGTTTAACATTCTGATTTTCTATCTGAAATAGTATTTATTACAGATTTTTTATTCATAGATGAAAAATTTGTTAAAAATTGATTTTTTTGTATTTATGCATTATCTTAATTAGAATTAGATTCTACAGATATCTGATTTTTTAAAGTTTAATTAGTAGAGTAATTTGTTTCATAATTGAATATTCTAGGAGATATAATTGATTCTTCTGTCTTTAAATATTTATCTAACTCCTATCTTTTGGATTAATATTTCTATTATAACTCAGCAACTTGAATAAAAAATGTAATTTTTACTTTGCCTTTGTCTAATTAGATATTATTAAGTTTCAAAATCTTCCTCATCACTCATGATTTCTTAACCTTGATACATGGACTTAAAATATCAAACTTATTTATCGATAAATTATATTAAAATTGTAATTACAAATGCTGGATTAGATAACATAAATAATTCTTTTCAATACTTTAATAAATACAAAAAAATTTTGAGAAGTAATTTATCAACTAAGAAATCACAGAATATATTTACAAATAGCTATAATGGAAATAATTGATTAAACAAGAATTATCATTAAATTATATACCTGTTTTCTTTACTTAAGATACTAGTTTAAGGCCTAGAAGCATATGAAACAATTTGAGATACAGATTTGCCTCTTCTAGTTGGTTCAACTTACTTAAAATCTAAATGTTGAGATTAGTGTTTACTCATACTTTAACTTACTATAATAAATAATATTATACCTTTTTTTCTTAAATAAAATGAAGGTAATAGTGCAATTTATTATTCTTATCTTAAACTAGTTTAGAAGAGCCTATTATTTTTATTATTAATAATTTAGATTTATTTTTGAATTTAGGATATTGATTGAGTGATTGAGAATCTTTTATTACTTGATTTAACTGCTTAAGAATTGTTAGTGATAGATTAATTATTTTAATCAAAAGAGGCTTGCAGTTATAATTTTGCATTGTCAAAAGAGCTAAAATTATCATATTATATTGTTTAAAGTTTAGATGGTATTTATTTTGAATCATAAATGTGCTTATAATCCTAAGGTCTAATAGGAAAATTATATATAATGCATCCAATATTTAACTCTTTTTTTACATTAGGAAATTTTTATGACTGAATACTATTAAGGCTTTGTAATTTCTCATAAACTTCTAGATCTAAAATACCTTTAATCCGCTTTTCAGATTCATTCTCATTCTTAGTTTTTTGTTTATGGATAATTGAGTTTTATATCATATAGAATTAAAATTATTAAATAAATGTGATGTTTAAATATATACTAAATATCTCACAAGTTTTAAGCTATAATAATCAATTGAAAATACCCAGAACATTTTTTTTAATTCTTTAAAAGGTATTGCCATTTACTAGATAATGTCTGACTTTTGTTCTATAATTTCTAGTTTACTTGTAATTTCTACATTTTCTTCTAAATAAGGAGCAAGATGTAGATTTTCTCCTTAATATTACTTCTTTATCTGAGATTATAATTATAAAAATAGACTACTTCTTGTAACGCTTCAGGATTTGATTTTACAATGTTCCAAAAACTCAAAAATTATACTTAAATTGAAATCTTGATTAATCGAAAGTTTCAAAGTCCTTTCAATAAATTAAATCTGAACTTAATGTTATCATATAGTTTCTGTATTTCAAAAAGCAGAATAATAAAAGCGATTAAACTTTAATTATTTAAAATATATACCTATGTCTAACAACAATCATTCTGATGATGAAGAAATGTTTGTAATAATAAATATTCTAATATTAGCTTGTAAGCAAAATTCAAGCATAAAAAGTGGAAATTGAGGCTCTTTAAAAATAATTAAGAGTTTAAGAATTTCAATTTAAACAACAGATATTGGAAGTATCACATATATTGATGACAAGCTTACGAATGAACTAGAGAGAGAGAGAAAAAGAACAAGTGAATTGGAGAATGAAATAACAACCTAAATTAGTTCAATAGGGCAAGGGGAAATTTAATCATTTGCTACTTAACTTGAATTAAAGTTATCAGAAGCGGAAAATAAGTTATTAGAATATAAAGCTAATGAAGTATAATATTTGAATAAATTTATAGTTGAAACTGTAAAAAGAAATTTAGAGTATAAAAAGAAAGCCTGAAAATGAAGAAATAGATGAATTAAAATAATAGTTAGTTAAAATGGAAGAAACAGCAATTGCTTTAATAGTTGAAAAAGAAAAAATTATTTAGGATCTTAAAAGTTAACTTGAATGTTCAACATAAATTATAGAGATTAATTAAGATTAAGTACATATATCCGAGGTAGAAGATGAAAAGGATATTAAAATTTAAAATTTAAAATAATTAGTATAGGAATTAAATTAGAAAATAGAATAAGATTAGTTGCATTTTGATGAAAGAATAATGAGATTAGAACATGAAATTACAGAACGAGTATTAGATAGTATAAGTCATTAAATAAATGAATCAAAATCAGTAGAGTAAGATTTGCTCCATTAAATAAATCTTTATGAAGAAAAGATAAAAAATTAAGATAAGTTATTAGTAAATTAAGAGAAGTTATTATAATAAGTGAAAGATGAGAAATATAAGGAAGTTAGTTTTTATGAAGGTAGACATGTTGAAATCTAAAAGAAATTATCATCAGCTTTGTAATAAGTTTTAAAAAGTGACAGAAAAAGTGAGGATGCCTTTAAATAATATGCAAATATATAGAGAGAAAAAACTATATTATAAAAATAAAGAGATGAATAAGTTAAATTAAATGTAAAATTAGAAAACAACTTAAGAAAATAAATTTAAGATATGGATGAACTTAGATAATATAATAATAATTGTTAATAATAAATAGATGATTTGGAATAATAAGTTAATCATTTAGAATAATAATTATAAGAAACTAAGTTCTATTATGAAGAATAATTATAAATGTAGAAGATTCATATACCAAGTGAAAGATAGCCTTCATAATAAGAGGAATAAGGATAAGGAGGAAATTTATTAAGCGAATTATTGACAGAAGAAATATCTATTGAAAAACCTCATAATACTTAGTAAAGTGAAGATAGCTTTCATTAATAAATTCCATAAACACCTTAGTCTAAAAATGGTTTAGTATAAATGTTTGCTTCATCTAGAATATCTAATCAAAGTATGAATACAAAGAGAAGATATTAAGAAATTGAATAATTAAAGTTAGAATTACATTCATTTAAAAATTAAAATGAGTATTTATTGTTATTATTATTAAAATTAGATAATTAGCAGAAGAAATTGAAAATTATGAACATTTAGTGGGAGTCTTATAATAAGAAATAAAAGCTTAGTTATTAGAAATATAAAATTTAAGAAAAGGAAAACTTGATTATTCTTAAGAAAGAGATTTAAGAATAGATTAAGAATAATTAAAATAATCACTTCATAAACTAGAAACACATTTTATTACTGCTAAATTAAGTTGGGCTGAAGAAGTTAATTTCTTGAAATCAGAAGTAAAAAGAGCAGAAAAATAAGCATAAGAAAGCACATTGTTATATAATTAAATATTAACAGAAAAGGAGTATTTTTAAGCAAAATTGAAGAAACTTGAAACTTAAATTGCTAAAAAAGACAAAAAAACTTCAAATTCATAAAATACACCTTTAAGTCCAATTAAAGAAGATGATTAAACAGTTAAAAAAAAAGGGTTTTTATCATATTTCGGAAAATGAAATATAAAATTTTGTTGATAATTTATTAATAAATTAAAATTCTTGTAAATATTATATAATAAATTAATCTGTGTTATGGATTAAAATATTTAAGAAGAAGAAGAAATTCTTGATGAGAAGCAAATTTAGGATAAAATTAGATATTAGAAAATCTAATAGGAAATCTAAGAATCATAAGATAGATCTACAGAGACTTTATAAAAGATGAAACTTACTTTCTAAACAATTAATGAAGTTTAAGAATAAGCAAGATCAACTGTAGATAATATCGACAATTTTTAAAAAACATTTAGTATTACAATGGATAAGTTACTTGAAAATATTGGCAAATCTTTAGTATCAAATAGCATAAGTTCAAGTGAGCATAACCCTAAAACAGCTTAAGAAATTACTATTCAATAAGCTAAATAATTAATAACTAAAAATACTGTATTATTATGTGGTGCAGGTCTAAGTTAAGCAAGTGGTATTCCTACTTCAATAGAATAGAATAGATGTTGGATAAAAGGATAAAGTAGCTATTAATTGTAAAAATTAAAAACTAGAGATTTCTTATTAGATTAACCTGAAATATATTGGGAATGGCATAAATAATTTAAGTCATAAACTTAAGATAAAATTCCTAATGCTGGTCATATTGCTATAAAAAATTTCAGAGAATAAAACCCAAATGTATTAATTGTTAATCTTAGTATTGATAATATTTTAACATCAGTTTTAGGATCTGAATAGATTAAATATGGTTATTTTAAAGAAATATATGAAATTAATGGTAATATCCAATATATGAGATGTTTATATGAATGTACATTTCAGGAAGGTGAATTAATGACTGTATATGATATTCCGAATTTCGAATAAAATGAGATTCCAAAATGTCCAATTTGTGGAGCAAAAGCAAGACCTCATTTATTACTTCTTGATGAGGAGATTCTTGATGAAAATTGTAGAATTACAGAAATTTAAGATTAATATTCCAAATGTGACACAATTATTGTAATTGGCACAGCTTTATAAACTCATTTCGCTAAAACAATTGTCTGTGAATTCATTAAAAAGAAAGCTACAATTATTGAAATTAATCCAGAACCACTCATAGAAGTTGGAAATACTTTTTGGTTAAAAGGAAAATCAGAAGATATTTTGCCAGAACTATTTTATTGAAATAAAATTTTTATTTAAAATACATTTAAAACCTATATTATCTATATTAATCTTAAAAATAAATGTTTAAAAAAATTAAATTTAACTTCTTTAGATTTTTATATAAATTATAAATTTATTTATCTTATTTTTGAAATAAATGAAAGTCGTAATCTTATTCTTAATGAATACTAGTATAAATTATTCCTGTTGCTTAATTGATTTTATTTCACAAATTGAATAATTGATGACTATTCTAATATTTTAAAGAATTAATTTAAATAAAAATACTAATCTTCTTAAATAAAAGATAGAGATGAAATATTTTGCTTTAGATAAATATTATTTTAAATAATTTGTTTAGATAAAGCCATTTTCTATTTCCCTGAAAAGTGAAAAAACAATCCTGCTTTGCCATTTTTATTTTTAAACTAAAAATATTAATTATTAAATTAAACCCATTTGCTTAATATAATTATTTAAACTTATTATACTGATTATATATATAAAATGTGGTTATCATCTAAATAACTGTTGTAAGCAGCTTTACCAAGTTAATTAATAATAATTTAAGAATAATCAAAGAATATTAATTAAGATGATAAGAAAATTCAATAAATATTGAAATCCTTTTTAGATTCAACTTCGCTTAAACGCTTAAAATTTCCTTTTATTCAATTATTTAATATAATTTAAATAAAATCAAAATTTTAAAATACTTAATTATTAATAAATATATAAAATTTATATATATACAAAATGAATCGAGATATACAGCCACCTTACAAATTAGACACTGATTCAACAGAAAGAATAATAAAAGATTTATTGATATATAAAGATGCTCAATTAAAAGTCATACTTAAAAAATATATCGAAATCACAGCACCATAAGAAACATTAAGTGAAGAAAAATTGTAAATAAATCGACTAAATAAAAAGACAATAATTAGTTACTGAATTTTAAAAAGAAATAGCTGTTTATGAATTTTAAATAGCCAAAGCAGTCAGATAACTTGAAGCATAAAATTTTGATAGAGAATAAAATTAAGAATTAAATAAATCTATAAGTATTTGCCTTGATGATTTTCTTAGTTGAAGGAATAAAAAAAACTGATTTTGAAATAGAAAATTTGAAAAGTATATATTAGATTGAAGAATAAATAAAAATAAATAGATAACATCATGAATTTTTATCAAAGCAAATAAGCAGTTATGAAAATGTTGATAATGTTGTTAAAAAGATTGAAGTGGCATAAAAAAATATTGATCAATTAAAGATTCAACATAAATAAGCTGAAGAATTAGTAAAAATGAAAGAAAAATAATTATTTATGATGGTATATATGCTTTTAATATTCTAGTTGCATCTAATGTAAGATTTAATTGAGGTAAAGTATGAATAATGAAGATCTTAATGTTTTGTTTTGAATATTATAAAATTATAAGAATTAAAAATTTTAATTAATACAGAATAACTACTAAATCAAATTATGAGAATTTGCTTCAAATACAAATTTAATTAAGAATATTCAATAATTATTAAAGTTAAAGAAAAATGGATAAGTTGAGTTTAAAGTTAGATAAATTTTACACAGATTACTATGATAAAGAGAACAAGACAAGAAATTAGTCATCTTAAAATCATTAAGATCTAAATACTTCTTTAGATGAACATTTTAAAGATTCTGAAATTATTTAAGACAAAAATTAAAGCTTCGATTGTGAGGACTGAGTATCATGAATAAATGATTGATGATTTTTATAGATAAAAATTATGTATTAGAATTGACAAGACCTATTTTTAGTTTTAATTTCTTTTAAATTTAGATATTCATAAAGCCCAAGATTAGTGTATTTAAATTGTTTTTTTCCTAATAAATTAACCATAATTTATATATATAAAGGTCATAGGAATTCAAACAAGAGTTCTTCTAAGTTTTAAAGTTTATGCCCAAAATTAATTAAATTCATTTCACATGAATTACAAGAAGAAGAACAATTTTTAATCAAATGAGCTTGCTTAATATTAACAACACAATCTTTCAATCCATGATAAAGTTTTATTGGAATTTCCATAACACAAGAATTCCAAACATTTTGTGATTTCATCAAACCTAAAATTTTCATTAATAAATACCGTTTATTATATGTAATCTTCCATTCAATGATATTGGATTATATCTAGGATCTTATTTTTCTTCATGGGATTAAATAAGAGAATTCCAGAAATGAAATCCTAATTCTGGCATATCATTTGGGCAAGTTTAAAATACTTCTTTTGATTTTTTCAAAGTATCTGTTAACATATCATCTATTTCACAAAATCCATTAATTATGAGAAGTCCTCCAATTTTTGGTAAATTATTCTAAATGTGAGTCACTTTAATATGAAATATTTCTTACTGTAACTTAAGACTTAAAAACCACCATATCCATATCCAATAAATTTATAAATATCATTATTTTTGATTATATCTTTTTCACAAAGCTCAAAAAGTAAGGAATCTAATAATAAACAAATATCTAAATTATCTTAAATAGTATTTTGATCAAAAACTGTGTAAGCCTACCCTAAAATGACAAATTAACTTTTACCTGGTAAATTCATTAATAAAATTGTTGTATTAGGTTTGATGTTTTATTGCATTACATCTAAATATTCAAATGAATTATCAAAAAAGTCTGCTAAAAATATCACGATTTAATGATCTTTTTCAGTTAAATCTAAACCACTTTGATTATCTTTATTAAGTTCTTAAACTTCCTCTTAATTTTATATAATTAAATATGGAATAGCACATTATTAAAAACAAAAGTAATTAACAGATTCTAAATAGATATCTGGAACACTTTCAGGAGGGTATTCTAAATCATGAAGTTAACAAACATCTAATAAAGTATATTGAATTTAAGGAACTTCAATTACTCTTAATTTACCTTAAAAAAAGGATATTTTATTTGAATTTATTTATCTTTAACTTTTATTAATTCTATTTCTTTAAAATTAATTTGATTAACTATCAGATCTCTTTAAATGCTGAGATTCCATTTAACTTCTCTAAGATTAAAGTCCTCCTGTAGTCATTTTAGCAGATTAAATTTTATTTGGTTTAGGAGGTTTTGTGTAATTAAGAAATCCCATAGTCAATCTATTTATATCTATGTTATTTGTTTTAGAACTTTAGGAATTTATTTTTGTATTTTCTAATTATTGTTATTAGTTAGGCATAAATAGTTTAAATGTTTTTGGAGCCTATGAATTAGCAGATTGAATAACTCTAAATTATTTTGCACTTTATATTTTTCTAACTCTATTTTCATTTTATTCTTTTTCAGCATTATTTGATGTTTAAGTTTTAATTTTTTATAATGATTAATTTTAGTTTTATCTTATTCTTGAATCATTTCTTTTTATGTTAGATTTTTCTAATTATGATAATTATTAATGAGATGTATTCATACTTGTTGGTTATTAAGCTAAAGAAGATGAATCTCTTTTAAACCATTGTTTTTATTATAAATCATTTGATAATCTCTAATCAAAATATTTACTAGCTAAAGAATAAACAACAAAACAGTTTTTACAAATTTTAACAGTTTTATAAAGATTTGGTAAATTATAAACTTCTGTTTTATTAAATTTAAATGGATATTCTTCATCAGTATTTATTTTATCAAATTCTTAAAAATGATGTTTAGAATTTCTAGTGAATATTTTATTTTTCATCAGTACTTCAATAACTTCTTATGAACATTCTCTAGTTCTAAGAATTAATTAAAATGAGATTTCATGTGGTAATGTAACTGAAAATTTCTCTTCATTCATTTTTTTATTTCCAAAAAACTTTCTGTAATCTGTCACAATATTTTTGCGTATTTAAAGAGGGCCTCTATTTTTTTCTTCCATTATATAATCACAAAAATCACCAACACATCTTTATACTATTAAATTTTTATATAATTTTTGACTGATTTCTTTATCATCCTCATAAATAGTTTAAGGGATTTTCATAGGTTTTTTGTCTCTTATTCTTGTAAACATCTTTATTAAGATTAAAAAATTTTCAAAAGAATTATTGTCTTTTAATTCATTTTTCATGCTTTAAATCTCATATGGTGCATTCTCATGAAAATCAACCAAAAGTTCTTTTAAACCTAGAAAATAAATTAGTTATTAATCGTTTTGCATAAATTTAGCAACTAATTTCTTAACTCTAATTCTATATGCTTTTTCTAAAAAATCTACTAATTTTTTAATAATCTAAATGTTACTAATTGTTAATTTACTTTAGACAAAGTTTAATTCATTTAATTATCAAAGAATTTAAACATGCAATCTACATATTCAACTTAATCATTTTTATTACTCTCATCATAACTATCAGAATGCTATGTTTATTATTATATATGTAATTATGATAATTTTTTTGGCAAAGGTTGTTAAATTATTTATTTTTAGGTTGACTTTTTAAAAAATCTATAACTGACAGGTAAATTAATAACATCCTGTCGATATTCGACATAAAATAATTCATCTAACTTATTAGATTGATTATACCAGCTTTTGATGAATTCTCTAAATGCTCTTATAAAATTTATAAACCACTGACATTTCCATCTAAAAACATTTTTACTAAATCAATTTTAGTAATTGATTTTTTTGTTTTACTTATTCTTGCAAAAGCTGTAATCTCATTCTTACCAGCTTTAATAATATCTAAAAGAGTTGTAAGAGTGTCAATTCGAAAATCTTCATTTTGTTTCACTCTACATAATACTCTGCATATTTCTACAAAATTCAATTTATTTGAGTTTTTTTTTAATATAAGTGGAGTTGGGGATGCTTTTGAATTAAATATCCATAATGTTGCTGTACCTTTTGAAACAATTATTGTTTAAGGTATTATAATATCACACTTAATCTTTTTTTTTGTGAACATCTCTAAAAAGTAAATTGGTGAAGAAAGATTTATATAATTTTCATCCCTCTTGTCAAAAAATACAGATTTCTTTTTCTCATTCATTTTAACAATAAATATTTATATTTTTATAACATTTTATTTTTTATTTCAATTTTTTGATGAAGGATGATTTCAAAATCATTTAATAATTTATAATTTTCATCAACATTATTTAATTATTAAACATACTCTTTTTATTATACAAAATACTTTTTTCTATTTTATCATCACGAATATTCTTTCATTGATATTTAATTAATTTTTAAAGTGACTAGTAATCAATTTTTAGATTAAACAACTTTATTAATTGACTTAAAATCAAGAGAAGTATTCTGCTTTTAATTAATTTTAAATGTCAAATATAAAAGAAGTCTTATGGCTGAAATCTATTGAAGTTCAAATAAAAATAATTTTTCTTTTAAATTCTGTAATCTTTTCATTAGATTTACTTATCATGTTATTATAATTAATTAAAAAATACTCAAAATCATAATATTAAATAATTTTATTTTACAAGGATTATACTTAAAAATATCTATATTTTTTTGAAAGGAGCAAATTATTCTTGTGAATTTGGAACAATTCGAAAAAAATTAATAAATTTATGCAAAAATATTAGAAAAAACGAGAGAATTAATAAAATACATTCCTTGACTTATTAAACGAATTTATTGAGGCCCCGTTGAAATTAAAATAGAATTTTTGCATAAAATAAAGTTTATGAAGGTTGAGTCTTAATCTCTCTATTCAAAAATTAAATCTAAGAAAAAAATTATGTATGTGATCATAAGCTATTTGAAACCTGTTAATTTTAAAAAAATATTTTTTTAAAATTAATTTTATTTCAACAATAATTTGGAATTATTAATCTTTAAAATTTAGCGATAAATTAACAATACTTAAATGTTTTATATATTTAAAATTTATTGACAGTTTTACGAAGTAATTAATCATTGGAATAGTTTCGGGATAAATTTTCATAAGAATTATTTTATTGATTAAAAAAAATGTTCAAATGCAAAATTTTAAAGTACAGCTAATTATTTTATAAAATTAAAATCATAAACTTTTAAAAACTAAATTAAATTACCTTCTGAACTAACTTCAAAGTATCATAGGTTAAAAGTTTTATGTGTGTTATAGATTCTGCTTAATTCGCTGATTTAGAAAAGTGCCATAATAAAAAGAATTTAAAAGAACTAAATTGCAAATTTAATATTATCAAATTTTTTTCGTTAAGGTTATATAAATCTCTTCAAAATCAAATTAGATTTGATTTTTGTAATAATTATGAAATTTAATTATCTAAGATAAATCAACTTAAAATCATTCTGAAAAAAAATTTATTATATTTACAATAAGTTATTTCATTTATTTGTAAATATAATAATCTATAATATCAATTTAAGGCATTTTAGAATCAACATTCATTAATATGATTTAATTAGGATAATTTATTAAAAATTATTCTATTTCTAATAAATTAAAAAAAGAATAAAATTCTAAAGATAAGTTTTTTATAAAAATTTATCTTAACAATTACTCCCTGTAATAAATAAAATCAAATATATTAATTAAAACTCTAATTTTGAAAAACTTTTTCGGGAAAATAGCATAATAAAATAAAATATTGTTATCAAATATAATAAATTGAAACCTTAACTTCTGAAATCGAAGAAATAAAAAGTTAAATATTTAGTTTGATACATTTAGAAATTTTTTCAGTTGATATCAATTGTCCATTATAAACTTAGGATAAATTTTATCTCAATTATGGATAGCCTCTGATGCTCCAAGTTCAAATAGTAATATTATTAGATATATTATACTTTATTTTTTTACTCATTTAATACTAATAATGTACAATTATCATTGAAACCAAATATGTTTTTTATTTTTCATTAATAACTCTCTTCAATACTAACCTTATTAAACTTTCTCAAATTAGATTTTGATTTTTAATGTCTTACTTGCAAATTGTGATTGTTTTTAATATGACTAATTAATCTATTTATCTATGTACAAAATTATTTTTTAAGACATTCTAAAAATACTTGTTCATTAATTAATTGGAAGAGTTTTAATCAATTTATGCCAAATATTGAGCTTCAATAAAAATTAAAAAATAATATGAATAACTCAATTTTGAGTTAGTATAGAAATATTTACGAGTATGATTGATAATAAAATTATAATATAATGTAACAAGAATAATTAAATTAATAACATGTCATATAAGTCTAACTCTTTGCTTATTTTATTATTCTTATTCCTTTTTCTTGAGGTGATTTTAATATTCATCAATAATTTTTTGCATGCGCTTTAGTTTTTGCTTAAATATAAAAAATAATCATACCTCTAATTATTCTAATTCAACTTTTAGTTAATCTATATTTTTTTTTCTATTACTATAGTCTTAAATTAATTCAGGACGATTCACAATTCTAATTAAATTGTTTTAATTACCCTGTTTATTGTTTTAGTTTAAGATTTTCAGTTCTTAATTTATCTTTAGATTCTTTTTGTTCACCTAAGTTTTTACGTAGTCCTTCTAGTTCATCCTTTTTTTTTTCTAAAATCAATACATATTATATATTACAATTAATTTTTTCTTAATCCTAAAATTTTGCTTTGACATAACCTAATTTTTCTCTAGTATGAGTTAACATTTAGACTGTCTTAGTATTTTTATTTTTCAATTTATGAAGATCTTCATTTCTTTCTTCAATTTTCTCGTTTAAGGTTTGATTTTCAATCTTTAATTATTCAAAATCAATTAAATGTAAACCTTCAGCTAATTCTTCTTTCTTTTTTAATTATTTTTAGTTTTTTGCTAATGTATTTTTTAATCTTAATGTATCGAGTCTTAACTCTTATAAAGTTTTATTTTTTGCTTATTCTTATTCTTCCCATTCAGTTATTTTTAAATCAGGAATAGCTTTATCTGTTCTAGAATATGCAGCCTTTCGTGCAACTTCTCTTTTCAAATCCATAAAAGCTTATCTAATTTCATTACATTTTTTGGATTTTTCATCTAACTTTGATTGTAATTCTTAAGCCATTTAGTTATATCTATCTTAAGTTTATTAAAGGTCTAATCTAATTTAATGTACATGTGCTAAGGTGTTAAGATATTTATGTTCATTCATGGTCATTTCTCCAGTTTTATCAGCATAAACTTCTTATTTATTTCTTATTTATTTGATTTTGGATTATAAATTAACATTATGCTCATATAATTCATCATGTTATCTTTGCGCTTCAGCAATAGCAATTTCTAATTCTTCTTTAATATCTTTATTGGATAATTATTATTCTTTTGGCATTTAAAATTTGTGAATAAATTCGTCTTCTTTTTACTTTTGATTTTCTTCTTGTGATAAATTATCTTTATTTTAATCATCACTATTTTAGTCTTCTAATTATTAAATTGGAGATTCTTATATAGCTTATTGAGCCTATTCTTCTTATTAATGAGCTTATAAATTTTCCTATTCTTCATGTACATATCTAGGGTCAGGATAGAAAATAACTGGAATTCTGAGTTTTAATTCTATATGTTTTAAATTCAATTTTTCTCTTGTGCTTTTTTTATAAGGAATAGACTCTGGTGTATTTCTGGTATATAAATCAATATATTATCTAATATCATAGGTGCATGGTTATCCTTAATTTCCAATTTTAGCAATGAAACATTTAGTTTATCTATCAAATTCAATATGTTCTGGTCCTATTTTATTATTTTCATTTTTATCAGGTACTTTTGCATTATCATTGTTAAAAGGTAGAATTTATAATGCATAAACACCAACTAAATCCTCAAGCATCTTTCCATGAACTAATATAGATCCATCATTGCTATCTTCTATTTTAGTAACACATAAATCTTTATGACTGACTAGATAAACAATAGCAATTTAATTATCATCACAAGCTACACCAATAGCAATATGATTCATTTCATTAGAGAGTAATGTTTTTCTATCATCTTCTACTTCAAAAAATAGATAACCCATTTCCATAAAATAGTCATAAATAACTTAGGCATCAGGAACAACATCTTCTTCAAATTTAGAGACTATCTATATTATTTTAAGGTCATCTAATTTTTTTTCATTATACTTATAAAAATCGATTCTATTTAAATTAAATTAAAAATACAGTTTCTTATATTCATTTTTCTGATTTTTATCATCAAGTTCACCATCATTATCATCAAGTAAATAAGATGCAAATCTTTCTGCTACTATTGCGGGCATCAATTCAATATATAATGGATTTAGTTTCTTATCTTTCCTAACTCGATTAACATTGTCTAATAGATCTCTTTTTACTTTTCTTAATATTTCATCTTAATCATATTCATCATTTTGCTCTCTTCTTCCNAGAATATGCAGCCTTTCGAGCAACTTCTCTTTTTAGATCCATAAAGGCCTATCTAATTTCATTACATTTTTTAGATTTTTCATCTAATTTTGATTGTAATTCTTATGCCATTTAGTTGTATCTATCTTAAGTTTATTAAAGGTCTAATCTAATTTAATGTACATGTGCTAAGGTGTTAAGATATTTATGTTCATTCATAGTCATTTCTCCAGTTTTATCAGCATAAACTTCTTATTTATTTCTTATTTATTTGATTTTGGATTATAAACTAACATTATGCTCATATAATTCATCATGTTATCTTTGCGCTTCAGCAATAGCAATTTCTAATTCTTCTTTAATATCTTTATTGGATAATTATTATTCTTTTGGCATTTAAAATTTGTGAATAAATTCGTCTTCTTTTTACTTTTGATTTTCTTCTTGTGATAAATTATCTTTATTTTAATCATCACTATTTTAGTCTTCTAATTATTAAATAGGAGATTCTTATATAGCTTATTGAGCCTATTCTTCTTATTAATGAGCTTATAAATTTTCCTATTCTTCATGTACATATCTAGGGTCAGGATAGAAAATAACTGGAATTCTGAGTTTTAATTCTATATGTTTTAAATTCAATTTTTCTCTTGTGCTTTTTTTATAAGGAATAGACTCTGGTGTATTTCTGGTATATAAATCAATATATTATCTAATATCATAGGTGCATGGTTATCCTTAATTTCCAATTTTAGCAATGAAACATTTAGTTTATCTATCAAATTCAATATGTTCTGGTCCTATTTTATTATTTTCATTTTTATCAGGTACTTTTGCATTATCATTGTTAAAAGGTAGAATCTATAATGCATAAACACCAACTAAATCCTCAAGCATCTTTCCATGAACTAATATAGATCCATCATTGCTATCTTCTATTTTAGTAACACATAAATCTTTATGACTGACTAGATAAACAATAGCAATTTAATTATCATCACAAGCTACACCAATAGCAATATGATTCATTTCATTAGAGAGTAATGTTTTTCTATCATCTTCTACTTCAAAAAATAGATAACCCATTTCCATAAAATAGTCATAAATAACTTAGGCATCAGGAACAACATCTTCTTCAAATTTAGAGACTATCTATATTATTTTAAGGTCATCTAATTTTTTTTCATTATACTTATAAAAATCGATTCTATTTAAATTAAATTAAAAATACAGTTTCTTATATTCATTTTTCTGATTTTTATCATCAAGTTCACCATCATTATCATCAAGTAAATAAGATGCAAATCTTTCTGCTACTATTGCGGGCATCAATTCAATATATAATGGATTTAGTTTCTTATCTTTCCTAACTCGATTAACATTGTCTAATAGATCTCTTTTTACTTTTCTTAATATTTCATCTTAATCATATTCATCATTTTGCTCTCTTCTTCCAGGACTATGTCTAGATTCTTCACCATTATCTTATTAAAATTAGGATGAACTTCCCAATCCTTAATTTCTTTATACTTGATTATATTGCTATTCATCCTCTTCCATTTAATTACCTTCTTCATCTTCTTCTTCTTCTTCTTCTTAATAATTTTAATCTATATTTTGATAACTGTTAATTACCATGCATTGCTAGATATTATTATTTTTGTTCTTCTGTCATGTTTTCAAAATCAACTTCTTAATCATAATCTTCCATGTCTTCTTCTTCTTACTCATCATAGTATTATTCTGGATCTTAATCACTCATTATTATTTAGATTTATTATTAATATAATCTCAATTATTAATAAAAATGTCATCAACAGGCAACTTGAATGATAAATTTGACACAAGTTTTGTTTATCTCTTCAAATATATAATCATTGGTGATATGGGTATAAATTTAATATATTTCTTAAGCCGTTGGTAAAAGTTGTCTTTTGATGTAATTTATAGACAAAAGATTCAGATCCAAACATGATGTCACTATAGGAGTTGAATTTGGAGCTAGAATCATAAGAATTTAAAATGTTGCTCTTAAATTATCTATATGGGATACAGTATCTAAAATATTTTCATTATTAAGGCAGGATAAGAATCCTTTAGATCAATTACTAGATCTTACTATCGATCATCTGCTGCTGCTATTATCGTATATGATATAACAAAGTAATCAAATTGAAATTTATTTTGTAGGAGAAACTCTTTTGAAAATGTTGTGAAATGGCTTGATGATGCTAGAGAAAATGGAAATAAACACATTACATTCCTATTAGTAGGAAATAAAAATGATTTGGAATAAGAGTATCAATCTAATTTTTATCAAAGGCGATAAGTCTCTTTTGAAGAAGCCAAATAATTTGCTTCCGAAAATGAAATCGGCTTTATGGAAACTAGTGCTAAGACTAATTATAATGTAGACTAAGTATTATTCCATATTAATTTTACTTTATAGATGTTCACTAAATTAGCTGAAATCATTCTATTTAAAATACAAAAAGGAATTATTGATCCTAAAAATGAAGTTAATCTTAATATTATTAATAGAATTTTGGAGTTAGAGTAGGAACTGAGTATCAAAAATATCTTGCATCCTAATCCTATGATTCAAAATAAGATGATAAGGAAAAAAATCAAAAAATAGAACCATCTATAGATGGAAAAAATGTTTAGCTTAATGATTCTGTACCTGATAGTATTTAATAAAAAAAAAAATCTTGCTGTTGAATTTTAGTAATTTTAAAAAAAAGAAATAATATATATATTTAGATATTATTTTCAACCCTATGACTTTATAGGATTAATCATTAATTCTCCATTTTCCCAATCACATTCTGTAACAACTCTATCACATGTAGTAACAAATCCTTTTCCAACTCTCTTATTATTTTAAAAATGTCCTTCAAATTTAGAACCGTCAGTATAAGTCATAATTCCTTAGCCTTAAATAATATCATCATGAAAACCCCCTTAGATAAAAAGAACAAAACTACCTTCGTATATTGTTCCATCATAGAAATATAGTCTACCACGGCCATTCATCATACTCCTTTACCATTAACCATCATATTTAAATCCATTTGGCCATTTGAATACTCCATTACCTTCCATTTATCCATGTTTATATTCTCCATTATATTCTGATCCATCTGCAAATAACATTAAACCTTTGCCATGTTTTTGTCCATTTATAAATTATCCTTAATATTTAGTACCATCTGGATGCTCCTCAATTCCTTAGCCATGTGGTAATCTATTTGAGCAATCTCCAGAATATTAGACACCATTATTATATATTCTTACTCCAATCTATTATTATCCCAACTAAAGAAGTATTGATTTTTAATACATATAAGTCTTTATTTGGAAAGTAAATAGCTCCATCATCCAATTAACCATTTTTCCATTGTCCTTCTAAATAAGTTCCATCTGATTTTAACAGTTGACCATATCCTTAAAATTATCTTTTTTACCATTATCCTAAATATATATCTCCATCCTTGATATAAGCAGGTAACATTCGATAATCATTACTGATTTGTTTATTAATTTTATTATAAGCTACATCTGGCAAATTAGGAATTTGAAATTATCCTTCAAAAACAGTCCAATCAATTGGTTTATCTTCTTCAAGCATTTTTCTTTATTTATTAGCTTCTTATCTTGCCATTTTATTTTTAAATCCTCCTTGTATTGCTATTGCACTTCTTTCTTCATTCTACCTTTGCAATTCTGGATCAACAATATATGATGGAGGTTTTATTTCTACAACTGCCGCAAGTTGTTATGGTTCTTCATTTTTAGGATTTATTGGATCATTTATATTAATTACCTCTCCTCCAAGTTATTAATGTTGTATACAACGATTTCCCATCAGTTAGATTAATGAAATTTAAATTAATCATTCATTTTTATATCTCATTTCTTTTATAATATTGTTTATATCTTATTTAATACTCATTATTAATATAAAATTAATTAATTAAGTTATTATGTCATTATCAAAACTCTCTTTACAATTTAACAATCTGTAAAATAGATTATAATAAAATTAAATATTATGAATTAAAAAGAGATAGCCAAAGAAGTCTTAGCTGTTTCTTTACATATTGCTGATGCTGATAAATTTAATTTAGAAGATTCTAAAAAGAGAATGTAATTGTTAACAGAATCTGTATTAAAAACAAGTATTATTTAATTTGATTATGACATAGATCTATTGAGATAAAAACCTAATAAAAATAGCAATCAGACAGTTGATTTAGAGTTTTAATAAATTGATAATTTAAAAGACCTACTGCCTCATTTGGCAGAATGCAGCAATTTACGTGAAGTATTATGATAATGCATCAATCAAGTTAATATTGCATGGTAATCGTTTACATACCTTACCTGAAGATCTATCTACATTGAGCACTGTTGAAACTTTAGATATTTCCAATAATCTTTTTGATGAGGTAATTACTTTATACAATTTATAGATTATTCCTATTGTCAATGCTTTGAAAACTATGCCTAAATTAATTCATCTTCATATTGGATTAAGGAATATCAATGAAGAAAAATATGTAATCCAATAATTACCCAATCTTATTACATTAAATAATAGAAGACTCAAATTCTTTGATCAATTAGATAGTGATAGACCATCTGAAAGATAATCAGCTCGATCTGAAAAATCATAATAAAGTGAAGTCACTTTCAATTAAGAAGACATAGAAAATGTGGAAGTACTTTATTATCTAATTAAGTTAAAAGAACCTATTTAATCAAATTTGTAATATAGAAAATAATGAAAACCAATCAAAAACAAACTCTTCTTAAATGGCTGATCATATTAAGGATGTTATGATAGATTTTCAAACCAAAGTTGAATAAACTCATTCCAAACATTTTCTTGATACTCATATACTTAAAGTAACCATTATTATTCTAATTAGGCTAAATATGATTTATATGAAATCTGCTTTAGAGAATTGATAGAATATTTTAGAAATAATTAAAATAAACTTGAATAAGTCTTAAGAACATTATAATAAGAACACTCCAATATTTTCAATGATTTAACTAATATCATTTACAATCTTAGAGATTATAAAAAAATATCAAAAGAAAATTAAGAACTTGATAAATTTATTTTCAATAGTGATATAGTCAAATCTTTAAATAAAGAAATTCAACTCTTTAAAGAAGAACATGATAGATTATTAGCAGAAAAAAATAAAATTCTTCAATAAAAAGAGTAATTATATGAATTACTTCATCCTTTACAACAGTAAATAAAAACTTTATAAGGAACTGTTTAAAGTTTAGAATAAGAAAAGGAAAATCTGAATAATATCGTTTCTTAACTAGAGTATTAATTTGCTTAATAATAATAAATTTAGAAATCTCAGAGAGATAGCTCTAAATAAATTGAATCATAAAATTAATCTTTTTAAGACATTCAATCTTTTTCTAATTTATAAACTCAATAAGTAGTAATGCTTGTTAAAGGAACTTAAACAGATAATTTAATATTATTTGAAAAAGAAAGTCAAACAAATGAATAAGAAGATAATATAATGTTTACTAAATCTATTAATGTGCCATCATTTCAATAAGAACTTGAAGATTTATAATCTTAAAATGAATTACTTTAATAAGAAAATAAAAAATATTTAGAAATGATTATTAGAAGATCGAAAGTTGAAAGATCTTCTAACACTATCTCTGAAATCAGCTACAAATAAACTGAAAGCCCAAGTATGATTGAAAAAAAGAGATTAAAAAATTTATCAGAATTTCACCTTCTGGTATAACCCTAATCATTTAGACCTTTAACCTTAAAATAACTTAAAGAAATAATTTAGGATATTTATGAGAGTAAATCTAAACATGATATCCGATAAACTGAAAACAAATTGCCTTTAGAGACTATTGAATAACATATGTACACATACTTATACTGTAAATATGGATTAAAAGTATTTTCATTTATTATAAGTAGAATTTAGCTTTAGAATGGGTTGCTTGCATTATTAATGCTATCTAAAAATATGCTAATGAAGATAATGATGTTAGTGTATTTGCTTTAATTCTTAAAAATAATTTAGATGAAGATTTTAGATTATTGTAATCTTAACGCAAAGAAAAAATTGAGCATATTATCTAAGTAATTATTTGATTGTATTTTTAGTCAATATTGTAAACTAAGTACAAAACTAAACCTATAGCAGAAATTAAAGAAATGGTGAGATAAAAAGTAGCAGGATAAATAACACAACAGGAGGCTATCACTATTTTGAATAGTTTCTTTGTTCAAAAAGATAAAGAAATTCTACTTAGTTAATTAAAGAATCTTTAAATTAATGCTACAACTAGTGTAAGTCCAATTAAAACAGGAAATCAAAATGAATAGTAGAGAGGATCTAGTACTTAAAAAGAACCTATTAAATATGACTATTCAGTCTTTATCAGACTTCTACTTGAATACTTTATGAGTCAATATAAATAATACTTAGCTAATTTTTGTGTCGTATTTAAATCAGTTGATCATGATAAAGATGGAGTACTGAATCAAGTATTTATTTGTTTACATTACTTTTAGCAATAATTTTTAAAATTGACTGAAAGCATTAAACCAAATCTGAATAAAGAGGAATGCTCTTAAATTTATGAAATTTTAGATCCATTTTTAAATGATAGAATTACATTTTCATAAATTGTTAGAGTGTTTAAAAATACTTAATTGTAAAATAATAATGGTGATCTAATATAGTAAATATCTATAGTTTGAATAATTCTTAAACATTATTATATTATTTAATATTTTATTGTTATAATTATAACAGATTTTCATATCAATAGATCAGAAATTTAAGTTTAAGAAATAAATATATTCTTTTAAAGAACTTCAAAATTCTGATACGAAATATGGATTCTTATTCCTATTAATTTTAAAAGGATAACATTAAATTTTATAAGATAAATAAAAATGAATAAAATAAATTGAATTTATTCCTTTTTTCAATAATAATCTGAATCTTTATCGCTTACAGTTGAAATAATAGCTCTTGGGCTATCCATATTTTTTTGAGGTTTAGCTGCAACTTTAGATACTGTTTAAGTTTTAATGACAGAGAGTTTTCTTTTTTTTAAACTTTCAATTTCTGTTTCTTTCATGGTACACTCTTCTTCGCATTCGTGATATAAATTATTAAGTTCTTTAAACTTTTTCTTCCATTCTTCCAATTCTTTTTGATAATTATTAAATTAAGTAGAATTATCCTAAGATATTTCTAAGAGTTTATCCTCTTCTTCTTAACTTTTTATTTTTAATCTAGTAATTTCTTCATCTTTATTCTTTAGAATTGCTTCTAGTTTTTCAACTTAATTTTATAAATCTAATTTTTTTGCTACATTATCTACTTTTAAAGTTGTTTTATTTTACATAGTATAATTACCTTTTTTGATTTAATCTTATAAAGCAGCTATTTCTCTGTTATACATAATCTCTTTTGCTTTCCAAGGTATTAGAATTTCCTCAACACTTTTGAGTTAATAAGGACGTTATCTGTGATGATATTCATGCATATAATTTTAAGGAATTTGTTATGTAGATTATATTTTAGAAGAAGTGGTGGAAATGTTTTATGTTTAGATCTAAGGTTTGACAGTAATGGTTTAGTTATTTTGAAAAGGAAAACCCTTCTAAAATACAATGTTTTTGGTAATATCCTAAATAAAATAGATTTAAATACTTATCTGGGTACATTATGATCTAAAGCTATAGGATCAGAACCATTATTAATTATAAGAGTTTATGGTTTGTTAGTGATTGGATCCCAGGCACTTAGTGTCTACTTGCTACTATATTCATTTCTAGCAGAAATTGGATGATTATATCCTACACCATATCTATCTGTCAATGCCTTTCTCTCATCATTTAATTAGCGCAATCCTTATAATTCTCTCAAATTGAGCATATATTTAGTTGAATAAAAATTAAATAAATTTATTAGTGTTTTAATTATTCAAAGAATATAACTATGTTTATTAGTTTTATTTGTTATATCTTCTTAGATATTCTTTTTTGATTGTAATTATCTGAATAATCTACTTTACAAATTTATTGACGAATTTAATTTATTATTATTAAGCAAAGCAGTATTTTGTTTATTCAAACGTTGATGATTAAAAAAAGAGAAATTCTCATCATTTCTCCTTTACATCTGTTAACTAAATCAATAAGTTTCGATCTATACCTTAATCTTGGTCTATTATTGACCTGAAAATGATCATCAATTTTATCTACAGAATTACTTATAGTATGTCTGAATTCTTAGAGTTCTTCTTTAGACTTGTTAATTTGAAATGCAATTATTAATAGAGTTATATTATCACTACTCTTTTTATAGATAGCTTCTTTTAATACTGAATCCACAGATTAACTCAAAAGAGAATGTAAATTTAATTTGTCATTATTTTTTAAATCTTTCCATATTATATCAGTAACATCTTCTGAATTTAATTTATCAAAAATACCATCAGCTAAATTTCAATATGTTATATTTACATCCCATTACTATAAAATCATGATCCTGATTTAGTTTAAAGATTTTGATTTCAGGTTCTGATATTACAACTTTTGAATTACCTCCAAATTGTTATAACTTAGCTTCAATATCTCCAAAAGTACGTGATACTGATAATCTTCCTGGCATAACTCTAATGGGTCCAACTATTTCTTATCCATCTTCATTTAACCCATGAGTTTAATATATCTTTCCACCTCCTTTTTATATTCTTAATTTTTCTGCCTCAGGTTTATGATCGATTGATAAATTTGTTACTATCTTTCCTCCCTAAGAACTTAATACTGCCCTACTATCTCCTACATTTGCAACATAACAAATTTCCCCTACAACTAAGCAGACTATTGCACATGATCCACTTCTTTCTGGTTTACCTTTCTAATATTAATCCAATGCATAAGCCAAAAAATGAGTCTCAGCTTCTTCAAATCCTTTTTTTAATGCTGCTACTGGATTCCATGGAAATTCATTTTCTTTTATTACAAATTGATGCAAATTATCCCTCAAAAAATCAGCACAAGTTGACCCTCCATGTCCATCATAAACACCAAAAAATGAACATTTAGGCCAATTTTCATCTTATCTATTTTATGGTTTCACTATATTCAAAATTATTGAAACTCTATCTTCATTGTAATCTCTTATTAGTCCTTAATTTGTATTTGCAGCATATGCTTTTATTATACCATTCCTACCAGATGAACACTTTGATGGTTCATAATTTGGTAAAATCATATTTTTTTTTGGTTATTCATCACCTAAACTTTTAAAATTTTATTCAATAGTTTTTCTTATTCCTCCATAAATATCTTATTTTTCTTATTATTTCACTTAGAATTCAAAAGGTCTCTTAGGGTTTTTCTCTTTTTGTAAATATTTATTCAAAAATGATGGTGTTTCTCTATTCTTTTAATTCATTTTTTGTGATAAAATTTGAATTTATATTTTACAATTATATCATCAACGGATATTAACCAATCAATTTTACAGAAATCAGATTCAATAGATACTTTCATAAATCTCCATATTTTTCTAACTTTATTCATTTCCTTGACATATATCAATATGAAAAATTAATTAAATTAGGAAATAAATAAAAATGAGAATGCATAGTGGAAAAAATGGATAAAATTTCAAAAATTCTGATTCACAAAATATTTAAAACATTGAAGCTTAAGAAGAACAATTAAAAAATATATCTAAAAGCTCCAAAGTGGTCCAAAATGCTATTTCTAATCAAAAATAAGAGAAATGATTTATTAATTATAGAAAATAAAAAGTTTCTAAACAATTAAAGATATAAAATTTTTTAGTTTAAATATAATTACTTTCATGAAAAATTAGAAATAGATATGGTTAAAGAAAATAATATCGATATAAATGAAGAAGAAATTTAAATTGATACGAAAGGAAAAATTATAAAAATAAGTTCAAGAATAGATTAAAATAATCGACATTATCAAAATGAAATTAATAAATTATTAAACTTAATAAATTGAACGATTTTGCATATAAACAATTAGCTGATTATGGGTTCTATTAACTTAAATTTAAATTTTTATACAATCTATAATTTTTAAAATTATATTCTATAAAATGTCTTTTATATTACAACATACGATCTTTAATTTTCAATATTTTTCTTGACTTTTTTGTCTAAGGCAATTTCTTAAGTCTTGGGTCTATGATTAATGAAATATTAAATAAAACTAAAGAAGCAGAATCTTATTAATCATAATATTCCAAATAAAACCTATAAAAATTAGACAAAATAATAGAATATTTATGCTGGCAAAGATTCAACCACCATTCATTTATTATTTTAAGCTTAAATATCTTGAAGAATTTTTTGTATCAGTACTTTTGATATAAGAATATTTTAAATTAATTTTCTTGTAATTCTTTACAACAAATAATTATAATCAATTTTTACAATTAGAAAATATTAATACTAACTTTTTTAATATCAAGATATTTTTATATCATGTTATATAAAACTCAAAAGAATCTAGAAACTTTCTTAATAATAACTTTAGTATTTTTATTTTACTATAAATATTATTTAAAATAGATCACAAAATATTAAAATGTCTATCTTTTATAAAAATTGAAGAATTATAATGAGCTTATAAAATAATTGATCTGAGAAGATAACTAATCAATTTATATCAATAAAAAAGGTAAAAATAAAGATATTTTGATAAACAATAATAAAATATTATGTAAAACTTAATGTTTAAATTTATTTAAAAAATTTACTATTTTCTCATTTGGATGATTTTGTTGTAGTTGTTGTAGTGATTACTTAGCTACCCTAATATTAAAGTTATAAATAAAAATTACTTTAGTTCCAGCACCTCCTTATTTTTTAATATGATCTAATTCAGCTTCTGTTAACATTAATTTTTCCTGTTAATCATGAAATTGAGCATTCAATGCCAAAAATTTATCTTTCCAACTTTTGAGTTCTTTTCTAATTGTTTCAACTCTTTGTTCAATAATTTCTTCTTGTTCATCCTACATTCCATCTAATTCATTATTGAGATCTTCAATTTATTTTTCTAATTCTTTTATTTTTTCATCCTTTTCATTAACTTAATCTTTAAAAAAGTTTAATTATGATAATAATTATGAATTTTCTTATCTATATCTTTCAACTTATAAAATTGATTCTTATAATTGGCTTTCCAATTCTGAGATTCTTTTTTGATACAATTTTAATTATTCAGAATCATCGTTAACTATAACTATAAAAATTAGTATTTACCAACTGGAACTTGAGAAGCCAATAAAGCTTTCAATCTTTCTATTTCTTTATCTTATTCTTCAATTTTTTTTTTTAATTCAGCAGTATTATCAGTACATATATGATTTTTCATTTACTCTAAAATAAAATTAATTTTATAATTTACATTTCAATAATTCTAACTCTTTAAGATTATCATTGTACTTTTATAACAAATCTTCATAATCTTCTTTTGTTTTATACAATTCTAATTGTAGCTATTGAATCTATTTTTCCAAATCTTCAGTATCTGCTCCAGCTCTTAATTCAATGACAGGTTCTTAAATAAGAAAACTAATATAACCTGGAGCTTAAACAATTGGTTAGGGCTTTTACTTTTAAAGTTCTCTTAATTATTTTTCAAGGTCTTCTACTTTTTTTCTCCAAATGTCATCATATTATTCTAAATCTACAACATGAATTGGTCTTTACTATTGAAACAATAAATTTAAAATATATACTCTAACAATTTATGGTTATGGTTATTAAACTTAGATTAATGATTAATACATAGCAGGAGGTGTTGTTGCTACAAGTGGTATGGATTAAATTGAATAATTCCTAATAATTAGCTTTATATTACAATGGTACTAATGGAGCTGGTGATATTTAGATGAATCCAGAATGTCTCATTAATCAATTAGTTTTCGAAAATAAATTATATTAATAAATATATGCTAAATCAATTATTTAACATTTGTGATTATTATCAATAAATTTTAATTTCATTACATTTTCTAAACTTTTGATTAGCAATATCTTATAATTATTTTCAATACTTAGAATTCTTTGATAAAATTACAGTAATAATGTAATTTATTTTGTTTATTTTAAATCAAATATAATTATTTATTAATTAATGGACGCCGATATTTTTAAAGAAATGTTTCCTTAAGATTTTATGAAAAGATTTTTGGAGAAAAATGTTAGGGTTGATGGAAGATAATTTAAATAGCCAAGATAGATTATAATAGAATTTGGAGAAGGATTTACTCATTATTAATATGCTGATTGTTTTATTTCAGTCAAATAAATAATTAAGGAAATAGAATTAAAAGAAATAGACCTAAATTAATGCATTAGTATTAGTATTTAATGAGATTAAGAATTATCAATTATTATGGATAATTAAGATGATTTAAGTAATATAGATAAAATTAGAATTGAGAAACAATATCTTAATCAGATTCAAGATGTGATTATGCAGATTATAGATCCATAAAGACTAAGAACTCAAAGTGGAAAAGTTTAATTAATTGAATTACTTATTAGAGTAGCTGGAGCCGATGGATCATTATTATCACATCTTATAAATTGCGTTTCATTCTCTTTATAATAAAGTATTTTATTTTAAATTAATTATTAGTTAGACATTTTGAAACACAAACATCAATTATAAATAAGGAAATCAAATGTTAATCATTTGCATTTTTTGAAGATAAAATACTTATTGATCCATCTGATTTTGAGGAAAGAAACTCTTCTAATATTTCAGTGATATCCTTTTTAGAAGACAAATAGTTCATTTTCAAAAAATATGATGGTAAACCATTAAATTATAATTAAATATAATAAATTATTTAATCGTTTTGATTAATTAAAAATTCTTATTACAAATAAAACAGTATAAAAATATATATCAATATATGATGAAATTTATGTTTTTATCTTGCTAATTTAATTTAATCTTTTATATTAATATACTCAAGAAACTTAATATGGGAAATGAATGTAAATAATGCAAACAAGATTCTTAATCTGTAATTCTCCAAACCTAACAAATAATTTAAACTTAATCTCATTAATATAGTTTTGGAATGAATCACATTGACAATGATATTAATTTTGAGTTCTCTAGTCTTGATATTCATTCTGTTCCCTAATTTGGTCTCGAATAAAAAAAAATTAAAGCTAATCTTCTACCTCCTTAAGCCTTAAGTATCGTTTCAGATCAATTTACTATGACCTAATCAGAAAATGAAGAAAGTTTAGAGTAATAAAATGATTGGGAAGCCAATTGTCAATAATAAATTTAAAGGTTTACAAGTGAAGAAGAAAATTTCATAAGTTTTTAATCAATAAACTAAGGAAACATAATTGGAAATAATTAAACAACATCATCAGAACTATAAATATAATTATAATAGTAATAATAATCTTATAGATCAATTTAGAAATAAAGATTATTAATTTGGGATTCAAGAACTGTCAACTAGGAGTTAAAATAAAAGAAAAAAATCATTTCTAACTCAGAGATTTAATTTAATAAATTCGATTAAAAGTATTTTGCTCAGAATGATGTAGAAAGAAGAAATATTCTTAAAAGGAAGAATGATACTTTAATCAAAAAAAATGAAAAAAAAATTATTAATTCTAATTCAAAAAAAGATGAATTTTAATGTTAGTAAATTAATCGTCGTACATTTTTATAAAAAAGTGTATTTAATGATTATGATTGATACTTATTTAAAAAACTTGATTTATAATACAATATATTGGAAAAATTACAACATTTACATTCATTTTTAAATTAATAATTAAAAAAATTTATTTAATATTTATATATAAGTCAAACTTAAACTTATTGCTTACTAAAATTCTCAAATTTTATAATAACAAGTCTTAAATTAAAAGGTTTTTTATAAAGGAGATTGAATTTTTATCTCAATTTTTTTGTAATTTATGAACTCTTTTACAAAAATAATATTCTAATGTAAAATTTAGACCAAATTTTGAAAAAACAATTAAGATCAAATTTTCTTTTAAAAGAATATTCATCTATATTTTTCTAAAAGATAAATATAAGTGTTAAGCAAAATATTGCGAATAGAAAAACTTAATTTATATAGGAGTAGCATTTGTTTCATATTTCTTAAAGAGAATTTAATTTATCTAATAATAAATAAAAGTTATCATAATAAATAGATAAAGTAATGCTATTATTAGAGAAATTGAGATCAAATTTTAAGAATAAATTAAGATATCTTGATAAAAATTTATTCTTTATTTTTAGAAAAATTGTAATATAAAAGTAATTTTGAGATTGATATGATTAATTATTTTTAAATTTTAATAAAAAATGCAACAACAGGAAAAATAATAGGAATCTAGTGATGAAGAAATCGAAGTATAAGGGTAAGGAGAATAAGATTAACAATAATAATAATAACTTAGTGTTGTACAAAAGCAAACTCAATACAATCAATAATTATTAGATAAATTAAATAAACCTCATTAATTTTGGGAAACACAACCTATGCCAAATATCAATGATATGGATTCCTTAAAACCTGGTCCAATTTAAGAAGGCATTTTAGCAGATGTTAGAAAGGATCCATATAATTTGATTTCTAAATTTGAATGGTGTAATGTTGATTTGAGAAATGATGAACAAGCCTAATAAGTATTTTAAAATTTAATATTAGGTATATACATTATTGAAAGAAAATTATGTAGAAGATGATGACAATATGTTTAGATTTGATTACTCTATTGATTTTCTGAGATGGGCATTATTACCTCCAGGATAATACCCTGATTGGATAGTAGGGGTTAAAGTAAATTAAAAATTGGTTGGATTTATAACAGGAATTCCAGTTGCACTTCATATTGAGAATCAATAAACAAAAGTAAAGATGACTGAAATAAATTTCTTGTGTGTTCACAAAAAAATTAGAGCAAATAGATTGGCTCCAGTTTTGATTAAAGAAATAACAAGACGAGTCCATATTAAAAACATGTGGCAAGCAGTTTATACAGCTGGAATAGTTGTTCCAACTCCAATCTCTTAAACTAGATATTATCATAGAAGCTTGAATGCTAAAAAATTAATTGAAGTTGGATTTTCATCTCTTTCTGCAAGATAAACTATTTCAAGGTAACAGAAACTTTATAAATTACCTGATGAACCAAAAACATAAGGACTCAGACCTATGAAAAAAAAAGATGTAGCTTAAGTTACTAAAATACTAAATGAATATTTAAAGTATTTAGAATTTTTATTTTTTAGAAAATTCAAATTGTATTTTAAATATACTGAAGATGAAGTCAAACATTGGTTTATACCTAGAAAGGATGTTATAAGCACATATGTTGTAGAAAAAGAATAAGGAGTAGTGACAGATTTCGTATCTTTTTATAATCTTCCAAGTTAAGTGATTAAAAATCCAAAATACACTCATTTAAGAGTATTAAGCATTTATGTATAATTAAAGGCAGCCTACTCGTATTATAATGTGGCAACATAAACACCAATTGTATAATTAATGTATGATGCATTAATCTTAGCAAAAAATGAAGGTTATGACGTATTCAATGCTTTGGATATTATGGAAAATGAAAAATTTTTGAAAGTATTTGGTTATATAAGATTGATAGGAATTAATGTTCTGTCCAGGTGATGGTTAATTGAATTATTATCTTTACAATTGGAAATTAGAGAGTAATATGCTTAAACCAGAAGAAATAGGAATTGTTCTTGTATGAGTTATTATTAATAAATATACAAATATAAAATTCAATGACTGATACATATAGAAGTGATATAGATAGAATTTAGAGATTGATCTAATAATTAAGATCAGATATATAAAAGAGAGAATAAAAGATAAATGCTAATTAACCTGTTGGAATGATTGATGGAGAAATTAGAGGAGGAATTTCTAAACTAGGTATTAGAATACATTATAATTTGTAAGATAGAGAAATAGAATTGTTAAAATTACTAATTGAAAGATAAAATTAAAATTAAGAAGTTTTATAGAAGGAAGGAGAGACAAGAAAAAATAAATTATTAGAGTTATAGAATATAGCAATTGATTTAAAACAAAATTTTGACAAATCATTAAAATCTTAATAGGATAATTTGTTTAATAATAGGTCAAATAGTGGTAAATAATATAAGGACACAGAGACTTTATAGCAAATGGATAACAAATAATTACATTAAAATTAAAAATAATTATAAAAAGAGTAAGATTAGAAACTTGATGTTTGTATTGATTAACTAGATACTCTTAAAGTATAAGGAAAGAATATTGGAAATACTTTAGATGAATAGAATAGATTATTAAATTAAGTGGATAAAGAAATGGATAAAACAAATAAGGATATGATAAATGTAAATGGAAAATTGAAAAAGTTTCTTAAATCATCATCATATTGCTGTCTATATTTATTTTTAACATTAGAAGTAGTTTCATTAATATTGATAATTCTTTTTGTATGAATTTAAAAATAAGAATATATCCTCATTCTTTTTTATCTGTATTAATAATAATAATAATAATTTATCAATAAAGATCATCAAAATTAAGAGTGATTTCATGAATATTTCTTTGATTAAATATGATATAAGTATGTTGTGAATTAACTCATAATTATTATTTTATAAAAATCGTTTTTGCAAATGAATAAGTCGTTCTTATTCTTAAGTTTAATCATTTTATTGTCAGATGCAGTAAATATGTAAGATTAAATTGTTGATTATTAGCCAAAATGAGTAGAAATTCTTAGAACCCGAAAAAAAGAAAGTAATTCATATTTAATTGAATGAAAGAGAAACTAAAGTATAAGATAAATAAAACTTTTACAAACTAATTGCAATAAATTAAGACAAATTAGGAGATTCATCGTTTGCTTAAATCCAAAAATCAGGTCCTGAGTATATGAGAATGCATAATTACAAAAATATTCAATATACAGCTGATTTAGGAATAGGATAATCTGGAAATACATTTAAAGTTGTATTAGATACAGGAAGTGCAAATTTATGGATAGATTCAACAAGATGTTAAGAAGAAGGGTGCATGAGACATAAACAATATAATCATGAAGATAGTCAATCATTTCTACCTTTGAATTAAGAATTGAATGTTGAATTTGGAAGTGGTGATTTAAAAGGAGTTGTAAATGCTGACACTGTTTATTTTGGTGAAGTTACATTACCAAGATAGAATTTAGCAGAGATTACTAGTGAAAATGGAGCTATATTTAGAGATTTAGATTTCGATGGTATTTTAGGTTTAGCCTATCCAAAAATGGCACCTAAGAATTTCAATCCAGTTTTTGATAATCTTATGGATTAGAGAGTATTGGAGAGAAATTAATTTGCATTCTATTTTGCCAAAGATGCAAATGATATTGCACATAGTGAATTTACTTTAGGAGGTTACAATCCATCTCATGTGGATGGAGATATTCATTATCATGATGTTATTGATAAATATTATTGGATGATTAAAGCTGATAATATTTTAGTAGATAACAAAGATATTGGTTTATGTCATGGATCATGTAGACTTATTGTTGATACTGGTACATCAATTATGAGTGGACCTTTTGATGATTTAGGTACTTTATTAAGAACTTTAAATGTAAAATCTCATTGTCATGAAATCAATACATTACCTACAATTACATTTAAGATTGATGATGTTGATTATACATTAGAACCTGAAGAATATGTTAAACCAACCAATTTTGATGCTGCTTAATTAACAGAAATAAATGAAGGTGATGATTTATGTATAATTTCATTTAATTCTTTTTAGAAGCATTAATTGAAGTTAATAATTGGGATTGCATTGCTGCCTTTATGCCTTTAGATATTTAATAACCTTAAGGACCTGCTTGGATATTAGGAGATGTCTTTCTTAGAAAATATTATAGTATTTACGATAGAGATAATGATTAAGTTGGTTTTGCAAAAGCTAAAAAATGATCTATAATTACATTCAATTAAAATTTGTTTAGAAAAATACTCAGTATTTTATATACATATGAGTTCTCCAGTCACAAATCCATTGTTTGAGTTTCAATGGTTAAGGAACAAAAACTAATACAAATATAGAACAGTTTGTCAAGAATTATAAACTTAGTTAGATCCATCTTAACTAATTAAATATGCAACAATTATATTAAAAAGGGATCCTTCAGATAGATTTGAAGAAGAATTATTATTAATTGTGAAGGCTACTGAAAATTTACAATTTTTCAAGGAAATGAATTCCAAATAAAAAAATATTGATAATAGACTTCACACTTAATGTTGTTAGAAGATGACTTATAAAGCTTTTTAATAAGGTGAAACTGTATTTAAATAAGGTGACAAAGGTGAAAATGCTTTTATAATTTTGAGTGGGAGTGTCAATATATATTCATAATTAGATCAATATGTAGTTAATGATTTATCTTACAAAAGTAGAAAAAAGTTTGAAAACTGTACATAATAATAAAAAAGAACTCATCCTATATCTGTTATAAATTAGGCAAAAAGAGAGAAGATGAAAAATAGATTTTCATCATCAGTTGGTTTGATGAAGAAACTTAAACGATAAAATTCAAAGTAAGTTGAAGATGAACAATTTCATTCCATAAAATTACTTTAAACTCAACACATTATTGAAGAAGTTAAAATAGAAGAAGAAAAGGATAAGAAAATATTAGAAATATAATATTAAATGGGATTAGAGATGACAGCAGGCATTCCACCATCAAAATTAGATATTGATTATTTTTTTATTGACGGAGTATTTAAACATAAATTTGTCATTGAATTAGTTGAAGGATAAATGTTTGGAGAATTAGCACTCATTTGGAATTAACCTAGATCAGCAACTGTAGTAGCAAAATCTAATTTAGAATTGGCTGTTCTTACTTCATAAGATTATAAATCTCTATTAAAAGATGCAGAACTTAATAAAATTGAATAGAGAATTAAATTTTTTTAAAATTACTTCTTTAGAGAATGTCCTCGATTTGTAACTTTAAGATATTGTTACAACTTTAAAAAGATAGAACTAAGGAAAGGAAACTTTTTAATTAAAAAGGGTGATAAAGTAACATAAATATATTTGCTTAAAAAAGGAGAATTAGAAGTTGTACATGAATAAGAGATTGTTAATTAAGTTTCTGAAGAACAACAATCTGAATTGGCATCATCTGAATAATAATTGTTACTTGCAATTAAACAAACTTAAATGAAACCTCCTAAGAAAATGATTTAATAAAGGAGAATTATTATTTTGAGTGAAGGTGAGATTATTGGTGATGTTGAAATTATGCTTAAAATACCTCTATCTTAACAAACCATTCTAGTCAAAAGTGAAAAGGCAAAAATTTATGGTTTACAAATGAATCATTTCAATAGAATATTAAGCGATTAAACAACTTTAAAAAAGTATTTTTACGATTAAGCTAACATGAAATACCAACACAATATAGGTTTGATTAAACAGATTGATAAATTTCATTAAAGTTAATATGAAAAAGTTAAATTAAATCAACAGCTTTATTTGTTGAAATTAAAAAATGAAAATGATAAAAAATCAACCTTTAATTTGAATAAGATTATTGAAGAGGAACCAGAAGAATTACAATAAGTATAATCGAAATAAAAAACAATGTCTATTCATGATTATGTACAAGAATATCCTATAAAATTAGAAAAGCCTTTGACATTAAGAACGAATTAAAAATAAAGTAGTGAGTTTCCCTTGCTGAAACTCAATTAATCAAACAGTCCTTTACTAGGATCAATGACAAGTAGAATAGATTCTAAAAGCAAAGATATTGAGGAAGATTATGAACTTTAGGTAGTTAGTTTGAAAGGAGTATTAAATAAGATTAAAGGTTAAGTGAATCATAAATCATCATAAAAAATTCTTAGATAAAAAAAGGCAAGCGAACAAGATTTTAGAAAATAAGTGTAAATTATGTAGTAAAATAATGATGAAATAAAAAAGTATGATAGAAAACACATGGATTTAGTTCCTGAGAATGAAAAAATTAAAATTAAAAGGTAACACGAAGCCAGTGAAATGATTCGTTAAGAAATGGGTTCTTAATCTTAACATCTTAAAAAGTTTATTGAATATCAACTAATGAAAACAGAAATGAGTCAAAGAATATCCAAATCAATTGATCAATCTGAAAGATTAATTGGTAATAACACACCTATATCAAAAGGGCAATTATTTAATTGTTTCCCTAGTTCCTATAAATATAGTGATAATCGTACACTAACTGAATCTATATAATCCCCTTCACCTATAACTCAATCTGAATATAAAACTCAAAACTTTTCAACATCAATTAATATTCCCAAACAACCCTTATCTTAGAAACCAATTTTCATTAAAAGTGAGCATAATCTATTTAGGATGAAACCACAATCTCTATTACTTTAAGCTAGATACTCTAATCATAGCGTGGGTAATTGAAATTTGAATATTAATTTAAAGTAATCACTAACTTTAAAAATATTTTTTTTATTAAAGATATATTTTCAAAAAAATAATTATTTTATGTATTATTTTCAAAATCTGCTTGATTTATCTTTCAAAATAGTATTAGTATACTTTAAAAAAAAACTTAATTATTACAGTTTTTGAAATCTTTTAAATTGAATGGTTTATTAGATAGTAAGTATCATTTTAATTGTTAAAAATTAAGTAATGCTTTTTTAAAAAGTTTAAAAAACTGATATTGACATTGATATATTTAAAGTTTAGAATGGAATTTTCAAATAAAGATTATAATATCAAAATAAATATTCATTTGAGGATTAGATATTTTAGTTGAAAGGATTATAAATAAATAATTTATTATTAAAAAAAAAGGTTAGATTGAAAATTTTAATAATTTTTTTTTAAATTTTATATTGAATTAATAGAGGTAATAGATTAAATTAATAATTAATTAATTTAATAATAAAATTAAAAAATAATTAATGAGCAATGAAGAAAATAATTAGGAAGAAGAATAATTATAAAAAAGACAAAGGCGACCAAGATAGCATACTAATGAAGAAGAATCAGATAAATTTTGGAAAAATAATTAATATTTTGCATAAGCATAAATAGATGATGATGATTCAGAAGAATATAATCCATAATAATCATTATCTGGATCTGAAGAAATTTCATAAGAGAATGATGCCTCTGATTTTATAGATTCATTAGAATAATGGTAAGATTGTTCAGATTCACAAGAGTAATAAAAATAAATAGTATAAGAATCACCTTCTTAAAGCTTTATTAAATTAATGAAAAAAAATTTAGAACAGTTTTCTACAATGAGAGGTTTACATACATAAGTTGATATATCTACACTAGATCGTTTAGGTTAAACATCTTATGTTTATTATAATGAATAGTAGAAATTTAAAGATTAATTTAAAGATGTTTTAAATAGATTTTACAAAGCTATTCCTCATGATAAATAAAGAAGAGGAGATGACGATTAAAGTAAATGCAAAACCGAATTTCATGGGGATTTATTTGATTTTGAAGATAAGAGGTATTTTATTGACATTGAAATTTTATAATTGCAACGCATACTGAAGTTATTCAAAAATCAACAATTTGATTCCTATCTTGCTTATAGAAAATTAACAAGAGATTAAAATTTGGATTATGAATAATGTATTAAAAATTAAATAGTTCTATTAAAATAAAAGAAAAGATAATTAGAAGCTTAATAATTAGAAGAAAAAAGATGCTTCGATTTATCTATAGATTAATAATATTTTTTAAAATTAAAAGAACATCTCAAGTTCTTAAGTCCAAGATATATTCAATTTTAAAGTAATTTGAAGTATGATAAATTGTAATAAAATGATACATCTTTTTTAATATATCCTTCTGATGAATAACCTTTCTGGCTTTTTTAATACCAAGAAAAATTTCATCTTTTTAAATAGAAAATTGAATTACTTTAAGCTCCAATTTATTTTTATAGTTTTTCTGATACTAATGCTTTAAAAATCACATCTCATCTTATTTTAAAATCTATAAAATAATTAGAAGAGATATCAAAAGATAAACAAATTACAAAAATATTTATTGTTTTAATAAAAGCTCTCTTTAGTATTGATATTCCTGAATCAGATCTTATTTTCAATTCAGAACTTTTAAATGAAGAAATTATAACTATATTAACTTCTTAAGAAAAATAGAATCTAGCTAATTCATATATGTAAGATAAACCATCTCACATACCAGAGGATCCATTGATAGAAGCTAAAACAAAATTACAATTTTATCCAAATTTCAAAAATGATGAATATGCACTTTATGTAAGACCTGTATTTGAATATTCAATAAGATTTCTGAGTGAAATCTACTTAATTATTAAAAAAATAACTTAAGCAACAACAAAAATAACATACAACAATAAAGAATATATGATTGGAAATTTAATTATAGAATGTTGTTATAAATATTTAGAAGATGAAATTTCATTTGCAGCTTGGCTTACTATTTGTAAATCTATCTTCAAAGAATAGGATTCAATAGAATTATAATCTTTAATTTTTTTAGTGTAAATGTTTCGTAAATTATTTTATTAATATGATGAATGGACAGTTGAATTATTAATTAATTGGATATATAAAGTTTTAGGAGAGGATACAAAAATTTTGAATTAACAAATTTAATTATCTAGTGTTAGTAATCAAAATATTCTAATGAAAATGAAAAACAATGTGGAATTATAAAATGCTAAAATGGCAAGAATTCACATAGTCGATAGATTAATGATCATACATATCTTTGAATTTTCATAATTATATTGAAAAATAACAATTTATATATATATAATTAACAATAATTTTTAATATTAATTTAATTTGTTAAAAATTAAGAAGAGAAGATGCTTAATCAATCAAAATATTCTCCAGTATCCATTTATTAATATATTTCAGATAAATTCATCAAGATATCAAAAATCAATTGATAATCTTGGTTTTAGTAATTCTTAAGTCACTACCTAGATGAATAAACGACAATTGACAGAATTCAGAAAGGAAGTTAGAAATAATATTTTAAATCGTGAACCATTCAAAGAACATCAAGATAAACCAAATATTTATTTTGGGAATTGGGGATAAACTGATAGAACAATTCTAAATAATTCTTAATATTTTAGTGAACCATTAAGTTAAAAAAGGTAACCAACAAGCAAAATCTCTGGAGGTTTAAATTTTAATGAAATATTGTAATATATTTTTATATATTTCTAGTTCTAATAAACGATTTGAAAACTAATCTAAAGCAATTTCTTCAAATAAAATAAAATAAGTTGAAAAAGCACCTTTAATTTAAAATAAATTTGATTCTTTTTTTGATAATTCCTTTACTAAACCTTCCAGAATTAATAATACATTAGGATCTGGATATAAAGAATCTCCATAAAAATCATAAATAAGATTAGAAAGATTTAAAAGTTGGGATACTAAATTAGATGTTCAATTAAAATTATAAAATAAATCCATTACAAATAAAATTGGAGAATAACCATCAATTTATAAATAACTTAATGAAGTAAAATAAGGAGGGTTTACTTCTATTTATACTCCTACACTTTCTGTGAAAAACAGAAACAATGTTAGGGACTATAATTAATTTTAAGATATTTGTAATTTAACTCCAAAATAAAATCTGTTGCAATCTCCTTAGTTTACAAATAAAAAAATAGAAAAAATTCCATTAACAGATGTTGTGAGAATGACATCACATTTTTCTTCATTATCCACACAAGAAATAAAAAAAGTTTCTTCTGGATACTTTTAAGAATTAATAAACTTATAATAATCGTTGTAAAGAATGATTAGACTAGGTACAAATATATATTGAACTTTTAATTATTATTACTATTTAATTTATAAAAGTTTCATTTCATTATAATTGTTGACTTTTTTATTGTATTTCTTAAGATTTTGAAAGCAAAGTTTCCTAACTTGATACACCAAATTATAAAAATGGGGTATTTATGTAATAATGAGGTATGATTTACATAGGCAACTATTATGGAAGTATATAGATCATTTTATATGGCTAAACGGCATTATAAAATAATGGAAAATGCCCATAGCCACTTTGTGAAATGTTTAAACTTTCTTATAATTATTCCAACTTTTCAACTTAATCCTATTCTGCTTCTTGTTTCACTTAACTTTAATAGTTCGAAATTTCTTCTTTTATCACTTATTTATTCTATTGATTTCCTTATTAATCTTAGTCTTATTGTATGTCTATTTTATTTAATTTATTATACTAAAATCTTCTTTATTATTTATTTGATCATTTTGTTCTAATGTAACCATCTATAACTTAACTTTTTCCTAATCTAACTATTTCTCTTATTTTTTATCATCATTTTTTATTCTATTTTCATTTTTATCCTTATTAGACTAGTTTTTTAATAAATTCAGATAATACTATTAATCTTTTTCGTATTTTGAGTTTGTCAATAGTTATTTTTGTTGATTTTTTTGATTTGTTATTTATATTCTCCATTTAAATTGACTATTATAACTCATAATTTGGTTATGGAACAACGTAATATGGATTTTCAATATTAAAATAACGCTTTCGAATATATGAATAATATCTATTTTTTATTATGTTTTCCTTAAAAATAATAATTAATTAATACAGGCCTTCCTTTAAGTAATTTAGATATTTTGCACCATTTAGACCCGAAATTCTTGTATCCTTCTACTATTATCATATCTTCCTCTTTTGTAAAAGGTTCTTAATTTATGTCAGGATTCAATTTATTTACAAATCTTTCTCTGACTTATTTACTAGTACGATTAGGTATACATTTGGCTATTTATACCCAGTTTTTCTTATGTACTTGTACTAATCTCAAAAGTAGCTAATCTTCTTTACTTGTCCATGGCTTACGAATATTATACTTAGAATATACACTAAACTCATACATTATAAGGCTTTATTCTTTTCCATCTCTAAGCACATTAAGAAGGATTACGGTTTTGTAATGCTGAGGCAACCAATAGCCAATTAGTACTATGTATTTTTATGGCTTATTTGAGTTAATTGTCTTCTTTTAAACTCCAAGCTCTTCTCGTTTAACTACCATTTTTTTAAAGTTAATTGTTATCACATTTATTGAGTTGACCTTGCTGAGCTGAATCTTAATTATTTGGTTAAAAAGATTGGACCTGATCCATTAAATTTATTTAATATTAATTCAAAAAACAATCAACAAGACCTTCTATTAACATTAATTACTAGAAAACATTAATATAATATTTCAATTCATAAATATTCTCTCTTTAAAAATAATAAATAATACCTTTAATCAAAGATCAATAATTTTTAAAAATAACTTAGTAAAAGTTGAGTTAAAACTAATATCAAGTTTAGACCAAACTCTTTTCTAAATACTTTATTGTAACATCAATATTCAATTGTATCACCTTAAAGTCAAAGTATCCTTTAAATTATTTAAATTTTTTTACTTATTTTATGTTAAAGGAATTATTAGTATTTAAATAAAGGATTCATATAATCAATTATTTATCAATAAATTCTCCTCCTTTTAGCAATTGATAATTAATACCTCTTTTTATCCACAATCAAATTATCTGCAAATAGTATAACACATTTACTCTGTTCGACATCTTAATAATCTTTGTTATTCTAATTTATTCATGTATTTGAAAATATAAATATCAGTGGAACATTTAATAAATTATTTGAAATTGAGTTATAACACAAATTTTTCTCTTTTTACATTAGAACAGATTTAACATTCTTTGAATATTCGAATCTATAGGAAAAAAGTGAAATTCAATTGTTTCTTTTACTTTGTGATCTAGCAACTAAGGGAATTTAGTTTTAATTTTATTTTATTATTATGTAATTTTTATAAAATAACGTTATTTACATATTTTACATGTTTGTAAAATATTGAATTACAATGAAGTAATGATTATAATAATTTTAAGGATTTATGAGGAAGTTAAAGAGATAGAAACTATCAATTTTTTTGGTTATACCATAAAAATATAATGGATAAATAGAATAAAGAATATTAATTTATTTTTAGATAATAATTAATTTAATGGCTGCTATTTCAACATTGAGATTCATCAGTCAGTTTTTATTTTCACATTCAAATTATAAGGATCCAAAATATGGTTAAGTTTTACATCCATTATTATGCTTTATGATAAGCACTCTTGGTTATATGTATGGAAGCATAAAATTAGAAAATAATTACACAGATCAAACTATTGAAGATGTAATTTAAATTTAAAATTAGTTTTAAGTATCATAAACATCAAGAAACATAATTGCAATAGGATTTCTATTTTATGTTTTTCTAATTATTTTTGCAAGATTTGGTTAGGCAAAATTCACAATATTTTATGAATTAATGTGGGCTTGTAATTTAAGTTTAATTAGTTCTGCATATGCATTTTGGAAGTAAAAATAATAAATAATTAGAAATAAACCATTAATATTAGCTTCAAGTATGATACTTGTTTCAATTGATTAAGTTTTATGGTATGTTGACTTATTAGCTTTTTTTTTATTTAGAATATGGCCAATAGGAGTGGCAAAGTAATTGAAAAATATAAATTAAATAGATATTTAACATGGCCATCAACAACAAAATTGAGATTGTTAACCTCTTTTCATCATATATTTTTTTTACCACTATGTTTATATTTTTTAAGGAATTAAAAAGTAATTCCAATTACAGCATGGTAAATAAGTATAGGTATGGGTACAATTCTGACAATAGTTTCTAGGTATAATTTATAAATGTATTTTAATAGGTTATTGACACCTAAATCAATTTTATTAAAGGGATAAAAGGAAGAAATATATTTAAATTTAAATTTATCAAGATAATTATGGAAAGACATTCCTTTTAAATTTTTAACAATAGTTGATGATAAACCATGGTATTTAGCATTACCTTTTTTGAGTTTTATGTGGAATTCTGGTAATTATATTTTAGGATATGAATTGCTAAACAGAATTTTAAAATATTTGAATTAATCATAAATATTATGATTTATTAAATTTTTATATATTTTTTATAACATTTTATAGAAATCCAGATATTATTTGTCTATTATTAAGTTTGTATTTTTTTGTTAAATGGAACCATAAATATTTTTAGACAAATGATGAGTGATTCAGATTCAGATGACTATGAAGTAAATAATTTCATATAGTCTTTTAACAACAAATAAAGAAAAGAAGGAAATGATCGTTTTAATCCTTATAAGTAAACAAGCTCTATGTTAGATGATAAATATGGAAAATAATTTTTAAGTATATAAGATAAACTCAATCCTAAATATCCATTAATGAATGGAAAAGATTTTGATCATAGAATAGAAAAAAAGAAGATAAATTCTTATTGGACTATAGGTGAAGATGTTCTTTTATTATAATTGGTTGAACGATTTAAAACAGAAGATTGGAAACTAATTTCTGATAAGATTAAAACTAAGGATCATATTGAATGTTCAAGAAGGTATACTATGATTAGAGAACCAGATGAATTTGAAGATGAGGAAGAAGAAGTAGATTTAACATGGACACCTAAAGAAGATTCACTTTTAATATTCTCTTATAGAAAACATAAAGGAAATTGGGTTAAAATTTAATAAAGATTTCCTCATAGAGATAGACCTTCATTATTAAAAAGATGGTCTGAAATTGCTTATATCTAATAATAAACTCCTACTATTTTCTGGGATATTGAAAGAGATACTAGAATTATTTCTAATTTTTTTAATTCACTTAAATTTGGTGATATTGCTTCTGATCTAAGCATTTAAGAAGAGTCTATTGAAAATAGATTCCATTTTATCATTGCCAAATTAAGTGGTTAACTTGAAAAAAGAGGTGTCAAAGTAGAATTACCAAAAAAAGTTTTAGATTCTATTTAAATTACTGAAGCCTAAGGATAATTAGCTTTATAAACTAAATAATAAACTCTAGATATTCAAGATGATTAACATTAATAAAATGATAAATTCATTATCGATAACATTTTAAATGATTAAAAACATTAAGAATCTAATATTGCAATTAATAGTAAAATAGAAAATCAAACTAAATTTGAATTACCTATTTAATAAACATAAATTATTGCTCATTCTAATAATGATTAGATTAAATTAAATGATGAATAAATTATTTAAAATAACTAACAAGATACTCAATAAACACAATAAACTCAAGAAGAACAAAAATTAGGTGAACTTAAAGAAAAAAATATGATAAATGATACACTACTTATGATGAAAAAAAGTTTAGAACAACAAAATTAACATTTTGATTCCTTGTATGATATTAAAGATCTATTATTTTAAAATGTAATATGATTTAAACTTATGTATTTTGTTCTATTTATTCATATGAATATCTATTACCTATATATTCTCATAATATTTATTATTATACTATAAATATTTTTATTATTTAGCTATAATAAAATTATATAAAATGTGGAACTTCACTCCGGCTAGTAAGATTTGTTATATTAAATCTCAAATAAAGGTATTAATTATTAAAGTATTACAGTCCTATGATTAACACTTATACAGTGTTAGAAATGCAAAATCTATTGTAAAAACAAATACTCCTTTCAAACCTTATTTTTCTTCAGTTACCTCTAGACATTAAAATAAATATGAGTATGTGCTATTATTATTTATTTATGATTTAGAGGTAATAAGATATTAATAAAAACAATTCTATACTTATAGACAAGATTGTTAGTATTGACTTAAAATAAGGAGAATTAAATAAGTAAAAAATGAAATAGAAATTTAAACTGAATTTAAGCAGACTATCCATTAAAAGAAATCAATATGGATCAATAGATTATGAAAATGTCGTAAGTATTAATAATCATGATAGAAACTTTTTGATAGGATTTAATCAGCTAAAACTTCATACAATAAAAAACTATAATTAAAACATAATTCTGAATTTAAACAATATAGCAGAAATATTTCTTAAAATGCTCGTATTTAATTTTTATTATTTTATATAGGAAGGTATTCTAATTCTAATATTTCTAAATAAACATAATCAAAGTTGTCTGAATAGTAATCAAGAAAAATCAAAGTAAGATCATCTTCTAATACTAACTAATATTAATATTCAGATGAAAGTAGCTGCTATCCTGATAATTTAATATTTTAGTTTTGAAATTATTAATTTAAATTTTCTGTATTAATAATTTTTGCTTTAATATTCATATAAATTATAAAAGAACTTAAATATTTAAAGAATAAAGAAGCCTTACATAATTAAAAATAAAATCTTAAAAATCAATTATTATAAAATATATATATAAAATTTTAATAAAATCTATATTCAAAATTAAAATGCTAATAATTTCTTGATGCACCAAAACCTACAACTACAATCTTAATTTTCATCATAGAAATTAAGAAGTATGTGAATTTTTATTTATATTATTTGTTTATCTGTAAATGAACCCGAAAGTATTGTAGAGATTGTATCAAAGGTATCGAAAGAACAACAAAATTATTCATTTTTGCCATTGAATTTCAATTATATTTAAAGTTCTAATTATAATAATACTATACTTTATTCTTCTTTAATTGATGATATCTGTGAAAGATCTGAATGATTGATTTCACATTAATTCTCAGTTTCTACTTCAGCTTCACTAATATGCTATTCTTGAATAATTTTATTTAATTATTCTTATTTTTATTCATTTTTTACTTAGAAGGCTTCTACCTACATTTCGTCCTTTACAATTTTAGCCTCATTTTCATTCATTTAAGTATTTAGTTGTTTTAATTTTTATTTTTCAGCTTTCTTAGAAGTCTTAGTAAATTTTCTCTTAGACTATGTGTTTTATTGAAATTCTATTGCAGTTTCATTAATTTCTAAGGATTTAATACACTAATATAGTTATTTTGTTGAATTGAATATATGGTTTATGATAATTAGTAACTACAAATAAATTTGTATTATGTTTATTGTTTTTGGAAGTAGAATACTTGTATAAATTAGAAATATTACTTGATATTTTACATTATAACTGATATTCCAAAGAATATTGAAGTAATTGTATAAAGTTTGTTCTTCCAATCTATTAATAAAAATGTTGATATTCCAACAGTCAAATTAATCATCTAAATTGATATCAGAATCAAATACTTGATTGGTAGGGATTAATGAAGTTAATTAAGGATGTTACATCATCAAGTTAGAATCATTAAATTCAATGGGTTGATTTTCATATATTTGTAATAGTGAATTCAAAGTGAGTATTGAAACAACGATTCTACTAAATGAGTGAGACATTTATTAAATATTATAAGTATTGAGAACCAATTAAAAGAGTATTGAGATTTATCTGAATTAATTCAATAAAAAAATAAATCAAAGAGTTTGTTCACATCAACACGAACCCCCATCAAATTATAGAATAGTTTATAGTTATCAATACGATTGAAAATATTCTTTTATATTCATAAAAAGAAGAGTATTATAAACAAAAAATACAATGTTTTCATATATCTTTTGAAAGTCTATAATTCAATACAACATTAATTATTCCACTTACAATCCTCATCAATTTAAACTGCTTAATCTTTATCTTCTTAATTTTTCTGCTAAATATATAACGTTTAAGATACCATTTCAAGATTTCCTAGCAATTGATCTATTGATAGTAGATGATGCAGAGTTTAGAAAGAAAATTTTTAAAAATATTAGAAAAACTAAATAAAAATGATCTTGTTTATATATTTAAAGTGTTTTACTACTTGATAGTTCATTAAACATAAATATAAATATAAATGTAATCAATTTTATTTTTTTTCTTTTTTCATAAGCCTATGGCTTGCAAATTAATAATTATTCTAGAATATGCTATGAACAGTAAATGAAAGCTATTTGATATTATTTAATTAATATTATCAATTCATTAGAAAAGAAACAACTAACCAAATTGGATATACTGAAAAAAAATAACATCTGAATTTTATAATTGAGAATTTTACTAAGCTATTGTATTTTTAATTATAGATGGATCAAGAAATAAAAGGGTTATTTGTTAAAAATAGCAGGAATTTATTATAAATACTGATATCTTCCATATCTGTATGAATAATAAAAGTTGATGTATTAAAATTAATTTTTAGTTTAAAGATAAATTTTAAAAGATCCATTCATCTTTGATAAACATTATTTAATTAATTAATAAATTATAGGAATTACCTTGTTTTAATTATTATATCTTATAAATGGCTTTAGAATCGTGATTTATGTAATAAAAAATAAACTATTAATTAATTAAAATGAGCAAAAATAAAAGAAATTTTCAAACTTGATATTATATGAATTATTGCTATATAATGTATACCAAGAAAATTTAAGGATAAGAGGATGAATTAAAGAAACAATAATTTACAGTTAATTTTCAAAAATAATTCCAGAAATAAAATAATTTTACTTAAAGAAGTCTTGATCTTAAAAATTAAATTGATTTTCATAATTTTTCAAATGAATTAGCTGATAATTGATTATTTTATAATGAAATAATTTGTAGGGATCTTAGAAATTATTTATGATTATCAAAAATAAAAATTATTTATTTTTGAACATTCAAAATAACAATAAAGGAAAATAATAATTTATATAAAAAAGGATGAATTGGAATCAATCTTAATTTATAATTTTATATGATATATTTATTAATTCAAATAATTTTCATAAACATCATAATTGTAATTAGTATTGTTTTATAAAAATGAAATTGTCTAATTTAATAAATTATAGTATATCACTGATGGTGGAAAAATGATAAATTTGATTTTTATAAGATGATAAAGAAGAAGAGAATTACAAAATTAGAGTAACTAAACAAAAAAATAAAAAAATAGTGTTTTGATTATAATATTGTTTTGTAAGGTATTGAGAATTTAAAAAGTGATAAAAGTATTAATTATGATGAATAAGTATAGGTAGCAATAACGATTTAATTTGCAATTTTAATGTACATAATTCATCCAATCATCTTAATCTTCTAGCTTCTCTTTCACATTCCATAAGCTCTAGAGTGTCTCCCTTTCTAACTGGACCCATAACATTTCTAATTAATGTTCTTTATTATCCAACCAATTAAACTTTAACTTATGTAATACCACCTCTAGATCCTATACAAATTATTATAAATTTTATTACCTGTTCTACCAATAATTTCAATAACAGTAGCTCTAGTTCCTTCAACTCTTTCTTTAGTGGAATCCATAGTTTTGTTTGTTAATTTTTAATTAAATGATTTTAGATTTAATGAACAAATTCATTCATTATATATATATACATTAATTATATAAGAATTAAACAAGGAATTTATATATAAGTAAGACTATGAAAATATTTTCTAAGAAATGCATAGTAAATTATAAATCAATTATTTATATTATTAATGAGACTTGCGGTCTTATACATAGAGATTTAATTTATTAAATAAAATGTCTGAAAGTTCCCTATCTCCACTTGATTTTTATGAATTAAAGCATGTTAGAACTATAAAAGTTAATTAAAAAGATTTAAAGTTTCAAAAGAAAAGAACTTTGTTATATCAGAATAAAGAAATGTTAGAGAAGGAGTATCTGAAATTAAATTAAAGTTGTAATTGTTCTGAATGTGGAAAAGGTAGTAAATATTTTGAGATGATAAAAAAGCTATATCCTTTTAATGAATCAAGGTATGAATTATTAAAATTAAAGATGGTAGAAAAGAAAAAGAATATTAAGGAGATTTAAAGCTGTAATTAATGCAATAATTTTTATCCTAACCTATAAAATGGAGGCAATAAAAAAGTTTAGAAAGAGAATGCATATCCTAAAGGCGGTTCGTAATTTGACAACTATGAAAAAACCATAATAATTAGGTCCAGCCTATATACAACCATAACCAATTATTTTAGTTCCATAATCACATTAATCTTAAAGGTAAATATATATTCAATAATCAAAGAATAAAAACAACACCTGAGAATGATGATGCTCTAACTCATTTAATTTAAAGTCATGGAAAAGAACCAAGAAGAAGTTAAATATCTTAATATATGACAAAAATGTTAAAAGATTCGAATTAAAAATCAGAAATTTACCTTAAACCTCTAAGTTATTTAAATAGAAAGTCATTTTAATCAACTAATACAAAATCAATTACCTAAACTTCATTTTCACCTCAAACTCACTCTCATTATTAATCTAGTTTAGTACCATATAGTAATTTTCACAAAGATTCGATTAAAAAAATTTAAAAAGATTCTTAAAAATTTAATAATAGAGATCTTGTGAAAATTATAGATTCGATGAAAGTTAAACATAGGATTATTTAATGTAAAAAATGATTATAATTTAATAAATAAATAAATTATTAATAAATAATACAATAATTATTAGGCTGACATTTTATATTGAATATACTTTTTTTTCAATTACTAATTTCTAAAAATAAACGCAATGATTTAAAAATGCAATAAATTTTAATTAATCAAATTTGAATCCCAATCTCTGGTTTTATGATACCATCAAAAAAGCAAAAATATTATAATTTCAGAGTATTTTTATTTGCATTTTCATTGTAATCCTATTTAGTTTCAACAAATCTCTAAATACTTAGTTAGGCTTACCAAATGCATTACCAAGGACTATTTAAAATTGTTTTTTAAAATATTTTATCTTAAATGATAAATTCTAAAAATCATAAAATCGAATATTACAATCTGAGTTTTAATTATAGCTGGTGTAATTTTCTCTCATTTTTGCAATTGATGATATGACAACTTATACACCTTTTTTTTCTTTTAGTAAAGCTAAAAGTTATTAAATTTCATATAATTGATTTTCGATCACATTCATTTAGGCTGTTTAATATAATAGAGAACTTAATCCATCAATTATTATTATATTATAATCTAAAGTAATAGATGATTAAATACGCTATTCTTAACTTTCTATCAAAATAGAAAGTAAAATAAATAATTCTTTTGGTTATTTCATTTTAAGTACTTTAAATTTTGAGTTTGAATACTCTTCATGAATACTTACATAAAGAATTTATATATTTTTTTAAGACATTGTTTCAGCCATATCTCTTAATATTTGAGATTTAAAACTTAAACTTGGACCAATTATTTCTAAAGACCATGCAGTAGGTTATAAGTAATCATTTAATTATTTAAATTTTGTGAATTCTAATTGTATAGGGATTGCTGGTTTTTATAATTGATTGATTTCTAAATTCTTTTTTTTAGTAACAAGATGATATAAATAATCTTTCTCTTAATATAAAATGTCAGATGATTATGTATCAAGAAAAAGCCTTTTATCAAAAAGTGCCAGTTACTAATCTATTATAAATGTTAAAAATTTACAATTAGAAGCTCCAATTCTATTGAATATAGATTCAAGTGTTTAGAAATTAAATACATCTTAATCCATTAATTATTAACGAATTTATTTAGTAAAATGGATCAAGTTTGTCAATAGAAAAGAAATCCAATAAAAAATCAATAAAGTATAGGAGGAAACAAAGAATTACTTTCATACAAAAGGATAAACTCTCCTGGACTTCCTAATTCATCTTTGAGAACAAGTTGCAAAGTAGATAAAAAAAGATTAGAAATTGGATTGATAACTGATCGCAAATTAAGTGAAAGCCCAAATTTTGATAGAATGTTTTCAACTGGAAACTTTAAAATGTTAAAATAGAAGAATAGTGTAATTGATATTCCATAGCAATTATCACAAATTCCAAAAATAGAACCAAAAATGAAGAGAAATTTTAAAATGATTGAGAAATTGGAATCAGATAAACTTTGTTTAAAAATCTATATATCAGAAGAAGATTAAAATTAATTAATATTTACAGGTATTAGTAAAGAAAAATTATAATCACCAAATTAAAATAAAAAGGCATTAATTAAAAACTTGAGGTAGCTATTTTTAAATGATATAGCTGAAGATAACCATTATATGAAATAAGAATCTTTATAATAAAAGAATATAAATTGTGAAGATTAATTATATTATGGGTTATTAAAAAATAATCACAGTAATTCTAACAAGAGAATCTATACTTAAACTAATGAAAGTAAATCTAATTAGGATAGATCACTTTCTATTTCTACCATTTAAGAATATAAATCTAATATTTCTAGCAAAATCAAAAAAGATATAGAAATTTTGGATAGAGGATTGAATAGATAAAGAAAAAATTAAGAATAAAATTCCAATTCAAGATTTTAAAAGTCTTAACCATTAAGCTAATATAATTTAACGATAAATCTTAAATGTAAATAAAAAGGTTGTATAATTTCATCTTAAAATAAAAAGGCATCTTCTCCTTCTTTCTCTTATTAACGAAATTCACAATAAAAATGTATAAATAAATAAAAATCAAATATAAAATCATTGCAGGTTTGACTGTAGATCTTGATAGAATGAGATTCATTTTTCAATCATTAATATAGATTTATAATTAATTTTAAATAATGTTTAAATAAATTAGATATTACTTGATAGTATAATTTATGGATACCAATCTAACCAATCATTTTAACAATTTAACCATAGAATTCAGTAATTCTCTTTAAAGATTGTGCTTTCTTTTTCATATCTCTAAATCCATGGATGTTACATAATCTTATAAATACTTGTTCTTTTTTTAGGTTCCTTTAATAATTTGGAAATTCAAAAATTGCTATAAATTATTTTATTCATTATATCTTTTTTTTAATTATATTTAATTATGGAAGCATATGGTAAATTCGATTTTGAGGGAAATCAAGACTTTCAGCATTATCTTTCTAATATTTTTCCAACTCCAATTAACTTAGAAAAATACAAACGTAATTGGTATAAAAAACACTTTGACTAAAATTTTGTGTTAATAAAAAATAAAAAACTCAGAAACAAGAACAAACTACTAATTAACAATAATAATAATAATAATAACATTAATATTAATTATTTTAAAGAAAATAGTCTTAAATATCAATTTATTAGTAATTGAAGGAGTACTAAAAGTATTATATTTTCCTTCATTATTGTTCTTATAAAAACCTGAATTGCATAAATATGTGAATTTAGATAGCGTTTTCATTTGTTTTATGGTTCTTTACAGAATTAAAGGATTTCTAAAAAAAGGAGAATATTAAGAATATTTTGCAAAATGTCTTAGAATAGAATTTACAACTAACATTTTATATATGATATCTTTTTTTGCAATAGATAATTTTGTTTTTTAGATGCCAATTGCATTACAAAGCTTAAATTATCTAAGGATATATTTGATGAATTTTCTGACTCAAGTTTAGGCTTGTTTTTGAAACTTAGTTCATTTATAATAGTATGGTTTAGAAGGATTTAATTGAATGATTAAAACCATTTAGAGACATCATTCGCTTCTATTCTATATCCTGAATTTAATTTAATTCTTTAATTGATTCAAATTCTCCCTATTTCATTACATGATATTATAGAAAATCACATATAATAATTAAGTTTAACTACTTGTTTTTTTTATAAAAGAGCTTAATTAAATATTTATCTTAAATTAGTTAAACATTTATTTAAATAATATCCTAATAATTTTCAATAAGGCCTAATAAAAAGTTTCCACTTATTTATAAGGATTTGCATAAATAACATATAGAATGATTCTAATATTTCATTAAAATCTAGTTATAAAGCAAAATAGTAAAAATTTTATATAAATCCATCTAAATTTCTTTGTTAATAAAATTTTTATTACCAGAAAAAAAATTGAATAAATATATTGAAATTAAAGATGAATAATGTTTTGAAAGACAGAATATCAAGTTGGAGAGTAAATTATTTAAAATCAATATTTAGTAATTGTTATTTAAATTAAAGCAAAAATGATGATCAATAAGATTGATAGAAATATTTTTAATTTTTAGCTGGTTTTTAAAATTTTGGAAAAAAATTATATGATATCAGGAACGTATTTGTTTGAAAATTATTAAATATTTTGCTTAATAAATTTTAATAAAATGGGTAATTGTCAATGTAGAAAATATTTTGATTCAGATTAATCTAACAACAATAATATTTAAGAGATAATTATAAATGAGGAATAAAATGGAAATATGAAAGAAGATAGTGAAAAGGAATTATTCATAAAAATAAAAACTTGGGCATAAGAATCATTTTCTCTATTTGATTTTGAGAATCAAAGTCATTTAAAAGAATAAATAATTGAGGTATGTGGATTAATAATAATAAGATAAGATAAGGAGGTTATTTAATAAAAAATAATAACGAATTGTAATGGATAGATGATGATGTAGATTGGAATAAATGTGTGATAAAATAGCATTAAATACTATTCAGAATAGAGAAAATAAATGGAGTGTTTACAATAATAAATAAAAAGGGAGAATGCAAATAAAATTAATAAAATTGGAAGTAAGATTAAATGGGAGTTGGCAATAGAGATTATTAATAATCTGAAGATTTAGATTAATTTGAAGGAGAAGAATTTGAATAGTCATAAGAATTGATAAAAAGAATAGGATAAAATAATTAAGGATTGAGTTAAAGTTAAAGAACAAATACAAAATTATTAGATAAGGGAAGTAGAATATGGTTAGTAGTTAGATCAATTTAATAAATGTTTAGTATTGAAGGTATAAAATTAAAATAAGGAGATGTTATAAAATTTGGAAGAGTGAAATTTAAAATTAGGGAAATTCAGTTAAATAAGAAGAAATAATTGTATATTTATAATGTTTTTATTCTTAGATGTGATTTAGAATCAGCAAGATCTAGTTAATCTGATGGTATTTCATGCAGAATATGTTGTAGTGGTTAAGATAATGAATCAAACCCTTTAATAAATCCATGTAAATGTACTGGATCAATTAAATATATCCATCTTAATTGTTTAAAGAAATGGTTAAAATTGAAATTCTAAACTAAACATAGTAATCATTGTATGATTTATATGTGGAAAAATTTAGAATGTGAAATATGTAAATTTAATTATCCTCCAATTTTTAAAAGTGATGATCATGTTTTTGATTTAATTGATTTAAGTAAACCTGTAGATTAACCTTATATTTTAATGGAAATGATTTAGAAACATTAAGTAAATATTTAAAAAAATCATTTAGGATTCAAAAGTTCATAAAAATAATTAAGATTCTTCTTGGGCTCAATGTAATGGAGTTTATATCGTGACTTTTAATAATAATAGTGATGATAAAGTAGTAAAAGCTAATGAATTATAAATTGGAAGAGCCTATGATACTGAAATCAGAATTAATGATATATCTGTTAGTAGAAATCATGGAACTCTTAAATTAAATGATGGAAATGTATATTTGACAGATAATAGTTCCAAATTTGGATCATTGATATTAATGTAATAAAAAGTCATACCATTGAATAATCATTTAAATGGAATTGAAATTTAAGTTGGAAGAAGTATTTTGTAGTTCAATCTTGGAAAATGTTCATCTCATTATGCTTAACCTAATAAATAATAATTTTTAGATTCTGATATTTTTGAGTAATCTATATGATTCTAATATAAGGAAAATTGTTGGCCAAGATTTACAAGATGAAGATCTACTTTATCTTTGATGAACCTATTTATACTTTTTCAATTTTATTATAACAAATATTTTCATTCATTTCTTAAACAAACTTTTAAATCTGAATTTTATTTTGCTTAACTTAAATTTCTTTAATTTCTATTTATTATTCTTTATTTTATTCATCTTCTTAATTCATTAATCCATCTTTATAATTTTTCTAAATACTATTTATTGGTTTCTACTTATTCATATTGATTCCAAAATTAATCTAATCCTTAAATTTAACAAACTTCAATAGATTTAATTTATTTAGCTTTTCACTTACATTCTATAAAAATTTATTCTTAAAAAATATTTTTCTTTTTCATTTCCTCCTTCTAACAAATTAATTTTCGAAATATAAATAAGCCTAAAAAAATATTTGGACTCTTAAAAATCAAAGGAAAATTAAATTAAAAGTTTTTCAAATCTAATCTTCTTTTTATTTTCTGAAATATATTTTTAATAATATAAGCAGCTAGTTTTTTTTTCCTAATATAAATCTCTTTTTAATAATATTACATAAAATAAAGATTTTCAAGTCCTTTTTAAAATATTTTTAAAATAATAAAAGCATTGATTTTGATAATATATTTATTAAGAAATCTTGATTAATATTATGATGTTTTTGCAAAAATAAAATACAATCATTAAGTTTATTATTTTCTGAGCTTATTTTAATTAATTAAATGCATTAGTTAGTCTTTTATACTTTCTTTGATGGAAATATACATACTAGATGCTTCTATGATTGAATATGTTTAATAATTTTATAATAACAAATTAGATATAAATAAAAAATATTATTAGACATCAATTTATGCAATCAAGTGATTTTGCTATGATTCCTTCAATTTTAGTTTAATCTCCAATTACAGTTTCAAGATACTCTATTTATCCTGTCTATTTTCTATCCTTTAAAGATCCTTTAATTTGAAACTCTTTTTAATCTGCCTCATTTAAAGTGACTTCTGTAATTTTAATTTATAATTCAACTTAATTTTCCAGAATCTCATTCTATTCTAATGTATTATGTATTTTTATTACTATTCATAAAGGCATTAAAGCTTTCATTCCAAAAAAATGATTTTTCATTGATTTCATCTTCAGGTATTAAAACATTAAAGATATTAAAGATTTAAACTATCATATGGGATTTAAATTATTAAACCAATCTTCCTTTTACTAAAGAACCTAAAAAGAATATATATCTATTTTAACCTGAGTTTAATTGCAATAATGTTACTGTATATTCAATGTCAATAAACATTTAAGGCTAATCATCAAATGTTTCAAGATATTCAGATACAATACTAACTTTTTTAACTGCAATGACAATGCTCTAAATTATTAAAAAATTTACAGGAATTGAATTATGTATTCTGCATGTAAAAATCATCTTAGGAATAACATTTTAAATTGATTTAGATATATTTTTTAAATGATATGGCATTAAAACAATTGTTGTTTATTCTTTGAAGCTGGTTAATTGCAAATTATCCATAATTATTCTTTTAATTAAATAATTTTATTTACTTTATTATAAAAACAAATAAAATGCATAAATTTCTAACAATTTCAAACTCTATTTTCATTTCATTCATATTTTTGCTATCTATATAAATATAATTTTATTAAAGTATAGTATTATATAATTATTAATAATAAATTTATTAATGAAGAGATCTACTTAACCTTAAATTATTGTTTCCCCTATTCCAAAATAATTAGTAACTGAAGAGGATGATGACTTAAGAAATCCTATGTTAGATTCATTTTCATAAAAGTCTTAATCATCAGAGCCTGGTCCAGCTAAATAAATGAAATTAGTATTAATTTAAAACAAAAGTGATTTAAGAAAAGATCCTTTTAGATATAATTATTCGATCAGGAAAATAAATTCGGAATCCAAAAAAATTTCATGCTAAAATAAGTATAAACAAATGGATAGCTTACTCCCTTTATTGAAATTAGTTTAATTAAATTAAAGACAAAATAAAACTGAATGTTTTAATGGAGAAGAAGTTACAATAGAATAAAAGGTTTACTTTAAAAATTCTAATGAAATTCTAAATATTTTTCAAAAAGCTGCTGATGGAGTCACTATAATATTCGAAGAAACTGATGATGTTTAAGGCAAACAAATGAAAAAAAGTGTTCCAATTTCAGAAAAAATGATTAAATCTATGAAAGCAATTAATACCTTTAAGAAGGCTAAATATAAACTAAGATCATTCATATTACCTCAAGAATCCTCGAAATAAACTGAGCAATAGATTATATATAAATTACAAGTTGAGAATTTTAAGTCTTTCATTCATGAAAATACAAATATTAAAAAGAGTGATCATTAATTAGGAGGATAAATAATCAAAACAAAACCTTAAACTCAAAAGAAGGATCAAATTGATTAATCGCAGAAAATAATTTAAGAAAAGAAAGAAAATAACAAAGTACCAAAACAATTTTTTCTTTTTATAAAAAATTCTAAAATAATTTTAAAGAAGATATTATTTATAATAGCAGTATTTTTGATAATTTTCGTAATGGCATACATTAAGACTTTAAATAGTGTAACAATTCATATAGAAGATTTGTGAATAATATTATATATATGTGTAAATTTTATATTTAAAGCTAGTTAAAAGTGGAAAGACATAAATTTAAATAATTAATAAAATAACATAAATAATTCGTTAATAATGAATACTTTAAATAACATGACAAATCCTTATAATATGCCTTAAACACCATATGGTGGGATTTTGGATGCAGATGGATGTAGAATGCTTGCTCGAAAGATTTTCTAAACTTATGATGGTAAAATAATTGAATAATTGTGAATAGTTAGTAATAAAGGATACATAGATGTTGTAGATATAGGATCTATGTTTAGTGATGCATATAGATCTTAAAATATAATAACTAAGCCTAAAGTTAATGAGACTAATGGATTTATGAAAGCAATTAACAGTAAATTAACAATAATATAATTATCTTAGAAACTGCATAGAACAGATTAACTTTGTAGGATATTGAATAATATTGTTTAAAAAAGTTTTGTGGGACTTAATATTAATTTAAGCAATAATAATCAATGAATAAGTAATAGTTTCTTATTTATTTTAGATAACCAAATTATATTGAAGAGCGTTTAGAAGTAGCTAGAACATTATTCAAAAAACTTGATGCTGATGGTTCAGGTTATATTACAGAAGATGAAGTCTATGAAATTATAAGAGAAACTTATAGATAAATGGGTAATTGTCTATTTAAATTCAGGTATAAAATATGAACCAACAGCAGATGATGTTAGAAGTTGGATACATATGACTGATTCTGATGGAGATGGAAAAGTTACTCTAGAAGATTATGAAAATTTAGTTTTGAAATCTTTGTAATAATAAGCCATCTCTTATAATTTGAGTTGATTTTATTTATTATTATTATTTATATTATAATCAATATGGATAATTATGAATAAGTTTTATTTCTTAATCCTACTCAATTATAGTCTGTTCAAACTTAATTCGAAAACATTAATAAATAAGTCATTTAGCTATTTCAAAAAGTATAAAAAAGCATCATTAATAGAAAAAATATAAAAAACTTTATTCGTTATTATCCAAATTTTTAGATCGTTATGATCATACCAATTAGATTCATTTAAATGATAGAATTCATTTTTTAAATATTTTATTAATGTCTTTAAATAAAATATTTAAGAAAACCATATTCAAAGATATGACAAAAAAAAACTTGATAGACATTAAAATTTGGAAATAGAAAATACTTAAATATCTTGAAACCTATCCCATTCTCATATTAAAAATTACTTAAAACTTTGAATTAGCTTCTATAGATCCTAAATAAAGAATTAGAGAACAATTAAGAAATTCCATCTTTAAAGATTAATTAGAATAATAAATTTAAATTATCAATACTAGTGGAAAACTAAAGTTAGATTAAATAACAATTAATTTTAATCTAAATTAAGAATATGAGATATATTTAAAGAATATAATGATTGCTTATAGATTATAAAGTTATTAAATAGATGCTAAACCAAATGAGAAACTTAGATATGCAATTACATCTTATGAAATTAGTAAAATATTACTTTAAGGTAAAGGCAAAAGAGTTTCTAAATTATGTTAATATATTTTATCATCTACAAATTTATTAAATAGATATTTCGAATCAAACAATGATTAATGTTTTTAAATTATTGAAGAATTAAATCATTCTGATGTTATTAAATATTTGATCTTTTTAGTATAATAGATGGAGGTTTATAATGATTTTAAAAGTAAATTAAAATGCAAATGGAAATTTGGCAAAATATTGAAACCTTTTATTTGGTTTTGGATCCAAACAATATATTATTATTAATCAATATTTAAATTTTAAAGATGTTACGATATAATAGGAGTACTAAAATGGTTAAGTTCCCATTATTTAATTTCAACTGATGAATTGTCTACATATGTATAAAATATTTATACAATCACCAATGGTAAAAATAAAGAATATATTACATTCAATCAATTATTAGAGTAAATTTACTTAAATGAAGATATAGGAATACCTAGAATTAAAACTTTATATCAATAAAATGATACAGAACATTAAGAGCTTTAAAATTATAAATAGACTATTAATTATTATTATAATTAAAACAATAAAGATACTATCTCATCACCAGAGTATTTTTATTGTAAAAAAAATGCATAAATTAAAGTAGCTCATAATTCTGAGCTTGCTTTTATTGAACTTAATAATAATGAGAATTTTAGTTCAATTGATACTAGAATATCTAGTAATACATTAAGATTCCAAAAAAAAGAAAATATATCAATTCATGGATCAAAATCATTTAAAGGATCTTTATCTTAAATCTCTAATAGTTTTTCTGATAAAAAAATATAAAATCAATTATAAAATGTTTAATAATTTCCTTAAACAAATGTTTAGCCTACTACTTAATTTTTAGATAAAATGATTAAGAAAATGATAGAAAATAAAATTGCAATTGATGATATCTAGTAAATTATCTCATTTATTTATTTTATAGATGTAAGGATATGTAATTGTAATAATTGTTGAGCAAAGAGAAATTATAATAGAAGGAAAGTGATTTTTACAAAAAGCTTTTAAGATTTAAAACTTAATTTTCTAAATTTGTATTGCCTGTTAAATAAATATCCAAATAAGAAGTAATAACTAAATAAGATTTATAAATGAGAGTTATTAACAAATAAATGTATGTTGATTCATTAAATACTAAACCTAATCAAATTATGACTAAATAAAATGATCTTGATAATTCATTATTATCTTTCGAAAAGCCAGGAGCAAAATTAGGACCTCTATAAAATCTAAAAAAAATTATTTTCAATCATCCAGAAGTATTTTCTCTCTAAAAGTTTAGAAATAAATTAAAATAATCAAAAAAAAAATGGTATAATAGATCAAATAGTGTTAGAATGACAAATGCAAGTATAATTATCTTATTATTTTAGGAAGGTCTGTAATGATTATTAAGACAAAAGAATAACATATTTAAGAATTAAATTCCTTAAGAGAAAGATCTATATCTTAATTAAAAAAGAATATAAGTGAAACATAACTTGTAATCTAAAATGTTGATAAAGAATTGAGATGTAAAAGTGTTAGATATAGATAATTTCGATAAAAAACTGAATAACCTTTTTAAATTGAAAATAAATATTAAAATCTAAGCAAATCAATAACTAAATAAGAATAAACGAAAAAAATAATTTGATTTATTTATTATTATTCTTCATTATTTGGTTTGTATTAACATGAAAAAATATTTAAAATAATTTAGATTTTAACATATTTATGTTAAGAAATCAAAGCAGCAAGTTTTTTAATTGTTTATAGCTAAAACTAAAAATCAAATTAATAGTTATACAGAATTCTAACATTTTTTATTATGAGAGTAAAAATTGAATTAATAAAAAAATATAGTGTAATATTTACTAAATAATTCATAAAATGAAATAATTTAAGTTATCGAATTGTAAGATAAATTTTCATTCTCTCAGAAGAATCAATATTTTTCATTAAATTATTTAATAATTAAACTCTCTTCTATCTTTTTATATTTATGAGAAGAGATTTAAATAATTCTTAAAGTTAGTAAACAACAGAAAACATACAACAATTAGAAACTCTGTAATTAGCTTTAAATATACACAAGATTTCGATATGAATAGGCCCATGAATTATTGACTTAAGCAATACTTTCCAATTCTGTCTATGCAATAGCAGTATTGCTTTTAGGTTTTGAGCTTGCCTATGATGGAAATTTGTTATGTGTGATTTACTGCATACATTCAAAATTATTCTTATAAATTCTGCATCAAATATACTTTTATAGAATTTTTGCTAATAAAAATATGTAAGATCATGTTATATATGATTATTTTTAAGTAAGTACAATCACACTTTTATAAGATTACTTTAAATATTTTTTGAAGAATGCTTTGTGCTGGCATTAAATTTTTATGCAATCAATAGAGATAATGAGTTAATTCTATTTTCAAATATATTCCCTGTTATAAATATATTTCTCTCATTAATAGTCAAGATTAATGAAGGAAATTAGTTTTTTAAGGAATCAGTATAATAAATCAATTTGTTTTATGTATTTAGAAATATTTGTATCTTATTAACCTCTACTTTTTTATGTTTAAAGATAGAAGGATATTTTGATATATAATGGTTGTATACATTATGGATATTCTGGCTATTATTTAGTCTCTTAGCATCGATAGCATTATACTACATTTTTGTTGTATTAGCATTGTGTATACAAGTTATTTTAGAATAGTGTAATCGTTAAAAATGCTTAGGTTTGTTATTTTAAATTATTATAGTGATAACTAATATTTGGATATTGCTATTTTTGATATCTTGTTCTTCAATGCTTTTTATGATACCGATGTCAATATTGAATAATATTTTTTAAGGCACATATTATAGAGCAATTGAAGTGGACAGAATCATTTTAATTGTCAACTAAATCATTTTCACTTATTTTTCTTTTAAATTTAAACCAGAATTGATATCTTCATTGTAAATATTTTTATCACTAAATGATTCTATTAATCCACTTCATAGTGTGGCAACTTAATAAGCAGATGTTTAATTACAACAATTTAAATAAAATTTTATAGAGAGTCAAAATTCTGAAGCTTAAATGTAGATTCCAAAAGTAGTTAAAAGAATTTCGAAAACATATTTTGGATTTGATGATCTAAATTCTGAAAAAAAAAGTGATTTAAAAAATTAAGATTAAAATAAGAAGCCTACTCATCATAAAGCATTATCATCTTAGATTTAAAAAACGATAGAAAATTTTAATGACAAGATTAAACTTGCATCTATGGTGAATTTTAAAATAATTGAAAAAGAGGATTTAGATGAATTGAAAGGAACTTCAATTTTATAAGATAAATAAAAAGTAATATTAATAATAAAATTTTAGTAAAATGAACCAAAATCAATTTCATTATCATCAATCAATTCTTGTTGTATTTGTTATGACAATGATTCAGATGCTTTATTTATGCCATGCGGACATAGTGGAGTATGTTATCATTGTGCTTTAGATTTGTGGAAAAACAAAGATGAATGCTATTTATGTAGAAAAGTATTATTAATATTTAATAATTATAGAAAGTAGAAAGAGTATTATAAATTTAAATTTGTAAAAATGAAAAGGATATTTATTAAGTTGTTTGTGCTACAGAATTAAACTAAAAATTAAAAAAAAGACCTAAAATAAATCAATAACAACATGATTAATGATGAGTTACTATTAAAAATTTATTAATTCTAATCAATTTCTTTTTTTCTTTCCAGTTCCTGCTCTTATATGTTTTTCTGCTATATCTCTCAATTATGCTTTTGAAAATTATTATTCTGATAGTTCAGTATCCTTAAATTTCTCAACTAAATAAATAAAAATTAACTATTACGTATTCTTTGTAATAATTCATCATTTGGATTATCTCCTTGATTATTTCCATCATCTATTTTAGCAAAATTAGATTATTTAGCCTATATTAATATATATCATACATCTTTTTTCATAAAATTATGACGTGGATTTTATGCAATATCTTACATCTACAATATATCATTTGTTCTAATTTCAATGACACCTAATACTTTTAATAGTTTATCTTCATCCATTTCCTTAAAACTCTTATTTTATAGAAATTATATTTTACAAATTTAGGTCCTAAGAGTTAACTGTATTCTTTTAAATTGCATCCTATACGTTCAAACATTATAGGTATACTGATCATTAACTCTTTTAGAATTTTAGATATTTCCTAAAGTTTTTCTTATAATTTTTCTTATTTAGCTTTAATTTTGACTAATTTCTCTTCAAATTATAATTTTTATTTGTATTTTTAATCAGCCATAATTTTTTAATCTCTATTTTCTAATTCTTACTTTTCCATTAATAACAATTTGTTTTATTTTTAAAGCATTTCTAATTCATCAGATTATTCATAAATATATTTAAAAGCCCCATAATTTTATTCTTCCTATTCTACAAAAATATTAACAATTTCATCTATTTATTCTGATTTAGTTTGATTATATAATTATTTTAATGTTTAATCATAGGTTTATACTTCAGATTATAAATCAGCTAAAGCTTATTATTCTTATTAATTTTATTAAGCCTTTTATTCTCTTTCTAAAATCTTTTTCTTTTTTTTATCAGCTGTTTCATTAATATGTAAGATTTCATATTTTAAATCTTCAGTATCTGGCTCTTCTTCTGAACCACTATATCTTTCATAACTGTCACTTCTATTTTTCTTTTTTTTATAATTATCAGCTTCTTTTTTGCCTCTACTTTTTTCTCTTGATTTAGATTAATGATCAGGAGATTTTGATTCTTTGAATTTATCATAAATGCTTTTAAATTCTTTTCCAAATTTTCTTTATTCTTAAGCTACATCCTTTCTTAATGATTTAATAGTTTCCATTTCTTGATGTAAACTTCTAAATGCTTTTTCTTATTCCTAACTTCTTTCAAGCATCTTCTCATGATGAGCTATCCAATCCTCTTATAATTATTTAAGAATTTTCTTAAACATTTCTTTTTCTCTCCTCATTTTGTTTATATCATTTTTTAGTTAAACTGTTTCATTTAACATTTCATTCTCTTTTTAATATAAATAGGCAAGATTAAATTGGATATCTAAATAATGAATATTAAATACTTTAAGGCTATCTTCTCATCTTTGATTTTTTATCCATTTGTGAATTCTATTGGTTTTATTTTTGATTTTTATTTTCTCCCCATCTACTATTTTTTTCTTATTCATAAATTTATCTTCTCTTCTTTTCTATTTCATTTTCTTTCATCTATATTTATTCCTTCAATTCATCTCTCTTTGCATGCAAAGTCTAGAGTTATTTATTTAGACTGGCCTCTTCTTCTTACTAATTTGTAATCTTAGTAAAAGTCTATGATTTTAAATCTTTCTCTTGACTTGTTCTAAAACTTAAAATATAAATATTTAATTTACCCATTCCCAGCAGTCTGAGTTCTTTTAAGATAAGCAACTTTATTCATCGATATTTATTAATTTAATTATATAATTTATATTATTTTTATTCAAACAATCAACAATCATAAAATCAATCTTTTTAAAAGAACCAAACTCCGTCACCTTTATGTTCTACTCCAACTAAACTGGCACATTAATAAAGAGAAGTCAATAATGGTTTCTCATCACAATGATAAAGTTCTCCTATTGCTTTTTTGAAATATAAATTAGCTTCCTAAAATCATATTTTATATATATATATTACATTTGCATGATAATGTGGTAATTCACTAAAAACATGATGTAATACATGAGTTGTTCCAATCTCAAAATGTAAAGAATCAATCCAAGCTGGATAATTTCTATCTATTGTACTTAAAGCACCTTTTATTATCTAAATATTATAATACCTTTTAACCTATTCCAAGAACTTGAATCATAATGTGGAATATTTATATCAGTATGTTACAAAAATGTTATTATAGTTAACCACATATTAACTACTAAATATGGGCCAATATATATTGCCATCACTTCAGCAAATGATCTAGCTTCTGCCCATTTATACAAACCAAATATCACTAGACAAAGTCCTATATTTGAAAGTGAAACCTTTAAAAGCATTCTTGATGGGAATAATTTATTTGGAACTATGAAGTGACTTGTAAATCCTCTAGATGAGCCTGCTGTTACACCTAAAAGTAGATATAATGGCCATCCCAAAACAGTTATATTGAATATTTAAACTATTGAAAAAGACTCAATTCCAATAATATCTTTGATTTTTTAGTAAATTTTTCCCATTTTTGAATTTAATACTACTGGACAAAATGTTTCTCCTTCTGTTAAATGATTTGTTTTTGCATGATGAAGTGCATGAGAATGTTACCAAGAGAAATATGGAACCAATAATATTTCATGTAAAATATATCCTAATATATCATTACACAATTTATTGTTAGAGAAAGCTGCATGACCACATTCATGACCTAAAACCCCTATTCATGATAAATTTATTATATTTTACATATTCCCATAGCTACTGTACCTAATAATAAATCAAAAAGAATCCATATAGGAAGAGCAAACCATGTTAAAGGAATGCATCTATAACCTATATAACCTAAAATAACAGTGCTTGATACTGCTTAAGCAACTGATACTAAAAATCTAGATTCGCTTTTTTTAAATAATTATTCAGGTATAGCCTTACGAATTTCTAAATTAATTTTAGACTTACATCCTATGTTTAGCTAATCTTGAGTTTTATTCATCAAATCCAAGTTTTAATTTAATTTAAATTCTGATTATTTTTTAATTCCTAAAAATAACTAAATTTTATTGAAATTTACGATTTTACAATCATAATTAGTATTATTAATCTAATAAATTGTGTAATTTACAATTGTTCTCATTAATTAAATTTAATACCTCAATTATCAATTTCAATATACCCTATGAATCCTATTCTATAATTTTCCAAATCCCAGTCATAAATAAATTTTTAAACTCATTCATATTATCTTTATATGAATAGAATTTTTACAATTTTATCAACAAATAATAATATATTTATATTATAATATTTCTTAATTTCTATTATGAATAATGAGAGATTGAAAAAAATTGCTATGCAATTTAAAACGCATTCTGGATAAATTAAATAAACTACTAAAAACCTTATTCTGTACTTTGGATGTGCTTTCCTAATTGTAAACATTTTAGAGTGGAAACTTCTTTATTTACCAAGTATTGATGGATAATTTGCTCATAATAACTACTATCAATATAGATCACCTCAAGAAAGGTATATAATTGATTTTTAATTAATTCTTTATAGAAATCTACCTTTTGAAAATATAGAAATCCATCATGATGGTATAGAATTAAAGGGTTGGTTTATTAAATAATAAAATTATCAAAAAGTTCCTACAGTTGTTTTTTTTCATGAAAATGCAGGAAGTAGAATAATTGATCAATTTTAGATATTGGATGGAGATTGGAATATGCTTAATAATATTATGATCATGTTAAATGCAATTTTGTTATAGTTGCCTATCGAGGTTATACTTATAGCACTGGTACACCACATTAAGAAGGAATATAAAAAGATGCGGAAGCAATTACTAACTATGTTTTTAACAATTTAAATATTGATAAATAAAAAATTTATGCACATGGAAGAAGTCTTGGGGGAGCTGTAGCTACTTATGCTTTTTATAAAAGATAATAATAAAATGAGGAATTACAATATAGAGGTTTGATTATTGAAAATTCATTCACACAGGTAAATGATGTTGTTGGAAGTATGAATGGTTTATTCAAAATAATAAGTCCTCTCATTATTTTTAATACATGGAAAACAATAGATATAATACCATAAATTATTAATCCAATCTTATTTATTTCATGTATAAAATTATTAAATCTCTATCCTAGCTGGTAAAGATGAAGTAATTCCTTATAAATAAATGATTTCTCTCTCTTAAGCTGCTATTAAAACAAAATAAAAATTTGAATACCATATTCCTTAAGGAGATCATAATAATAATTGGACGTTTGATAAGAATGAATATTTTAAGACAATTTAAAATTTTATGAATAAAGCTGCTTAATTCTGAAATAAATTTGACTATAATAATATTTTTATGTGCAAAATTAAATAAATCATTTATATTTTTTACTTAATTCACTTATTTAGCTAATTGGTTTATTGCTATTTTAGCTTTAATTTAATCTAGATTCAAATTTGGATTTATCCAATTAATCTTTCAATTATTATCGTTCCTTAGCTAATTTCAAGATGTCATCCTTATGTTCATTAATCTCCTTTTACTTTTCTTTTAATTAATCTTAAAGTTTAACTTTTTCTTATTTCAAATAGTCCTAAAACTACTTCTCTTTTTATAGACTTTATTGAATATCCTCTTAAGTAATTAATAATTCTATCAAATAAATTAAATATTTTAATACCCGTTAATTTTTTTTCCATATTTTAAATTTCTTTATTCTATCTTTGAACAGTGATTTATAGTTTCTGATTATCTTGACTTAACTTCTTTAATTACTCCTATGATGGTTTATCTTATTCTCTTTCTAATTGTAACTTTGCTTCATATTCTTCTCTTAATTTATCTTATAATTATTTTATATCTTAAGCACATTCTAATCTAATATTTTATGCTATGTTTTATTTTTCAAATTCAAGTCTTTTTAATTAATCTTCAAGATCTCTTATTTTTTTGTCTCTATCATTTTCTGAATTATTGAAAGATTAGGCCTTTTACACTTTATCGTTAGAATTACTCAAATTAATACTAGAATAAGGTTTATTGTTGGGAGTAGTGCTATTTGAATTTTTAGAAGTATTTGATTTTTTTAACTTTTCTATCATATTTTTTGCATCTTTCAATTCTCTTTATAATTGATTGATTTGCTCATTCAAAATATAATTAGTTTAATCTTATTTTTTACCAGAGGAATTGTATTATTTAGATGAACTAGCTTAAGAATTGAGTCTTTGTGATGGATCTTCAGATTAAATAATTGATTATAATTATGAATTTTCTTTTAATATGGTATTTAATTTAGCTTAAAGATCTTAATTCTTTTGTTTTATTTCTTGATTCTCATTTTTTAAAAGTAAAATTTCTTAGCTTCTTTTAGAGGCTAAAACTCCTAGTGCTGCATCAGATGACCATTTATTCTCATTTTTTGGAATTTATTATTTCAATTCTTCAATTTCTTGTTATTGTCCTTGAATCTCTTATTTTAAATTCATGTTTTCGTCTTTGACTTATTAAAGTCTACTTATATCTGTTTCTAATTTTCTAATGGCTTTGCATAACTTTTGGTTTTCATCAATCAGTTTTTGAATTTATTGATCCTTTTAATTTTGAATTTAAACAGATGCATTCTATTAATTTTTGAATTTTTGTTTTTCTTTATTCATTTCAACATTCTAATCATTTAATTGATCATTTAATTTTTAATTTGTTAATTCAAGATGTCTTATATTATTTTCTAATTCAGTTATTTTTTAGTTAAATAACTTTTAATTAGCAGAAGCTTTTGAAAGATCAGAAACTTCCTAAGTCGTTCTACAAGGACTCTGATTGATCTTATTCATCCTTAATTATATTATTGAAATAAAAATTTTATTAAATAATTCACAACAATTAATGTATTATCTATTTTAATTTCTGGTTTTCTTCAATGATTTAATTGATTTAAGGATCAATCACATTCTAAGTAGGTTAGGTTGAAAAATTAAAAGATAATTTAACTTTTTCTATTCTTTTCTTACAAACCATAAATTGATTAGATGTATATTTTGATTTTTTTAAGGGTTTTGTCTATAATAATCGTTTCGACTTAAAGAGTATTTGTTCTTCACTTTATTATTGGTATTCCTAAGGTCTTTTAACGATATAAAGTTTTTGAGCTTAGAGTGTCAATATCTTTCTAGAAAGAACAGTTGAATTGCCATCAACTTACCAAATGAAAATTTATCCATCTTCAGAATTGCTGATAATAAAGTTATGTCCATCTTCAAAAAATAATTTAACACTTTTAATTTCACTTAAATGACCTATAAGTAATTTTCTTTTATTGATTTAGGTTGCAGGATGAATGGTATAATTTATTGATTATTGATTGTATTTAATTTAATAAATGTTTTTATTAACACATCCTACAAAAGCATAATCAAGATCAATATCTAATGTCAATGGTTCTGAATCTAATTAAGTTTAGAAGATGCTAAGAATGTAAATGAAAAATACATTTAGGTTGTTGTAAGATCAAAGATTATCAATTCTTTATCTTTGGAAATAGTAGCAAGTACATTTTTAAGTACAAAGTCATTAATTGGAGAATTATTTCCAGTGAAGACTTTAAAGGGTTTAGTTTTCAAAAGAATAATATCATCTAAAAGAAGCAAATTAACATCTAATAATGATAGGATATTTACTATTTTATAAATCATCAACAACTAATAAATACTATTAGTATTAATAGACTTTAGTGATTTCTTTGGCAACAAAATCAAGAGTAGATTTGAATTCCTAAATTTAAGTATAGATCCTAAAATCTTTATTTGTGTAAATAATGCCATAAATTGAATGATATTCAAAGGCAAAAATGATTGTAGATTCACCTCCAATATGTTATTTCCATAATTCTAGTCCTTAGTAATCAAAACAGGATAAAACATTTTTTGATGAAAAAATTAGAATGCTTTGAGTTGAGAAACATACAGTTTTGATCTCTGATTCTATGGTTTACAAAATTGAGCTCGTTTTAGGATCAATAAGTTTAATAGCATTTGAAGTTTGAACAGCGATCAAATTAGTTGATGCATTGATTGCCATAGAATAATAATGTTATATATAAATATATTTATATGATTTAATGCTAAATGTACATTTATCATTATTGCTACTATCTTTACAACATTTATGGTGGAATGTTACCCATCATACCTTAAGGTGGTTAAGCAAATGCTGTTTTTCCTAATAAATTAACGACTCCTGTTTCAATGGATTTCAACAATTCCATCATGTCTGGATCTTGGAACAATTCTAAAGATTTTAAGTAGTAATACATGGATTTTCAAGATTTGAAATGTAATCTTCCTCTTCATAGCTATGTTCTTCAAATATCATATCTCCCATAACCAAATTCAAAACCATAGGTACTAATTATCCAGATTCATAAGTAGTTGGTAATTTATCAATCATATTTTTCAAGAAGTCTTGTTTTTCATTTAATAATTTAATTTAATATCTAATGATTTCTTTTGTAGCATTCATTTAAACTTACTTTTATTTTGGCAACTTATCCTTAATTCTTTATCTAGCTTAAGCTTACAACATGAATACATGTTAACCTAATCCTCTTTCCATTAATAACATTTCACTCTATTCTAATGTTTATTATGAGATATCTATCTTTTTGCAAATCTCTTCTTAAGCTTTCATCAAAAGATTTTCAATGTCATTTACATAATCTAACAATAATTAAACATATTTTGCTCCATCTGAATATAAAACATCTCTTCTTGCTTTTCTATTTTCAAGAGTAATTCTTATAAACTCTGGTTCTGCTAAATCTACGCTACCTTCAACAATTTATGTATATGTCTTTATGCTTATCATATTATTTGTGCTTGGAATATGCATTATTTGAATTTATGATGCAATCTCATTCAGTTTATCACTCTTAAAAGTATAATTACCTATTATAAATATATTAATTTATATACTTTTATCATTTTCTTCATTTTTAGGTTGAATTTCTTATGTTTTTGCTTATTCTGAACTTTCCTTAGGTTTAAATACTTCTAGCTCTGCTAATTTTTAATCTAACCATTCATTGGTCTCCTTTATTTTATCTGTTACTGATAAGTTATTACCAACCCATGGTAATACTATGCTATTCACTTATCCCTTTATTAATGAAGGATTCAATAGAATCTCATCTTTCTCATTCTTAAATGCATATTATGTCAAAGATTTCAAAACAACTGGCTCTAACTTTTTATCTTTCACCTTTTAAGCCAAATCTTTAGCATCATATTATCTTAAATTTTTTATGTTTATCAGAAACACTCTTTATAACGAATCTTTCAAAGTGTAAAGTCTTTCAAAAAGCTAATCAAAATGCTTCATAAGGTTAGTCTCTGTTTACTCAACCACTTCCCAGTTCACCCTAATTATTATACTTTCATATACATTTTCTCATCTCCTAAAGATGCTAAGACTGTCTCGATATTAGTTGCCAATTCTTCAACCGTGATAGACATTCAACCACAAATTAAATATTTTAATTTATATTTGCTTCTCCTATTTTCACCTTAATAATTCATAGTATCTTTATCATTATACTCAAATTATATTCTAATAAAGATTCAGAATTGGAAATCTAAATTAAATTAATTTTATCATAACATCAATTTCATATTAAATCCATTCAAAATTTACAAATATCTGCACTACTCTTTTTTATTCTTAATTACTCATAATTTAGTATAAATTATTTTATCAGATTTTATTAACCAATAACTTTATAAATATTCTTTTATTAAATAACTCAATAAATATTTATAATTCAATACATTAACTTATTATAAATATTTATTTTAGATTAATGATTTTAAGAACAATTAGTAGAAAATAAATTAAAAAATTATAAAATTTTGTTGATAAGATTAAGTGGTGATAGCTTTTCTTAAAATAGTAAAAAAATAAATTTACAAGTAAAAGCACTTAAATAAAAAGAATATACTAACAATAACTTATTATTATTATAAATATTATTAAAATCTAGACGACTATATTTCGATATAAAAAAAACTATTGTATTTATAATAATTTTTTTAAGAAAAACTGAAGGATTGCCTTATGATAATTTTTATTGATAATTAAAAACAAGAATTCAATACTTTATTTATTTAAAATATTATGTCTAATTACAGTTTGATGTTTAAGTACATAATTATAGGAGATACAGGTTATTAAATAAAATATAGTAGGTGTTGGAAAGTCCTGTATAGTTTTGTAATTGATCGAAAATTAAATCAGATAAGAACATGATGCAACAATTGGGGTTGAATTTGGAGCAAAAATAATAAAAGTTAACAGTATGAATATCAAGCTTTAAATATGGGACACAGCAGGATAAGAAAATTTTAGATCGATTATTCGAAGCTATTATAGATCAGCAATCGGTATATTTAGTGTGTATAGTGAAGGAGCTTTACTTGTATATGATATAACAAAGAGAGATTCGTTCCATAATTTATAGAGATGGATGGAAGAAATAAAAAATAATGGGAATGCAAATATGGTGATTACATTATGTGGGAATAAAGTAGATTTAGAATCTGAGTAATAATTCCTTATTTTATTTAGAGACGAGCAGTAACATATGAAGAAGGATGGTAGTTTGCACAATAGCATCAATTAATATTTCTAGAAACATCAGCAAAATAAGGAATAAATATTCAATCAGCATTTTATTAATCTACATAAAGAATATTAAATCAAATTGATGATGGTTCAATAGTTCTTGGATAAGACGTAAAAATCATTTTTATATAATAGCCAGGGATCAAAATAGGTGGATAATATAAAAAAAAGGAAAAGGATATAAAAGTGATCAATCATTATGAAGAAGCAGTATAATTAAAGCCTGTTGAAACACCAAATGGCCACAATAACTGTTGTTGATATTTATTCTTTCATTTATCTAATATATTTATTCAATATTGATTAAAATATAAATTGTTAATATAAATGAAATTCTAAATTTTAATAATCAATTTACGATAAATCAGATCTTTAACTTTTTGCATGCTGATTCACAGGCCTTTTCTTTTGCAACTCTTTCATGTTCATGAATAAATCTACCAACAATTTAACCGTCTATTCTAATTTCATAACAATACTATCCATTCTCTTATTTAAATGATTTAATATCCATATGGCCCTATTTACTAGCTGAATATTGATGTACTCTATCAATAACATGATCTTCAATGTCATTTAAATAGGTACATACAAATGGAATGAAATTCAAATAAACCTTTTTTAAAAAGTTACACACTGGTTACCATCCTCCATCCATAAATATGGCTCCGACAAGGGCTTCAAAAGTATCAGATAGTATTTTTGGAACTCTTACGAAATTTCCATTATATTAAGCGAATTTCTCATCTAATTTAACTGTCTCTATAAATTATAATATGGCAGAATCTTAAAAATTATGCATGATATTATAACAAAATGCTATTTTTGACAAAAATGAATTTGATAGTAAAATCATTTTTATTTTATATAAATTTGTTGGTGTAAATTTAAACTTAATCTAATTAAAACAATTACACATAATGTAACACTCCAAAACTGCATCACCTAAAAGTTCTAACATCTAATGTCCTCTCGTTGATGGTGTATTTGTATTTAAAAGATACTTATAATATAATTCTAATGGCAAATCAATATCCATATTTGATCCTTGAACTTTAAAAGCCTCATATAAAATATATTTATTATGAAACTAGTATTCAATCACTTCTTTTTGTAAATAATTTAAATATTATATTTAGTTCTTTTGGAATTTTTATTTTTCCACTTCTGACAATTGTCTAATAGGATTAATTAAATCCTGAAAACTCATTTAATTATTCATTATTGGAAATTGATACAACTAAACTATTGATTTCTAAGGATAATATTTTTCTGTTGCTGGATAATAACATACAGGATGTCTCAAATGCAAAAGAAATATGTATACATCATAAAGTGAATCTTTATCTAGAAAGACAGACGCAATTAATGATTCAAAGATATCTGCTAAAAAGGAGACCAGCATAGTAGATGATACTTATTTTATAGGTTCAGGTTATATATGATTTGAATGAATATTTTAAAGCACTGGACTAAACCATTTTGTTTGATGTCCAAGAGATCTTACATAATAGAATAATCCAAAATATTAAAATTTAAATAGATGCTTTCCAATATAGTTATTATTTACAATTTAAGATCTTTAATCAGATAATATATTTTCATTCGTATTTTATGGACCTAAACTTACTGCTAAAGTTGCTAAATATTTTAAAATTGAATCTCCTAAAGTCTCCAATAATTCATAATTAATATCTCTATTATAAGAAGCCCTACTTATTGCTCTCTGAACCCTTAGACTTGGCTCAATTCCAATAGAATTTGCAAATTCGCTTATTATTAATTGTTATTCTAATTCTAATAAAAAGGTTGGAAGCTTCAAGAAATTATCATATTAATTTACAGTGAAAGGATAACGAAATAAATTTGATATAGGCATTATATGTGTTGTTAAAGTATTTAGTTCTAATTTTGGTTTACAAGAATGAATCTTTTAATTTTATGATTTAATCTCAAGACTATTTACTTAATCTTCTGTATAATATTAGACTCTTTATATAGATGTTACCTATTTAAAAATAGCTAAAGCTAAATTCGGTTAATTAAATTGATTTTGATAGGATCTTAGCTATAATATAGGGTTGATGTTTTCTGTTTTGGTTTTGAATTAATGCTCATAAAAAAAATACCCTAGAGATTTTTTTAGAATTGTTTCATCAATACAATAATATTCTTTTAGTTATTCAATAGTATATTTAGAATTTTCACTTATTAAATTAAAGTATTCATCAACAGTCTATTTCCAAGGCTATGTAATTATTACATAAATACAATTAACTTACTGTGTTTTTGGTATATAAAATAAATAATCATTTTATTTTTGATCGTCTAAGCTCATATCTTTTAAACATTAACCATTTATTAATCCATCTCTCTATTTTATAAATTCCTACATGAAGTCATAATCAATTTAATCCTTTATTAATGGTACGATTAAATAATTTCTATATCCACCATTAAGGAAATTATGAAAATTAATTGTATGAGATTTTATATTTTTTGGTGACAACATATACCAACTCATTTATAATCTCACATTATAGTCAAAAACCTTACTAATTGAAGCATAATCAAAAAATATTTCTTAATTTACACTTTTAAAAGTAATTTCTGTATATTCTGGGCTTGTACCCTCTAAATGATATATTTTTATAGGTCTGTAGTTCTAAAGGATTGATCTTGAAGTTACCAAACCAATATTGGTAGATAGTATAGATAAATAAGCTTTATCATTTTTATAAGGGGCAGTAAAACAATGAGGAATTTCATATTAGAATGTGTTTTTAATAAACCAGTTATTGATTTCTTAGCATTCTGATTTCAAATCACTCATTTTTCTATAATATTATTTTCAATCTGTAATTGTTGACTTTAAAAGGGAAAAAAAATTGCTTGATTTATAATTCTATTTTTAATTTAATAATTTTTATTTTATCAATGTTATTTTCAATTCTAAATATTTAATTTATATATATAATTTCATGTTATATTTTTTTGAAAGATTGAAAATATATATTTGTAATCGTAGATTTAATGTTAGTTAAAACGAAACATAGATGATATTTAGTTATCAAAAATATATATTTAAAATTATTTTAATATTAAATGATATTCACATAGATAAATCATAAAATTATCAATCAAACAATGATCCTGGCACATTAGCTCTTCTATTTGTTTATTTAGTTTTTTATTGAGTAGCTGTCGATTTTGGGATTTCTGCTTATTTATCAAAAAATTATTAGAAATTAGTTTAATTACTCGTTTAAAAATATTCTTCTGCTCCTTAATAATCAAAGAATGGATTATTTTATTAAAGATTCTATTATTAATTTTATTATTAATTTTAATTATCTGATTTATGAGCAAATCGAGGATGAACAAACGTTGTTTAATTTTCTTATTTTTGAGGATTTTATCTTCTTGATGGAGGAGGATGATAAGTATTTTCTTGAATTTCATTATTAGTATGTTATATTTATTGCTATTCTTTAATATGCAATTGATTATTTTATTACTTTTCATGAGTATTTTCTTCAGTTCTACTAACCATCTCATTTTTTTAGACTTAATCTTCTAAATGCAATTGTTATACTTACTATTAATCTTTTAATAATTTTTGTTATTATTATGATTATTATTACTAATCCTATTCTTGTTATAAAGATAATTCTTATTGTTTTTGTGGTTATTATGGATGTATGTGTGGCTAATTTGATATGAATAATTGTTGCTCTTAATAAATCTCTTCTTATTAATTGTTTATTTTATCAAATTACTCATCTTCATATTCATTTTATTAATATTCTTAATTTTATTAATCTTATTATTCAAATTATTATTATTATTCAACTTAAGCATTCTATTCTTCTTATCCATCCTATGCATCTTAAACATCTTAAACATCTTAAACTTAAATTTAATTATTTCCAGTTTTTAATTAAGTTGATCCCGAATCAGCATTAACAATTTAACCTTATAAATTTACTTCATCCTCATTAGCCCAATATTATTGATTTTACTATTGGACATGATATTAATGTGAAGCAGGAGTTTCTGATACTAATGTTTATACCACTTATTATTAAGTACTTGTTTATATTTAGACTGGTTATTAAAATTATTAAACTCTTGGTAATTAGGGTGGCTACAATTTTACTAATAATCCCTATATAATTGTAATTTAATCATCAAAATTTGATTGAGTTTATTATATGCGATATTTATGGATCATATCTCTTCTTTACTGTGTATTCGAATGCAATTTTTCTATAAAATGTCTTTCATTTTACTTCTCCATCTATTAAATTTCTTAAAGTTTTTAAAATTACTTTCTTTCACTCAAAATTTGCTCTTTTAACTAATTAAGTTATTTCAAAGAATTTTATTCTTAATTTTATAAAGAAGTTTTCAAAAGCAAATTTTCATTTTAAAGTGATTGAATCTATGTTTGATAATTCACATTCTTTTATTGTAAGTCCTACATTGTTTTCAAGTGATCTTATTAAAACTGGATGATAGAATGTTAAAGATCCTTGTTCTATTTAAGAAGTTAACTAATCTATTTTTCATAATAAATATCCCTTTATTTTATCATTTATTCAAATACAGCAGCATCTATTTATTAAGTTTATTATTATTGTAATTAAATAGTGAATTTTGGGGTTTATGTCATAATACCTAAGTTTTCAATTTATTCAGCTTACTATTTTAATAGTTATTCGCTTTTAAAATTAAATGCATCATTCTAATTTTAAATAATTTACTTTGTTTGTTATTATAATTCTATTTATTAATCTTAGTTTTCATCAGCAATCAAATCTTATTGTTTTACTTATTAAACTGAATGAGTTTATTGAACTAAAATTTCTTATTCTTTGATTTGCTAATTAGAAACTTCTTGTTATTTATCAATTGAATGATTCTATGAAGATATTTAATATTCATTAGCTTCTTAATTATTTTATTCTTCTGTATGAAGTATTTGCTATTAGATAGTTTCCTACTAGAAATTTTGAGTTTATTGTTAATCTGAATGTTATTCTTCTATCTTCATTTCTCTTTAATGTTCATTTTGGTTTATATTTTCTGAAAAATCTTGAACATTTTCTTTAATAAAATTATTTTAAAGCTACAACTCTGGTTCGTCTTCTTAATTCTCAGGTTGAGAAAAGCTACAATTGTCTTTTGTATTTGAATTATCCTGATTCTCTAAATTCGAGTCTTATGATTCTTCTGATTCTTCAGATCTTAATTGTTCAGCTAATTAATTCAATTTCTCTTAATTTTATCTTAAAGAGTCAAAATTTGTTAAATCTTCTTCATTATTTTAAATTTGACCTTAATAAATATCCATTTTATTATTTAATTGCCAAGATGGAAGAGGAGGAGAAACATTTTAAAATATATTTGGATCATTTTTTTATTGCTTATTTGAAATTTCTGGTGTTAATTAATTATTTATTTATGTATTAGGATTTTTACTAAATTATGGTACATTTTATTATTATTATTATTATTATTATTATTATTATTATTATTATTATTATTATTATTATTATTATTATTATTATTATTATTATTATTATTTTTATTCAATTCCATCTAATTAAATATTAGTAGGTTGCTAAGAAGTAAATTAATTTGTTTTATTTGAAGTAGGAATTTATTATTTTGGAACTTATGTTAATAATTAAGGATTCAAATGTTTAGATTAAGTTTATTGATCAAGTTCTTATTCTTAAATAAATGGTTATTGTTCACCTTAAGTTTAGATATTTAAATTATCAAGCATATTTTAATCGAATATTTATTATTAATTAACAATTTGCAATTAATTTTCTACAACAGGTTATTTAATTGGAGGTGGAATAATTTAACTTTTAGTTTATGGTGGACCTGAAGGTGGAGGTCTGGTTGGTGGTCCTCTTTAAGGGACATTTTTTTTAATATTAGTTTAAGGTTGAGGTAGGAGCCCTCTTTATTCTTTTTATAAGAAGGCTTAAACACTATCCTCGCTTAGCTTTGACATATCTAATGACATTAATTCTTTTGGTGTCAAAATTTATTGAAGTAAAGCAGTTCTAATCAATTATCCTAAAATAGTTTAAGAAACTCACCTTTAGTACCCTTTAAGCGCATTTTAACTGTATTAACTCTTGTTCTGTAATCTCTTGTATTATCACCTCCAGAAAGTGTATATGCTTCTTATTCAAGAGATGTGGCTAATTATTCTGCAATTTAAGTGGAAATTTAATCTTCTTCTAATATTTTTTTGAATTCATTTTTCTGATTTTCACGTACCTTTCTATCGTAATTAGTATTTTCTACAGGTCTGACTTCTTAGAACATATTTAATGAACACGTATATTTAATAAAATATCTTAAATTAAATTATTTTATGTTACCATTTTTTCCTGTTCCAGGATTACAAGACTTAGACATTCCTTAAACAGTGCCACAAGATTTTTATCCAAAAAGTTAAATATAAGAACCTTAAGAAGCTAAGAAACTATTTATAAAGAACCTTCCTTAAGAATTAACAAATGATAATGTTGAAAAACTTTTGAAAGTAAATTTTATAAAGTTATTTAGGAATGTGGTCAATTAGTATCATGGAAGAGATCAAAAGGTACAGCTTTTGGATATGCTGAATTTGAAAATATGGAAAGTGTATTAAAATGTTTGCGCCTTCTTAATGGTATGAATCTGAACTAGAAGGAGTTACTTGTAAAAGGTGGAGAGAAATCATAAATGATGATAGATGGTTGGATGTATAAAAAAGAAACAGAATGGGAAGAGAGAAGAGCTAAATTAGAAGAGAAGGATAAATAAAAGGAGGAACATAGAGCATTATTTAAATTTACATCTTTTTAAGAGTATATTACTAGAGATGATGAAAAAATAAAAAAGAAATTAGAAAAAATTATATCAGAATTAGAAGGTACAGTAACTAAAACTAAAAATGATAAAAAAAGAGAAGAAGAAAAGAAGGAACATCCAAGAGAGAGAGAAAGAGATGCTAAAAAACATAATACTAAAGCAGAATTAGAGAGAAAGTATAAAGAGAAAATGACAGAATGGAAGAAAAAAGAGGATGAAAGAGAGAGAGAAAGAAAAAAAGAAAAAGAGAGAGAGATAGATCGAGAGAAAAATTTCTAAAAATATCTAGAAAAAGAATTAGCTTATGACAGTGAATAAGAACGTAAATAAATTGGTAAGATTAAGATGAACGAAAGAAAGAAATTCAGGTAAAGGGAATTTGAAGAAGATGAAATCTTTAAAAAGAAAGAATTATTAAAGACCCAAAAACCTCCTGAACCTGAACCACCTTAAATGGTAGTTATTGTTTAAGAGCCACCTGAACCAGAACCTTAATATACATAATAACAATTGCAATAGCAACAAGTAATAATTCTATATTATATTTGATTTAAAACTAGCAATAAATAGAATAAGCTGAATAAATGTAATAAGAGAAATTATAAAAGGAAATTGATTTGAAAGAAGAACTTAAATAAATATTTGCAACCATCCCTACTGAAAAAGAAGAATTATTTAATACTTAAATTAATTGGTAGCTATTTGCCTAGGTATTAATTATATATTTAGTTAATTCCAAGTCTAACTTATTGGAGAAAAAGATCCGTCCATGGCTAAGAGAGAGGTGTATAGAATATTTATCACAAGAGGAGAGAGTATTTATTGATGCCATCATCAAAAGATTATTTAATCGTGAGAAGCCATAAACAATTATAAATAAAGTTGTTAAGAAGGTCTTGGATGACGATAGTGAGCAATTTGTCATTAGAATGTGGAAAATGATCATCTTTGNCTTGTAAAAGGTGGAGAGAAATCATAAATGATGATAGATGGTTGGATGTATAAAAAAGAAACAGAATGGGAAGAGAGAAGAGCTAAATTAGAAGAGAAGGATAAATAAAAAGAGGAACATAGAGCATTATTTAAATTTACATCTTTTTAAGAATATATTACTAGAGATGATGAAAAAATAAAAAAGAAGTTAGAAAAAATTATATCAGAATTAGAAGGTACAGTAACTAAAACTAAAAATGATAAAAAAAGAGAAGAAGAAAAGAAAGAACATCCAAGAGAGAGAGAAAGAGATGCTAAAAAACATAATACTAAAGCAGAATTAGAGAGAAAATATAAAGAGAAAATGACAGAATGGAAGAAAAAAGAGGATGAAAGAGAGAGAGAAAGAAAAAAAGAAAAAGAGAGAGAGATAGATCGAGAGAAAAATTTCTAAAAATATCTAGAAAAAGAATTAGCTTATGACAGTGAATAAGAACGTAAATAAATTGGTAAGATTAAGATGAACGAAAGAAAGAAATTCAGGTAAAGGGAATTTGAAGAAGATGAAATCTTTAAAAAGAAAGAATTATTAAAGACCCAAAAACCTCCTGAACCTGAACCACCTTAAATGGTAGTTATTGTTTAAGAGCCACCTGAACCAGAACCTTAATATACATAATAACAATTGCAATAGCAACAAGTAATAATTCTATATTATATTTGATTTAAAACTAGCAATAAATAGAATAAGCTGAATAAATGTAATAAGAGAAATTATAAAAGGAAATTGATTTGAAAGAAGAGCTTAAATAAATATTTGCAACCATCCCTACTGAAAAAGAAGAATTATTTAATACATAAATTAATTGGTAGCTATTTGCTTAGGTATTAATTATATATTTAGTTAATTCCAAGTCTAACTTATTGGAGAAAAAGATCCGTCCATGGCTAAGAGAGAGGTGTATAGAATATTTATCACAAGAGGAGAGAGTATTTATTGATGCCATCATCAAAAGATTATTTAATCGTGAGAAGCCATAAACAATTATAAATAAAGTTGTTAAGAAGGTCTTGGATGACGATAGTGAGCAATTTGTCATTAGAATGTGGAAAATGATCATCTTTGAATTGAGAAAATTAGAAAGAGGTTTGATTTCTTGATGATTTATTAAATAATTTAATAGTTTTATTGACATTCTTTATTTTTATGAAATAAAATACCTTTGAAAATCTATAAAAAATTTCAATCGATCAAATATAGATATTGACAGATATTGATTAAACACATTAATCTACAGTAATTATTAAACTTATCAAATATGAATCCCAAATCTTAGTTTAAAAAGTAATCTTTTACATGATATTATAGAGTATATTAGTGAGTTCACTGCAAACATAAAAATAAATAGAGCATTTATATAATGAAAAATAAGCTTTGTATGAGCTGAATTATCCTTCAATTAATAAAATGTAATGAACTCTAGAATACTATATCTTAGTATTGCAACAAATAAAGACGATTAAAATATTCATTTATTTTTGAGATTTGAGAAAGGGATGCCTTTGCATAAATTATTAAGAAATGTGGGTAAAATAAATACAAAATTTTCAACTCTGTTTTTTATACAAATATTATTGACTTTTGATTATTTACATGAAAATGGTTGGCTTTATAGAGATTTAAAAGCTTCTAATGTTATTATAACTTAAGAATTTAGAGTAAAACTAATTGATTTTGGGTTGGCTAAAAAAATTGAAAAAGGAAGAACTTCTTCATTTTGTGGAACAATCCATTCAATGCCACCAGAAGTAATCTAAAATGATGGATACAAATATGATTATTCTTTTGACATTTATACAATGGGCATTTTGTTTTATGAAATGTTAGTAGGCAAGCCTCCTTTTGGATTAAATGACTAAGGAATTGAATAAAAAATATTGATGGGAATAAATGAAGAATAAATATCAGCTATTCATGATATTAAAATAAGAGATTTACTCAAGAAACTCTTATCTCAGAATCCAAAAGAAAGATTAAATTGTAAAGAAATATTGTAAGAGGACTTCATAAAAGAAAACAACTACCTTGAAATTAAAAATTTTATGGAAGATGAAGAAGCGTGCTTAAATAATTATAAATCTGATTTGTATGATGAAGAGATATGTATATATAAATAATTGTTCATAGACTTATATTGTACCTAATTTGCTTTTGAAGAAAACTATGGTGAAAATGATGACTTTAAGTTTTGAAATATAATAAATAAAATAAATCATTTTAATGACTTTAAATATTCCAAAATTTGAACTTATACATTTTTTTCTCTTTAATCAAAGAAATTCAAATAATATACTCTATATCCTAAACTCTCAAGATATTTTTTTTTAAATAAAGATGTCTAATTTAAATGTTAATTTGCATATATTTTTTGATCCTATTTAAAATTTTTAATTTCAATTCCTTCTTTTACATCTATATTAAATGCATAATGGATTGGACCACATGTTTCCACTATTAGATTATATTTTGGAAAATAAAAATCAATTTCAAATTAATCAACTAAAACTTTATATAATAATCTTTACTGCGTATATTGTTTTCATAATTTAAATTCAATTCATTAAAAAGTACTTAAATATTTTTTTCCATTGTTTTTGCTGAATTAAATTAAGAACTAGAAAGCCTTTACAAATAATCCACTTTATTTTTCTCAAAATGCTATTCAACATAATTTTTACTTGTATTGCTTAAATGTGATTTAAACTGTATTAAATTATAACTAATAAAATCCTTTCTAAATGAATCTTAAAGTTAAGATTAAATTTAGAAATAACTATTCCAAATAAAATCATCGAATATTTCACACCTTATGATTTATTAGTAAAACTATATTAGTTATGATTATTTTGTTTCTAAAAATTAGTTTTAAACTGAAATTATATTATTAATTTTTTTTATAAACTTGCTTTTTATTTAAGGTTCATTGAATACATTTGTCGTACATAAAAATAAATTTATTTAAGAAATAAATTAATCAGGTGTCTTAATTTCAGCATTTTCTTCTATTTTTTTAATCATAAATTATTTTATTTTTTCATTATAAAATCCATCTCTTCCAATAGAATAATATAAGGATTTTAATTAATTTTCATTAAAATCATTCAAAACTTCAGCAATTCTTCTTATAAATAAAATTTAAATATTAAAAAAATGCTTTAAGCTATAATTATTAATGTTTAGTTAGGATAAATAGTAAAACTAAGTAGATATATAATTTGGTCGTAGATATTAAATATAATTTTAATACCTGTCACAAACATTGTATAAAATACTCTATTCTGTATTATTTAAAGAACCAAAACTATTTTTAATTTAGTATAAAAACTAAACTAAATTTGTGGTGTAGAATATATTACACTACATAAGAATGTGATAATTTTTAAGATAACTCATATAGTTATTTAAAAATTCTCGGCTAACTAGATTGCCACTTATTCCTTTATTTAACAACATAATTTAAACTCCAAGTAAATTATTAAATGCATCATTCAATTAAGAATGGTCAAAAATATTCTAATACATCCATTACAAGGTTTCTAAATTTAATTAATCAATATCATATTTCTGCATATTAGTAAGTGCTTCTTCATAATTATATAATTTTTTTTCTTTAGATTGTTTTGTAACTTCTTCAAAAAATTTACAAAAATTTAGTATCTTTATTGTTTCTTAAGTCTGAGCTTTATTTTTCAAGAAGGTGTAAGCAGAAGAAGAAAATCTGCTAAAAAGTTTTTTTATCATAATTAAATTTTATTATAATATTTTGATTTTTATTCCTGCCCATTGAAAATTTATTTTTTTGACTTCTCAATACGTTACAATACCAACCTACTGATGTATTCAAATCAAATTCAAATAGCAATTTTATTTGAATTTTCTATTTAGAAAATTTTAGAAAATAAAGCATTTATGATAGTTTATATTTTATAAACTAGTATATATCAACAGAAATCAGCTGAGTTTCTTCTATTGAAAAATCTTCTTGAGATGCTTCTGAGAAATGGAGAGTTAATAGTTTATTTTTTCTTTTTCTACTTAGCTTTCACTAAATATTCATCCATTTAAGTATCCCTACTTGTTGTAAGATATTAATCCTCAATCCTAGTTTTTATTGGTGAATCTCTCTGCATACTTTGATATCTTTTTAATTATTTAGGAAAATTTCTGATCATTTTTTAATATTGCTATTTTTCTAATATCTCGTTAATTGATTCATTTATTCCAGGATTTAATATTTTAAAAGCTTCTTAAGTTCTTGTACCTTATTTATTATTTTCTATAACTTAAGATGTAATTGGCTTAATTTTTTCGATAACTCTTATTAATAAATAACAATTATTACTTTTATGTATAAGGTATTAGAGATTAAGAAACAATTGAAGATCTTTAAGTTTTAGGTTTATTACTTCCATTGATATCAACATCATTAATTTGTATTTTCTCTGCTGTGCTTAGCACTCTTCCAGTCTTGATTACCCATTATGTTTCTTCAGCTTTAACCATTTTTAAGCCAATAATATTGATAATTGAAATATTTTTAGGGTGATCTTAGATAAGTTTTAGTTATACTAACAATAAAATGTACTTCCATTTCATTTATACATAATTTATGAAAACTTTATATATAAACAGCTATTTTATGACAGGTATATTTAAAATATTCTTTTAAATCTAAGTTTTCTGAATATTCTTTTTCTTTATTCCATAATCTTTAACCACGTAGAGATGGATCTGTTAGATATGATTATTCGCATACTATATCACTAAATAATTAATTGTCTTTATTATATTTATATCTATGTATAAAATAATCTTTTGAGTTTCTTTTATTTATTTCTATGCAATCTAGAGCTAATTTCTCATTATATAGATATAATTATAAATGAAGTAGATTGTCAAAGATTACATTTGTTTTTGATAAAACTGCAATTTAATGCAATTCAAATTTACCCATCAAAGTTGTTTCACCTGTTTGATATCTAGCCATTAAAATGCTTTACCCATTTAATAAATCAGAAATTTACTAATATTAGATCTATTCAATACTTATTTTAATTTAGTAATTACTTAAGCACTATTTTCATAATAATCAGACGATTTTATAGTAGAATGAACACCTGCTTTTATTTGTTTTACTTAATAATCAACTTCAAAGTCAACTTTTCTTTCAATCAAATATTTTTCCATTTCTGTATGAAAAAAGGATTTATTTTTGATGCATTTAAAACCGTTATCATAAAATGCATAGAATACAAATTCTCTATCTTTTAAGATGACCGTATCTAGAATATTAATATTTATTGGCCTAACAACTTCATCTTACTTCTATAACATTTAACATATAGTCAAAAGATCATCTTTATATCCACAGATTGACAATCTTCTTTATCTTGGTTATTTAATTATCTTTTGATATTTTTATTTTTCTTGTGGTTCTTCTTCTTCTGGTAATTTTTTTATACAGATTTAACATGTACATAAATCAGGACATTCAGTAATTGCGAAAGGAATTACTTCCATTTTCTTCAAAGTTAAATCCCTAAATGAATCCCAACATTTAATTCCATTTAATTTTTATTAATATGACATAATTTTATTATTGAATTTTATACAAAACAAAAAATAATTTCACATAATTAATTACGTATTATTTACATGTATCATTATTTTGTTGATACATATTTTATAAAGTATGTATAATATATATATATAATAATTTCTTACAATATTTTATTGTGATTATATTGTTATAATTTTTATGAACATTTAATTGGCAAAAAAAGTTGTTAATTAATGGAAATTATTTGTAGAAAAACGAAGAGAAGTTAGAAGCATTCTTGTTACTTAATACAAATAAAGCTATATAAAAGTTCTTTATTCATATAAGGAATTTAAAAAAAAGCGATTTTAGTAATACATAATTTCTAATGCATCATAACTAATTTATAAAGCATTAAAAATCAATTTGTAAAGAGTCTAAAATCTCAAGAAGTTTATTGAACATAATAAAATAAAGCGATTTTATATTTTAAAACAATAAGATAGTATTTTTCAGAAAATTACTAATTTATAATCTTATAATGCTATATTAAAAACTATAAGACTTCCTAAATACACAAAATGTGAATTTAAGAATTTAATACCTTTAGTTTTTAAAAGAATGGGAAAAGCTGTTATTTTATATAATTTTCACTATATGAAAAAGTTCTATGGGGAAACCACTATTGAAAGAGATATGATAAAAAATGAATTCCTCTATTATTTTACTAATTAAGTGACTGTTAAACGTCCTTAAAAATAATACTAATTAAGTTCTTCTGAATATGCGAGATATCAACATGTACTTGAAAAAATTGACAAATTTCAATCTGAAGAATACTCTCTACTCAAATATGTAGACTTGAAAAATATAAATGCAATCAAAAAGATATATATCCATAATCGTATGAATAAGAGTTAATAGTTATAAATATATTTTGATTATTAATTAGAAGAAATTGCAGCTGCCTGTAAAATTTAAAAGTTTTTTAGAGGGAAACAAGATCGAAAGATAAAAGGAAAGCAATATCATGTAATAATAAGATTAATCAATTAATCTCGAGCAATCTCTGTTATTTAGAAATGGTTTCGAAGGATAAGACAATTTCATAGAAATAATTTTTTTAAAGATATCTCTTTTTATATATCTCAAATTCCAACAGAACACTTATATTTGGATATAGAGATATATAAAAAAATAGAAAATATATTTTAAAATTAATAATATACAATAAAATTTTTAGAGCAATATAATACGGTATATATTATACTAATTTTAGATAGTTTCAGATGATGAAGCTGTTAGATTGATATTCTAATCATAAAAGTAGGAATATTTAATTCAATCAACTTATCAAAAATCTATTTCTTAATTAAATAATATTGTTATTAAAGTTATACCTTAATGGTTGATTAATTAAATTTCAATGGTGCCAATTCAATAACAAAAGTTTATTGATTACAAAATTATCAAATAAGAAATTTCAGGTACAAAATGGAGTTGTAGAAATAGGTAATATTAAAAAAAGTATTATGAATAATTAAATGATTTGACTTTTTAAAAATAATGTGATATTTATGGATTACTTCATTTAGGTGCAAAAATCTCTTTTGATCATATATGTAAGAGAAATTATATAAGATTTACTTACAAATCAACAAGTGAAGCTAGATATAGAGCTTTAGCTTTAGCTCTTATAACTTATAAATTTAAATATAATGTATGCATTTAAATGTTAAATGATAATTTATGGGAAAGTACTTATCAAAAATAGGAGTTATTTTTATAATTATATTATTTAAAAATTTAAAAAGCTTATAAGATTGAATCATAAGAATTATAATCATCTGATTGTTTACACTCAAATTAAAATTGTTTAATCTTATGTTAAACTGAATTTTAGGCCGAATAATATAAATTAAAAAAGAATGAAATTTAGTTATCATTTTATAATGAAACAAGTAGAATATCATAAAGTTTTATATGGATGTGTACTTAATAAATAATAAAAAAAGTTCCAATTAAATTATAAAATTAATAATTAAGTTAAACCAATACAATTAAATTAAGTTCAATTTTATAAAATAGAAATACCATTGAGGAAGAACAAAATTTTGAATAAAGTATGTAAAGTAAACTTTATGTTTCAAATTTTTCAAATAAAATATCACCTAGATCTCCAAAATAAGAAGAAAGGAATAAATCACCATAGTTACCTAAATTTTCTATTTTATCTTTGGATTATCCAGAAGTTCAATTTTAAGAACCAAAATTTAAGAGAAGAACTGAGTAGAATTATATAGAATTTGCAATCACAAGTAGAATTAGAACCTAAAATAATCCATTAAATAATTCTAAATTTAATAGTCCTTATGATATTGATGAGAATATTAATTAAGTGAATAAAAAGAAGAATAATTGTGATCTCGAAAATATAAGTGAAAATACAGAATACTCTATTTTATAAAGAAAATATAAAGAATTTATTTTAAGTGATAATAAAACAAAAATAGAATCAACAAAATCTTCAAAACCTAATGAAAAAATACTTTTAAGTGATTTTACGAAATGGATAAATAAATAAGAAAAAAAAATTAATAATAATAATAATTAAGTTAAGAGATAGAAAGCAAAATCAATAGAAAAATAAACAAAAAAAGTTGTTACTTCATCTTAGTTGACTTAATCTGTTACTAGAAGAGAAGAATATAAGGATTATTCATTAGCATTTCCTAAAATAGGACAAAAAGTTTATAGGAAATTTACTTTAGAATCTAAATAATTACATAATCAAAAATAATATGGTTTTCTTGAAGATCAATATGTTATGGCCAAAGATACTATAAAATTTTGATTATTCATACAAATATTAATTCAATCTGAATTATTTTTAAGATTATTCTCCATCCAAATTTAGTATTTTTTATCGAAATCAGTTTTTAATAAACAATCAAGTAATAATTAAAAAAATTCTTTAGCTTATATATTTTTTTCATATTAATCTTTGATTAAATTCACACAATTAAGAATTAATTTTTTTTATGGAATTGTCTTTAATGCTTAATTTTTAATTTCTTTGTAATTTTAACAAATTTAGTTTTATTACAATTCCTATGCAAATTCCAAAAATTACGTTGAATTTTAGAAAGTCAAAATGGAAGTTCTTATAGAAATTAGTAAAAAACAATTAATTGAAGCAATTATAAAAATGCCATTTTAAAATATAATATCCCAAAAATGTAAGCAAGCTTATTTTGGAATATTGTATAAATATAAAGTAAAAATCCATTTACAAAGTAAATAAGAATCATCTATATCTAATTTCATATAATGTTTATATAATTAAATATCTTATTCTTTGAGAATCTCTTTAGTTACAGCACAAATAAGTCTCATTAAAGGAAATTCTGTCATATAAATCGCATATAACATCCATTTAGAGCAATAAAACATAATAAAAGAAGCAGACCATGTTTATTCTATATTTCCACCTGATTACATAAGCATAAAAGCTAGAATGAAATTCATTCCTTAAGTATAACCAATCCCTTTAAAAGTTGATCCTACTAAATTCAATAGTTAACTCAATAATTAAGAGTTTTAAGATTCTAATAAAAAAAAAGGATGACTAATCTAAAAATGAATAATACTTTGGAAAAGTTCTTTTAACATCTCGTTCTACTACTGATAATCTTTCAGTTTATCTAATTTTCATTGCTTAATGCTTTTATTTAATACAACTAAATAATAAAGTTTTCCAAACGAACCATCTTATTTATCCTCCTCCAGCATATTCTAAAACTTCTGCAAAGCGTTCAGGCTTATTTTTATGAATAGCATATAAAGCTTTTTATAAATCTATATTCTATCCTTCATCTGTAATTTCTGGATTCCCTACTAACCCTTACCATAGTTAAATGCATATTTCTTAGTTTATAATTTCTGATTTATCAAAGCAAACACCAACCTATAATTAATTTTCTCTTTCAATTATATTTTAAATCTAATTATATATTTTAGTGAAATACTATCGGCTTAATAGGAGCATATGGCTACTCTTCAATTTCCTAAAAATAAGTATTTTTTAAGGAATCCCTAAACAATTCGTCATTTTATTCTCTATTACAAATATTTCCCATATAAAAACTAAATAAAAGAAATAAACCCAATTTCTAATATATTTTAAATAAAAGGCAATAAAAATTTAAACCTTTGNATTTTTTTCATATTAATCTTTGATTAAATTCACACAATTAAGAATTAATTTTTTTTATGGAATTGTCTTTAATGCTTAATTTTTAATTTCTTTGTAATTTTAACAAATTTAGTTTTATTACAATTCCTATGCAAATTCCAAAAATTACGTTGAATTTTAGAAAGTCAAAATGGAAGTTCTTATAGAAATTAGTAAAAAACAATTAATTGAAGCAATTATAAAAATGCCATTTTAAAATATAATATCCCAAAAATGTAAGCAAGCTTATTTTGGAATATTGTATAAATATAAAGTAAAAATCCATTTACAAAGTAAATAAGAATCATCTATATCTAATTTCATATAATGTTTATATAATTAAATATCTTATTCTTTGAGAATCTCTTTAGTTACAGCACAAATAAGTCTCATTAAAGGAAATTCTGTCATATAAATCGCATATAACATCCATTTAGAGCAATAAAACATAATAAAAGAAGCAGACCATGTTTATTCTATATTTCCACCTGATTACATAAGCATAAAAGCTAGAATGAAATTCATTCCTTAAGTATAACCAATCCCTTTAAAAGTTGATCCTACTAAATTCAATAGTTAACTCAATAATTAAGAGTTTTAAGATTCTAATAAAAAAAAAGGATGACTAATCTAAAAATGAATAATACTTTGGAAAAGTTCTTTTAACATCTCGTTCTACTACTGATAATCTTTCAGTTTATCTAATTTTCATTGCTTAATGCTTTTATTTAATACAACTAAATAATAAAGTTTTCCAAACGAACCATCTTATTTATCCTCCTCCAGCATATTCTAAAACTTCTGCAAAGCGTTCAGGCTTATTTTTATGAATAGCATATAAAGCTTTTTATAAATCTATATTCTATCCTTCATCTGTAATTTCTGGATTCCCTACTAACCCTTACCATAGTTAAATGCATATTTCTTAGTTTATAATTTCTGATTTATCAAAGCAAACACCAACCTATAATTAATTTTCTCTTTCAATTATATTTTAAATCTAATTATATATTTTAGTGAAATACTATCGGCTTAATAGGAGCATATGGCTACTCTTCAATTTCCTAAAAATAAGTATTTTTTAAGGAATCCCTAAACAATTCGTCATTTTATTCTCTATTACAAATATTTCCCATATAAAAACTAAATAAAAGAAATAAACCCAATTTCTAATATATTTTAAATAAAAGGCAATAAAAATTTAAACCTTTGTATATAGATTTAGGAAAAAGTGTTTCTTGAAATTTAGATCAAAAACAAGAAAATAGATGTTTTGTGAGATAATTCAGCATGTCAAATTATTTATTATAAGCCATAAATAAATAGAAAACATATTATTTGAAATAATAATATTAGAATGTTTTGAGAATTAGAAATTCATATAATTTCTTTAATTACTAAAAAACTAGTTTTATTTAAAATTGATCCAAGAATTAGTAATTAAGAAGTTTATGAGACCATATCATTTATATTATAATAAATTGTCTTTAATATTCAACAATATTTATGATAAATCAATATTGCTCTAATAATAATATTAAATATTAAATCTAAATGGGATGTGTTACAACAAAAAAATTGACTATAATTTAGATACCAAAGCCTCCCTTAAGCTAAGGATCTTAATCAATTAATGGAGAAGATGAATAAAATTATCGAAGTGCCCCTTAAAGTCCTGGTTTAAAAAAAATTGTACAAATTGGGGCTTTAACTCCTGACGAAATTAAAGATTTTGTCGTAGAAAGAAGAAATTAAACTAACAGTGCAAAAAGAATAGAAGTTTTAAAGAAAAGTGGTCGTTATACACCTACAATTATATATAAATATAGATAACAATCAGCCTCCTTTAGAAGTCCATCAAGGGCTACTAATATATCACCAATCTACCCTACTTAAAAATGAGATTATTTTAAATTTATTTTGTAGTAGATGCTGATTTATTTTTCATAGTTATTATTGTTATTAGAAAAAAATATCTACATTTAAAAAAAAATTATTTTACATATTATTTATAATTAGTCGGTTCAAATTTTATTAAATCAGTTATATATTTTGGAGGTAGTACATGTTTCAAGAAATGAACTATCCACATATTAAATCAATATAGATTCCTCAAGAATTAAGTTTCTCTAATAATCTATTGAATGCTAATTAAATCCAAAAACTTATATTAATAAAACAAAGTATTCAAAATAAATTATGTAAACTATTTTTATATAAAAAATATAGAGAAATAAATTTTAAAATTCTTACCACAAGGATTCTATACTTAATTTAATAAATTTTTATTCCAAAAGGTTTTAAATCTTCAAATTTTTGATTTGCAAATTAATTTAACATTTTCATTAGTTTAAGATTATTAATATTTGGAATCATAATAATTTTAGCACACTTTAAATTAATTTCTTGATTTATAATATTTGAAATCATATTAATTTTGGCACACTTTAAATTAATTTCTTGATTTATAAAGCAAGATTGTTATATAAAGTGAAATGATTATTGGTATACCAAAATATATTATATTATTATTTCATACACTTTAATTTTATTATAATCATTGTTATTTATGGTTTGGATGCATAAAAAAATAAAATCCATCAATGAATGTGGGCCATGCTCCTGTTTTATAATCATACTTAGATAAATCTTCTCCTATTTATACACAAAATTCCCAAACCATATAATATGTATCTCTTGATATTGGCTTTTAATCCTTTTCTTAAATATTCTAAAATATATTTATAATTAGTGTTACGCTAACATATTTCATAAATTGATTCATTATTGGAAATACGTTTTTTAAAAGTGTTTCCCATAATCCTTAGGCAATAGATAGATCAATATCTTTTCTTTATTTTTATTTGGTAAAATCAAAACAATATTTATAGACTGATTTTAATATTTCTTTATTATTCAGATCTTCTCTTAAACGTTTAATTTCTCGTTTCAAATCAAAAGTAGATTAGGCTTTTAATAATGTAAATCCATATAGAAAATCAAATTTTGTGTAAACACCCTTTTATGTCATATAAATTTACCATAATTTCACTTTTAAAAATATAGGATATATAAAGAATAACAGGATCCATTAAATCGATACCTAAATCATTACAAAATTATTGAATTCCATTTTCATCAATAACTTATTATCCTTGACTAACATATTTTTTGAATTGATCTTCTATCTTTGTTCCTGATTTTTGAATGTCTAAAACATAATTGGAAGCTTTCTGCAAATTCCATTAGGCTTGATTAAGAATTTCTCTTGCTTACAAATCATTTAATTGAACAACTCTTTGTAGATCTTTAATCATAATATCTTCTTATGCTTAATTAGGTCTTTATCTCATTAATCAAATATAATAATAAATTATCAATATTTATGTTAAATTGTTTTTGAATGAATTCTAGGCTCATTAACTGTGTAAACACTTTCTTCTCTAGATCTACAAACATCAAGAGTAAGTTTTCTCTTTACTAATTCTAAATTAAAAACTGGTTGTTCATTCTTAAATTTTCTTTTTTTAAGTATAAAATCATTTAATTATTTACATTAATTTTATTGTTCATATTGCTTCTTATATATAATTAAATACTTTTATTTTATGAAAATACTCTGATATTAGTAATGATTAATCATTTAGTTAATCTTGAAGTTATTAGATTTAATTTTATTATTTCTAAGCATCTAAATTAGATGTGACATTAAATCTCTTTAGACATCGTTTTAAATTTAAATTTTCTTTTTTTAATTGACTATTTTCTACTTCAATTTCTTGAAATTTAATATCCCTAATAATATATGCTATAATACTTGCAAATCTAATTTTTATTTTAAGATTCTTTCAGATTCTTATAAACTTTATATTAATGTAGAATGATCTGGAATTTTAGGCATAACTAGATGATTATAATCAAAATCATCTTATTATATTTTTAAACCTAATTCTGCATTATACAAACGTAAACAAACAAAATAACTACATAAACGATTGGCTTTTAATCTAAGTTTATGCGATAATGCCTTAAGTAATGAAATTTCTTATTCAAGTTCAACTAATAGATCTTAATCTATAAAATTTTATTTTTATGGAAGTTCTTTTTTTTCTAATTCTTATAATTTAAGAATTAATGATTAGATGATAGTTTCTTATTCAAGAATCAGATTATTTTTAGAATCAGCTTATTTTTAAAGTGCAATTATTTTAGCTTTTATATTAATAACTTCTGATTTATCTTTAAGGATAGATTCTTATAGATCATCTTAGACTTATTAAATCTAGATTTGAATGGAATCTAGGAGTTAATTTTTTTTTTGTGTAAATTTGTTTTCAAATTGTACTTTATTAGAAGCTTTGATTCTATATGCTTCCTGCATATTTTTAATCAATTTAATTCATGAGTAAAAAAGCAGAAAAAAAGAAATAAGAAAAAATAATAGAAGACAGAACATTTGGACTAAAAAACAAAAATAAAAGCAAACAAGTTTAAAAGTATATGAGATAAAAATAATTATTAGTTTCTGTAAAGGAGTTGCTTCACAAGTAAAATATAGTGGTGTTTCATTAACAAAATTATAGTCAGAAGAGTTTGAAAGGAAAAAATTAGAAAAATAATTGGAAGAGGAGGATAGATTAATGTAATCTTTGTACAAAACAGTTGAATAAGTTAGAGATGAAGAATCTGAAGAAGAAGTAGATCCAAAATCAATATTGTGCGAATATTATAAATAAGGTAGAAATATAATAAAAATGAATAGGTTTATGTTAGAAAGGTAAGAAGTGTATGTACTCACATGATATGAGTTTAGAGTAAAAGACAGCAATAATTGATTTGTATACAGATTAAAGATAATAATTAACAGATGAATGGGATACATGTTAAACTTGGGATGAAAAGACATTAAAGGATATAGTTGAAGCTAATGAGAAAACATATAAAAGGTATATAGATGATAAAATAATATTTTATAGTTAAATTCCATCAGCCAAAGTATGTGATTTCTTTTTAGATGCATTAGAAAAAGGTAAATATGGATGGAGATGGGTTTGTCCAAATGGTATGACATGCCATTATAAACATTGTTTACCATAAGGTTATGTTTTTAGAAGAAAAGAAGAAATTAAATAAAAATTTGATGGAGATATTGAAGAAGAAATTGATGAAGAAATTTAAAAATTATAAAAAGGAGGAACTAAAATTACCAAAGAAGTATTTGAAAAATGGAAAATTGATAGAGCTGAAAAAAAAAAATAAGATGCTGAAAAATTAAAATAAGAAGAATCAAAGAAGAAAGGTTTAAATTATTTATTTAATCTTAGGTGCTAAATAAACTGGAAGTAATGCTCAAATGACTGGAAGAGCACTTTTTGTTTATGATCCAAGTTTATTCGTAGATGATGATGAAGCAGAAAAAGAATATGAAAGAGAGGAATAAATTGAAGAAAATGATGAAGAAGATGAAGAAGATAATGAAAACAAATAAAAATTATATGAAGGGGATGATAATCAACAACAAAATCAAGATGAAGATGATGATTAATAATTTAAGTAACAACAATCATGATAATATATTGATTCTATATCATCATCTTCAATTAAATGTTCTAGAATTAATCTCATTTTATGACATTTTTAAAAAAGAGAATTAATAATTGATCACATAATAATAAAAATATAAATCATATATTAATTCAATCAATTCAAAAATGAATGATTTATCATAATTCATCTTTAATACAATCATCTTTGAGAGGGATTATATTAAATTATTATTATTATTATTATTAAAATGGTTATGAATTGTTTAAGATAATATCACTTTCCATAAGCTCATCATGAGTAACGAATGATTCTTAAACTTCTTATTATTCAAATTATTATTTAGTTTAATTTAATGTAAGAGTAATATTTTCAGGATGTTTGTAGGTTGTCTTTTAATTTTATTTCTTTTATTTTGTGCATTAAAATAAGACTCTTCCTGTTTAAAATAAGATATTAGGTTATATTCCTTCTTCAGGAATCTTAAGTAAATCTTAATCTTAAGCAAGAACAAGAGTTCCAAACTTACTTTTGTTATTTTGAATTCTAATTATGTAATCAGGACTTTCAAGAGTATGTTTACTAGTCGGAATTAATTTAATAGTTGCATGTACTCTTGATACAGATATATCTCTTAATTTAATATCACAATCAGGTATACGACCCTAAAATAGTAATTATTTATCAAATACAATTTTCAATTCAGTTTTTTCTCCTATCTCAACTACATAAATTATAGCTTCTTTTTATTTATCAATATTAGTTATCTTAAATGTGATATAAGATGATTTTGGTTTTGGTAATTTAAGAACTGTATATGTTTTATCTTGGAATTTATAAGTATTTCTAAAAGTAGCCTTNTACCAAAGAAGTATTTGAAAAATGGAAAATTGATAGAGCTGAAAAAAAAAAATAAGATGCTGAAAAATTAAAATAAGAAGAATCAAAGAAGAAAGGTTTAAATTATTTATTTAATCTTAGGTGCTAAATAAACTGGAAGTAATGCTCAAATGACTGGAAGAGCACTTTTTGTTTATGATCCAAGTTTATTCGTAGATGATGATGAAGCAGAAAAAGAATATGAAAGAGAGGAATAAATTGAAGAAAATGATGAAGAAGATGAAGAAGATAATGAAAACAAATAAAAATTATATGAAGGTGATGATAATCAACAACAAAATCAAGATGAAGATGATGATTAATAATTTAAGTAACAACAATCATGATAGATATTAATTGTAAATTTATTATTTCTATATAATCATCATCAATAAAATGTTCTAAAATAAATCTTAAATTTAAGACATTTCAAAAAGAATAAAAAATTGATCAAATTAATAATAAAATATAAATTATATATTAAATCAAGCAATTTAAAAATCAATGATTTATCATCTTTCATCTCTAATACAATCATCTTTGAGATTAAATTCATCACATAATTCTTATTATAGAGGTTAAGAATTGTGTAAAATGATGTCACTTTCCATAAGTTCATCATGAGTAACGAATGATTCTTAAACCTCTTGCTATTCAAATTATTATTTAGTTTAATTTAATGAAAGGCTAATATTTTCAGGATGTTTATAAGTTGTCTTTTAATTTTACTTCTTTTATTTAGTACATTAAAGTAAGACCCTTCCCACTTAAAATAATACATTTTGTTATACTCCTTATTCAGGAATTTTAAGTAAATCTGAATCTTAAGCTAAAACAAGTGTTCCAAATTTGCTTTTATTATCTTGAATTCTAATTATGTAATCAGGAATTTCAAGAGTATGTTTATTAGTAGGAATTAATTTAAGAGTTGCATGCGTTCTTGATACAGATATATCTCTTAATTTGATATCACAATCAGGAATACGACCCTATAGGGTAATTAAAAATAAAATACAATTTTTAATTCTGTTTTTTCTCCAACCTCAACTACATATATTATAGCCTCTTTTTATTTATCATCATTAGTAATTTTAAAAGTGATATAAGATGACTTAGGTTTTGGTAATTTAAGAACTGAATAGGTTTTATCTTAAAATTTATAAGTATTTCTAAAAGTAGCCTTACATATTTCACAATCCAATCTCTTCCAAAGATATTGTATAAAATGCTCTCCTTATTTTATTTTAAGTTATATTCCTACCCATTTCTATAGACACTCCAAATGTATATATTTAACTGATCCTCCACATTTACATGGACGAATCAAAGGATTTATTTCACTTACTCTACTTGAAAAGCAAATCCTACAATTGAATACATCATTTATTGATTAAACTTCATCATCCTATTCATCTTAATATTATGTAGCTTCATCACAAGGTGTCATAAATGCATATTCTAATAATTACATTCTCACTCTCCCTAATTTTATAACATCTCCAATTTTCAAATCTTTGTGCTTATTCTTTAATTAAATTAACATACATCTATAGATTAAAATTGACTATTTTCTAATTTCAATACTGCCCATAATTTATGATCGTGTTATTGAGAAATACTATTAATATATGCATCCTATTCATCCAAAATAATATTCACTATTTCATTCGAATTTCGAACACATTCTCCTTAAGTTAAAGCTACTAGTTCTTTTTCAACTGTTGCTATTTAAGCTAAAATTGTAACTCTTATTTTTATACATGAAAAATCAACCTCAATTTCTTTAACAAAATATGAATTGGAATCAAAATCAAATAGATTATGTTAATTCTTTGGCCAAATCACTGCTAATATGTGAACTCTAGCATTATAACATTATTCTACTTATATGGCATCAAAGTTCTGTTTATCTAGTATTTTCTTACTTTTGTTGATGTACAAACTCCCATTAATTTAATTATTTTTATTAATTAAATATATTCTTTTATTTTTAACTAATAAAAAAATTTTTAACTTATCTTATAATTTTTCTAAAGAACTTTTATAATATTCAAATATTTGCTATAATCTACTTTTTTGAATGATTTAAATTTTTGAATACTTAAATATTTTAAAAATATAAATCCCTAAAATCAAAATTATTTATAGAATTCATTAATTTAGTTATCTTCATAAAAATGCCTATTAAAAAGAGTGCCCAAATATTATTTGTAAGTGTTAGTTAATTTAATAAAATTTTTGTTTGATTCTAAATAGAATGATTAACATTAAAACAATTTTAAATTATGAATTGGGAAAGAGATTTAATTAATATTTTTGGTTAAAGATAAATTAAACTCATTTTATTAAAATAAAATCTAATCTAAAGAATTGTAATAAATAACTGTCATAAAACATCTTGAAGAAAATACATAAAAGTAAACCTTAATATTATTCATTCTTAATTTTAAATAGATAATTAAATAGATGATCTTTATAAGATTTGAATAGATTTTTGGAAAAAGAACCATTAAATGAGAAAAATTCAATCAAAACTTAAAATAGCTCTATTTTATTTTTTGTAACAAATTTAAATCATTTTGGTAATTTTCAAATCCAATTCGTGATTTCTACATTTATTAGGATGCTTATTAAATTCTGAAAATAGATCAATTAATGATTTATAATAATAATAAAATAGTTAAGAAAAACAATTAATAAAGTCTATTGAATAATAAGTAAATATTTCATTTGGTTATTGTGATATATATAGATAAGAAAATTAAAAATTAAATAGTATTGATTAAAATGAATAAGAAACTCAAAAAATTCCATTAGTCTTTGAAAATTTTGTGAATCCCTATCAAAAAATAGTTAAATTTTTCAGAGTAAGCACTTATTTCTAAATAGCAAAAGAAAAATAAATAAACGTTTGAAGAAACAAAAAAAAAGTAAAATTTAAGTAGAACAACAAATTCCTTAGACATCAAAAAATAAATAAATTTTAGTAAAATATTTCGACTGATTTTTATGCTAAAGAAAATCAATCTCCAAAAAGATCTTAATAACTAATCATAAGTAATTCAATGATCATGTGTTTTGAATGTAAATAGTAAATTTGTATTATTACTATCAGTATGATGTGATCTTTTCTTTTATTACCACTGTTCTAATTCTAAAATTCTTTAATCTTTTCTAGATATTTATCTTTCGAATTATCTTTTTAATCTAGTTTCTTATTCTTCCAATTCATATTCTAAAAATGAATTTAAATAATACACATTTATTATTTTTAATCGTTTAACTACTTTTAGAGGATATCCTAAAATAGTTTTTATTATTCTTTTAAATCACTTTCTAATTTTTGTACTTAGGACTCTAAAGATTAAATTGAAACTTTATCATTTTAAGAGGCTCTGAGTTTATTTGAAGATTTACTTTCTTAATTGGTTATTTTCTTCCTCTAAAATCTTGATTTTATTTCCATAATGTTGTTCAATAGTTTTAAGTCTTTCAACAATATTGATTGAAGTATTTGCCTGATTTGGTGATTGGATTCCTGAATTTATTGGACTATTAGCAACAATAGATTATTGTTAAGGTTGAAATTTTTCAAATGTTTAAGTCTTTATTTATTGTCTACTTCTATAAATTCTATATGAGTTATTATTTTCAATTATGTCAGACTTTTTCAACTAAGAATTTTCCATATTTGAAACAGGAGTATATTAACAATTATTAAGAATCTCGTCCTATTATTTAGTCGGTTCATCTGAATTTATAATTGATTTTGGTTGTGTTCTTTTTATTGTATTGATATTTGACTCTTTAAGTAATTTAAGAATAGTTTCATCAAACTTGTTTAAATATGTATTCACTTATTCTAACTTCTTCATTTAAATTATAAATAATATTTAATTTATATCATTTTTCATTATTTGTTTCTTAAGTATACTTTTCATTCTTTTATTGATCACCTTTTTTCCAATAATTATCTAAAGCTTATTCCATTTTAGATTTTTCTATATATGTTATATTATGTAATTTACTTTATATATCCTTGGCTAATTTATAAACATCAGAATTAATTCTATTCTTTCTTCCTGTTTTAATAAATTTTTGTTACTTTTCACCCTATTAAATAAATATAAAATTTACATTCTAATTTTTTTATTTGAAACCTAATCTTCTTTTACGCTATGTATTTTGTTATTAAAATCCTTATTTATTTCCTCTTCCTCTTTAAGATCCACTTCCTCTATTTTAATTTCTTTATCTATTTTAACCAGAATTATAATTTGATTATCTTCTAAATTAATTATTTTTAAAGTTTCCTTGTTGATTGTTTTATCTATTGTTATTATTTCTATTATTTCTAAAATTTTAATTTCCTCCTCTTAAAGGTCTATTATTATTATTTCCCCCTCTTCTTTTCCAAGTCCCTCTAAATTATCTCATAAATTAATTTTTCCAATCTATATTTTAAAATATATATGAATATACAATTTTAATTGAGAGATTTCTTATAACATAATATGAAATTAACATACATTTCATAAAAATCATAATTTAAACTTCTCTAATTGTTCAACCATTTATTATGTATCAATGACTGAAGATTTAAGTTTCATGATCCAATAAGTTAAAAAGCTTTGTAATTCGCATTTCATCTAACAAAATCTTTATTCATAATTATCATCTGGTTTCAACCTTTTTTTTTATGTTTCATTAATTAATTCTTATGACTATGCTTTTTTTATTATCTTTATTTCCAAAGTTTATTTTGTCGTTTATTCTATACTTGGCTAAAATTATGTCTAAGTAAGTGTTGTATTTTAAGTATTTTTATCACTTTATTACGTTTGAGAACTTTATTGTAATTCAGAATCATTTTTTAATTATGAACCAGAGTTTGGTTAAATAACTTGTTTATCTAAATTTCCTATTTTATTATTCTAATCTATAATTTATAGCAATTATCTCATTTTTTCACTTTCAGTTCTAAAAATCATTGGAGGTCTTCCTTTTCTACAATATGCTCTCTTTACTGCTTTTTTTGGTTAATCTTAATCCATCTTTAGAATATGATATTATTAAACTACTTAATTATTATGTTATAAATTCCTAAATGTTTAAATTGAAAAGGTAAAATAAAACAATGCTTTGTAAATTGCCTTTATTTAATATTCTAAAATATATATATTAAATTGAGTTCTATATTTTTAGCTTATAATATATTATCAACATAAAATAGAAATGATTCATTTTTTTAAATAAATATATTTCAATTTAAAATCTATCTGGGTGTGTTTAGGGTGTTCAATTTAGCCAAAAGGAGATTTTTTTAATTTGCATCAACATGTACTGTTATATTTTTATTTGCTAATAAACTCACAATTAAATTTCTAATTTATATAATAGATACTTGTTAGATTGATTAACATGAAAAGTTTTTGCTTTTAATTATTTCTTTTAATCAAATCTTTATTTTTGATATTAGATATTTCTTGTTGATTTTGGTGATTCAATATTTTTCTAAAGGCTCCTTAAAGATGTATTACCAGTAATTGCTTTTGCTTAATTCTTTAATTGAAGTTTAGTTTTCACTCTTTATTATACTGGAATAATTATAAAAATTACATAAACTTAATATCTCAGCATGTGCAAGTTTGGATGAATTACCTCTATTTTTTGATGTTAAGCAATTTTAATTTAGATTGGATTTCCTAAAAGAATCACATTTATCTAAGAATAACTTCTAAACTTTATTTTATCTTTAAGTCTAACTAGTTGCTTTTTATTAGTTTATTAGCTAATTAATTTTTTTAAGTTTTTCTTATGTTATAAATTATTATAATCTTTATTCATTGAGAATGCATTATTGATTTATCATAATTTTTTGTAAATTTGGTTGTTTTTTGGATGGATTAGCATTTAAAGTTGATATAATTTCATTGATTTCACTTTACTAAGTTTGAGTTCTTTATTTTAATTCAGTATTTAATTCATCCAAAACATTTCCAATAACTACACCTGATTCTTGAGATGATTTTGGAGTACTTTAAGATTCTTGAGGTTATTCTCCAACAATACCTTTTGGAGTTCTATTGGGATTTTATTAATTTTCCTATTCTATAATATGTTGTATTTTATAATAATCTAATTTTCTTCTTTGATTGTAAAATTCATTTAATATGGCAACAATTTATTCATTAACGGCCCATCTAGGAATCTCTTTATGGAACTGCAAATGTAATGAATTATTAATACTCTATAAAATTCAACTAAAATTTTGATTTTTTTTGGATATGAAGATAATGTGTATAGTTTTTTACAGTGTTCCATTTCTTCATCATATTGTTATAAATCCTTTTAAAAATTGAAAATATTATTACTTTAAACCAAATGGTTGCTTTAGTTGGTTAGTTGAGAATCAAATCATTAACTACTTTGGTGTAATAATAGTTTTGAGATTCTGCATATTTATTAAAAAGGGAACAAGTGATTCTTTATGATAGAGAGACTTTCTTAAATAATAATCTAACAATACTCTACCTTTCATTCTAATTTTATCTTGATTATTCCCATACAAAACCTTTCTGCTTGGAATACAAATATGGCATTCCATTTTGAAATAAAATTAATTTAAATTAACTTATTAACTTGCATTAAACATTAATCATAAATGAATGACTAATTAAATTTAATATAAAATAAATAATTCAAACACATAATTATTCAAGTAGATGAATTTAAACAAGAAAGCTTGAATAAATGTAAAATTAATAGAGTAAATTCTGATTTTGATACTTGATTTTTAAATAAAAACAGATTTCGAATTTATTAATTTATGAAATAAACTCAGTAGAATAGAATGCTTTACAAATTACTTTAATCAAAGTCATTGCGTAGTATGTTTTCTCCTGGAAAAGAATCAATTATAACAGATCCAAATAGAGTTAAGGAAAAATGTTTGAAACACAACTTAAAAGTATTTATATTAATAGAATAGGCAAGATTTAGTTTTAATAATTAGTAATTATGTGAAATATGTGCTATTTAGTGTGCATATGATCATCAACAATTACAGCATATAAAAAGTGGAATGATTTTATAACCATTTTAAGAATTGAAGAATGGAGTGTCTAATAATGAAATTCCAATATTAAGTGAAAAAGTCAAGGATTTAAAGAATTGTAAATAAAAATAAAGTATCCTAATGTAATTCACTAATTAATTGGAAACTGTTTAGAATAAAGTTAAATCTTTATGTGAGTAAGTTAACATAATTAACACTTATGGAATTTAAAGATATCAAGAATAATAAATCAAATCAATTTGTAGAAAATTAGAGTATACATTATTAGAAGTCATACGGAATAGACAATCAATATCAAATTATAATTATGATTAATTATAAATAAGATTAAATAATTATTAGGATGATATATAATTAATGAAGAAAGATATTGAAGATAATCTAGAGAGTATAATAAATAAAATGGAGATGATACCTTTAAGTGAAATAATACATAAATATCAAATGAAATTAGACTTTTATGAAAGGGAATGCAATTAGAAAAAACATTTATTTTAATAAATATTGAATATGTTTTATATAGAATTATAGAGATTGAGTAAATAATGAATATAAAAATTATTTTATGAATCATTAGAAATAATTTTAAAGTATTAAAAGTATCCCAGATGCACAAAAAAGCTATGAAGTTGAAAACTGAGTATTTTTTTAGAGGGTAGAGACAACTCAATAAGAATCTCATTTAATTTTAAATAATGATCAAATATCTATTGAGGAATGAATATAGCTAAAACTAAATATAAAAGAAGAATAATACAAAATGAGACAAACTTGGATAAATTTATTAGAATTATTTGAAAATGCTATATATACTAAATTCTTTTATTCAAATCATCAAGTTAATAAATTTGTAGATTTAGATTTAAGAATTACTGATAAATTGGAGTTGAATAAGAAAATAGAGAAGATGAAAAATAACTTGTAACTTCTTCTGTTAATACTAATAAACAAGTACCTACCACTCAAAATTTATTAACTAAATAAATAATTCAATGTAAAATATTACTTTCACTTCCAATCAAACCTCAAGAAAAACCTTAATAAAAAATGAAATAATATTATTCAAGTCTAATTAAGTATTAATCAAAAAAATCTAATAACGGTAAGCTTTACTTCTTAACCACGTAAAAGGTAACATTTTATTCTCAAGAAATTCATTCTGAATCATCAAATCATAAATTTATCAAAGGCTTGAAGTCAAAATAATTAATCGGATTAATAAATTAATAATGAAAATAAAAGTTTTTTGATTGTTTGCATAGATAAATTTAAATAAATAATTAAAAATATCATGTAAAATATTTAAAATATCTCATTATTTTAATTATATTCTTTAAAATTGTAATTATTGATACATATTCTATTTAGTTTTACTATACATTAATTATTAATTATAATAATATTTCGGTAGTAATACATAGCTGTATAAGATATAAAATAGAATAAAAATACAGTAAATATAAAATAAAATAAATAGATATATATAAATTATTAATGTTTATTTTTTCATTCTTATTCTGATAATTAAATTAAGTATCCTTGATCCCATTTACCTTTAATAACTGTTCCATCAGCAGTTGTAAATTCTCCTTCTCCATGTACCATACCTTCTTCAAATTCTCCGAAATATTGTTCTTGATTAGTAAGAATGAGTGTTCCTTATCCATGCATTTTTCCTTATAAAAAGTTCCCTTTAATTGTATATATTAATGATTATTACCTTCATATGATGCCCATCCATTGCCAATAGTAGTCATATTATTCCAATCAATAGGTTCATTTAATTCTTCAGTCTAAAGATTAGTTAATCTTCCTTAACCATCATAGAGATTATCTTTCCAATATCCAGCATAAACTTATTTTCCATCCTAATCTGTTAAAATACCAAATCCATTTCTAGTTTAAGGTGGATATCCTTATCCTCTATAAATATATCCATCTTCATATTGTAAAGCCAATTCTAGAAATAATTAGAATTTAAATACCTTAAACATTTTCATCTTCTTCATCCCCTTAAGGTTCATTTGCTTGATTATTTTAATGTTCTTTATTTCCAGAATCATCCATCTGATATTTTTTAATAATTTCTTCTGTACTTTTAAGAGCATTCTAATATCTTTTATCTAAGTCATCTTCTGGTTGTTTTTATGGAACCTATTGCTTTTTCTGAGGAGGTGGTGATTTTTATTTTTATTAATTAGGTTATGGTTAAGGATAATTAGCATCTAAAAATCAAATTTGAAAATACTTTTATTTGTCTGTTATGGTTTTTAAGCTTAAGGTTATTAAACACCTCTTAATCTTTCTTACACTTATTCATAAGTAAGATATTATCTTTGAGGTGATTAAAGTTAAGGACCTGGAGATCTTGGAACTTACTATGATTACATTAGCATATTTCTAGTTGGGGATTATGCTACTTTTAATCTATCTGGAGATTAGAATGTTCTTTAAGGTGAAGCCATTATTTGACTCATCATTGGTTGTGGTTGGTATACTTATGGCATTATAGTTGAAGCATATGGATTCAATGGATAAGATGGTGCATATCTAATATTTGGATAACCATATTGAGGAGCATTGTAAACAGGAGGTCTCCATTACTATGGTACTTATGGAAGTACACCATAGTGAGGATATCTATATTACGGATATACTTATGGGTAGAAATGTTATGGCAAATACATTAAATTTAAAAACTTAATTAATGAAAAAGATGGCAGACAAGTCTTCATCTGAAGAAGAGTATGATGAAATTTTTGATGCTTTAATATAGTCTTCAAAATCAAAAAAGAATGAGAAGAAATAGAATTATACATTTCAAGATGGATAATATTAATTTGATGTAATTAAACATTTTCTAGAAACTTTATAAGTTAACAACTTCTAAAAAGGTTACAGTATCCAAATTTAAAGGTAACGTTGTTCTAAGTTTTCGTGAATATTTTGAGAAAGATGGATAAATGTTACCAACAAAAAAAGGACTTACATTATCATTAGATAATTGGGTGAAATTCAAAAAATATATTGGGGAGATTGATGAATGCATAAATAAATTAAATAAATGAATTATGTTTCACGCAGTCCTCAAGTTCCTATCTATCAACAGATAAAGACATTTGTGTAAGGTCTAGCCCAAAAAAGAAACTAGAAGGTAGTATTAAATGAGGTTTAATCTCTCATTAATCAATTGGGTATACCTGGAGAATAGTATTTCTTACTTCAACTTTTGGAGAGTATAGAAATATAAAAGGAAAAACAATCTCTAACATAAAAAGGGCAATTTCTTGTATAATGGCTCTAATAAGCCTCATCTAAATCCCATTTCTTAGATTACTTTTGTGGTGTGGTTGAAGCAGTGTGTCCATAATCTTAATCCATTACTGAATATTTATTAGAATTGTGTAATACTCTTAAAGTACCATCTTTGGTATAAATGATTATGTGGCTATCCATCACTTTTTCATCAAGTGTTAGTTTTTCTAAAGAAGGCATTAAAATGTTAAAAAAGAAGCTGCAAGAACCCTTTTAATAGAAAAACAATTTATAAGTACCCTAATATGTAATTCATACATTATTATATCAACTTAGAAACATTCCTGAATTGACGGTAAAAATATTTAAATTATATTAGGATCTTGAATAAGAAATCAAGAATTTTAATGAATATGTTTAAAATACAAAATAGCCTGATTTAAAATGTTTGTATGATGATAATAAAAAGTATATGAAATTGGATCCAGTAAATATTGAAATTCCTAAAATTAATGAGTGTATTAAACCTGTAGACATTTTAAGGGAATTGGGACCTTACACAAGCAATTTATAATAAATATTTACAGAATATAGTGATAGTGATATAATAGATTGCTTATTGTATTTGGCTAATAATTAAGGTGAGGAAATTCATAAAGATGTTCAATGGTTATTTAAATTAACTTAAAATACTTAATAGCCAGATTGGGATTAATAGTTTGTAGAATCAAATAAATAATAGGAAGATGATTTTATTAAATTTTTTATTAATGATAATAATAAACGATAATGGTCACAAGTATTTGAGAAATTAGATAGACCCAATTTGGAATTATCATTATAAGGATTTAATAATTTAATGGGCATATTAGCTAAGATTAAAAAATAATAATAATAGTTTTAATTACCACATAGATTATTATTAGATAAATGGCATAATAAGAAATCTTAAATTACTTTCCTTTCTTGTATGTTAAAAGTTAATAAGCCTGAATAGTTATTTTGGAATGAAATTTAACCAAAGAAATTAGTTGTTATGGAACATATTACAAATTTTAAGACTTAATAATAATTATAATTTTGGTAAAATTTAGAATTTGTATAAATGCTGATAGAATTAAGTGAATATGGATATATAGCTGAAATAAGAGAGTTTTTTGAAACACCAATAAGATAAAATCCAGATTTAGTAATTTTGGCTTTATTTTAAATTTCACCTTCATAAGGAGGAGCATTAATAGATGAATTATTTACTTTGTTATTTCCTAATTATGTATCATAACATGCAAATTCATCACCAGTTTTAGAATAGATGTGGAAATACAATTAGAATTTATTTATTACAGGAATAAGTGAATTATATAAAAAAGAATAAGGAAAGAAAGAGAATTCATGTTTAAATTTATCAAGAGTATTGGATATTGTTTAATAATTGTTTTAAAATTCCCAATAGAATAATACTTCTTTATTAACAATGGCAAAATTTGAAGATTATTAATTTTCAGTTCCATTGGGGATATTGGCAGGTAAGCGAGAATATTTGAATTTTGATATATGGTTAAATGAACGAATAAAGTCTTAAGGTATTCCATTTGTAAATGTATTATTACAATACATAGATGAGAATGTGATATAATAGATAAAAGAGTATCAAATAAAATTTGGATTGCCAAGTGGTTAGTTAGGATAGATGTAAATACAATAATTGGATTAGATATTAGATAAAGGTTAATTAAAATTAGAGATGATAACAATAATATTTGAGTAATTGATGAATTAAGGAGATAAATTGGGGAATAAGATTAAATAGACTACATAATAATACTATAAAGAAGTAGTACAAGTGTTTCCATAGTTAGCAGGATAGCCGAATTAAAAAACAAATTAGGAAGTGGAGAGTAAGACAGATAGTTATTTTGAGAGTTATTATAATGAATAGATAAGTTTGGAGAGTTTTTTAAATAAAATGGTATAATGGAAAACATAAGGTAGTATATAAGAGAAAGAGGTGTATGCTTGTATAATAACCAATTTATATAATGAGTATTAATTTCATTTGAAATACCCAAAGAAGGAATTAGAATTAACAGGATAGTTGTTTGGAGGAGTATTAGAAAGAGGATTAGTAGAAGGTTAAAGTATATAAATAGGTTTGAAGATAATTTAAGTATCATTAAAGAATAATTCATAAAGATATGATTTTGCTGTTAAAGCATTAGATGTAATGAAGAATAAAATATATGAATGGCCATGGTTTGCATAAGATGTGATGGCATGTGAATAATTATCATTCAAGAATCCAGACCTGTTGGCAGAAATAATAAGAGTTTGTGAAAAGCATGGTATAAAGTCTCCATTATAATCTGCAACTCCAATATAGACGGTTTTCCATAAGCCAATTCAGTTAGTTGTTTAAAAAGAAAAGTAAGAAGAAGAGCCAGCTTATGTACCTCTAAAGAAATCAGAATCAGTTCCTATTTAATCAACACAACCTGTTCCAATCATAGTTCCTACTGTAGTATAACCTATTCAAATACCTATCTAATAATAGCCATAACCAGTTATTGTACCATAGTAGCAATAACCAGTTACTCAGGTTTAATAACATTAATAATATTAATAAGTACATTTATAATCAGTTACTCCTCCACCTACATCATAAAAATAATCATAATTACCAGTGTAACATACACCTCAACCTTAAAAATAAAAATAAGATGATAATAATGCAAATATTAATTTGACATATAAATAAATTTTATAGATGGAATTTGAAATGTTTTCAAAATGTGGAGCAGATTTAGAAGTAAAAGAATATTTTACATTTACATTGAATAGTATTTCATAAAATAATGTTGAATAAAAAGCTGCAGAAATAAGATAAAAATTAGAAAATTAAGATGCTTTATTTTATTTTATAAAAACAATAGCATATTTGCGTTCTCCAATGACTCAATAATAAGCATAAGGTCCTAATGTTATGTGTTGTTTACTGGCTGCATTAAATAAATCTAAATATTTTTCAGAAGTTGCAAAAGAAGTTAGTATAGGATTAACAAGATTGTTGAGTATAAATAAGGCAACTCCATCTGCAGATGATAGAAGTACTATAAAAAATATGGGCAGTTTTTTAGGTTAGATTACTGTTTCAAGAGATAAACCTTTTTTATTTAAATATTTTGATTACAAGACATTATTGAAATAAAATCAATGGACAATATATCCTTTGTGTAAAATCTTAGAATAAGTTAAGAGTAGTTAAATATTTACAAAAAATAATAAATGGATTAATAAAATGTTATAAGAGTTGGATGCTGCCAAGGATACATGTAATACAATGGCCAAATATGAAATCATGAATTTATTGAAATAGATTGAATATACAGTTCAACCAATAAATCCAACTCCCACTCCTATTCTTATTCCAAATCCTGTTGCTACTATTCCTTAACCATAATAACCATAACCTATTATAGATATAGATCCACTTAATAAATTGAATATTAAGAATCTACCATAATATGTAATGGCAGATTCCAAAAATTTATATGATAAATTAAGTGAAGCTGAGTGTAAAAACCTTGTAGCTACAGCTTTAGATCATGCTATTTCTGATATCATTCCACCTGTTATAAGTAGAAGTGTTACTATTGCTCTTATTACTACAAGAGAATTAGTGTTTAAAGATTTTGCACTTGAACCAAATGAAAAATATATGTTAAGAGGAATGCATATGATAGCTTCACATTTATCTGGAAGTTTAGCTATGGTTACTTGTAGAGAACCATTAAAAGTTAGAATTACTCATTATCTTAAAGAAGGAACTGAATAAATTGATCTTGATAGCAAAACTAAAGAAATCTTTGTTTAAACTGCTGCTTAAGAAAATTTAGATCTAGGTTGTGCTTTAATAAGAAAAGCTGTTATTGAAAGAGCTCTAGAAGATGTTAATCAAGATCCTTTGATTTTAGCAGAATTAGAAAAAAGATAACGTTGCAAAGAAAAAGGTTAATAATATAGAGATGAGATTACTTAAAATTAACTTAAATTCTTACCTGAACCATTACAACCTAGAATCTAAGGTTTGACTGAAGAAGAAATAAGAATTTATGAAGAATTTGGAAACAAAAAAAAATAACCCAAGTAAACTGTCTTATAAAAAGTATCCACATTATGTTAACTTCTATAAGATCCTTAAAACAATGAAGAAAAAATAATATAACTTATTTAAGATTTAAATGAATAAGAATAATCTAATCCTGAATAATTCTATAAGGATTTGGCTGATAAATTTTTATAAGTCATTTTAACCAATAATTTAACTTCCGAAAAAATATCTATCTCTTTAGATTTGATAAATATTCTTATAAGAAAAATTAATGAAAAAGTAGGTAAAAAATGGAGTGAATTAGTTGCAGAATTCATTTCCAAAAATATTGAACTTTTAGAACACAGTCCTTTATGGTGGTAAGCTTTTCCTATTATGTTAAATAAAAAACTTATTTAAAGTTCAGAGGCTGAATAAATAATGAATTAAATTCTAACAAAAGATAATCAAATTAATGTTAGCTCTATTGTCTACATACTTAGAAAAGTTATCATTGAAGAAGATAATAATCAAAATTTAAATTCATTCAAAAATATTATTAAAGAAATCAGTAAAAAGAAGGACACAAATCCAACTGTTAATAAATTCTTTTAAGAACTTTCTAATTATGTTAGCAATTCTTCTTAAATTAAAGTCTTTTAAAAAAAATTAAATTTAATAAAAGGCTTCTATTCTAAAATTGATGAAGAATTCTCAAATTAAGTTGCACAAAAATTAAAATTATGGTATTAATTAAATTCTGATTCTGAAGAAGAATTAAAAAGCTTTTTTATAATATAAGGAGAAACCTAATTTTTAGTTGAAGATTAATTAAGTAAATTTTTTGCTTATGCAATCGAACTTAGTATGAATGATAACAAAGAATATATGGATCATTCTCAAATCGAATAATTAGGGAAAATGATTACTATTATGGCTAAAGGGCTAGATTCTAAAGCAAGACCTAAATTCTTTGAAAAATTATTTGATGGATGCTTAATGGTACTCACTAAACTACATGAAATTACTAAATAGAAATTTAATTAAAGACAATTGTTCAAACTATTTTATAATTTACTTTTTGATTTACAAATTTTGGATGAAGACGTTAAGATATTCCATTACAAATTTGCTGATTTTTTAGAAAAAATCGAACCAAGTCTCTATCCTGGATTCTCTTATGCTTGGTTAGAATTACTCTGCAATAGATATTTCTAATAGATAATTACTACAAATGAAAATGCTTTTGCAAGGTTGGTTATTAAATTATTAGAATTTGTGAGAGAAACAATTACTGAAGAAACTATCTCTTATCATTATGTATAAGAATATCTTAAAGGAGTCACAAGATTTTTTATGATTTTATTAACAGATTAGAGAAAGTTCTGTAGCAAATTTGCTTTTTGTTTTGCAGATGAGGTACCTTTTAATTATGTCCAATTATTAAATTTAAGTTTAGCTGCTTTTCCTAATGATCAAACTGATGATCCTTAATCATGCACTAACATATATGATATTCCTGATTCTCAAAAATTTGGTTAGATTGTTCATGCTAGTTTAGAGGAATAAAACTAAATAAAAATCAAAGAAGAAATTTTACTTATGTTAAATATGAATGATGAAGATTTAAAAATAAAAATAAGTAGGTATTTTGAGTATGATCAAAAATCTAAGTTGCCATTATAAATATCTGGTTTCTTCCTTTTATTGCCAAGACTTGAGAATCTTAATATTTAATAGCAAAGAACATTGTTAACTAGAATAATTAAGCTTTCTAGTTTTGCAATTAGATATAATGTGATGAATGTAATATTGAATTAACTTCGTTATCCTGAGAAAGCAACTGAATTCTATATTCTATATATCTTATCATAATTCATTATTGCTGATAACCACTAAATTTAAGAATAATTTACTACGTATTATTTGTTTAGATTATAATTAGGTTGATCTCTAAGCGTTTCTTACCAGAAAGTCCAAAAACATGGGGAATGTTGTACCTTCATGAAGAATTAAAGAGAACTTAATCTAATAACAACCTATACAAATTGTATTAGATTCAAAGACAATGATTTATTCATAAAATGTTCATTCAATAAATCATTTTTATTGTAAAATATTAAAGAAATATTCTACTTCTAGTATACCATCTTCTAACAAATCAGTACAATGAATAGCATTTTTAACTCTATCAATCCCAAATTTAGCTCTAATTGTTGAAGATCTCAAAGTTCTAGCAATTTCAGGATCATGAGGTCCACAAAGATCTCTAAAAGATTTAACCTAAAATAAATGATTTATTTTACAGCATTTTCTTATCTAATTTCCATAGCAATACAAGGACCAGATGTTAAATGTTCAGACATTGCTTAGAATTCAGGAAGTACACCCTAAAAATAATAATAAATAAATAATATACTTTATAAACTTCAAAGAATTCTTCACTAGTAGCTCTATCTAAATAAAACATTTGCATAGCTGAAATTTCAAATCCTTCACTTAAAATAATATCTATAATTTATCCAGCTTTTCCTTCTAATACAATATGTGGTTTAATAATAGCACATGTACAATTATTAAAAACAGCTGTTGATTTTAGATTAGATTTATCAGAGAAAAAGAAATCTAATTCTCTAGATGCTGATCCAGCTATCCATTATATATTAAAATCAATTACCAGCATCACTTCCATGACAAGCATTTCTGACTCCTTCTGTACCATATAATGCTCTCATTGAATTTGGAGCTTCTACTCTAGCTACTTAACATTTTGTTGGTCCAATTAGATCTCTCCATTTCTTTACACTATTATCAGCTATCAATTCCAACCCTACTATAAAATCACTACAAATGAATTATGTTAATTCTTCAAAAAAGGGTTTGCCCTATTCAAGTTTTATCTAATTTTTACTCTATGTTCTCCATAGAATTATTAAGCATCTGCAATTTACATTCTAGTCATTTTCAAATTACCAATTACGAAACCGTTCTTTTCAATTGCTGTGATTATCTTTCCTATATGTGTATATGCATCTGGTTTTATCATACCAAATGTTCTATATAATTACATATGTTACTTACTTTCCTCTCTAAACTTCAAATTTAGATCTTGTAAATACATCTGCATAATCAACTATTTTCAATTATCTTGAATAAACTGTTACAATCGATCCTACATATAAATCCTTCAATTAAACTGAAGGATAATCACATCTTTTCAGAAAAATTCTTTTATTTTTCAAATCAAACTAAATCTAATAATCTTTTCTTTACCATCTCAATTGTCTTGTCAGACATAAAGTAAATGAGATTATAACTTCTTATTAAAGAAGCACTTGTGTCGAACCATTCAACAATAAACACATATCTTTCATCATTGACTGCCATCTATTAATAATTATATAATCAAAAAAATTATTATATATTCATTTTCATTAAACTTATTCTCTTTTATTTTTTTCCTATTAAATTGCCAAAATCTTCAATCATTAAGAAATTTGAATAAATAATACTCTATGATTAAAATCAACATTTTTATCATTATCCTATAATTCATAATCAAATCAAATAGAAAAAAATCCTTACAAAACATCTTAATAATAATTTATTACTAATCGTTTAACTCTTTTTCATAACAATTAATAATTAAATGAATGACAAGTTTCTTTAATTCTAAAATAACTATAGCTATCAATACTATAGAAAAACACTTAAGTTTAACGATTAAGCCTCAATTTCACATAGATTTTAGACTGATGTATCACCCCTACCTAAACAAAATAATGCTACACACAATTCCCCTAGAAAATTGATGAAAACTACATGTGCTTCTTTTTTTGATCATTTTTAAAAACTTCCAAATCCTAGACTCACTGCTTACTAGACATATCTTTAAACCATATTATAAAATAAGAATGAAATATAAGCAAAATAAAATTACTAACCTTCCTTTACATCATATAACATTTATGGATAGAAAATTAGTACTTATAAATAAACTAAGGATACAATTAAATAAATCTAAAAATAACAATTTAATGAGCCTCTCTGCAAAATTTAGTTAAAAAAAACAACTAATTCTAATTCATAGTATCATTCTCCACACAAAATCAGAATATAGATTATAAAAAATTAATCGAAATTTATTCAAAAAAGTCAAATAGATCCTATTTAAGAGAAAACAATATAATAATAGCTTTGTTCCAAAATAAAAAATATTGAAACTAAAAGAATTTTAACCCTAGATGATAATTTTGATGATGTCGAACCATGGAATACTTCAGATTAAAAATATTGATTGAATTTAATGAATTATCTATATTCTTTTTAAACTAAATCTTTCGATAAATAAAACTTGAATTTAATAATTAATTTTAATATCTTTTATCTTAATACATCAATTTATGATTTACATTATCAAATATTGATAAAAAAATGATATAAATATTAAGTTTTTGTCAGGTTTGAAGGCTAATTGACATATATTTAATATTTTTCTTATTTAAATATTATTTTATGATAAGATTTAACACAATCAATTTTTTAGAATATTAAAACTATATCCTTTGAAAGTTAATTATATATTTACCGTTTATGAAAACTAAATGGAAAGCTTTTAATTTAATTTTTAGTCTCTCCAAAATCTATTTTCTTATTGAAATTATTTGATTAGATTTTTTTAATTTGCATAAGACAGCAAGTATGATAAATAATTCATTAAAAAATTATATCTCTTTTAAAATTGGAATATTATTGAAAAAGAATTGAATCAAATTCTTCTATTTATTAAAACTTTATAAAAAATTATAAAGAAACAAAAACAAAGTTGAAAATTTGACAGTTTTGTTAATTAGAAATAGAGATTTTAGATAATAAATTAAGAGCGAGAAATTTACAAAACATAATTAATTTTATAGTATAAAAATTTTTAAACCTGATCAAATGTTAAAAGAGGCATTTAAGTTTAGATTTCCCTTAACATTATAATTATTAATTTTAAATAAATAATCGATTCTTAAAATATCTTATAAATTTGCTTAATAAAATTAAGTCTTTTTTTGGATTTAAAAAGATCTTGAAAATTTTCTATTAATTTTTTTTTGGATTTATTTTTATGCAAGAAATTAATTTATTAATAATTTAATCCTTGAGATTCTATAAAAAAAATGATTAGATAGCTCTAAATTAAGAACTTCACACTTAAAATTAGCAAATATCATCATAATTAGTATAGAGAGTGAGATTTTTAATTAATCACTTTATTTAATTATTCTAAATTTAATATTATATAATTTTTTTTAATAAATGTCTAGAAGAAGCATTTTATTAGGATAAACAATGTCAGATTCAGAAAGACAGAATTTACAAAAAGTTATTTATCAAATTGAATAGAATCCAGATATTTATGACTAACTATCTGAAGATTAAATTCTTGGAATAATTTGCATAATTCTAAATAAGTCTTCATATCATCGATCTTTTGCTGAAATGGATATTTTAAAAAAAGCAACCAAAAACAATGAATACTTTTAGAACATGATAAATTAACCTTAAGGAGACTTATTATGGGAAAGATGTTTAAGGAAAATGACTTATAATTTTTTACCAATTGGATTCAATCTATTTAGAGAAGGAGATGCTGGAACTACATTTTATATAATTTTATAAGGTCGAGTCTCAATTCATAAGAAATATCAAATTGGAATAAATTAATTTGAAGAAAGAGAGCTGACTTAGTTACATAAAGGCTAGTCTTTTGGAGAATTAGCATTAGAAAATGATGCTCCTAGATCTGCATCTGTAAAAGCTTTAAGTTCTACTCATTTAGCAGTATTAGAAAAGGAAGACTATATGATAATTAAAAAAACTTTAGTATTAAATAAATTTTTATCATTAGTCTAATTAATAAAAGTAAATGTATTTTGAAGAATTTGCTAAATTATCCATTTTTTCAGATTGGAAATTTACAAATATTAAAGGGTTATTTGATTATGTATAATTTCATTAATATGGATTGAATCATCAAATTTTTAAAGAAGGTGATCCATCAAATTAAGTATTTTTTATCCAATAAGGGGAATTAAAAGTAATTATAAATAATTAATTCAATTAAGGTAATTAAGTACTTATAATTGATCAAATAAAACAATTAACATAAAATATAAATTTCTAATAATTAAAAATTTTAAAAAGATCTTGATGATATTAATTAACTTTAAGAATTAAGTGTTTTCCATAAAAAATAATTAACAAATAGTGAAAAAATAGATGAGCTTTTTTAAAAAAAGAAATATGGAAATCTAATATAAGTAGATAAAAAATAAACAATAACTCTTAAATATATTGGAGCAGGTGAAATGTTTGGAGAATTAGAAATCTTGAAAAATCCAGAAATTCCTCGGTAAGTTAGTGTTATAACAACTTAAGAAACAAATAAAATTTATTCTATACATAAAAAAGATTTTTTAAGAGTATTATATTTTGATTAAATTTTGCATTAAAATCTTGTAGCACTTAATGATAATAAATTAAAATAAATTTTGAGTTAGATTAAAGGCTTCTAAAAAAATTTCTTTGATAAATAAGATAAATAATAACTTTTAGAAACAACTTAAAATAAGGATTTTCTTACTTTAGATTATAAAGACTATGAAGAATAATAATAAAATCAAAAAAAAATTAGTAGTTCAAAAAAAAATATATCTCTAAGAAATTTTATTTTGGATAATAAAACATAAGATATTGGTTTAACTCTTCAATAGAGAGATATAAGTAATATCAAGAATTAAAATTTGATGTTTCACAAACACACATTGTCTGATTTCAAATTAAATACTGATAGGGTATTAAATACAAATTCATCATCAAAAACTAATTTAAAAATAAGATCTTATAATTAAAGTCCAGATTCGTCATCTTTTCAACAAATAAAGTTAAATTTTTGTAAAAATTAATAAACATCACCAATTTCTAGAACATAAAGAGTTTTAAGTCCTTAAGATTCTATATTTAGTAAATCTTAAGGTTTAAGAAAGTTTTAAAATAGTTAAATTTACTTTGATAACAATCTACCTTTTATTATGTAAAACAGATATATAAGAATCAAAAGTAATACCCCAAAAATTTAGTGTAATTAATGAAGTTTTTATAATTTATATTTTTCTTAAACTGGCTTAAATATAAGATTTGAATAGATCATTCTACAATAACATACAATATTATATTTTATCAATTTGACAATTTTGATTTGATTTATTTTCTTTGTTATTAAAACTGCACCAAAATTTATTATTCAATTAATTCCCATTCGTTTATATCAACATCTTATATTAGAGTGGAAACAGTCTAAATATTTAAGAATGATACCGATTGAAATTGCTCTAATGATTACAACAATTAAATTTTCATAATTTTCTTAGATTCTTCACTTGCTTTTACCCATACAACTTTTTCAATATCACCTTGCTTAAGAACTTATTATTGTAAATAATATTTACTTTCTTCTTAAAATTTTGCGAATTATTCAGCATTTTGTAAATCCAAATATTTTTAGACACTTGACCTAATAAATTCTTGAAAAGACGAATTATATTAAGAAGTTTCAATGAAAGTAATTTTAATATGCATTTCATCTGATTCATTTAATTAAATTAATATAGAACTATTAAAGTCTAGCTATTCTCTAAATATAGGGTTATATTTTTGAATTTAATTTTCTAAAATTTGATCAATTTATTTCTCTTCTAAAATAACAACATGTTGATTATCATTTTCTGATTCATTTAAAAATTTATCATTAAGTAATTCTGAAGCTGTCGGTCTTTTTTCTTAATCTTCGAGACATTTTAAAATAAATAATTTTAAATCTTGATTTTAAATAAGATCTAATGTTTTTGGTTTAATCCTATTAATGACCTAATTCTGAAACTAAATATTACCTTTTAATAAATTTAATTAGGTGCTGTGCATTCTTCATATGGTCTCCTTTAAGTTGCCATTTCTAAACATGTCATACCAAAAGCATAAATATCAACTGGAGGACCATACTTTTCCTCATAAATTTCAGGTGCCATAAATTCTGGTGTTCCAAGTATAGATTATGTAAAATCCTATTATTATAATTTGATTGCTAATCCAAAATCTCCTATTCTAACTTGGTTATTATGTGTATTGATAAATATATTATCACATTTAATATCTCTATGTATAACTGGATATGGAGATATACTATGTAAATATTCTAAACCTTTCAAAATTTCTCTACACCAATGTTTAAGTATTTTTAAACGAGGTCTCTATATCTTTTTTAAATGTCTATATTCATATAAATGAANATACAATATTATATTTTATCAATTTGACAATTTTGATTTGATTTATTTTCTTTGTTATTAAAACTGCACCAAAATTTATTATTCAATTAATTCCCATTCGTTTATATCAACATCTTATATTAGAGTGGAAACAGTCTAAATATTTAAGAATGATACCGATTGAAATTGCTCTAATGATTACAACAATTAAATTTTCATAATTTTCTTAGATTCTTCACTTGCTTTTACCCATACAACTTTTTCAATATCACCTTGCTTAAGAACTTATTATTGTAAATAATATTTACTTTCTTCTTAAAATTTTGCGAATTATTCAGCATTTTGTAAATCCAAATATTTTTAGACACTTGACCTAATAAATTCTTGAAAAGACGAATTATATTAAGAAGTTTCAATGAAAGTAATTTTAATATGCATTTCATCTGATTCATTTAATTAAATTAATATAGAACTATTAAAGTCTAGCTATTCTCTAAATATAGGGTTATATTTTTGAATTTAATTTTCTAAAATTTGATCAATTTATTTCTCTTCTAAAATAACAACATGTTGATTATCATTTTCTGATTCATTTAAAAATTTATCATTAAGTAATTCTGAAGCTGTCGGTCTTTTTTCTTAATCTTCGAGACATTTTAAAATAAATAATTTTAAATCTTGATTTTAAATAAGATCTAATGTTTTTGGTTTAATCCTATTAATGACCTAATTCTGAAACTAAATATTACCTTTTAATAAATTTAATTAGGTGCTGTGCATTCTTCATATGGTCTCCTTTAAGTTGCCATTTCTAAACATGTCATACCAAAAGCATAAATATCAACTGGAGGACCATACTTTTCCTCATAAATTTCAGGTGCCATAAATTCTGGTGTTCCAAGTATAGATTATGTAAAATCCTATTATTATAATTTGATTGCTAATCCAAAATCTCCTATTCTAACTTGGTTATTATGTGTATTGATAAATATATTATCACATTTAATATCTCTATGTATAACTGGATATGGAGATATACTATGTAAATATTCTAAACCTTTCAAAATTTCTCTACACCAATGTTTAAGTATTTTTAAACGAGGTCTCTATATCTTTTTTAAATGTCTATATTCATATAAATGAATTACTTTTTTAATGATCCACCATGAACAATTTCTGTTATAAAAATAACTTCACATTTATTTTTGCTAATCCAAGCATTAATAAAACTTATAATATTTGGATGCTTAATGTTATTAAGAATATTAAGTTCCTCTGATATTCGTTTCCTTTCCTCTTCTAATAAAATCAATTCTATTTACACTGAGGCAATTGATCTAAATGTATTACATTCCATGCAATTTCACATCCAGATTCTTCATCATAGCCTCTATACACAGTTTTATAAGTCCCTTTCCCGATTTACTCATTAAACTGCCTTTTAGCATTGTTATTTTAATACTCTAATGAATCTTCCTTTTGGACTTTTCTCCATAATTTAATCTGGCTCAGATTACATTTATAATAACAATTAAATTACTAAAAATATGCATCAATTTAATCAAATAACAAAAACAATCAAAAATTAAAAATAAAAAAAGCCCCCTGACGGGGTCGAACCGTCGATCTTCTCCTTACTAGGGAGATGCCTTAACCACTTGGCCAAGAGGGCAACCTATTTATTTCTTATATTATATAGTATAAATTAACACCTATCAATTTTTTCTTTTTTCCTGACCCCCCATACTATTCATTTGTTATTACTATTATTTTATTTTTAAGTTTCATTTATTTTTACTTCAATATTGTAAATTATTCTTTTTTTTTTTAAACTTATAAATACTACTAAAAAAATATTATATAGTATTACTTTACTTTTGATAAAATCATGCCAAAAATTATTCAAAATTATTATCATATATATTTCGACATAAAAAGCCATTTAACATATATTTTTGATAAATTCTTCTGCAGAAATAGATTAATGATATTTCAATATATAAATTGATACTTACTAACCAACTCTTGAACGTGTTTAAACCAATAAATGGCTTCTCCATTCTTAGTTTATTATTCATAGAGAAAACTTTGAAGAATTAATCCTCATCTCCTTTATTTATATTAACTAAAATCTTATTATTATGATCTTTTATTTTTTTTTAAATATTTCAGCTATTATATAGTTTTATTTATTTTTTTTAATAATTTTGGGTCTTTCGATGAATTTGTCATTTATAATTTATTTAATATATAATAAATATATAGATATTCTTAATCTAATTAATAGAAATTTCAAAAAATTATATGATATTAATAAGTTTCTCAATATATTATCTTAAAGCCATTTAAATTTTAGTTTTAAAATCAAATGATTTTTTTTCCATTATTGTAATTGTTAAAGTTCTATTTAAATAATAACTTAAATCAGAATGCTATTAATCTCATATTAAATTTGATGTATTTTACAATTTGAAAATATTAAATAAAATAAGTTAAATAATTACTATTAATGGGAGTATTTGATTTGAACAATTTTCTCAATTATTCTTGGAAATAAAAAAACCAAAAAATTATTTTAATTGCAAAATTTTGTTAAAATTTATGAATATTGTTATTCTAAATTTAGGAATCAGAATAAAGTAGAAGTTCAACCAAATAACTTTGCTGATAAAATACAAATCATTTGTATTCAAATAGTAGAAATTATAGAGGCCTTAGAATTAAATTTTTAAATACTATTCATGATGAGATTGGAAATATTGAAGTCATCGACTATTTATAAATTCAATAATTAAAATCAACCTAATTATTAGGTACATAATTATTTAAAATAAATCTATGAAAAATACTTGGAATTGGATTAGTTAATTTTTCTAAAAAAAAACTTTTACAAAAAGACGAGATAAAAATGCAAAATTTCATTATTTAATTGAATAAAGTTTGATACTCATAATCATCAAATGAAGATTTAGAGGAGGCAGTAATACTATGAGAAGAAAGATCTAAGAAAAAATGGGTTTACTCCTAAAAGTTATTGTTTTTTTAATAATTCTACTATGTCTGTTGCGATAATAAAGAAGATTATAAAATCATTTTAAAATGACTAAAAATAAATTTATAAATCATCAATCATTAAAGAATTAATTAAATAGCTGAGTGTTGGTTCAATAAAATTTGTTTAGCCTATTCGATTTATTGAGTGAATAATTAATTTTCTTTAATTTGAAATTATTGATCAAAATATTAGTTCTTAGAGTGAGTAATTTATTTTTCTTTAATATTGAAATTTTAACATAGATCGTTAGCCTCTATTTATTATTAAATTTATGTTAAAGATTTGTAATTTAATGAAGATTAAAATGTTCTCACCCTTTTCAGAAGACTCTTTGATGCAGTTTCAAGACTAGTCTTAATATTTGAAAATTAGCATTCTTCATCATCATGATATATCTCTGAGGGGATATCTTTTAAATTATATTAATTCAAAGGAAAATGACCACCTTGCATGATCTCTATATGTAAAAAGTCAGAGCCTAACTATAAGTCTAGCTGACCAGTTTGCTTGCAAATCTATATTATAGAGATAGATCTCTTTAAGAAAAATTTTCGATTTCTCTTTTCTTTTTTCTTCAAATATTCCTCATGAAAAAAGCTATTTTTATTATATTCAACTAGCAAATTGTTATTACATTTTTATTTTTATAGACGTTATTCATCCTTTACAATATCAAAGCCTGTTGAATTCATTTGTATTATTATTTTATTAATCTAATGCAAATTTATAAAGATTTAAATTTTTAAAGTCTTCATTTATGAAAAACATTAAATAGCAAAATTTTCATAGATATTCAAATTTAGTGCCTTAAAATTGTTACATTTTTAGTACAATAACATCCAGATATTCTTCTAATTCATAAATTTTAATAGATAAGATTGGGCTTAGATTATTTAAGGTTGAATGAATAATTTCTAAAATTATCAACATTTACATTATAATTAATTTTTAAATATTGATTAAAATACTTATGCCAAAATATTATCATCTAAAAATTCAAAAAATTTAACAACCTTATAACCAAATGATACTATTTTTTCAACATAATGTAATAATTCCAAAAAAAAACTTTTTAAAAATAAAATTTATCAATAATTCAATTATTATTTACGAGCATCATCTCATATTGATTATTTAGAACCTTTTTTATGTTAATTAATTATTCATCTAAACTTTGTTTTTAAATAATGTTAAAATCATTCTTATTATTCTTTAGTTCAAAATATAAGAGTTTAGAGAAATTCGAAATTATCTAATTATTTAAAGCATTAATATTTTTTGTTTTTGCATCAGTCAAAAGTGTATTATTTTATTCAAACAATTTAATTGCTCCTGTATTAATATCAATAACAATATTTTAGCATTTACACATTAATCTCTTTTTTCTCTATTTAGAAAAGAAATTTTTTGTATCTCTTTAATAATTTCTAAAAATATGTTTAGCTGAAGAATACTTTAATTTGTGAAGTTTAGCTGCCTAAATTTATTATAAATGATAATAACCTAATAAACAGGTAAATGATCATCAATCACACTATGAATTAAATTTAATTTGACCTCCTAATCAATTTTTAATCTCTGTCTTTAAAAGGGTTGCTAAGAGTTGTCTACTTTATGTTACATTTTAATCATCTTCCAAAAAATGAATAAAAAGATTTTAATAAATATATCTAATTTAATTTATGTTAGCACACATATATATTTTTCATAAAAATAAAAAATATAACAAATTCGTTTGAAAAAAAGTTAACGAATTGTATTTTCCCCTATTTTATTTGATTAAGTTTTTTAAGAAAAGGTAATTATTTTTAAACTTTTTCTTTTTTTTTTCAATATAGATATTTAAAGTGGTTACATTTTAAGTAATATTTTATTATAAATTAAGTTATTTAATCAAAGCTTAGCATCACTTAATTTTCCACTAATGATATTAGAGAAAAAAACAAAAAGCGAGAAGATAAAAAATGTTGGTCTAAAGTGATATCGCAATTCTTCTTAAAAATTATAATTATTTTTTTAACCAAGGTTGTACATTTATGACATGATGATTGATCAATAGTTTTAGATATTTAGATATTCATTTTAAAGATTTTTTTTTACAAATCTTAACAATACTAAAAAAAATATTTTTAGACTTAATTTCGTCACTTATCTTAACTTTAGAGAAATAATTATTTAAATTATTCATTTTTAACAATTTTTTTCAATTTCTATTTCTTTGTTAGGATTTGAATGTAAAGATGATTTTGAGTTTCAATAAAGAAAATAAAATGTCTTATTTTCTATTTTTGCAAATTCTATGTATTAATTATATATATAAAGTAAGCTTGAAAGACTGATGGTGAATTGATTTGAATACAAGTTATATATTATGTTTAGATAGATGAAATCTTGTAAAATAATTTTTAATGTTTAAATTAATTTATTAAAGCTTTTGTATAATTCATTTTATTTAATATTTTTAAATAAATGGACTTAAGATGGTTATAGGATGAAGATAACTTGACAAGTATTTATGATCTTAATTATTGATAAGCTGCAGATTAATGCGATCATTTTAATGCATCTTTCATTAGTTCTCCAAATAGATCATAATTTGGAAAATCAATAAAAAATTAATATACTGCAGTTGAATTTACAGACACTTTAGGGAAAATATTTTAAGTAATTGATTAATTATAGAAATAGGCAATAAAGGAGAAGAATTTAGAGAAAGTGTAAAATTTAATTAATATGCACAAATAAAGATCTAAGAATTTAGGTGAAGATCCTGAGTTTAGATGGGATATAATAAATGATTTAAGTCTTAATTGGTCTCCACTTCATCATTCAATTTATTTGGGTTGCGAAGTTATATTTTTATGGTTTTTAAGTGTTGGAGGAGACATTTCATCAATTACTTATGATGGATATTCTGCTTTAACATTAGCTGTTTTATCAAAAAGTGAATTAATGGTCCATCTTTTGATTGCATAACCAAATTTAAATGTTAATCATGTATCAAGAAAAGGATCAGCTTTGCATATTGCAGTTTAATCAAATTAAATTTCTATATTGAAATTATTGTTGCAACATCCCAATATCAATTTGACTATATACAATGACTAATTACAATAACCAATAGATTTAGCTACTGGAAAAGCTAAAGAGCTTTTAGAAAAAGAATTATAATCAAGAACTGATTTTTATTAAGAATAACAAAAATCTTATATATCAAAAGCTAGTTAAGATGACAGTAACCCATAAAATACATTAGATGTAAATTATAAATTATCATCCAGACTTTTATTATTAATAGACCTCAAAAGCCACCTGTATACAAAGGATATGTGGAAAAGTTACATTTCTCACATTTATATTCCTATTAGAGATACATCGTAGTTGATCCAGACAGTGGAGTTTTACTTAGATTCGAAAATTAAGAAAATTATCCTTTAAATCCAAAAGAAACAATACCACTTTAAAATATATTTAATCTTAAAATAATAGTTAAGGATAGACCTTTAACTAATAATTCAATCTATTTATTAATCGAATACAATTAGAAAAAAATTTATTTTATTTTTTAATCTCAAAAGATGGCATAAGTCTGGTATGATTCTATTAAAACAGCTGTAGGATATTCAAAATATATAAAATATAAAATAGATTTATATAGTTAAAAAAAAGAAGGAAAAAAAGTATTTTAAAAGGTTAATGATATGTTATTAGAAATAAATAATTAGTCAATTGAAATTGATTCTTAATTTAAACAATAATAATTAAAATAAGAAATTATTGAATTTAAGGAAAAGCCAGATAGAAAACTATTACAAAATTTAAAATTTTCTGATTTTTTAATTTAAGAAATGCTTTAAAAAGGATCGTGTGGTGTAATATTTAAGGCTAAATATTTAAAAGATAATAAGATTTATGTTTTAAAGCAATAAAATAAAGAATAACTTAGAAAATTTTCTTAACTTGATTATTCAATAAATGAAGTAAAGCTTTTAAAAATGATTAATCATCCTTATATAATAAGAATAAAAGGGTTATTTCAAACTAAAAATAATTTGTATTATTTGATGAAATATTATGAAAATGGAGATTTATCATAATATATAGGTTAGGGTTATATTTTATCTGAAAATGTTTCTAAATTATTAATAGCTTAAGTGATATTAGCTATTGAATATTTACATTCATTGAATATAATATATAGAGATTTAAAACCTATGAATATTTTAGTTGGAAAAGATGGTTTTCTTAAATTAGCTGATTTAGGATTGGCAAAAGAAATAATTAATGATAGAGCTGCTTTGTCTTTTTGTGGATCTCCTGCTTATTTAGCACCTGAAATAATTAAAGGAGATGGTGCAACTTAATCTGTTGATGTTTATGGAATAGGAGTATTACTATATGAAATGTTAAGCGGATATCCTCCTCATTTTATTTAAAATATAGACTTAATGCTTGAAAGAATATAATTTTGTCCAATTAATTATGATAGAATTAAATCTAAAATGTCAATTAAAATTTTAAAAGAAATGCTCTAAAGAGATTAAACAAAAAGACCAAATTTAAAAGATATAAAAAATCATATATTTTTTGCAGATATTAATTGGAATAAATTACTTATGAAGAATATACTTCCTCCAAAATTAATAAAAACAAATAAATAATAAAATATGTTAGAACAAAAACTTAAAGAAACAATATTTGATTAAGATTATTCAGACTAATAAGAAAGATTAAATTATATTGAGAATTGGAATTTATCATGAATGTAAATTTGCTTTAATATACATTAAATCTATGAAAAATCATTAAACTTCTTCAAATTAATCAAGATCTATATTAGAGTCTTCAGTGACATATTCATCACTTTTTTCTTATTAACCACTCCTATCAAATATATTTTCTATTTCATCAATTTATGTTTCTAATTTACTAAGCATCTTTTCTTTTTTTTATTATTTTTTTGAGGCAAAATCTTTTTCTTTTTTTATTTCTAATTTTTTTTCTAATCTAACTTTAGATTATGTTACATAACCTACATCTTTCCATAATTAAGCTCCTTAAATACAACCTTCAAGTATTATAATTGGTTTTAAAACAAGTCTAGGTCCAATTTCAACAAGTTAATTTTTAATAACTTCTTTTCCTGCTTTTTCATATTAAATTTCATAATTTCTAATCCAAATATTATTATTATTTGGATTTTCTTTAATAAAAGAAAATACTCTATCACAACAAGGAGCACTTTTTGGATGATGTTTCGGAACATTAATAGCATGAATAAATAGTTCCTTTTATAAAATCATTAAAGGGTCTTCAGTAAATGATCCATCAAATGAGAGAATTGGTCTACTTCCTTTCATACAATTTCCAGTCAATTTCAAATCTTAACAATTATGCCCTAATAAAATTAATAATCATATTTACAGTTTTCTATATAGTATTTAATTGAAGGACCATTAGGAAATCTTCCAATCCATAAATATAATTCATGTTTTCTATGCACTTCAAAATAAATAAAACTTCTGCATGAATGTTACATACATAATTCTTTAATTTGTTTAGATGTATCTCCTTTTTCTAGTTTTGTTTCTTTTTTTGAATGAGGAAGTAATTCATGCAAATCCATAAACAATTATCTAATTCGATCAGAAATGTTTTTAGATGTAACTATTAATGTTCTTTATTTATTCACCCATCTAGTTTCTTTTTCGTTTTGGAATATATTGTCAATGTCCATTAATATAAATTTTAAATATATACTTTATTAAATATTTGTTTAATGTATATAAAATATGCTTGTCAATTCATCAAGCTGAATCTATCCATCATTTCAATAAACTCATTATAATCAATCTATTATATTTAAAATTATTATAACTTCTCCATCTCCATTTTTATCTGCTTCTTTAATCATGTCATCCCAATATTTTTCATTTACTATTTTTTCAGATTCTAAATTTAATATATTTTTAATTACTTCCAAGAACTTACTACAATTCTTTTTTATCAATTTTACCACTTCCATCTAAATCTAACATTTTAAAAGCTTAATATAATTTTTCTTCTTTCATGTACAACTATTTTTCCATTGTAGCAGCCAAGAATTCTATATATTTTGAATATAATTATTATTACCTGTATAATTGATATTCCCATTTCCATCAGTATCAATACTTTTAATAATATTTGCTAATTCTTTTGATTAATCATCACTCATTCCTGTTAAACCTTCTCTAATTTCTTCAATAGTTAATACTCCATCTCCATTTTTATCTAATTGTTTAAATAATCTATTTAATTGTATTAAATTACTTTCCTAAATGAGATATTTCTTATTCATTTAATTAAGAAGCAATAAAAGTTAAAGCTACTTTCTTTAACTTATTACTTCCTGTAAAATTTTTTAATGCCCCATAATTTAACTTTAACTCTTTATTTGGTTTATTCTTTTCTTTCATCCATTTATGTTATAAAACTTATGAAGCTTTGAATCTTTTATCAGGTGTTGTAATCATATTTGCAATCAAATCTTTAGCAGAATCACTAACAAATTTAAATTCTGGAATATCGGTTGTATAAACTCCTTTTTAAACAGCTTCTAAAATTTCTGGATCTGTATCTCCATAAAATGGTGGAACACCAGATAATAATATATATAATATAACTCCAGCTGACCAAATATCGCATAATTCATCATAATTGCCTTTTAAAACTTCAGGTGATATATAATAAGGAGTTCCTGCTTTAGTCTTCATTGATACTTTTTGAGTCCCTGGTTTTGTTTGACCATCTTCAAATAAAATACTCAAACCAAAATCTATAACTTTTAAAGGTGAATCTTCTGCTTTTGTTAAAAAAAGAAAGTTCTCTGGCTTCAAATCTCTATGACAAATTCCATTTGTATGACAATAATTTAATGCCTAATTATACATCTATATATACTTGCATTATCTATAAAAATATAGCATGAGCTTCTGCTTCATTAAAATATCCCTTATCCATTATTCTGTCAAATAGTTCACCTCCCTCACATAATCTATTTATTTATTATTATTTATACTCTGTCACTAAATAAACATTTCTTTAATCTTCATAAGTCTCATACAATTTTATGATATTTGGATGGTCCATTGCTCTTAGTATATCTATCTCTCTTTTAAATCGCTCAGGATTCTTAACTTTACTCTTTGGAATCACCTTAACTGCACGTTATTATTTTGTGCCCTTTAATGCTGCTTTTACAACACTTCCATATGTTCCAGATCCAATCACCTTTATCCTTGATCAATACAATTACCTTCTTAAGGTTTATATCATAGAATTATTCTATCTTTCCTTCACAAGACTTTATGAACCACTATTTTTTTAAAAATATGTCTTCTTAATTCATGTATTAAATATATAATAAGTTTATTTAACTAATATTACCCTAATTTTGTTATATATATTATGAACAAGGAATTATATTAATCTATTCATTTACGACTACTAATATATTTCTATTTTATTTTATTGTATTTCATACTCATTAAAAAAATTCCATAAACAATTACAAATAATTACTATTTTTTCAAAAATCTCAAGAATAAAATCTAAGCATTTTTTTTAGTATAGAGAATATACAAATAATGATAATTTTATATAAGATTTTGAAAATATAATTATATAAAAAATTGAATCTATTAAAGTATCCATCTATTTTACAAAGTACTTAAATTCCTTTAGAATAATTTCCTCATATTATTTTACACCATTTTGAATATATTAAATCATAAAAACTATGTGTTTCAATAATTTGTTTAAATAAGGTAATTTTATAAATGATTCCAATTAGTAAAGAATAGAAATAATATATTTATTAATTAAAAATGTCAATTTATAGTTTGAATTATTATTTTAAAATACAAAACCAATTTTCTAACTCGAATAATTGAGCTAATTTAAACTATGGGGTATTGAAATTTTTAGTTTTTTTGTAATTAATCTAAAATTAAATCTGTTTTTTTTATTTATAAATGTTGATCAAGATTAAATGACAATAATTTCTATGAAAAAGAAGTATTACTAAATTTCATTATTAATTAATTTTATGTAATTTAGAAAATTATATTTTTATCATAAAATATTCCTTAAAAATTACTGATGCAATATAAATCTAACAACATATAAAATCTATTTTTATACAATATTTATGTTCATTTAAGGTATATATTATATAAATCTTTGCTCTTTTGATTTTGTTTAATTACCATATTTTAGTTTTTTCTTTGATTTTATATTCCAATACTAAAAATCATAATTTAAGGAAAATTTTATCTTTATTTAATTTACATCTATATTCAAGTGGAAAATTTTTTAAAAATTTTTTCATTTTTAAAATTAAACTGTATGTTATATGTTAAGTGAAAAATATCATTCTAATGTGTGAGATGTGGGATAATTAAAATCAAAACAGATTATTCCTTGAAAATAATAAATAAATTAAGTAGTAAATTTTTAATTTTACTTTCAAAGTTATGTTAATAATAAAAATTATTTATATTCATTTATGAAAAATTATAAATATGAGTTCTCTTAAGTCTAATTTGATTATTTTATTTATTTGAAGTTATTAAGAGAGATTTGATGGTTAGATATTAAATGATTAGATCGATTTTTAAATTATAAGTATTTTTACATGTATAACTTATTTTTATTTAATTTTAACATCTAATGTCAGCAAGACCCTCTGGATATTAGTAATTTAAGGATGAACAAGTCAATATAAGTATAAGCAGATAAAAACCTGAGGAGGTAGAAGCAGGAACTTTCTTGAAAGGAGGCTCAGCTGATTTTCCAATAGATTAAATTCCACCAAGTTTTGAATTGGCTGAGCTTCATGGTGTAAGAAATATAAAAATTTTAGTAAGCTTGGAATGTTGGGACAACAAAATTATCTAAAAGATAATAAAGGAGATTGTAACAGAACAAAAATAGCACATAACAAAACAACTAAGATGATCTAATAGGAAAGATTTGTGATTGTTGTGCTAGATAAGTGCCAAATCATTTAATAGCTATAGGTTGCAATAATAGAGACTATTCTTTTTTAGGAGCTGGTATTATTTATTATAATTTAGGCATGCCATTATATTTCGAATATATTAAATCTTGTATATTAATGCTTTTAATTATGTTTGTAACATCAGGTGATTATAATATTATAACAAATATTGCATTTGGAAAATCATGTAAAATGCTCGAAGATCATAAAGGCTAAGAGATTGATGAAAAGAGCTTTTGTTAACTAAATTGGGTAACCCAATCTTCTTTAGCAAATAAAAGAAATGGATCAGAATTCATTGATCTTTAATAGATGCTAAATTTAATATCAATGATAACATTAATAATTTTGTTTTAATATTTTAGAAAAGAATAAAGAGCATTTGATGCAGAGATTGATTCATAAACATAATATGCTTCTGACTTTACAATTTATTTAAAAAATATTCCAACTGATCCAACAGGATTATAAAATGGAGATTTTGATGATGATTTAAAAAATTTTATGGAAGAACATATTTAAAAATTTCCTAAACTCCCTGAAATAATTGATTATGAATAAGATAGAAAGCAATTTTAAATATAAACAAAGAAACCAGTTAAAGACTTAAGAAGAGTTGTAGCAGTGAATTTATGTTATAATTTAGATGAATAATATCAATTAGAATAATAAAAATAGACAAAAATAGCAGAGAAATAAAAGGTAGTATTATTTTATATATTTAGATATTATCAAATTTATATGGTTAAGGTAAGGATCCATTAAGTTCAGAAGTAAAATAGGATCCTTAGGTTACTTAAATAGAAAGTGAAATATAAACTATTGAAGGATAATTGGAAACATTAGAGAAGAAATTTATAGAGGGAAAAGATGTTAAGAATTATTTTTTGGGATAAGCATTTGTAACATTCTAATGGGAGAATGATGTTTAGCTTTTATTAGAAGAGAATAAAGTTTCTAAATTATAAAGATTTTTTGGAAAGAAGAGTAAATTAATATACAGAGGAGTACCTTTGATTGTAGAAGAACCACCTGAACCAACTGATGTATTTTGGGAGAATTTACATATAACAACAAAATCAAAAATATTTAGAAGATTAATTGGTTATACAATTACAGCAATAATTTTAATAGTTTGTGGTGGATTGATATATTGGTTATCAGCAATTTAAGCTGAAAGTGCTGAAGAATAAGCTTAAGCAGTTAAAAGAGGAGATTTATCACCTAATTTAAAAGTGAAGGTAATAGCTTAGATTGCTTCTATTTCAATTATTGTAATCAATGCTTTACTTGCTATGATTATTAAGAGTGTATCGATTTTTGAAAAGTTTTCTACATAAACTGGTTATAATATTAGTTTAGCAAGTAAATCAAGCATGGCTTAATTTATTAATACTGCAGTAATAACTTTTGCAATTAGTACTTGGGTTACCAAAAATATTTATGGAGCTGGAGGTTTAGTTTATAATTAAACCTATGTATTTATTTCAAATGCATTTATCCCTGGAATTGTTCAACTTTTAGATGCTGGAACTATTTCTAAATGGTTATTTAAATATCTAGAAAAGAGGAAAGGAAATAAATCTATTAAAACATAGAAATAATTGCATGAGTATGCTATATTATTTAAATTAGTTTATATGAAAAACCAATATTTGATATTTCAACTGCTTATGCTGTTGTTTTGAAAAATATGTATGTGGTTGCATTTTATGCTTCAGTTATTCCTCTTGCTTTAATAATTACTTGTGTTGCTTTAGTGTTTCATTATTGGGTTGAAAAATATAATATTGCCAGAAGAAGAACTATTAAATATAATTATAGTTCATAAATGTCGATTGAAATGATAGAACAATTGGAATTAGTTTTACCAATATATTGTGTATCTATTTATAATTATTATTAAGTTAACTAATTTATGGTGGGAATATGTATTTTTGGAATCTATTTCTGTTGAAGCTATTATTGGTATCTGTCTTGGAGTTGGAAATGCAATTTTACCTATGCATGAAATTAATGAATCTATGTTTTCTATGAAATCTGAAATTGATGAGCATTTACCTATTCAATAAGCTGAAGTTGGATTTTTAACAGTAATTTATTTCTATTCTAATATTAGGATTATTGTAGAGAAAATCCTGCAACTGCTGAGACTGCTAGATAATAATATAAGATTAGAGTTGAAAAACATAAAGAATAATAGTAAACAATGGACAAAATGTTTGGAGATGCATGATAATATCAATTTTAGAACATTAATTTCATATCAATTTTAATTAACTTTCTATTATTTATGAATTCTACAGTTAAGGACAATCATTTTAAATTGAAAACTTGATTAAATAGGAATGGAAATTAGAAATAGACTTTGAAAATAAAATTATAACTTTTATATGTTTATAGGAAAAGATGATATATATTAAAATTGCTCAAGTTTAATAGATAATGTTAATTTATTAACTGGGTAATCAAGCGATGTTGATTCAAATATATATTATCAACTTGGTTCTTTCAATAAATAGTTTATCAAAAATGTATTGAAATGATAATTAAATTATGAAAAGCATAATAAATATATATATTTTATGTCAAATGAGTATTAAAGGCCTAAAAGTCTTTTTAATTGATTCAAACTTCTGTTACAGGAATTCTAGTTCAGGAGTTGCTTCAATAATATCAATCTATTGAGGTTTTTTACTTTAATATTCGACTTGATTATCAATAGAAATTTTACTTTTCTTAAAGTAAGGATGGTAAACAATTATTCCATCGTTTGTTGTTTAAACCTTTTATATTTGAGAATCATTTTATCGTCTCATTTATTCTGGATTCTGACTAAGATTAGTCAATAAGTTTTGAATCAAAGACATAATCTAATTTAATTCATTGTAAATACTCCTTCTTCTGTTTATTCCTTTTTTTGTTTTTTTATTGCTGGTTTTTTAGGCTTTAAAACACAGAATTAAATCTATAGATCAAAAGTTTATCCATTATCATGTGGATATATACAATTAACCCAATCGGTCATAAACCCATATTCATACACTAATATATTATTGCATAAGTTACCTTTTTTTTATTCTTACACTTTCTTTTACTAATACTTTTCCTACTTTTAATCTGATTTCTTGCCTGATGGTTTTTATTCTTTGATTTCTTGGAGCATCTCTTTAAAGTTTTCTGTCATTTTCTTTTGCCTTGAAGACTTACGAACTAAAGATTTCTTTATGTAATTACCTTAACCTTGCTCTTCTTGCTTTGAACTCATTTACTTCAATTTATATTATTAATCAACTCAATCAAAAACTAGCTTAAATAGCTATTCTATGCATAAAAAAACAATAAATTGTAATACATTGTCAATAACTTTAACAATGCTTAAAAAAAATGTTATCTAAAATGCTTAAAATACAAAATATATTTTTATTATTTACTGTTAAATTTTTTTCTTTTGATTCTTTTCAACCTTTATTATTTAGGATCTTTATTAATCTGATTTTATTTTCTTTCACCTTCTAAATATCAATTTCTATTAATTTATTCAAATTAATTTAGAGGTTATCTAAAGAATCTTTTTCTTAAAAAAAAGGTTACCTTTCTTCTTTTCTTGATTTATTACCTATATTTCTCATGACTTTATTTTCTATATTTGTTTTTCTAAGTTAAAAACAACATTAATATACTAATTCTTAAATAATCTGAATAATTCAAAATCTCAAATAAAAGAAAATTTCTCAGAAAAACAGCCAATTATAAATAAAAAGGACATTTTTTTTTAATATTTTTCTTCAAAAATAATAATTCTAAATTGTAAATTCAGCATTTTTAAAATTATTTATTAAGGTCAACTAATTTTGAAATTTATATTTTCTAAAATTGAAAAGTAAATTTGGTTCTAAGTCATAAAAAACAAGAGTCTTCAAACTTAAATTTTAATAAGAAGTGAATCAATGAAATAATTATTTAAAATCAATTAATAATTTAACAAATCTAGTTTAATCATTTTTAAAATATCAAACAGATGAGCTTTTTAACCACTTTCTATCTAAGTGTTACTATTTTGATATCAAAAGCCTAAAATTTGAATAAAGTTAGTTCAGTTCATAGAATTCAAGATTAATAAGAGGATAATTTAGAATTAAAGAGATGTGAAGTGAATTAGATAAAAGTTGAGGAAAAATGCTTAAGTAAATAAAAGATATATAATTAGATTGTCATTTCAGTTGTGAATAATGTTTTGGGATAGGAAAGGATGAATGTATTTCTTGCAATAGTGTTTCTAAGAGAATGTTATTGAATCACTAATGCATTTGCATGATATCATATTATGAAAATCAATAATAATCAGCTTGTTAAGGTAAATTCATAAAAAAATTTTAGAATGTTATAAATTTTGTAAAAATTGTAAAGGATCGACTGGAAATGACTGTTTAAGTTGTTATGAGAATTATGAATTAATAAACGGAAACTGTGTATGTAAATTAGGCTATTTTTATGATTATGACAATATGGAATGTAAATGTATTAATAAATTATTAAAAAATAAGAATGTAATTATACTTGTGAATTTTGTTTTGGCTCTGAAGATGACAATTGTTTAAAATGCCAGCTTGATTCTTAAAGAATATAATAAGATAATAAATGTATATGTCCTGATGGTTATTTTGAAATAGAAAATGATCCAATTTGTAAAAGTAAATATATAATATCTAAGAAAGAGTGCCATATAAATTGTCTGACATGTAATTAATACGATAGTTGTCTAAGTTGCTCAAATGAAAAATAATTGGTAAATAATAAATGCATTTGCTAATAAAAACATTTTTTATACAAATAAACTTTTTTGGATACTTGCAAATGTAATAAAATTTACAATATTTAGCTTGTAGTAGATTATGCTTGATATGTACCGGAGAATTAGACTTTGAATGTTCAAGTTGTGTAGCCCATAGCACTTTAGATAATTAAACTTGTAAATGTGATTAGGGTTATTTTATGATAAATAATGGATGTTAAATATGTGATTCATCATGTTAAGAATGTGTGAATATTAGTACATAATGTTCTAGTTGTCATACTCCATATATCTTGGTTAATAATCAATGTGTATGCGAAAGTGGAAAATATAAAGATTCATATGGGAATTGTTTATCACATGTTATATGTAATTAACCTGGAGTTAATTCAAATTGTACACAATGTTTAAATGACTATATATTAAGTCCATCAAAAACTTGTGAATGCAGTTCTCCAAATTAGGTAGTTAATTCTGTATGTAAAGGTAAGAAATTAAAAATATAAAGGTTGCTTATCAATATTAAATAAGTGTTCTAAATGTACTAGTTCTACTTATTGTGATACATGTATTGATGGATTTTATTAATCGTCAGGAATATGTCTACAATGCGATTAAAGTTGCAAAACATGTTCTGGTAGTTCAAATGGAAATTGTCTTGCATGTGTGTGTAATTCTGGTTAGTATTGTGATTCTAATCTTAATTGCTAAACATGTCATCCAACTTGTTAATTATGTACAAGTACTTCGTGCACATAATGCTTATCTAATTTTAATAGAATTCTTAATAGCAATAGCTGTGTTTGTAATATTGCAAATGGATTTTAAGAAATTGGAATTCTTTAATGTGAAAATAATCAATGTAAAAAAGGATGTGTAAATTGTTAAGCTAATAAAACTTGTTTGTCTTGTATGGGAAGTGAAACTTTTAGAATTGATAATCCTTCATTAGATTGTCCTTGTTAAGATGGATATTATGATAATCAACAAAGCATTTGTTAATGTATTTAAAAATATTTACAATTAATAGAATGTCCATATAAATGTTCAAAATGTTAAATCTATTCAACTAATACTTTACCAGTATGTACTTCTTGTTCACTTAATAGAAATATTAATGATTTTTGTAGATGTTCCAAAGGATTTTATGAAAATGCTAACAATTGCATTGTCTGTCCTTCAAATTGTTCTAGTTGTATTGATTAAAATCGTTGTATCTAATGTAAAAATAATAATTTTGATCATGATAAACTTAATGGAAAATGTCTATGTAATTTAAATAACTTTAGTAATAAATAAAATTGTGAATGTTTAGATGGTTATTATCTTAACACAATTAATAAAAAATGTTTACGTATTTTATTAATTTAAAAAATATAGCTTGTAATTATAATTGTAAATCTTGCATATATATGCCTAATAATTGTATAATGTGTTAAAATAATCATGCTTATCCACCAAATTGTGAATGTTCTCCAGGATTTTATTTATAAGATTAATAATGTTTACCTTGCAAAAATAATTGTTTCAAATGCAAATCATAATTAGAATGTTTAGATTGCTCTGATTAAATGCAATTAATCAATAATATATGTTATTGTTAAATAGGATATTTCAATTTACCTAATTCATATGAGTGTCAAATTTGTGCTAGTTAATGTTCTACTTGTAGATATAAAGATGATAATTGTACATCTTGCAAATTTAATAGAATTTTACCATAAAAATGTATATGTCCAGATGGAACTTATGAGTTGAATCTATTTACTCCATGTAAGGATTGTGATAAAAAGTGTAAACTTTGTGAATTATCCTCTAACAATTGTTTATAATGTTCTTTTATGAGAATAAATCCTCCTAATTGTAATTGTTAAGTTGGATATTTTGAAAATGAATAATAAATCTGTCAAGAGTGTAATAAAAAATGCAAATCATGTTAAAATAATAGTTATACTTGTATTGAATGCAATATGAGTATTTCTACTCCACCACCAGATTGTATATGTCCAGATGGATTTTATTTTGAATCAGAATAAGGTTGTGTTTAATGTCATTTCAAATGTAAAACTTGTATTGGTTCTAATGAATATAATTGCCTTACTTGTGATGAATCTAAGAATTTTTAACTTTTATTTAATAAATGTGTTTGTTAAAAAAATTATTATTTTCAAAATGGTTAATGTGTTTATTGTTCTATTGAAATAGAATAATGTTAAACTATTTAATGTGGAAACGGAATTATTTAAAAAAATGAATAATGTGATGATTACAATAATTTTGATAGAGATGGTTGTTCTAATTAATGTAAAATAGAAGAAGGATATTACTGTGAATCTATTTCTAATACAAAATTACATATTTCAATTTTAATGACTAAATGTACTTAATGTATTGAATTTTGTAAAAATTGTAATAAATATAAATGTTTAAATTGTTAAAGTGGATATTTTATGACTCCAAGTTTTGACTGTTAAAAATGCGAGTAATTTAATAATTATATTTTTCTTAGTTTTCATTGTAAAGAGTGTTCTGGACCATAACAAAAGGATTGTTTATCTTGTTTTAAAGATATTCATTATGAATTGGGATAAAAATGTACATTTTGTGAAGAAATTTAAGGATTATATACTGGCAAAGATAAATGTGTTTCAAAATGTGGAGATGGAATGAAAAAAAATGATGAATAATGTGATGATGGTAATACTATCAATAATGATGGATGCTCATAAAAATGTATAATTGAAGAAGATTGGGATTGCACTTAATAAATTAATACAATAAGCTTTTGTCATAAATTAAATATACCTATTGCTACTATTACTTTTGATAGAGTTCAAGATTTTTATTAATCTCAAAGATAGGGATATCTTATTTTTAATAAGCTTATGAGAATACCAAATATATCTATTATAAATTAATGGTAATTTAGTTTACTTAATCAAACTGCATCTAGTTACACTATTAATTTGACTGCTCTTTTAAATTTTGATGGTTATTTAGAAAAAGTATAAATAGATTTATAATTCTATTAAACTATTTCTAAAATTTTGTTTCAAGTAGACTTTACAACTTATATCATAAAAGATGTAGTTGATTAGTTTCCATTAAAAACAACCAATCTATCTGTAGAATTGACTTAATACATTAAATTAGGCTAAGATACTTTAAGTACCTCAAAGGCATCAAAATAATTCGCTTCTTCTGTACTATTTATATTTGGAGGTGTTTCTATTTTAGGATTACTTATGGGAAGCTTAGAATTTTATTGGAATGTCTTAGATAATTTATAAATTCTATCTTATTTCACATTTATTAATGTTAACTTTCCTTATATGCATAACAAATTCTTAGAAATTTTTGAATTTGCTAGATTTGAATTTACAAATAACTATTTTTAATTTGATCTTATTCAAAATATAGATTATCAATAAAATAAAGATTATCCTTTAATTATTGAAAAATAAGTAGAATATAATTTATTAATCAATCTAAGTTCTATTGCTGTGCTCTGGATTACACCTTTTATGTTATTTATCATAGCTAAAATCAATCTATTTATTATTCATAATATATTGATTAAAAAGTTGAATATATTATCCTTTTCTCCTTAAGATAAATATCATGGTATTACTTATTTAATGTGTAAATTATTATACTTAATTCATTAAGTCAGTTTAAAATATCATTAAAATTTCTTTCATAATATCATTCTTAGAATTTATTTATCCAGTCTCTATGATTTAAACTTTTCTATTTTCACATCAGCCTATTGTTGGCTTTGGAATTAGAATCCTAATTTAGTAGATTACATATCATTCATTGTTGCTATATTTCTACTTTTAATTTAAATTCTTATACTCTTTATTTTATCTGCTTCATTAAAAGTACCTTATTATCAATTAAAATCTAAAGAGTTTGAATCCTAATTTGGTTCTTTATATGAAGGAATTAATCAAAACAATCAAATTAATAGATAAATTTAATTTCTATAACCTTTACGAAGAATATTTTTTATGGGAGCTTTGATTTTATTTTATGATTTTGCTATTTATTAAATCACTTTTCTAATTTCGATTTAGATTATATCATCGTTAATTTAAATATTTTAGAATCCTAATTTAAATATCTTATAATCCATAAAAGGAATTACTTAGGATGTAGGACTTAGTCTATCCTTAACATTAATTTTATTTTATTATGCTCAAGATATTTTTTAAATAGTTGACTAAGATATAATTGAAAAACTATCCTATGTTCATGTTGGAATTTATACTATAATGTTATGCTTAGGTCTCATTATAGACTTATATTAATAATTTAGGGTTATATTTATTAAATTTAAGATGTCTAGAATTTGTTAAAAGAAAAAATAAATTGAATAACCTTAACATCCTTTTGAATAGAATATTTTTATAGACTTAGCCTAAGTTAGTTCTTAATAGAAAGCAAAATTTAACTTTATGAATTTTAGGATTAATTGATTTATACATTAAAATTGGCATTAATTCAAATAAAACTATTAATATCATAAAAAATATCTACATACCTAATTGTTGATATCATTTTATTTAATTATTTTGCTCTATTCTTCATTCTGATTGAATTTAGATTTTGTTTATCTTTTTTATTTATCTATAAATATTTAATTAATTTAATTATAAAAAACTAAAAAGAAACTAGGTATGAATAATTATTCAAAATAAATGTAAATATTTATTTTTAAGATAAGAATCTTTAAGTATAAATAATAATTAATAAATTTTATTCTAATTTAAAGAAGAAAAGTAATTCTGTATTTTATAAGATACATAATAATTTTCTGTATATAGCTTTAATTTCGTTGGTTTGGAATTTAGAAATAAAATTAGTGTGACAAAGAATTAAATTTGTATTAGATGGTAATAATATATTTATTATTTATTATGAATTTTTTAAAATTATGATTATAGTAAATAATTTTATTAAGTGAAAATCATCAATGTCAAGACACTTGTATAATATAATTTAAGCAAGTAATTCTTAACAGCCTTATTCGTAATTAACAATTAAAAATATTAGAATACATCAACCTTCTTATCGTCAAAATTATAATTAATGTAGAGGATAAACATAAGAAAAAAAAGCATCAGAATAGCCAGTTAAATAAATGAGTCAGCCTTAATCTAATTTAACAGAAACAAAACCAAATCCATTAATAAAAATTCCAGAAAAATCATAGATAACCTAACCAAATAATTTTGGAAAGAAAAAAAATAATAATTAGTTATAGAAAGTTGTTACAAGAATGGATAAAAATAGCGATGATATTGGTATTCATGGTATTAATAATAAAATTTAAAATCATTAAAATACAATATAAAAAATCTAATCAAATAGATATTATATTGATGATTTAATTACAGCATTTTAGGATGAAACAGTTAGTTTTTCTAAGTTATTTAGAGATAATTTTGTTAATTCTTATAATTTTATACCAACAATAAAATAGGTGTAATTTTTTTAAGCTGAAGACAAATAAATATAAGAAAAAAAAATAAAATTAGAACCCTATCCTCAAAATTTGAAATGTAAATAAAGTTATAATTTATATATATAGTTAAGAAGACAGTAATTTTTGATTTAGATGAAACATTAGTACATTGTAATGAAGAAGAGAGTATGTGTTCATAAATAGTATTACCTATAACATTTCCAAACGGAGAGAAAGTTAATGCTGGAATCAATATTAGACCTTTTGCTGAAAAGATGATAAAATTATTAAGTGATGTATGTGAAGTCATGATTTTTACAGCTTCTCATGAATGTTATGCTAATGAAGTATCATATTATATAATTTAAAGGTTATCAATCATTTAGATCCATAATAAAGAGTTAAAAGGAGGATTTTTAGAGATAGTTGTGTTACTGATGAAAATTCTACTTATTATATTAAAAATTTAGAAGTTATTGATAGAGATTTAAAAGATATAGTGATAGTTGATAATGCATCATATAGTTTTGTGTAATAAAATTGATTTATTTTAGTCATCAATTAGAAAATGGTATACCTATTATCTCCTTTTATGATGATAAATAAGATAATCAATTAATTAAATTATATAGGTTTTTAATTCATAAAGTTTTACCTTTAGATGATGTTCGAATTTTATTAAAGGAATATTTTAAATTAGATTAAATTGATTAATTTTAAACAATTGTTGAAGCAGTTGAAAAAATGTATTGTATTGAATGAAGTTTATTTGGATACTATTTGTTATTTTAATATAATAGTCATTTATAATTATTAATTTATATTACATAATTAACATACTTTTTTATCATATTACTATAGATTAATATAATTATAGTAATTATCTCTTTAAATTACACAAATGCAAGTTGATAGTGAAAATTGTATAGATAGTTCGAACAATCCTAATTTAATAGTAAATAGATATGTAAACCTTAAATTAACATTAGTGTATGAGGAGTAGAAGAAGAAAGATTTATGATGATGGAGATTTTAAAGAAGTAGTTAAGAATTTTTACTCCTTGATATCTGATATAAATAAAAGTACTTAATTTATATCATAATAAACCTAAGTTGCTAATAAAAAAATTCAAAAAACTGTCCCTACAAAAAATAAATAATAATCGAATGTTTAAACAAAAAAGCCACAACAAAAAAAACCATAATAATAGGATTTAAAGAAAAATGACCTCTACAATTTTAAAAAAGAACCAATTTACTCTTAAGTTACTTTTTAAACTTAACCCTATTTTAATCATCCATCATATTAATAGTTATCCTATACCCAAATTTATAATATGCCCTCATAATTTGTAAATAACACAGTTATTACTAGCAAATTATTTCTAGAAATTAATACAATACTGCATAATTAAAAAGAAATTCATATCATATTGCAATTTCTTATTTCATCTATGTATAATCAAGTGGTTAAGAGCAATATGAAAGTAGAGATCCTACGATGAATGCCAAAAGAAAAATGAAAGAAACCAATGTTGATGGAAATAAGGTATTATTCTTAAATATATATATTATTCTTTTAGTAATTTGATAATTTTGTTATGAATGAAAGACAACCTCAATTATTATAAAGATAACATTAATAACATGATTAAGAAGAATTAAAAGAAGATAATTTAATATAGAACAACATGAATTGAATTTTATATTTTATAATTATTGAAATATATATACTAATTAATAAAAAGCTACAATTAATATATATTTATTCATATCTCCAGAACTTTCATCTAATTTATATGCCAATCCTTATTCTAAACCACCATTCCTGTAATAACAACAATAAAATCTTTAGGTTATAGTAAATTTTTATCAATCAATCTATTAATACATTCTTGAATAATTCTTTAATAAATTATAAATTTAATTACTCTTCTTAATTAGCAAATCCATTTACTAATTCTGATTATACATTATTGATGTAATTTAAACATCTACAAATTTATTCATTATCGCTAATTGAAATAATTTTACAAGAAGCTCTTAATTTTGATAGTTTTAATGTAGTTTATATTCTACGAGTTAACATTAAAATAGCTTTTGCTTATAAACTTTGATAATTAAAATCTATTACATATAAGCCATTTCAACACAAGATTTAGCAATAACAGTAGCAATAGGTTATCCAGTAAAATTTACTTAATATTGATCCCTTTATTAAGGTTGGTCAAAAAGTTCTTAAAGTAGTTTTTTTTCTATTTTTCTACAAATTTTATTAAGAGTTTAAACAATTAAAACTGGAAATTTTCCAAAACTAGTTTCTCCAGATAATAATATTCCATCAATATATTATTTTACAATATTTGATATGTCTCCCATATCTGCAAATGAAGGTTTTATTTAAACACTCATAGATTCCAATATGTATGTTGATACAAAGACCTATAAATAACAATAATAAATACAGGTTTAAATAATTTTCTACAACATGATATTATTTGTGTTTAATATTTTACAACATCCTCTACTGGTTATGTCATTGAAATATGTGATCTTGCTATAATACATCCATCTGATAAATTTATTATTTCTTCTAATTATTCTTCTCTAAGCTTTTCAGCTATCCTTGCATATACTTAAATATGAGGATAATTCTATTCTAATCTTTCTTTTACCTATGATTAAAATCAAAAATACTTTTCTTATATCATATGTTGAATTTACTTTTGAAAATGTTATGCTATCAAAATTACATTCACAAGCATGATCTATATCTAAAATATCTTACTCTGTTAATGATATTTATTCTGATTACTCTTCTTCCTTTTAATTCTTATTTTCTATAAATATTGATATTGGTTTAAATGATTTTAAAATTCCACTCTTACAACATTTGCAAATATATATTTTCACTCCACTTAATAAACACATTTAATCTATACCAATTTTTTCATAAATTCTAAATATAATTCATAATTATTACTATTCGAACAATTTAATATCTATCAATTCTAATATTATATGACCATAATCTATAGCTAATTTATCATTTATATTTAATTTTTCAAGAAATTCATTTGAATCTATAGGAATAAATTAATTATTTCCTACTTTATGTTAATCTGAAGTCAAATACACAATATTTCCTTCCTCAAATTTGATTAATTATTTACTTCTATTAATGTTTCAGAGTCTTATAATTATCCAACTCTTATTACTTGTCCTCTTAATATTAAATTTATAGGTATTTTTGTTTTAAACTCTGCTTCTAATTAACATCTATTATTATTTAATATTTATAAGCTCTCTTTATTTTTTATATAAGCCATATTAATACTAAAATAATCAAACTAATTTTCTACGTAAAAGCATTGCATCCTGCTTCAACCATGTTTCTTAATAAATCATAATTAGAACAATTTTCACTTACAGAGCAAATAATTCTAGTTCGTTTCGGTTCTTACATGAAAACAAAAATTATAATATTTTATTTATATTATTAAGTATTAATACTTTATAAAATAAATTCTAAGCTTTTTTTTAGAGATCATTTAATAATAATTTAGAAATTATTTTTTCATGTTCTACTAAATTTGAAGATTAAATAACTTAACAATATAGATTAAATAACTTAATTTAGAGATTTTCTCATAATTTTAACTTATAATAATAAATTTAAAATTGTTTTGTTTCAATCAATAATTTTTTGATAATTTAGTTCTATTTTAATTTTATGATTCATTTAATCTTGAGCTAATAATTATACTAAAAATTAATACATTTCTTTTTTATGAGAGTATTGATTTACGTATGAGAGTTTTTGGGATAAAATTGGAAACTTTTCTTTTTATTCTATAACTTAAGAGGAATTAGTATGTTAAACGATCATATAATTTTTCATTGGTTATAAATCCCAATCAATTTTTTATTTTTTTGGTGGAGATTACTAAGCAAACATTTATTCAATTTCTTATTCGGCCAAAAAATCTTCCTAGTCAAATGAAACTTATTGTGCCTTTAAAATAGTAGGTTATGATGCATACATTTTATTTTTAATTAAATTATTACTAATTTTATACAATAATTTACTTTTATTATTAGCTACCATTTCTTTGGTTATTAGCTAATAATTTTTGGCTAAAAGGAATAGATTAAGATACTGGATTTACCTTATTTTATGATGTTTAAGAAAAATTTAAAGGTGTTTATTATTAAATTGACTAAATTATTTGTTATTGTATTTCTTAATTTTATTAAAGTTATTTAGATAATATCTTTGGATCATTTTATTAATATTAATGATTTAATTCTGGTAATTTTGGTAATTAAATATTATGATTATATCGAGGAGGTTTTTTAATTTCGACATATTTAAACCAATATGATTTATCATATTTTTTAGTTGGATGATTTATAACGATTTTATTTTTAGGTTATTCAGGTTCTGGATCTTTAGGAAAATAATCTTTATATAAAGGATTATTTTTTTGAATTTTTCTTTCTGCTGATATTAACCAAAAATTATTTCCAAGTTCTGATAAATCTGCAGTTGTTTACTTTTCATTAAGAACTTCAAAAATAGTAACATCCTTTTTATCATTTACATTTGATTTAATGTTATTATCATTTTTTTATACTGATATGACTGATAAATCTTACAAATGCAAAGTCTAATTTCCATTACGATATTATTCTATATCATTTTCTTTTTCTTTGAGAAGTTTTTCTAATTCTTCAACTTTTTTAAAAAGTTTTTCTAATTTTTCCTCATGTTTTTTTTCCAAAGTTTCTATATGCTCTTATTTATCTTATTAAGATTATTTTAAAACTGAAATTTCATCTTATAATGTTAAGATTAGTTCATCTTTCATCTATAAGGCAGATTGTAAAAAAGTTATTTTTTCAGATAATGTTGATTTATTTGATTTTTAAGAATATTGCTATGAATGAAAAGAATTTTAAAATTCTTCTGGTTCAACTAATTCTTTCTTTTCACTTTGATCTTTTGAATGATTTTCTGATAAATTATCCTTTTAATCTTCATGATTATCTACATCATTTATTTTTTCTTCAGTATTTTGATTTATTTTTTCTTCAGTATTTTCTTATTAATTAACTATTTCTCTGTTTTAATCATTTTATTCATCTTACTTAAATTCTGTGTTATCAATTTATTACTAATCTTTTTCTTGAGATTAAATTTAATCTCTTTATACAACTGGAGATGCTTCATGTTAAGAAGTTCTTGTTGGTGTAGCTATATTTGATTCTTCTTTTAATATCTTGGCTTACTCTTAATTCTATTCTTCATTTGAGTTCTTTAATTCAACAATTGGGACATCTATTCTTGAATTATCTTATATGGTTCCATCATTAAGAGACTAATTTTATTATACTCCTGTTTTATCATCATTCTCATTTTCATTCTCTATATTTTAATCTTCTTTTTATTATTCTTTTTCATCTTTTTAACTCATATATCTATATATCTATATATTTGAGCAAATAAATAAATTATTTATAAAAAAACTTGCATGAATGAATATAAACAAAATAGTAAATATGAGTTCATTAATCAAGTTTTATCTTTCTAAAACTACTGTAAGCTACTTTCTGCTTTTTATCGAAAGTTACCTTTTTTATAGATCTTTATGAGCCAAAAGTTTAAGAATCTTTTAATTAATTTTTTGGACTTTAAGGGTTGGATCCATTGTTAATTTTATTTTTCAGAATCGATTTATGTTTAGTTATATCATTTTATGAACCCTTTACTTAATTTTTTTGACTATTTACTTCTTACTTTGAGTTGTTTTACTGCTCTTATTAATCACTCTCTTAACGATAGAGAATCTCTTCTTCTAAAGAAATTTTAACATCCTTTACAGCTAATTTTTATTCTGTAATAGCTTATTCCTTTTCTTTAGATATAAGTTTTGATAATGAGATATATTATTCTTTCTCTATAGTAATTTCATCACCTTGAAAGTATAAGTTTTTTATTGGAATAAGCTTTTGAATTTTAGGTGGTCCTTTTATATAGATTTTAGGTTGTTTCGATTTATTGTTTTAATATTCTTCAATGCTTATTTACTTCTAACATATTCCTCCCATTTGATATAGATCAAATATTATTATTGTTTCAATATTATTTAAGTTTAAACGAATAATGATTTATCAAATCGGAATAAGATTTATCAAATCAGAATAAGATTAGATACATCAAAAATTTCAGAATAGAAATATTCAAAATCTGTTTTCAACTGGAAATTTTACAATTTACATCAATAAACTTAATAAAGTTGACTTAAAAAAACAATCAAAAAATTTAAAATAGAGATCTAATTATAGTTTTTTGAACAAATTAAAAATATATACAAAATTTTAGAATTATTATAGTAAAGATTCCTTTGTTAAAAATTGATTTTTGATTAATGACTACCAAGATACTATTAAAAATTGTAAAATTTTTAATAAATCAACTTTGAAGTCTTATGATATAGTATTTTAATTATTTTAGTAATAAAGAAAAGTTATCATTAATGACAAATAAAATGACTTTTAATTATAATTTATATTAATCCATAAAGACTAAATTTGAAATAATAGTATTTTGATTATTTAATATCTAAATTGTCAAATACAGTTAATCCTATATGCCAATTCTTGATCTGTTAGTATATCTATTTAAGCAATATCAATTAATTAAAACAAATGTTTATTTGGGTTTTCATTTTCATACTTTATCATTTCAATAATATATTTAGACATCAGAATAAAACATAATTTTGGATGATTCATTTAGGCGGATTGTGAAGTTATTTAAATGATAGCATATTCCAGAAATTTTTGCAATTCATTAAAATCAATCTAATTAAAAGTACAGGTAAGAGCTAATATATTTTTTTCTTAGATCATTTACTTCAGAAATTAAAGCTATTAAAGACAATATACACCTTTTTCTGTTATTATAAATTTGTCGAATTCCTTAAATAGCACAGATTAATCGATTAGATTAAGATGATAGAATGCACAATTTTGAATAAATTAAGCTAATTGCTAAGCATATTAATACTATCTTTATTGTGCATTAACAAATATACTAAAGTTAAAAAGGCTTCTTGTAGTATTTATAATATTTAAATATAGCTTTTAGTTATTTTCGAACTCTATTTCTAGATAGTTTTTAATCATCAATTTTTGATACTCTATTTGATTGTTTTATGATTAAGATTCATTAATTTATTAACCCTTTTCCTCTTCAATATTTTAAATTTATTGCATATAATAGTCATATTTACAAAACAATTCATGATTATAAATTTCATCCCAACTAATACGCTCATCTTCATTTACTTAAAGACATTTTTGAATTAAATCTTATAAAAGAGAATTGTCAATTTTGGGTACAACAATTGCCATTTTAATTTATTCTTATAATTCTAGTACATTCTATGCTTTAATTGGAGGCTTTTAAAAAATCAACTCATATAATATCATTCCAAGTGACCAAATGTCACATTTAGATGAATATGGCTATCTTAAAACTGTTTATGGTGCCATGTATAAAGGAGTTCCTGCAACACTATTCATTAGATCATTTTCAAAATTGATTCGTTTAGAAAACCCAAAATCTGCAATTTTAATAATGTTCTAATGAATTAAGATATTAGCTGGTTTTATATCTCTATGGATTATAGATTTATTTTACAACTCTCGATATCTAACAATAATGTTAGACTTTACCCTTTTAAAATTTGCTATAGTATGCTGATTACTAAGTTTTCATCTTATTTACCTCTTTTTATTAAATCTCTTAAATCTCCTCCATCGCAATATTCAGAAATAATGTATATATTATTTTATGTTTCGTAATAATCTAAAAATTTAACAATATTAGGATGATTTAAAGTCCTCATAGATTCTACTTCGTTTTTTAAGTGTTTTTCATTCTCCTTAAAATGATCAATTTTATGGAAATTACTTTATTAATCATTCTTTTGTCTATCATTTTAACTGCGACTGGTTATCCTGACTATGTTTTACCTTTGAAAACAGAACCATATGCTCCCCTACCTATAAGATGATTCATATTAAATCTATAATGGCCAATCAATTTATCCATTGATATTTAAATAAATTTTATATTATATTCTCTTTTTATTTAGTAATCATGGATCCAAGACTATATCTATTTTTTCCTTTTATGAAAAAATAATATTTAACTTGTTTTCTCTTTATTTAAAATGAAATAATTTTGACATAATCATTTACTAGAATGTTTATTATTGATTTAAGAAATCCAAAAAGTTTTCTAAATTTGAAAGGTATAATTTGTAAAAATGTATTCAACAAGAATTTATTTTGAAAAAAATATACTAATTATAATATTATGTAATCGTTTTCAACTTAAGTTGAATTTTAAGAAGACTTTGATTTTAAAAATTCTGTATTGCTTGGTTAAGGAACATTTGGTAAGGTTTTTAAAGCAAAGGCTTTAAAGTCCTTACCATTAGGGTATTATGCTTTGAAAATAATTGAAACATAAAGGTACATAATTTTATAGCTTAGTGAATAGGCTTTTGAGTTGGCAATTTAAGAGTTAAATTTGTATTCAGCAATAACACACCATTAAAACGTTATTTAAGTTTACAAAGTTTATTCTTGGAAGGATGAAATGCCTTTTAGAAAATTTGTATTAGTTTTTGCAATGGAATTAGCCATAAATAGCCTTAAATAAGACATTGACGATAGAAGGAAAATTTCAAAAGAATATGGAGGTTAATAT